TCTGAATAATGAGAGTGGATAGCCTATATCTAAGGGGGTAGATGTACTCTGGATTGGGAGACATGCTGTCTCTAAATGGCACGTGATACGGAGGATTAGTCATTCCTGCATTTGATTGGCGGGCCTGACTGCCTGAGGCCTCAGGGCAGTGGATCGGCCCGCACCAACGAAGCAAGAATAATCAAACCGTTTAGATTGAATAATGGATCGCGACTAGTCTAGACCACAGGAGGCTTTTTCTCTCCGCAATTATTCGCTGCAGTTGATCCGCTGTAATCCCTACTTCCAAGGCAGAGTTCGGCGGGAATCCACAGCTGCCCCGATCTGGCCTCCCTGTCCTGTCGTCCTCCTCGGTAAGCGACGAGCTCATCTCCATCCATCATTATTACTTACTCAGACGACGGTAGAATCCGTGTCTCCGAAGTATGGTTGAGACTAGGAACCGTTTCTCTAACGGCTATCCAACATTTGATTGTCTGGTTCTTCTGGACTCGGTTATCGGATTCTTGGCCTCATTATTATTCTTTGTTCCAGACTGAGCTCTTTCTGTTGCAGCAGGTGTAATCACTAATCCCGATTGGGACATCCATCTCCGACATCTTCTCCAATCTCCTCTTTTTCCGATTCTCCTCTCCTTCCATCTTCTTTCTTCATCTCATTCTCCTCTATTCCCCTCTCCAGAATCAAAACGATGAGCTGAGCCGGCCTCCTCTGGTCGACCAGCCAGAGTTGTCTCCGGATGCGCATCCCAATTGCCGTACAGCTCGGCCTGCTGGTCCTTGTGACCGCCCTAGTGGGCCTGGCCGTGCTGTCCATCGCTACGGTGAGCTCTCGCGCTGATCGCCGATCATCCTTCAGCTCCAAGACTAATCGAACGCAGTGGATTAATAGCTACAATTTCGTGGTCGATGTCCAGTAAGATAGCAGCCTTTTCTTGGCTTTATGGTACGTTTCCCACTAACAGCATAACCCTCTAGATCCGAAGGACTCGAGCTGGTCGCAACAATCAAAGCCAGCCAGATCGCTTCCAATCTTAAACTCCTCGAATCGACATGCAATACCATCGTCACTCGACTGCTGATCCAGGGTGCTCTAAGTCGTTTTTACAGTGGGAACTCGAGTGATTCGAACTGGACCTCGTCGGTTACGGATGTGCAGTCGGCATTGAGCAGCAGCAATTATCTGGACCTCTATCAAGCCACCATTTTCTCTCGAAATGGTCAAGGAAATCCACACGGATTGCTCAATGTCACCGCAAAAGATATTGCCGATATCACACTTCCCTACACCTACTCGAATGGCACCACCGTCATGCTGGGAGACAAGGGACTGGGTTATCCGCCCGCGCTCTACCCAAATCTGACCTATTCCGCAGCCTCCGACGGCAGCAACACACCCGATGTGTACGCCTTTTCGGACTACAAGCTTGGACTTGGCACCGCTCTTCTCCTAGGGCCGCTGCCGATCAACAGCTCCTTTTCCCTCATTTCAGTCACAGTGCCCATCATCAATAACACTTCGGCCTCTGATATTCTTGGATACATGACGTAGGCAATCCTGGATTATAGACAGAGAGTAAACCAGATTTCCCTGCTGACCGCATACAGGGTCGTCGCCAGCGCCGCCAATCTGCAGGCCACGATCAACTCCCGCGATGGCATGGCCAATACTGCTCAGATTCTCCTGCTCAGTCCATCGCGGGCCGACAATCGGTTCGCCCCGGGCGCGTACCCGGCCACAGCGACCTCTGCCCCGGACGTGGAAGGACTCTCTCGCGCCGATGTCCACTATGTGTTCGAGCCTACGCCACTTCCCGGCCAGAGCAGCAGACACGGCGGCAACATGAGCATGAACAGCTTTGCCCTGTCCCAGTATCCGCTGGCATGGAAGCTCATGTCGAGACCGTGGGCACAGACCAACGACTCGATCAGCGATTTGTCAACTCGAAACGAACACGGATACCAGGTTGCGGTAGGCGCGATCCGGCCTAAGACGTCCCTGGCACAGTGGATTCTGCTGGTGGAGGAATCACGGGAAGAGGCATTCTCCCCGATCAACCAGCTCAGGAAAATCATTCTGGCATGCGTCTTTGGGACGATAGGGCTCATTATCTTGATCGTTCCGCTGCTCACCCATCTGGCCGTAGCCCCGATTCGCCGACTGAGCGAGGCCACTCGCAAGTCGATCGAGCCCCCCGCCCAGCCTCCGCATAATCGCCCTCCCTCGAGTGGACCGTACGTTGTAGGAACCACCGAGGCGGAGGCGGAACCCCGGCCTTTTGACGACCACATGGATGAGAAGGGAACTTTCGTCGCCTGGGTGAAGCATTTCCGTCGAAAGGACCGGCCCAACAGCGCACACAGCAATGGCAGTCGCACCCACGCCAGGACTTTCCAGATTCCGGGCAGAGTGAAGGAACGCAAGCATCTCATCACCGACGAACTGACGGAGCTGACGAGCACTTTCAACGAGATGTCCGACGAGCTTTCCATCCAGTACAATCGGCTGGAAGAACGAGTGGCGGAACGAACTCGCGAGTTGGAAGCCGCCAAGTTGGCTGCGGAGACTGCCAACGAGAGTAAGACATTGTTCATCGCCAACATCTCACACGAGCTCAAGACCCCGCTGAATGGCATTCTGGGCATGTGTGCAGTGTGCATGGGCGAAGACGATCTTCCTCGGATCAAGAAGTCCTTGCAGGTTGTTTACAAGTCGGGCGATCTTCTATTGCATCTTTTGAACGACTTGTTGACCTTTAGCAAGAACCAAATCGACCAGGCAATTCGCTTAGAAGAGAGGGAATTTCGATTGTCGGACATCCGGTCGCAACTGGCGGTCATTTTCCAGAATCAGGTCCAGGAAAAACAGATCGACTTCAATGTCAACTTTGTCAGCGGTGATACCCTTCCACCAAAGGGCGATGCCTTCCAGGAGAAGATACTCCTAGCGTCTGCCCCCGCACTTGGTCCGCCAGGGACTGGTCGGTTGAGGGACATGGTATTATGGGGTGATCAACATCGTATCCTCCAAATTCTGATCAACCTGGTCAGCAACAGTCTCAAGTTCACGCCCGAGCATGGCAAGGTCGAGGTTCGCATCAAATGCGTCCGCGAAGTGGAAACTCCGGGCAGTCCCCGATCCTCTATGCAGGACTCTCGACGCAATTCGCGACTGCGATCCCGACCACAGTCGCATGCCAGTTCTCAGCCCCGTGACCCAGCGAACGGTCTGGTTCAGGAAGAATATCACACTCCCGTGCTATCGCAGTTGCGAACTCTGATCTTCCAGTTTGAGGTCCAGGATAATGGTCCTGGCGTCGCCCCCCATTTACAGAAGCGCGTCTTCGAGCCCTTTGTACAGGGCGATCTCGGGCTCAACCGAAAGTATGGAGGCACCGGGCTGGGGCTCAGTATCTGCGCGCAGCTGTCTCGCTTGATGAATGGAACGATCACCCTAGAAAGCGAGCAGGGCAAAGGCGCCTTGTTTACTGTGGAAATTCCGTTGAAATTCGTCAAGGAGGCAGCGCCCAGTACCCGCAGTTCCAGTGCCGCTGGATCGCGCACACCGAGTGTTTTCTCGCTTGACGATCCCTCCGGTCTCGCGCGATCGCCGTCGAACAACGGCTCCGTTCGAAGCGATCCGTTGACCAGCAATTTTGAGAAGCAGGATCTGCAACCCCGCCTTGTCGGACTCAGTCACCCGTTCTTCACCCCCACACCGTCATCCCCCGCACCGTCTACTCCCAGAGCTACTCCTGCGGATGGGCCCAAACCGGAAGTGAAAGATAGCACATCTGGCAAAGTGCGTGTATTGGTGGCCGAGGACAACGTAGTGAACCAGGAGGTGGTCCTTCGGTATGTCCTTCTTTACGTCTTTATAAACAATGCTAACACCTTCCAGAATGCTTCGGTTAGAAGAGGTATATGACGTGACGGTCGTCAAAGACGGCCAAGAAGCCTACGACACAGTCAAGGCGAATATGGAAGAGGGCAAAGTATTTGACCTTATCTTCATGGACATTCAGGTATATATTCAATCATCACTATAATGGAAGAAAGCTGACACAGGCAGATGCCCAATCTCGACGGCCTACAGAGCACCCGTCTCATCCGCGGCATGGGCTACTCGGCGCCGATTGTTGCGCTTAGCGCTTTCTCGGAAGAAAGTAATATTAAAGACTGCATGGACTCAGGCATGGACATGTTCATCAGGTATGTCTATCTTACCTCGACAAGAAGCCTATACTAACGGAGATAGTAAACCTATCCGACGACCTGCCCTGAAACAAGTTTTGAACAAGTTCGCCACGATTCCGGAAGAGCCGGAGAATGCGCCAGATTCATAACCTTGGCAGAAAGCCAGTAGTAGGCAGTATATCACCTTTCAGGCGTACTATTATAGACTTGTCATGGACATTGTAGATATGTGGGAGTCCATCTATCTTTGATGTATAGCCTGGTCAGGTTAAGACAATCAACAATGATAATCTAAAATATATTGCAAAGGCCTCTCACAGTACTCTCTGCCATGTGGCTCTTGCATTCAAGCTGGGTCTTGTAGGACAGACAAAAAGCCCGTAAATCATCAAGGAATGCCACTTTCTTGACACACCATTGTCTAGTTGTCAGCTTTGAGATATGTTGCTGGATCTACGCGACAAAGACGATTCATCAAGATGTCTCTGAAACTATATTGGAGCTCTAGCGAGTTTCAAATATATAATGACATCGTTGTTTTCCTACAGAGACATCTTTTATTGTTGTGAGACTCCTTCACAAAGCATCTTTGTGATATGGTCTTACTACGACAAAGGATGTCTCGAATCATCCATACAAAGACATTGTCTATTGCAATATTCAACAGACACTGTCTTGGAATATGTCTTAGTTCATAATATAAATACCTCCGCTGTCTGTCTGGATAGGCGAGTAACTCATCAACCATCTCTTCTCTTTACACTATTTTCTCGATCTACTTCAACAGCATCTGCCACCAGCAAAATGAATAACTTCTCGAACAACATGAATAACACACACAGTCTAGGAATGAATTACCTGACCGCAAACCACCCCCTCGACCACAACCTCTACACCACCTTCACCTACTGCATGGTCTTCTCCAACCTCCCCGACCAGCCCTGGCCATCATACAATCTTCTCCAGCAATGCCTCGACAAGGTCCGCGCGCGCGACGCAAAAGTCTACTCCTCCGTCGACGCGATCCAGCGCTACGACGGCGCCAAGACGGGGGATCTAATCCTCACGTTTACGGCTGCGGCGGCGACGGATGGGGTCATCTGGACGAGTGCCGAGGGGGTCATTCTTCATCAGATGAGGTACTGGGATCGGGATCGGAGGATGGCCGGGTGGACGCTTGTTGGAGAGCATGGGCTTGCGCAGTGAGTTTTTCATTTTTCGTTTTCCTTTTGACCTTTGAGTTCTGGGTTTGGTTTGAATTGTTCTTGGTTCTGGATTTGCTGGTGAGGATTAGTTGCTAAGTGCTTATTGTTGCAGGAAGGGAAGGAGAAAGCTGCCAGGGAAGGAATTTGATTGCGTGCCGAAATGTGAGTTGGACATATAGATTTTGCCCCTGTTTGGGATCTGATGTGCTCATCATAATCTACAGGATACAGGATAACTTCCTGCAATCCGAGTATAAGGAATTGATTTCTCCTCAGTCTGTCTCGTAAGTGTCACCTCCCCCAGGAGCTATAGAATGGTCGTTGAGAAGCATAAGATGTTGAGAACCCAAAACACTTGGAGTCTGAGGACTTCAACGTATACCACATGACCCTGAAAATGTAGCTAGAGTGAGTAGAATCTTGACGCAGCTGGAGGAACATAGAAGAACTAATCTTTACACTTGCATATCTCTAGATACACCGCCACTTCTTCTGCTTCAAATGATGGAGTTCTGTCAGCAGACGACTCTCGTAACGATCAAATCACTAGAAAGCGCGGAAACAACGCTTCTGCAGCTTCGCTGAGATCTGCATCTCATGTGGAACAAATGTGGGAATATACCACCCTTATGATAATGCCATCATGGACTCATGGTTGATCAGATAACCTACGATTACTGCTACGCATGCCAAAACTGGACAGCCCTGTTCGTATATATTGTACGGCAGTCTTAAACTATGCTGTTGCAGGCTTTCGGCTGTGAAGGCCGTGCTAGATGAGATTATGATCTTTCAACGGACGAACTCGACACTGGGGAGCTATCTATACATTTTCTAGTCCAGTCAACGTCGGCTGCACTTCGGAATATGGAAGGTCCACTTCTGTAGCGCAGGAGGAAATGCAGATCAACCAATCAGCTCGCATAGCTCAGTTGGTAGAGCGCATGACTAGTAATCATGAGGTCAGCGGTTCAAATCCGCTTGTGAGCATTTCTTTTTTTCCCCTTGCTTTTGGTAAAGTGCACTACTATGATGAGTTTGTTCGAATCCGAGTGCAAGCTTTTTTTTTGCATCATCTGAAAGAGACCATTTCAAAAAAAAAACAAGGTATTAACCAAATCCATCCTGTGCAGGCGACTACACATGTTCGCCCCATTTCGTCATTGAGGACTTTGAGCTAAATATATATCTCTGCAACCTTCTGCCAACATCATTCACAAACTGAAGCCTTCTTCATCTCTCAGCCTGGCTACTAAACTAGAGGGCTGCCAATGCATCATACTGCTTCTGAGTCACGGACAGCACCGACCCATGTCTCAATTGTCCCAGGTTATAGCCCGAAACAGGCGTAAACGTTCCCGATGTCACATCCGTCGACACCCACGGCGACAAACCGGTGACGCTGCCCACTTTGTCGCAAACCAGATACGCCTTGCCAGGTTGCACGTTGTCCCAGAAGGGATATGGGCCCTCGAAGTGGGTGCTGTCCTTGATGGTGCCCGAGGGGCTGACCCAGTCACCGAACAGGCCGTTGCGGCTTACTTCGACCACAGGGCCGGAAACCTTGCCGCTGACGTAGAAGCGGACGAAGGTGTTGTCGTCGACGCGGAGAATGCTGAGGTCGATTATTGAGCTCGTCTTGTGGTCGATGTAGGTCTGCGGCTTGGTGAAGGTCTTGAAGTCAGTGGTGTGAGCGTAGCGGATGATCTCCGTGGTGGTGGCATTGCCGGTGTGGTTGGGATCATCTGCTGCGTACTGTATCTGGTCAGTCTGCTGATCAGGCTGTACCTCTGGGAATACCTACAAATTTGGATGCCCAGTGCACCAGATATTTTCCTGTACGCTATCAGTCATGCTCAATTGACGAGGTGTACACTGCGACATACCGGCTTTCGAATCCCAGATTGCATCCGGCGCCCAGACCATGCCGGCTGTCGCATCCTCGACCGTCACAAGTCGCTCGTCAGTCCAATGGATCAGATCTCTGCTCTCCCAGACGAAGATGGCCCGCGATCCAGTCCGAGTCGCTTTATCCCAGGTAGTCTGGCACTGTCAGTATCTCCTGACGCCTACAGGTAGGGAGACAAACAGTGTCAATATCCAGATCCGTTCCGATCAGATAGTACTTTCCCTTGTCATGGCCTACGCCCTCAATGATCGAGACGTCCCGGACGGCCTTTGTGCCCAGGGTCGGGGAGACGATGGGCTTCCCACCGTTGATCGTGGTGAAGTCGAGTGGATTACTATTGTTACTCAAGGCGAGGTAGACGCTCTCGTCCTCCGTCTTCCAGTAGAAATCGAGATAGCCCACTTTAGGCGGGTCGGCTTTTTGGAGATCGAGAGGGAGAGGTTGGGGAAGCGCCATGATAGGGGTGAGGAGGGCAAGGATCCCCGCGCAGATCGTCGTGAGGCTCTTCATCTTGTTAGTTATGAAGCTTTTGCAATCGAGCTCAGTGTGATTGTACCTCTGGCTTTTATATAGTCGTTCATATACTATGGTATCGGGTCAGTTTCCCCGGTGGTTCATCTACGTATCCACACTACGATGCCAGCCTGACGATGCCCAGACTTTTCAACAGGATATGCAGCAATCGGATAATTTATAGCAGACATCGCATTTTGCCAAGCCGAGCAACAAACAGCAGAGTAAGACAAACAATATCCGACTTCCCCGATTCCGTAACAATCCCCACTAAAAGACGAGCTCCGGCGGAGGATCGTCGCAATATACCCCGCATTAATGGAATAGAGCAGCCAGGCAACGCGGATGATTCAACCGAAGACCGGAGAATCATCGGAATATGACCTTTTGAAGGAACTGGTATACGCAAATTACGCCACATTTATCATTATGGGTATCTGCCCCCGCCGCCCCTTACTCCATCACTGGCAGTTCCGCCATATGCAACTTGGCGCTTCCATAGGGAACATGGTCAATTTCCTCCAGCTTGCCTTGGCGTGCCCGGTTACCTTTGCGGGGTGGATTTGGTGCATATCCGTTTTTTAGCTCCCACTGGATCTCGCAGACTGTTGCCGTGATGGACGTGGGGGCTCCTAGAGTCAGAACCGTCGCGTCGGCTAACCAGCAGAAATAAACGGAGAGTGTTACTTACGCTCATTGTTGGTATTCGCGTCGCGTTGATTGGGAGTCGCGAATGCTAGCTGACCGACAGCAAGCGTGGAGAGCAGACATATCTGTCGCGCTAGGGTAAGAAGATGAATTTCGAATGCTCCCCTTGGATGAGACGTTTTCTGGAGTATTGATCGAGAACTGAATTAAAAGACTAATGAGCCATAACTGCAGAGCCTCGGTACTGGGATGTGGTAGATGTCCTTGTTGGAAATGCACCAACAATCCAGGTGAACTGAAATAGCACACTGAGAACAGTCCAGTATTATTGACATCGCAATATACATCGTCCTTCGATGTTCTTCTGTAGAAAAGCTGACCTACAACTATCCATGGAACAGAGACCAGTGAGTGAAGGATATAATCGTCTTAATCAACATATCCATTTTACAATTCGTAGGTAAACTATGCCAATTTCCATGTCCCTGCTAGGGAAATACAATAATAGATAACTGCTCCTAGGAAGGTAAAGCATCAATATGGCCAGTCTCGGGACTGTACTAGAATGCCGTGCGGGGAATAAAGGTACACAATAAACCCCACGCTAAGATGATACTACAACAATCCTCAAGGTGACAAGTGTGATATCTATCAGATTATCAATCAATGATAGGGTAACAATGGGATTGTTGATCCCCAGAAATGCAGGGAGCCGATGTAACCTCGACAACCACAGCAATGCAACCCTTGCTTGTATATAGTCCGTGCAGGTCAGCCATATGCTCAGGGACAGTAAATATGTATCTAAATATCATCCTATGTTTCAGTTTAGTGACTGCTGCACTGCAGACACTTCCCCCAGTGTATCAAACAGGCTTAGGGCCAATATCGGGGTTTGATGTTCGCTCAGTGGAGAGGATCATCTATATCAAGGCTGATTTTGCCTCTCATCGGGACGAAAATGGCTTGACGCTGATTCCTCCATCTGCGCTGGAATTCGCAACGACATTTATGCATGATCTGCAGGAAGTGACGGCCAGCCGGTGGACACTCCGCCAGGTCCATGAATTCAGCGCAAAGCAAGGGATCTTTCTTGACGGACTTGGCACAGACTGCAACTTGACCTACGAAAATGGCACGCCGACAGAAGAAGGATATGAAATGGAGATTCACTCGCAGCGGGTCATTATCCGTGGATCTGGGGCGAGGGGGATGTGGTGGGGAACGCGGACACTGCTGCAGGAGTTGATCATCGCTGACGGGAAACCGCTTCAGAGTGGTCGCATTGTGGACGCACCCTCGGTTCCAACGCGAGGATATATGCTCGATGCAGGCCGGAAGTGGTACTCGCCTGCTCTTCTTAAGGATCTGTGCACGTACGCCTCGTTTTTCAAGATGTCCGAGTTTCACTATCACACTAGTGACAACTACCCCCTCAATCGAGGGCATAACGAGACATGGAGCGAAGTGTACGCCCAGTTTTCGCTGCACCCTGAGAGCCCTGACCTCCATGGAATCGTGCAGAGGCCGAACGAGACTCTATCCCGAGCGGATTATGAAGAGCTGGAGCATCATTGTGCGCAACGGGGAGTTACTGTTATTCCTGAGATTGAAGCGCCAGGTCATTGCCTATTTCTCACCAAATGGAAGCCAGAACTTGCGCTGAAGAAGAAGGATCTGCTGAATCTTTCTCATCCTGAGGCGGTGCCTCTCGTCAAGTCTGTCTGGGCTGAATTCCTGCCGTGGTTCCACACAAAGGAAGTACATATCGGGGCGGATGAGTATGACTCGACATTGGCGGATGATTACATCAATTTTGTCAATGAGATGGCACAGTTCATCCAGAACGAGTCAGGAAAAAAGATTCGCATATGGGGCACTTCTGAGCCATCGCATACCCTTTCTATATCCAGTGATGTGATCATTCAACATTGGCAATACGGACAATCGGATCCTGTCAGTCTGGCAAATGATGGGTACACGATCATCAATTCGGAGGATCGCTGGGCATACATGTCTTTGAAAAATGACCACATGCCCATCCTTCCGGCCCCGTATCCATACCTGTTCAATAACTCCCGCGTGTTGAACTTCGCCGACATCGACGGATGGCAATGGACCCCGGCGCTCTTCAACCCATTCAACGTCACAGAGCAACCGGACAAACAGGCGGTCCAGGGCGCAATTCTAGCTGCATGGAATGACAACGGACCGGACGCGACGACACAGCTCGAGGCCTTCTACGCCATGCGCAACGGGATCCCCATTGTCGCATCTCGAGCATGGACGGGCGATCGAGGTCCTCGACTAGAAGAATCCAGCTTGTATTTGTCTGCCAACTTGCTTACCGCCCGCGCGGTTGGCCAGAATCTCGACAGGAGATTTATAGGTCGTACCAATCACAAGACGGATTCGCTTTTGAGCTGGACGTCCGACAAGCAATCGGAGGAAAGAGTCCGCCTTGGGTACGGCAGCAAGGGAATGAATTATACACTGGAGCTTGACGTCGTGGGGCCATTCGTGCTGTCATCCGAGGACTGTTCTCTGAGTTTATCCGCATCTGGTACTTTGGCCTTCACATCGGACGGATGGGAGTACCCGCTTCGGTCTGTAGCCGAAGACGCTGGATTCGACCCGGGGTATCCGGGTCGGATCTGGACAAACGAGACGTCATCCACTCATAAACCAGTCAAAATCCCTCTCCACAGTCAGATCATCATTCGCACAGATGTCATTGGAGGGAGCAGAGTCTGGGTGGATGGGAACTTTGTCGGGAGATTCGAAGTCTTTGTCTTTGGGGGGAAGAATCAACTGTTTTCATGGAGCCAGATGGCCTTTGTGGCGCCATTGGACTGGATCAAAGGTGGAATACATGGACTGAGGATTGCTGAATATGATGGCAATCATAATGTACAGGATGACTAACGAGCATTTATGATGCAGTATCTATTTCACCGTATGCTTAATGAAGAAGCCTGGATCTTAAACCTCATAAATCTGCATGAGATACAAGACTAATCCTTGTCTTCCGAACTCTCAGGCAACGGAGACGTCCACATATACCTTCGTAGGCCTTTCAAGAAGGTTATGAGTGAAGGATTCTTTGCCCTTGTAACACAAGACAGCCCTCATCTATAGCGATACTCTGATGCTTCTACAGATAGTGGTAAATCGCCTGCGGAGCATCGAAACACAATGTAAAAACACAAATTGCCCTGCGATACCCTCTGTCGATCCGCTTATTCCTGTTTCTTGCACCCCTGTCTGGATAGTCCGCACCTAAGTCGTCGGCCAGATTTACTTCAGCCTTGGTTTTTGTCATCGAAATCCCTCCATCTGCCCGCAAATAAATATAAACGCCGACTATAGGACAGACAGGAATTCGCCATAGACAAGTTTCTTTTCATCCAGCCCCTCTCACTCTCAAATGAACACCATGTTAACTCACCTACAACTACCCACCCTCACAAACGAAGGCAGCGATTACGATCTCGAACCCCACCTCGCAGTCCTGCACGATCTCTTCGCAGGCAAAATTCACTCCCCAGCAGCCGCCGCCAAACTAGCATCTGCCGCCTTAGCACTCGACGCCTCCCTCGAGGCCCAACTGGGCCAACCCTGGCATCTGTTGCTTAAGATTGCATGCAAGAACCCAGAACACCAGGATAAACTCGTTGATATTCTCGTGGATATGTCCCATCTCCCGGACGTTACAAGGCCCGGTGACCATGGACAAGATGAGCCGTTGATTGTCCACAGGAAGCAAGTGTGGAAGGACCTGCCGATGCTGGACTGGGAGATTCGGCGTCACTGGGATTACTCGATTCCGGCCCCAGGCACCAAGCAACCGGAGGAGAGAGAAGCCGCAATTTCAAGGACGGTGAATGTGAATCGCTTTCTCGCCCTTCTCGTCGCAACCGAGGAGCCTATTTTCGAGTGGGGTTCGTTGTTTGCACTCGCCACGCTCCGGATTGCGCTTGAAACGCCATGGAAACATATGGCGCCGGAGGATCCCTTGGCGGCATGGATTCCTGCTGCGGCAGCGTGGATTGAGGTTCTAGGTGCGGAGATCTATGAATGGGATGAGGAATATGAGTCCGGGCGCCTGATTGGTGCTCCAGGTAGTGGAGGGCCGTTGTGGAAAGGGAAGCACGGCCTTTGTAAGGAGAGGTGGAAGCTTTGGAGGGATAGATTTGGCGAGGCTGCAAGGAAGGAAGATGAATCTGAGCATGTCAGGAGGGTTGCAGGGGAGGCGGAGCTGATGATGAAAGAGATTGAAACTGGGCATGTGGAGTAGGTATTATACGTAGGCACTTTTCAGTCAATTTCCGCCATACTATGGGTTAGGTTGATGAAATGCCATCAAACTACTCTAGTCAGGCCCATCAGATATCCCCACAAAGAACAAACAGGCCCTGTGCTGCCCCGAGATGCGTGTGAACGCAAAGATATCCGGGAGGCACGTAACTGGGCTGTGGTGGTAATTCTAGATGCTCGAGGGGCTATGAGGCTATACAGTAAAATCTCTCTATAGCGAGAAAAAACCTATGTTGAAGTTAATTTTCCGCCAGACTAACAAGAAATCTCCCATTATGATTTATAAGTATGCCTTGGACTATACAATCCTATTTATCCACGTATTTATCCAGGCCGGTCCACAATCCCCGCATCTCCGCAATTCTAACCCCGGGGATCATTCGTCACGGGAGATATCTTTTCTTCAATCATTCTTGATCATGACTGACTCCTCTCTGCCCGGACGAACGGATAATCCCTGTCTCTTTCGGGCAATGTTTATAAGCAGCCAATGTTCCCCGCAGCCCGAGATGCAAGCAAGCAAAAGCTGCGCTGAAATCCATCATGCATCAATCGCACTTACTTCTAGGGCTCATTCTTGCAATCGAAGCAGCTTCTGCTCACCCTCGATCATGGGGACCAAGGAAGTTCACCAGTCTTGTTTCCTTTGGCGATAGCTATACCGACCAATCGCGGCTGAACTACTTTGGCTCTCACAACGGGTCAGCTCCCCCGGTTGGCTGGGAGCAGCCAGACGTACGTTCCTGTGTCCCAATGAATGAATTTCGCTGAAAAGCGTAGAACAACAACACCGCATCAGGCGGCTATGTCTGGGGCCATTATGTCTCGCAATACGCCGATGTAAACCTGTACAACTACGCCGTCAGCGGCGCCGTGTGCTCCAACGACATAACCCCACGCACATTCACCTACATCAATGCCTTTTTTCCTTCCGTTCTCGAATACGAAGTGCCCGCCTTCCTGGCTGACAGCAAGTATAAAGTCTCGGGAAAGAAGTTCCTCAACATCCCGCCCCAGGAAACGGTGTACTCGATCTGGATCGGCACCAACGACTTAGGCAACTACGCCTTTATCACTGACTCCCAGGTCAAGAATAAGACCATCCCGGACTATATTAACTGCGTGTACTCCGTTCTAGACCAAGTCTATGCAAACGGCGGCAGATACTTCGTACTTATGAACCTGGCGCCCCTGCAGCTGGCACCCCTGTACGCGACGCCGGAGAACGGTGGCGTGGGGGCCAACCGCTACTGGCCGGACAAGCCAGATAATCTGACCTTGATCAGTTATCGGATGTGGGAACAGGTTGCGACTGCGAATGATGTGTTCAAGTACCAGACGCCGTATGAGGTTCTGGCAGCCAGGAGGTATCCCGGAGCAAGGTTTGCGGTGATGGACATGTATGGATTGGTATGTTGCGTCTTGTCTTGGACACTGGCTCTGGATGATACTGATTTGGCAGCTCTCCGAGGTGTATTACAATCCCACAAAGTATCTCAACGGCAGTGCACCGGCGAATGTGACTGGGTTCAACAATCACTGCACGCTTAGTGGAGGGGAGTGCACCCGGCTTCCCAGTCCGGATTCTTTCATGTGGTTTGATGAGTTGCATCCGTCGCAGCGAACGGACCAAATTATCGCCGAGGAGTTTGTCAAGGTTGTCAGCGGAGACAGTAAATGGGCTACCTATTGGTGATCCTGCATGTGAACTCGTAGTACTGCTATGTCGAATATGCCTTGGGTTAAGGATATGTCTTTGGCTTGAACAAAGGTATTACACATTTGAAGTGGACATAAATCCCCGTTCAGGGTTACATACTGAAGTTACCTCAAGCTCAAACTAACGCTATGGCTGAAACACGTTCTTCCCACTATCGGCATTTTCTGTAAGAATTAGCCCTATATAGTTCCAAGCCACCTCCTGAATGTCATCTTGACAGCTGCGATTGTTCCTGGCTCTAATCGTCAGCAACTGCCGAACCGACCAATCAATGGACCAGACTAACCAACAGTTGCAATCTCCCCAGCCGTTAGGAGGTATAAGGCGTCCTCCGACTCTGCCTTGCTCACGGCACTTCTAAGTCGACAATCGCGTTACTCATGGAACTTCTAGTTAACAATACACTTAGAAGAATGGCCATGCCCGGCCGCTCGACTGACATGTCCTCACCTGGATTTCACCATGTCCAATGCCCTCCCCGAAGTCCAACCACCGCCTTATCCTATAGCCATCCGACCAGAAAGCATCACCCGACATGAAGTGATAGTGACTGTGACCAACCGCCCGGAACCATGGCACTCGCTCGACTACTCCATCGACCACGCCGGAACCGAACTCTTCACCGTCCGCGGCCAGCCCTGGAAGATCAGCCAGCCACGCATGTTCCACGACCGCTCGGGACTCCCACTATTCGAGCTCCGGTGCCACTGGTACGACTCCTCATCGCTGTGTCTCCGGCTCCCCGGCGGGGAGCAGTGTATCCTCGAAGCCAAGCTGCGGGTTGCGATGAACGCGCCCAGGGCGGTTGTCACGTTCCAGAATGCTGCGCAGCAGCCAAGGGTAATTGGACCAGCTGCGCAAGGCGAAGAGATTGTGTTGGAAGTGCATGCTCAGGACCTGTATAATATCCTCCAGGTGGTGGTTGTTCAGAATCGCAACGTGGCCTACATCCGTCGGATAACGGATCCGAGTGTCATCGCCGAGGGACAACGGCCGCCGTTCCGCTTTAGGCCAAAGTGGACGGTTCGAGTTGCGGAGGGGGTGGATCTATCGCTGGTTAGTCGATCTTCAGTTCAGCCTGGACTTCGCTTTAATCTGACGGTCGTAGATAGCGGTTGTTGTGGTCATTGTTGGCCAACGAGCCGGATTGGATGTAGGGGACGGTTGATGGGCATATTGAAGGGGTGGTATCTTCAGTCAAGGCAGTTTGTATGTGAGTCGGCCAATTATGAAAGGCCTCTCATATGTTATTTCACGATAATACTCGAGTAGAATGTTGAATATCTGATCCTTAGAGGTCAAACGGGCTCCTGGGGTAGAAGCCATACAAGTAAGAAGGCCCACTTCATGTGCGGAACTTCGTGCACGAGTAAACAACAATTACTGTATTTATGAGCAATTCCAAATACAATTGCTCGACGTCAATTCAGATCGAGACGAGTTGTTGATTGGCGGGCTTGCTCCATCTGGCGGATAAAGCTATCGAAACAATGGGCACTTGGGACTCAACTGCCTCTTCTACAAATAATAATGAGCGGAGAGCTACATCTATCAGAACTAGGTAGATGGTTCATTTATTCTTCGCCTGGACAGTTCATCAGCTTCACCTGCATGGCTGATTAGGGGCATGCGGTCGCCAGCCAATGAGCAATCATTCTCAAGGACCAGTGAGATAGGTCGATCATAGAGCCATGCGCATGGATGTCTTAGTTCCTTGCCTAATAAGATACATAGCTCTTAATTCCTTCCTCTCAAAAATCGTGTCTTCACATGTTGGATTATGCATGATCCGAAAGTCTTTTAGCAGGTTCACTTTGGACGCCTGATGTTGCGATCAATGCATACCAATAGCTGGATCTGATTTCTACTGTAATAGCTATCCAGCACGAGCTTCATAGACACCATAATTGGGCTAGAACAGATCAACACGCATTGGAAGCGACAGATGCACGGGCTCCCTCGACTCTTGGGTAATTGTAAGCCCATGCTTATAGCCATGGTTGATGAGCCCGGATTTCTTCCTCTATTGACAGATGGACCTTGATCTGCTGCCCGATATCTGGTCTATCTGTCATCGACTCTCTTCCTTCGGGCTCATTGTTTATAAGGCCGAATGTTCCATCTGACGCTCACTTAGAACTTCAAGTACAGCATTTTTATATTTATGCGGAACCCTTAATCTGAAGCTTTGATATAGTAGGCTCCAGGTCTCCTAAAGTTCAACTATGTTTGACAGCTCTCACCGAACGGCAGGCAGTGACATATCTCACCTCCCACCATTTTTCCCCAGAGGGCATCTCATGATGCAAGAAAATAACCAGTCTTCAAAGGTACTGTGATCACTCGGCTTCGTGAATACAGCCTTGACATACTCCACAGGAGACAAATACTACTGCGGCGACTGTGCCAAACGGAAAGCCAGGCTCGGAGGACCCGATCCATCAAGCAAAAGAACGATATAGACATGCACTCCATTCACTGATCAACCTTATCGCTCATGGAGACAGTGACAGTATCAACCAGCTTTTGGAGTTTCTACGGAAGCAAGAGACCGTCCATGAGGCTGTGCAAGAGGTGTTGCAGTTGAAGTTTCTTCCGAAGTAGTCGTTGCATTGCCGGTCATTCTAGCTTCTCTACATCATGATCGCGATTCCTCTGGGGAACGGAAAATTTTTCCTTGGGAAGACAATTGACCGCGTATTTTGGAGTGGCTATTGTGGAAAAAGTTGGGTTGGACCTTGATAGCATATGTGAAAACACGATGTGTGATGCATCATTTTCAGCGCGTTGGATGTCCAGAACGGGAAATTGATCGATCACATCAGTTGGTGCTCTCGGAGTAGTCCCCATTGGCTGGAAGCCCTTTCCATCTATTAGAATGCGAGCTGCTTGTTGATGCTCATGCGGTGGCTGTCGTCTGTGCTGTGCTCTTGCAGCGTTATTGAAATAAACATTAGTTGCTTCACCACTAAAGTCTATTCTGCTTCATCAGCACCACGACGATATTGTGGGTGCACCGCCATCTCAGCAACCGAAACCCTACCTGGCTAGACCCAAGTTGTCGGAAAAAGGACTGTGCTCTAGCTTTGCAGCAGGTAAGAGCATCAGCTATCCAATGATGGCCGAGATGCAGCCTCTGCGCACCGAGATCTCTTGGGGAAGCATCACACGCACATCAGCCACATACTTCCCTACCGACGAAAAAGAGTGCAGACTCCTCGAAGGACAGTGGCCTTCAAGCTGTGTGAAGTAAGGGCCGATTGCGTGCTCAACCTGGCTAACAATTCGCGGAGATCAGCCCATTAGCCTAAGCTTAGGCACCTCGACAACAAACGAGGCAACTTCATCTCATTAATACCATTCGAGATCGTCCGGCAATTCAGACCATACAGGTGCCCAACTTACTACGCAGTAATGCTATCTAGAGGATGTGCAGGTATTCATTGAGCAGGATATTGTGCGAGGTCAATGGGAGAAGAGGACTGAGCAGATAGAGGCCCCCTGAAAGCCGCGACTTCGACACGAAGACCGAATACCAATCAATTACTATAATTACTCGTATTCTGTGTCTGCAACGCCATGGCCACCCCAGAGGCCTATGCATCCCTCGTGAGCTTAACTTCAACGGTGTGCACGAGGCACGGTGCCACTGTGAGGAGGTTGAGGGACAGCTCGATTTCCCAACTATGCAAGGATGTGGTAGACTATTTTTTGGTTTCTTGGCATGCTATATATCCCTGACTGAGTTATAGTTGAATGATTCCTAATCTGGTTTCCATGGATAAGGATAGGGTGGGATTTTCTGTCCTAGGTCACTAAGTAGAACGGCCAATGAACATGCAGCTCATCATCTCTAGAGCGCGGAGCGGTTGTCGAACTGTGCCCCCTGCGACAGACTTGTGTCACCAATGGACCTGGTGAAAGGAATCCAGAGGATGATGCGTCCAGAGTTCCTACTCTAACCGCTACTACTAGTAATTCGCCTGATCATTCCAGTACAACGTCCCATGATGCACCTCAGGCCCAGTAGCCCCAAACTCCCAGCCAAACTTCAACTTCACCCACTGCATCAAATGCGCGGCAATCTTCAGATGTCCAACATCCGTGGGATGCCACTGCGGCGCAATATCGTTGTGCTGCAGGATCCCCGTCGTGTCGAAATAATGGATGAACCCTTGCTCCTCGTAATGCTGGTAAACTCGCTTGATTTCATCCACCCATATAGGGCCCTGCACATATGTATCCCCCGAGGCTCCGAAACCACCCCACAGCGACTGCCATCATTAGCATGGTACCGTACTTTCTTTGTTGAGGAGACTCACCATAAGAATGACATTGGCCTTGGGCCAGATCTTGTGGATGTTGCCCACAAGAGTGACATAGTCGTTGTAGTAGTCTGTGCTTGAGACATTGTTCACCTGGTTGTTGTCGTTTGTGCCAATGTTGATGACCACTAGATCGGCTGGGCGTTGAGCTGCAAAGTTCCACTTGGGTGGATTGTCTCCGTAGATCTCGTGTGCGCGCCAGGATGTGTCGGAGGTGCGGTACCATTGGTAGGTCTGGTGGTCAGTCTGGAAGACGACAACGGAAGCCCTGGCTTACCTGACCGCGGGGATTTCCCCAGCAATTCTGGTCGTGGAGGCAGATACCGGGATAGGCCTTTGCGGTTAGCTGGTATGTAACAGTTGTAGAAGACAACGTACAGTAATGGAGTATTCTACGTTTCCGAGTCCTGCTGCGAAGTCATACGCCCAGGAGGACAGTCCTTCATATGTAGCGAAGTCGCCGGAGCTCAGTCTGGAGAGATCAGTATGTGGGAGATTCTGGATCATCTGCACCTACGAGTCTCCGATGATCTCCACCATCTTCGGGTACTCGGGGGTCCTGGAGATCTTTGCATCCGCCGCGACGGATACACCGGCCAGCTGGATTGTGCTTGTTGTCAGTGAATTCCTCTGTATACGGAGCAGGGGAAACGTATCCATAGGCCCAGTTTGTTACTACCAGAGTTAGCGAGATCGTATATGAGAGTTCCGTAAGTGCCTTACCTCTCAGCTCAAAGGTCTTTGCGTTGCCGGCATTAGTGAGATTAAGCCCCGTCGTAGTAGGGCCAATGAATTGATATGTGGCATTGGCAGTGACATTGGAGAATTGCCAGTCCTGGCCACCCAGTCTGCAACAAGTTAGCCTTGCATTGCGACCTGGCATCCGGAAATACCTGTATGCCACGAGGACTCCTTGACTGGTGTATTGACCAAAGGACAAGGCGAGCTATCCTGTCAGCCTTCGTCGTCTCTTTCCATGGAAGTTCTTCGTACCTTTTCACCAGTGAATGCAAGCTTGAATCCAGGAGCTCTAGAAAATGTGAATTATAGTCAATTGTAGCGACTGCTATACATACGACCACCCTATTCATATCAGTGCTTTCTCTTTATGCTGTTTTGCTGTACTCACAAGAAATATACTTGTCGTCCCATCTCCCCTTGTAAGAAATCTCCTTTGTACTAGGCTTGTAGGTATTCCAAGTCTTTTTGTCCAGTGTAATAACCTCGGCTTGCCCCGGATACGGGTTCAGGCGCGCCTGCCCATTCTCAACAATTGTTCCAGATGCAGTAAACACCCAAGTGAAGAACAAAAGGAATGCAATAGCTCGCATTTTGACAGTCCACGATTCTCAACGTACTGAATTAGGTTCAACCCGTTCTACGTAGCATCTCTTTTTCTAATATATATATATATATATATACCCATACATAGTTCCCCGCTCTCTAAATATACAACGGCGGGGCAGCCTGCCTCAAAGTACCATTTCATCTTCAGACCAATATGAGATCGACCAGAGCTAAGCACATAATTGGCGGCTGAATTATTTCCTGCAGATACTGAGGGGTATAGGTAGTATACATTGAGTGTCACTGGGAATTCAGCCTGAACTGTGCAGCGGCATTCTTCTCCGTGCTCGATTGGGAAGAACCCCGTTCTGCCGGTCTGCATATGTCAGCTACCAGCAGAAATACTTCATTTGCGGTCTTTTAATATCAGGAGGAGGCGCAATCGTTAGTGTCAGTCTGCACACTTCTTCATTGTTGAACTGGCCACCACGTCATCGAGTGCCTCGACCTTCTATGCCTCAGGCTCAACCGTCGGAATCCCTTCCTGAATCGCTACTGTAGCCAGGAATGATGAATGAATCCGACACATAAGAGGCGATGAACACCAGATTACAACCATCTGAGACGGACACGCCACTGAAACGGATCAAGGTTGATGGTCTTCTTCGGATCCTCATCCCAGTCCACCTTAAGCCCTTCTTCTCGTAGCGTTGCAGCGATTTTCCTGCCGATATTCACCACACTCCCGTCCGTAGTCTTCCCTTTGAAAATTCCATATCGAAGAAATAGCCCCGCGCCCTTGACTGCTGCCTCTGTATCCTGCTGATGGAAGAAGCAGTACCCAATGTGTGATTCATCTGCCTCCCCGCCTATCTCGGCATTCCCGCAGCTTCCACAGCAGGTAAAATTCATGCGACAGATGATGTGATCCTCATCTTCTAGACGGGAGAAAGCGTCTTCGAGCTTTTCAACGTCGGTCGGTTCATCGGACCATGTGGCCTCTTCTTCTAGTTGCTGGTCCCAGAGTGATTGAATGAGTTGTTGGACGACGGCTGTGCCGTGCTCGGGAAGTTCGTAGATCTCGATGAGCTGTTCAAGGATTTCTTCCTGGGAGTAGAGGCCGGTGAGGACCCGTACACGGGCGTCTTGTGTGATATCGTTGATATTGGACTCGTTCATGATGAAGACTGACCCCTGAGCATCAACAGTGGATGGGTGTTTGGTCTTGGATAAATTTGCATTGGTTTATTTTTAGACCGAATACGAGGTCCCACCGTGGCTTTTCATGTGCCTCAATTGGAATAGAGTAAGTCGGATTTACGGAAACCGATAAGGGCTTCAGAAGTTTTGTTGACGACAGGCACAGCAAGAACAAGTCATATCATAATAGGCCGTTATTCAGGTACTCATGTACACACAGGTTGATCATTTCTTAGCCAGCGACGCAACCTTCTTCTTCGTCAGCTCCACAACCTTCTTCTCGTCCCAGATGTAGTTGACGCTGTCCTGCTGGACCGTGGCCTTGGCCCATTTCGCAAACGCCGGAGTTCTCTTCTCCAACAGCTCAGGCAAATCCTCCCTCAACAGTCCATACTCAGGCTTATGGAGCGAGAGCAACCGCAACAGGAACGAACCAGTAAGCACCTCCGCCAGTGTTAACTTCTCGCTCCCGCCGAAGAACGGACCGGATCCCGTCTGCGAGGCCAGAATAGGTTCGATCTCCTTCTCGATCGCCGCGACGAGAGCCTCGCCCGCTGCAGCGCGGTCCTTGTCGCTTGTGGCACGGTGAGAAGCCAAGAGCTGCGGCTGGACCTTGCTGAAGAAAGTATCGACGAAGAAGGCGATGCGGGCGCGCTGCAGGGCTCCTTCGACGCTGTTGGAGGGGAGAACGAGGTGGGATGGATGCGCGTCGGCGAGGAACTGGGCGACGATGGCCGACTCGGTGATGATGGTGCCATTGTAGGAGATGGCGGGGACGAGGCCGCGCTGTGGCTGTTAGAGTGGGCGGTGACTGTCACGGAGAGCGAAGGGGTCCTACCGGGTTGATCTCAAGATACCATGGCTCTCGGGGTGTGTTCAGATCGATGATGACCTCTTCGTAGTTAAGGCCGAGCTCCTTAAGGGCGATATGGGCTCTGTGGGCCCAGGGACATTGGTGGTTGGTATAGAGGGTGATTTTTGGAGCGGACATGTTGCTGATCTGTGTTCGTGGATGTTGAGATTGTTGACAACCACAGAGTGTGCGTCTTGCTTGATTTATAGAGGAAGCACGACAATTGATTTGATTTATAAGCTTGTGGGATTTGCCTATGGTGAGGGGAAATGACGATACATACCAGCGGAAGGCGTGGGAAGTGTGGAGAATTATGCCATTGCTTATCAATAAATGCCCCGCTTAATCTTATTGCCGGCACATTCATCAACAATCAGCAGAAAAAGCCACAATGAGCCTGTGCGCATGGTCGGACATACTATAGAAGGTCAGCTTGGAAGCACCGGAGCTTGCAGTGACGGAGAATGGTGTTCAAACCTACAGAGTCTCGGTATAGTAGATGACGACCCGGAAGGAGGCAGCTTCGAGTAGATTAGAGTACCATCCACTGCAGTTCTTGCAGTAAAATTCCATATGAACAACATGAAGACCAGATGCGAGTCGGTTCATGCGACAAGAGCCTTGCAGAGATCCCTGCTAATGTCAGGGTCCTGTCTCAGTAAGCTTATTATGTCACGTCTCCACATGCGTCTGAGCGTCACAGGCCTGCTACATAGAAATCATTCAAGAGACCACAATTAGACTCATAATTAGTTATATTATATCAAATTTCAAAAATCTATATCCATAGAACCACCAATACCTTCGCCGTGGACTATGTAAGCCCTCATGGTACTTCGAGCAGCAACAAATTATATATATATATATCACATTTCATACCACCCTCCTGACATTATATTGTTTTCAGATAGCGCCGGCGCAATCGAAGCCATAAATTTCCGTAAATCATGCACGTTCATACCCTCTGCGAAGGCACAAATCACCGAAGGGCCAGGTACTGAGCGACAGCCTCGTGGTGAACGGCTGCAGCGGTGTAGTCTTTAGCTGGCGACTTCTTGCTTGGAAGCTTGGGATCTGAAGGCGCCTTCTCGGCAGCCTTCAGCTTCAATGACTTTGTGAACATGCCCTTGAGAGTCGACGTTGAGGACGTTGTGTGGGTTGAGGCGTTGTCAACGGTGGTGGTGGACTTGAAGGACTTGGGCGACATTGCGACGCAGTTATGATCTCTGAGGACTTGGGTGGTTTGTATTTTGGATTTGTTTCGATTGATAGTGCTCAGATGTAAAGGTCTGCTTTGGTAGTGGCCGCGCAATTTATTGATGGACAGTGTTTTTATGATATTGTTGTTTCGCTTTCGAGAGCTCAAGGTAGGCAACTGAGAGGATCACGATTGGATTGAGATGATGTTTGTATGATGATTGATGTAGATGCTTGGTAGAAGATAGATTGTAACAGAGATCTCTGGCTCTTTATATACATCTTTCTTCCTTGAGGCAGTGTATCGATATCACTCATCTCCATAGATGACAAACTCTCCAAATATGACAAACGCAAAGAATGACGCAACTCAAGCCTAGACACAATGTTTGAATAATAGGCAGAATCACCTGCAAATGCTGCAAACCAGCCATAATGGAGTCATCGGTGCCTCAGTCTGGCATAGTTCCTCGTATCTGGTCCACTGCTGCTGCTGGTAGCTCGATGCCCAGCCTTCAAAGGGCGGGTCAAGGGCTTGTCAAGGGCGTCAAGGGTCATCCGCGAATGGTCGATGATCTACGAAGATTTTCCTAGATCGGTGAAGGTGACTCAGGCTGCCAGGTGAGTTAAAATACGAGGATTATTATTAAGCGCAAGGTTCTAGTTAACTTGGCATGTGAAGTTTGTGTGGCTTCGTCGCTCGTATACAGTTAATAATCTTGGCGGGCTTCATCAAAGTATGGTTTCGCGCATCTTTGGATCTCTTTGGATGTCGACATGGGCTTATTAATAGCTCTTGAATAGCCAGTTTACCTAAGAAGAAAAAATCAAATTACTTCAAACTAACCAGGAGATCTTTCTTTGGAGCGTCAATGTTGGTAAGCAACTCCAGACTCCATGTGTCTATCCCCCATATCCACTTGGCAGTCCATGACTCAATATTCGGCACCAGTCCGAGAATATTTGCTACCCTCACTTCGTCGATATTTCCATATTAGAAATATTCGGCGAATACGATCTATCCGACCTGCCCAATAAGCTCATCAATCGAAAGCCTCAAGCATCCTAGCATGCGTGTTCTTCGACAGCGATTTCGGAAGCTGTTGAGTTAAATTTGCCAAGAATTACAATGATTGCGCCTTGTGCTTACACGCCGGTTTTTATAGATAAGTAGCAGCCTGCTTGCGTAGACGCCATAGTCACATTGACTACATCTGTTATTGGCAGAGTTGCCTCATAGACAATGAAACAAGGCGGTGCATGTGGTTTGCTAGCGTTCAAATTCCGCAATCATTGCATAGGATCAAAAATGTCCTTGAGAGAGGAGTTGATTAGCACGAAAAGTCTCGGTCTGATGTTACAAGCTAGGCATATTTCTGCGAGAGAGCATGCAGTCTCTCCCTCGCTCCATTCTCCCAGTCATCCCAACACAAACTCAACATCGCCGAGTGACGTCCCGGCCCAAGTCGTTTCTGACCAGTCGGGTCCATCCCAGGCAGTTTGTCGTCAATCACACCATTGGAATTTCCCATCTTGCCTTCTGGCAACACCCGTTGCCAGCGAATAATGCCCTCCAGCTGGAACCCGAGGCGCTGCGCCGCTGCAATCGAGGCCTGATTGCTGCTGAAGGCCTGCCATTGGACGCGTCGGAGATGGAGTCCATTAGGTGGAGGATCCAACATATGGTTTATAAGCAGTGTGTGAGCTGCTGTACCGACAAACGTTCGATGGAATCGTGGAAGGATAATGACCTACGCAGGTGAGTAGGTTTACACGGCAAGTAAGCAAGGATACCTACATTTCCCACCTCCACAACAGAGTTATCTGGATCCGCCCTGATCAGGCCGGTGGTCCCTGCAAACGTACCGTCTTCCACCTTCAGTTCCTCAAACTCGTCGGAGCCAGGCTTTCGCTTTCTGACGATGCCTGCTTTGAGGATGATGGCGAATATGATCGATTCTTTGCTGGGGCGAATGCGATTGCTATACCACTGTTCATAAGCGTCCGCGCTTTCGAACGGTCCATAGGGAAGATATTGGAAGATCTCGGGAGTTTCCGACGACAATTTCACGAATGCCGCTGAAAGCTCCTGGAAATTGGACTACATCTCTGAGGTTAGTGGTCATAGCAGGTTGAGAATAGCAGGTAGCGAGCTATTACATCAAATGGAACTAGCCGGAGACGGTCATTTTCCAGTTTCGACAAGTCCAGCGGAAAGCAGAAATTGTCCATCTTGAAGGATTCGCGGGCGTTTATCGAGCGTACAATGTACTGTGACTACTGAGACTGTTGATGCCGTCAGTCGATCTTCCGTAAGAGTCAGTCCTTTGTATTTTCTCCTGACGGTGTATGCGGCGAAATCGGCACTTTCATATGCTCCGATTGACCGGACGTTATGACTCGTAGGGCTGCGATGCTGGGCGCCAATAGTATCAAAAAGATCAAATGAAGGAGAAAAAAGCATTTGGCAACCAACGGGGCTTTTCTAGGCCGAAAGGTCTTGGCATGCTGACTAGATAGATGGGGGCCTATGACAGATAATTGCTTGCTCGTATTGAAAGTGGATATATGCCTGCTTACGCTACTCGTTTCAGACCGCAGAATTGTCCCTTAAGCGGCATGCTACATCGGAGTCATCCTATACTGTGCTTGTTGCCTCAAAGTAATATCAATTGCCGCAATGGAACTTGACCCTCGTGTGTTGCATTGCCAACTTCGAAAAGCAAGAATAATAGAAAACTAGAATAAAAAACCACACTGTGCTCAAAACCCCTGAGATATAATGCTTATGCTTGAGATGTTGCAAAACAATGGCGATTTGTAGATCGAAGAACGAATACCGGTGAATGTGGCGAGCATGAAGGCGACGCTGCCACTAACAACAAGGCCACAACTTAATACTTGGCCTGCACTGATCCATAAGACACCCCGTTGAACTCAAGGTTAAATAAAATTGACGCAGAAGTAGGTGTCATGGCAATCTGATAAGGGATCGTGTAGTAACTCTGTCCCACGGAATTCGTCCCACTGCTGAAGAAGTTGCGTGGAATTGCGCTGAGGTTTGCCTCTAAAGTGCAGACCTTAAAGACATCTATTATAAAGTTAGCAAACAATCATCAGTTATGTGCATCATTCCATCATACCTTCAGTGAGATGATCTGGTGCGTCGTCGAGGTTGCAAATGTACAGCGAAGTGCTGACTCGTCTTAGTGTCTCCACGCAAGACACCTTTGCCATGTTACGGGCCCAGTTCATTCTGATCGGCTTGTCCTCTGAGATAGGCTTTCCCTGATGTAGACCAATTAGGCGAAACCCGATGGACCAGCTGGGGGTTGGGCATATCCTCACCTTTTCAATATACCACTTCATGCGGTTACCCACGTACCACTTCTCAGTCAAGGCGTTCCAGTATTTGTCCGCCGCATTATGACGCCGCGGATTGTACTCGATATCAAATTTGATGCCGTAGTGACATCGAGCAATTCTCTGTCCTACCTGGTTTCCTCCCAGCCCTCGCAGAACCGCTCCACTGAAACCTTGTTAGAAAGGCCAAAGATTGCTGCAGAAGACTGAGAAACATACCGAACAACGGCAGACCATCTGCAATGGTGTCAGTGTGTGGGCTTTGATTGCTATCCAGGAAGACTTGCGCGTTAGGCGGCTGTAGCACGGTTACATCCACCACGGCCGATTGCAAGCGTCGGAAGAGATATTCGGAAGAACCAAAGCCACCAACCAAGAAGATAGCCTGTTTATAATCAATTGTAAGTGACTGTAAAGGTCGAAACTACCTGTTTGTTCCGCTTACCTTGGCCCGCATTCCAGCCATGGATATTTGTACCATCTGGTCCTGCACCAGTCTTTCAACTTCATCAACAACAGGAAGAAATATGCCTCCAACGTTCTCTCTATTCGCGGTCAGCCTGTCCATGTAGGTGTCACCGATGAAGTCTTGACCAACTTTGTCATATTCAAGAATCCGCCCTCCAGTCCTATCTCCGGCTTGTCGCCAACACCGTTTAAAGGCACAGAGTAGTCCACTTCGGAATATTCGTCATCATCTTCAATGGAGGCACCGGCAAAATTTGGCTTCACGAAGTCCTGCCAGTGATTCAACGCTGTCTCGCGAGTTTTGTGAGGTAAGCTTTGGTATGTTCTCTCTCCAAAAAGTCCGATCAGATAGCTTTCAAACCGCTTATCAAGAAGTACAGATCCGCAAATGGCCCCTAAGTTCACCTGGTAAGCATTGCTTCACGGTGAGATTTCTGGCTGATATACCAGTTCCTTCAGTGACCTCCATTAGTTCAAGGGGATTGACACTCTTCACGCGGTAGGAGATCAGATCCTGCTTAAGTAAATATCATCGTGTTCATTGCCGTCTTGGATTTTACGTACCACTGTACCACCACCCGCGTCGCATATTATGACCACGTCGCCGTTCTGGTCAATAGTCAGTGTGCTGTAACTTAATCTTCGGAGGCGCGCTTACCTCGATAGTATTGGGTTGAATGGTGTTGAGGCAAGAGAGAGCCGCTGCTTCAGGTTCCGACACCAGGGTCACATCGAGCGCAGAAATACCTGCATCAGTCGCTGCAGTTAAGGTCATGTTCTTGGCTTTGTCAGTCCAAACAGCAGGCACCGTTAGTACATATCGAATCTCCATGCTATCCAAGGCATTCCCGAACCGACGGCGGAGAGTTTCCTTTGCCGCATTGACCAGAAGCTGAAGGTAATCCCGAGCGACGTCAACTGGCTCTTTGTCATACTTTGCTAATATCTCCTTTGACTGCATCGCAGGCGTGTAATCGATTTCCTGGGTCGGGTCAAGGAGAAGTTTGATACCCCGAACGACCTCGCCAAACATCGGTGTCTGATAGCCCCACAAGCTTTTTCCGTGCTCGTATGATATGGTAGTTGGAACTTTGGGCGTTGTTCCTGCCAGTATGAGCTCTTGATTGCTGGATTTGAGAGAACGTTGAACTCACTTTTTCTAGCCCCTGGCCAGACTGTGACAACCTCGACATCGTCAGGACTGGAGTAGAGAGCGAAGGCGACACTAGACAGATGAGTATCAAGAAGCCGTATAATGAATTGGGAAACATTTACCCGCTGTACGTGGTGCCGAAGTCCATACCCACGACAATACGCGGGCTTGCGGCCATTGTGTTGAAGTCTGGGGTCGCTCTCGAGGGTAAGGGATAGGAGAAAACAAGACGATAAAGACGTAAGTGTCTGCAGAGTGGCTTTGTAAGGGGGAGGTAAGAGATTGAGCTGGGCTGATGTGCGGCGTGGCTCTGCAGTGGACTAACTGTGATAAAATGATCGCCAAAGTGGGCAAGAGATGACTTTGGAAAGACGCAAATGTGAAGGACCGAAGATCTTCAGGAGCTGTGTAACTGAGAAGGTTAAGTAGGTGACGGTGATCGAGAGTTGATCTTATCATCGGCAAGTCCATGCAGTTCATTCAGCTCACTTCTTGCTCATGCCTGGGATTACTCTCGGCTCATCATTAAAATAGCAGTGCATGCCCGATTGTTAGAATTGAAATTCAGATGATCATAAGCTTTATACTTCCTTTCAGTCAATTTCTGATATGCTTTTGTGGCTCTCCTCGTTTCAATTTGGCTCCGGAATGAACGCCAGCTCAGTGGTAGAATTAGGTATACAAACTCACTTAGTTTCATTTGAGTCACAACTAACCTCAGAGCAGAGCAGAAGCAATCGATCCCTCAGCAACACCAGACTCAAGCAGACAAAGGACGACAGTCTCGCTCACATACAGGGCGCGGCGGCAATCAACGTATCGTAAACGCAGCAACAGAGACCAGACGCGCGATGGATGAGGGCTGGTACGTGAGAATGCGGGCGCGTCACTTCAACGAATTCGACCAAGTTTACCACTGGGCACAGCAAGCAGAGGAAAAATGTCGCAGGCAAAAGGAGGAAATTGAAGAGATCCGTCATGAAGCCTCGCAACTGTTACTGCAAAGAGATGAGCACATTGCTGAGCTCACGAAACGACTGAATGACATGCAGTATCATCCGGACATTCTTAATGATGACGAGGTGGTTCGGGAAATGGCCAAGCTCAGCCAAAAACTGGACGTTTGGGTCAAGGGTAGCTTCAAGGACCCGAGTCTTCTGCAAGATCTCCCGCAGCTGAAACCCGTTGATGTGCCGTACAGTATGGCAACGATCAACAAGATGCAGAATATGCACCAAAACTGGGCTTTTATCCGGGCATTCGTATCGTCATATCTCTTCTACTATTTCTTTGACATGTACATGGTGGGAGTCACAAACCCTGACATTGAGTATGGCCTGATTACCATGGAGTCGGAGATTTTTGACAAATGTATGTTTTCGCTCTAGCAATATCTCATCATTTGAACTTCTGCTAACCGTTGCGTGTCCAGGCCCACGCCATGTGGCTGACAACTGGCGCTCAGCCACCAGCATGGCCATCCAATCAGTCACCAAAGGACATCTGGACGACGCAGCCCTGGAATGCATGAGAGGGGTTGAGCAACTCGGCCCCTGTGCATCTGCTGATCCCGGATTGAGAGAAAAGAAGCTGTATGAACTTTTCCAAAGCTGCGTGGACTTCAAGCGACGCCTCGAGCGACAGACAGATCGGTATAAATTCTCACATACCTCCTCTGGTCATCGATTTATATCTGGCACAATGCAAAGCGTGACGGGACAAGAAGGAGAAGGCACCGTTGTGGAGTTCTCTCTGTGGCCCGGGTTATGGAAGGGCGACGTTCTCCTCTACCCTGAGACGGTCTGGAGTAAGATGGACGAATCTTCCGTGAAGGACCCTACCCCAAGAACAGAAACGGCTCCCATCCGTCAAGATGACGCTGGAGCCAGTAGCCAGGTCTCGGGGGCTACTCGCGGCTCCGGACCACTCCGGATTCGTTTGCAAAACCGGCTTCTCCTTAAATGAAAGGCGACTATTTATGGGTTTACTTTCTGCGAAGAGGTTCATATGCCTGGGACTTTTCATGCGCTTATTAAATGCCTTTGTTGTGATCCTGTATTTACCTCTGTCTTCTAAGGAGGCATGCATTATCAGGATCTTTGGGTTTTGGAGCAATTACTGTATCTCACGTCCAGTTTCTGCGTAGGGCAAGCTTTCCGCAGCGTCGCGTAATCATCGACATTGCCAGTTTGTATTCCTGTTTGCTTTTTCTTGAATTTCAATGAATCACAGCAGAGCGTCGAGATTGATACTACAGGCAGATGAATCACAAAATATAAAACCTTCAGATATGCAAATCAGCCCTCTAGTTTAATATCTACTGCCCTGGCTGGACATGCTTGGTCAAGGTCGCCGTATCTATATGCGCTAATAATAGATGGTATAGGATTTACAACTTTTCAGCGTGCATAACCTCTACATAAGCAGCTAAGCTGCACTACTGTACTATCTACTCACGCTTTAGTACTACCTATTCTAAGCTACCTACACCCATTAGAAGCCTACCTATGAAGAATTGAGTAAACTGGGATTATTTTACTATGCGTACTTAGCCTGGATCCCCCATAATAAAGATTATGATTTTATATACAGTCCATATAGAGAGCTGTAAGTAATAGTTTTGGTCAATTTTGCCTGACCAGAGTGTCTTAATGGACCGGAAGAGCTGAAAATTGGACGCTTCATACAGACGTGATATGACTGACTGTACCCATTGTAGTGAATGTCATCGCCAGTAGCCAGATCTATCTTGCCAAGCCCGGAAACAGCGTTGAGAGATAATCTGTATTTAACGTAGTTGTTATAAAGGGCGAGGGGAGAATTGGCTAGCTCTAGGGATTCAAGAATCCCTCCTGCTTCCATCTCAGGATATATTTCATCAACAGTCCCTCATCAATCGGTCCCTGTTGCCTCAGCGTCTCCGAATGCCTCCTGGCCTTGCCCGTATCCAGCACCAACCCGCCGCACGACATAGGCACGAAATAATGATCAAAGAACTCAATCAACTGCAACGCCGGATTATCGCTCACACTGGCCCGGAACCTCCTGACGCGATCTACCCAAGTCTCATACGGCACGATACCTTCCTCACTGATTCCCAGCGCCCGCGCTAAAGTCCCGATCATCTCCTTCCATCCCTGCCGTGACGGGTTATCGATATGGTAGATTAGATCAGTCGATGTTTCAGTGAGGAGCAGCTCGCCCAGGGTAGCCGCTACATCATTCACCGGATACCACGAGAGCGTACCCTCGAGGTCCGGCAGGAGCCGGAGCACCTGTGATGACTTGATCAGGAAGGGCATGTACTCAGTCGGATTCCAGTACCCGTTGGATGTCGAGCCAGCGATTTGGGCGACGCGTACGGCCATCGGATGGAAGGATTCCGGATACTGATACAACGTCTGAGCCAGCATTCGCTCGACGACGAGTTTCGCCTCTGCGTAGCCCGTTCCCGGTAGTGAGGCGATTGTGCCTGGTTCCTCCGGAACGAGCGGGGTTCCAGTCCAAAGCGGGTAATTGGCGATGACGGCGCTGGAGGAAACGAATTGGAAGCCGAGCTTGAAGGGGGCGGGTCGGAGCTCAACCACATCCCTTGCGAGGGAGAGCAGGTTGCGGGCTGTCTTGAATTGCGTCTCGTACGTGCGGATGGGCCGTGTCAGGCTCATCGGCCAAGCGCTGTGGACTATGTGGGTGACAGTGCGAGTGAGGTAGTTGTAGGTCTCGGGCGATAAGCCGAGGTGGGGTTTGCTGGTGTCGCTTTCAAGCACTTGGAGCTTCGACAGAGATGTCGCGTCTAGGGTGATCCCGCGCATTTCGAGGGAGGCACGCTGCCGTTGGGCTGCGTCGACGGTGCTGACCCGGTTAAGGCAGATGACCGTGCTGATGTCCGGGCGCTGGGCGAAATAGGCCACAATGTGGGAACCCAGACTGCCCGTGGCGCCGGTGACCAGCACACAATGCTTTTTGCTCAGGGATGCATTGCCCACGGCTGCGCGGGGCAGCGATGGCGGGACAAAGCCGTTCGTGTACTTGACGACGTACTCGTCAATGGTGGCGCCGCGCTCTGGGTCATCTGCGGTCAATTGGGATTCTGAAGTGAGATGCAAAGCAGGTTTCGGCGCTCGATCATACCTGGCCCCAGACGCATGAGCAATAATAAGGCGTTGAATGTTGGCTTCGGGAAGATCTCCAGCCGTCCAGTCGACATGGCCGTATCCCACCGAGTGCAGCACTCGCTCCCAGTAGTCCGCAGGCTGGAGGACATAACTTCGTCCGTCCTCGAACAGCCACCAACCCTCGATGAATCCGAAGACGAAATCCACCCAAGGCACCTGCTGCGTCATCTCGAGCATGACCAGGAAACCTTCCGGCCGCAGGATCCGATGCAGGTTCTTTAGGGAGACGGCCAGATCCCTCGTGGCGTGGACACAGTTAGTGGCGAGGACAATGTGCTGGCTTTCGAGGAGTTTCGCGTCCGGTTCGGTTTCCATGTTCAGTACCTTGAACTCCATGAACGGATACTGCTTGAAGCGCTTGCGCGCGGCCGCGATCAGTGAGCCAGAGATATCAGTCATGGTGTACTTGACAGGGACACCAAGTTTGGCGAGCAGGGGTACAATCCTGCTTGTTGTGCCTCCAGTCCCCGCGCCAATTTCGAGGATACAGATGGGCGCTCCCGTTCGCGGAAGTTGACCGAGCAGCTGAAGCAGAAAGTCGGCGAGTTGCTGGATCCAGACGGTATTGATGGGTGATCTGGCATACATCTCTGACGCGATCTCGCGGGCTTCGGGAGTGCCGAAGACCAGCTGCAGACCATCCTCCTTGCCTGTAATCAAGTCTGCAAACCTGGCTCCCACCAGTGCTGTAAGCCTGTGTTCGGCGGCGTGAACTGGCTCGTCGTGAAGCAACTTTGCGAGTAGTGTTTCCGCAGAGGTGGTGGGTGGTGCAACAGCGGTGCGCGTGATTTCCGCGCCATTGATATCGACCAGGCGTGCCTCGGTTTCCAGAAAGCCATAGATCAAGTCTAAAAACTGTGCATGCTTGGGGTGGTATGGAATGCGCTCAAGGCGTTGGCCGGGCGCTGCGGACCCGATAGAGCAGCCTAGTTGCTCGAATGCGTCAACGATATACTTGATACAGAGCTCAGTGGATCTCGGCATGACCTCTTTGTAGTAGTTTGCGAGGCGGCCCTTGATGATGGCGTCGTCCGTAGTCCATTTGAAATCGCTGAAGGTGTCTCGGACCATGGATGTCGTGAAAGTGGCGTGGCCGTCGTTACCATTCGTGTGAACACCATTTCGGTTAATTCCATTAATGCCATTGACTCCATTGGCTTCGTTGGCACCGTTGACGTGAACAGTACCATTTGTGCCAGCAGCGGCTTCTGCTGGCACTTCCTCCACATCCTCATCATCGCCAAGCCCTAGCGTAGACTGAATGCACCGAACCAGGCTCTTAAAGTCGGTCAGTTCCATCAGCTGCTCATTCCTAAGCGTGCACTTGAATGCAGCCTGCACCTCGCGTACCAGCTCCATTGCCATGAGAGAATCAATACCCAGCTCAATTAGGTCAGAGTCGTCCTGAATCTCTTCAGGTTCCAGCCCGGACAGATTGCAGATTATTTCGCGGGTTTTGGCCCAGACGTCCAGTCCCGGCAGTTTGGCTGCCTTCTTCTTTACAGGTTCCTTCCCCGGCTCTGGATAGGGTGATGAAACTGAGCGAGTGGATTCTTCGATGGGAGGGGTTGATGAAGGAGTCATTGAGACAGAAAGAGGGATACCAGCAGAAGCAGAAGCAGGTGTTTGTTCGGCGGCACGGCTTAAGACTTTTCGAATAGATTCCATAGGTACTCTGTGATACGAGAGGCCAAGAATTGCTTCGACTAATGATCCATCGCGAGCATCAAACGCAAACACGTCGCTGACATACTTGTTCTCAGACTCGTGGTGGTGAACCGCGAAGACCTCCCAGTGATCCGACAGCGAACCGGTTGTACTCAGCCGGGGCCTACGCGTCCATCTGGAGATCCCATCGCAGACAAAGATGCCACGGTCATCCAGATCCGACGAGTGGGTCATCAAGTTGACGAAGATACCAGCGACCTGGCAGAAGCACTCGGTCAGAACGGGGTCGATCCACGCTTCCTCTTGGTAGGACTTGATGACCTGGCCAGCTGACTCATTTTCGATTCCTGCAATCTTGGTAACGCAGCGGAACGGTTCCCCGTATTTGACCACCTGCTCGAAGGCCCGGTAGATGTTCCGTCCCTGGAGGACTTCGTCAGCATGACCGCCGTGGAGGAGACGTGCACAGCGCTTCTGACCGCTCAGGCGAGCCAGATTCTCGTAGTCGACCGTGAGTTGAGGGTCACTCGCTGGTCGGAAATCTACCGTGCCGGAGCTGAACTCCGAGTCTTTCGAATGGAGCCGCCAGTCCCAGGTGACACCCTTGTCGTCTTTAGAAAACACGTCGAGGTACACCTCGCTGGAAGGGTGAGCGGGGAGTGCGTTGTGGTAGGATACACCCCGGATCTCCGGCTGGAACTTGTACTTGTCGAAATCCGGCCGGAGATTCGTCAGAGCGTCCAGGGCGATCTGTAGCTGGAGAATGCCTGGGGCAACGGCAGCTGTGCTGGCAACGACATTGGCGGAGGTTGGCTGTTGAAATTTGTCTACTCCCGTGTTGACTCGGAACCGCGCGGACTGTTGTGACGGATCCTGATAGCTGAGGAAGGTTGTAAGACCCTTGGCCACGTCAGGATGTTGCAGAGGCTCGGCCGCTGAAACATCAAGCTTCCGGGGCTCTTGCAAGTGCATCCAATGTCGTGACTTTTCGAATTGGTACGGAGGGAGAATAACGGGGGTATAATCGGGTGTCTGTCTGGCATGGTGGGCCCAGAAGGATATGTTCAGGCCCTCCTTCCATAGCTTTATCGTCGTGTCAACTAGGCTTTGGATGGAGGAGGATTCACCAGTTATATTGACGGACTGGAAATGATGTTTTGACGTCGAATTGCCCAGGGCGCGGCTCGCCATATTGGTGACAGTAGAATTCGATCCAGCCTCCAGCCAGATAGCCGACGGGAACTCCTTGGCCAGTCGCTGGACTGCGTGATTGAAGAACACCGGGTTCCTCAGGTGCTGAGCGATGAAGTTGCCTGCTGGTTGGCCGGTAGTTTTTAACTCGGTTGCGTGTTCAACGCGAATTGCGGGCTCTTTAAACGTAATCTCTTGACCGAGTGCTTCGAGGTCACCAATGAGCGGGTCAACGAGGGAGGAATGAAAGGCATTGGTGACGCCCAGCCTCTTTGTCTTTATGCTCGAGAAAGCAGGGCTGGTCTTTGCCAGTTCCTGAGTGAGTTCAATGCATTTTACTGAGCCAGCCAGTGTGAACAGCTTGGGACCATTGTAACAAGCGATCGAAACATCAGAGGCGATACCTGATGCCTTTTTCGACAAGGAGATCAAGGCTTGCACATCCGTCAAATCCGCCTCAACGGCGAGCATGGCTCCTTTCTCCGCGCCCCAGCTATCCCGGATGAGACGAGCGCGACCAGAAATCAACTTGAGCGCATCCTTAAGTGAATAAACCCCCGCGACGCACAATGCCGTCAACTCGCCAAAACTGTGTCCTACCACAGCAGCAATTTGGACACCGGACTCAACCCACAGTCTGGCGCAGGAATACTGCGTGGCAAAAAGCATTGTTTGAAGCTTGACTGTGTCTTGTATGGGAGACGTCTGGAAGATGTCGGGATAGATACTGTTCAGGCCCAGAGAGATACATACGGCGTCGCACTCGTCGAGATGGGCTTTCAGGGCAGCGATCTGGTAATAAAGATCTTCTGACAGACCTACAAACGTGGAAACCTGCCCGCCGAAGCAAAGAATCACCGGACGGGCAGGCGGCGGTTGAATTTCCCCAGTGCTTTTTTCTGCTTGCTCGAAAGCAAGCAGCTTCTGATCCAGGTCAGTCGCAGAGGAAGCCTTCAGGATCAGAGCGTTTGGAAGAGCGCGGTTGGACTGGCGTGCTAGCTGAAAGGACAGATTGCGTGCACTCAGGTCCTTGTTTGAACTGGCGTGTCGTTGCAGGAAGTCCCTAAATTTGATAATGTAGGCCCGGAGACTCTGGGAATCGTGCGCACAGAACCAGAATGGGAAGCTCACACCATCTGCCGACACGAGAGCAGTCTTCGAAGCATGAAAGCTAGCCCTGGGTCCCTGAGTAACGACTATGGAAGCGTTTGAGCCAGAGGCCCCATAGTTGTTGATCAGTGCTGCGCGAAAGCCCACATCCCAAGGCTTCGTTCTTGTCGGGATGTCAATCATGTCCTGCGGAGCAACTTGCAGTGCAGGGTTGATGGAAGTAAAGCTGGCCTGTGGCGGGATGAAGCCCTCGTGGATCATGAGCAGGACCTTCACCAGGGATATTATCCCCGAGGCAAACTCCGTATGGCCAAGGAGTCCCTTGACCGACATCAGAGAGAGCACATCTGAGCGAACCGAGCCGCCGAGTGTTCTTTTGATCGCTGCATACTCCGCCGGATCGCCGACCGGAGTCCCTGTGCCATGCGCCTCGACTACCGAGATGGCCTGAGGTGGGAGTCTGGCTTGTTGAACAATATCCTGAAAGAGCTCTGACAATGAGTCCGTGTTGGGGACGGTGATAGGGGTACAGTTCTGATTTTGATAGACTTTCGTGCTCGCAATCACCCCGAGCACTTGATCACCATCCGCAATGGCGGACGACAGTTTCTTGAGGTAGACCACGCCGGCCCCTTCTCCTCGGCAATATCCGTCCGCTGCGGCATCAAATGGCTTGCACTGGCCTGTCGGACTCAAGAAGGAAGCGCCAGCTAGATTATGGAACCAGTCCGGGTGACTGAGGACGTTGACACCACCGGCCAACGCACTGGTACATTCCCCGTGAAGGATCGAGCGACAGGCCTGGTGGACCGCAACACCTGAGGATGAACAGGCCGTATCGATGGTCACACTGGGGCCCGTCCAGCCAAAGTAATGACTCACTTTTCCCGCAACGAAACTCCGCAGGTTTCCCGTGGCAGAGTAAGCATTCGCTGGGTAGCAGGCGATGTTTCGGTCATAATCGACATTGCCGATTCCGATATAGCATCCAATATGCCTGCTCGCTGGTGCCTCCCCTTGGGCTCTGAAATAACCTGACTGCTCCACAGCCTGGTATGCCAACTGCATGATCAAACGATGTTGTGGGTCAGCGGATGCCATTTCCCGCGGACTCTTCTTGAAGAATTTGTGATCGAAAGCGTCATAGTCCGCGATGAAGTTGCCGTACCATTTGCGATTAGGATCCAGCTCCCTAAATGCAGTCTGCATTGAGAAGCGCTCCAAGGGCACCTCTGTGTGCTGGGACTGGCCGCTCGTGAGGATTTTCCAATATCCGTCGAGATCGTCGGCCCCTGGGACAAGGCAGGCCATGCCGATGACAGCAACCCGATCATCTGGGAGCTCATCCAGGCTCTGGCCTAGAAGCTGTGCAGGCAGCGGAGAAGTCGACAGGTCAATGTCTGTGAGCTGGACTAGCTGAGAGCCTAACTTCCTTGTCATTGTGGGTGGCGTGCACCGCTCTGGGCCAAAGCATATGAACGTGGCACCCGCGGCCTCCAGGTGAGATGAGTAGACGCGGGTAAAGGTCTCCAGCCACTGCGACGGCTTCAGCAGGATTTCCCGCAACGCAATCTCATGGAGACTGCCGCCTGTGCTCAAAATGCTGGGCAGGAGCATTTCGGAAGGCTCGGGGAACTGGAATTCGGCATGGCTGCTACAGAACGCAATGAGTCGCTCTGCGTCTGCTGCATGTCCGGACCAGTGAAATCGTCCGGATAGCGCGACGTCAAACACATGCAAGCCAGAGTCCTTCATTTGCTGAACTAGGTTGGCAGCCTCTCGCTGAGAGACAGTGACTGTTGATCTCTTCTCGTCAACATGAACGGATATGTATGCCTGAGCTTCGTGAGTATATGCTTTCCTGAATCTATAGACTGCAGAGTGACCCACCTCAGGACAGTCCTTTAACACTCTAGACAGTGCAGCACTGGGCTCAACACCATTCCAGGACACAGAGACTGACGTTGCAACACCATCTGAGCCAGGCGATGATTGCTCCGCATCCACCAGCGCGCCAGCAAGCATGGCAAGCCGAACTGCCACTGCGCCATTTTTGTAGAGCTGAGCCAGGCTGGAGGACGACGACACTGCAAATGCGCTGAGAATGCCGGTGCATAACCCTAGCGTCTCAGCAGCCTCTGTGACGGACGCTGGGAGCTCATCGGTCTCGCCGAGGTTCGGTAATGCCGCCGTGAGAAAGTTCGCATACTGTGTTAGCTGAGCGATCACTACCAAGGGGGAAAGTAGGATATTCGGTAATGGAAAGAGAGAGGGCGATATCTCTCCAGTCTGCAGCCCTCGGTTGAGGTCACGTAGCAATTGGGCGCCGTTCACGTGTTGCAACTTGGGAACATGGTGGATGAGGCTTTCCCAGACGTGCGGCAGTTCCGGTACGATACTCAGAGCCCACTTGGCGTTCTGGTCGGCATGGAGATTAAGACGGAGCTGATGGAAGAATTTCGCATCGAGAGCAAGTGCTTGAGGGCCGAATAGGAACACCTTGGGCTTCTGGCGAGGATGTGTGGTCATGTTGAGACAAGACTCGAAGGAAATTGTATATACACGGCCGTCAACATCAGACGTGCTCACTGATTGATTGATCAATTTTCTATCTCGCTATTTAGACTGTGGCTTCAGGTATATTTACACATTCTTGCCGTTTCTGTTTCCGTCGCAGCATGCACGTCTGTTCCTGCTGCACGCAATGTGGCCGCCCTCGGCTGGTTTGCTGCGGATTCGTTTACGCCACTTGCAATAGTCGCGATCTGACTTACCTCCGAAAAGGACGGAAGGCTAAATTCACCATGTTACAACTCCTATCAGCTATCATCTGCACTCGGCAGACCGCTGATCCCGCTAAGTGGCAGGCTGCGGTGTAAGCTTATGAAAGAAAATCGCCCGAACGATACTAACCAGGCGAGAGGAAGGAGCCGAGATAGGTATTTGATCATTTCATGGTCCTCTGATGTCTCGCATATGCTTTTAAAGGCTAACGCAGGTTCAGAAGCTATCGCCATTCATCCTAGTCCTTGGGATGATGTCCTGGGAAGCGAAGGATATAATGTTGTTGTAATAGTGGACTACGCTTTTGTTTGAGGGAAGATCTGAGTTTGCAATCGTAGAATCTATAATGCCCCTCATCTAGAACTCTAATCAAGTCTCCCTAGCTAGCTCGCGAATTTTCTCTGCCACAAGCGATACATCTTTCACCTTGAGCGGCACGCGATGATCCCCATCCCATTGCACGACTCTCGCTGTCCTCCGATCACAAAAGTCCTCAAACAATACTTGATGGCGCTCCAATCCTGGATCTCGTAATCCATGGACATGCAAAGTAGGTGTACGCAATATATTGCCTTTCCCCTCTCCCCGCCAAATAACCCCATTCGCGAATGTCATATCCGTGATTTGCCCTGCGTCCGGCAACCCAGAACAGCGTGTGCCCTCCGAATCCGCATCCAGCGATACCAGCGGGCCCTGCCCGGCCAGAAGAACGCCGAAACGGAATCTCGGAAGCCGGTCATCCTCAAAACCCCGTGTCTGTTGTCGATACAGCAAACTTGCGGCGACTTTCGCGCCCTGGCTGAAGCCCAAGATGGCGATCCACTCACCCGTGTACCCGGCGCGGTCATCGTCACGGATCGCCGCTGAAAGCGATTCATCGATTGCAGCCACCGCGTCTTGGGGCGCGATTTCCGGGTGCTCCCGTCGCCAGCGGAGCCAGCGGCGGAAGGGTCCCCATTGGCTGTAGACCGCGAGAACGTCGGATCCGCAATTAGACGCGAAAGGCGCCTGAGCGAAGACAAAGCGGTATTCGGTCCGGAGGTGGTTGACGAGGGCTCTGCATTGGGCGCGGAAGATGCGCGCGTTGGTCCCGCCGCCGTGAAGACAGAGGATGCGGGGAAGATGGAAAGCTGGATTGGGGACTATGACAGGCTCGTTGGGCGTCATGGAGATATGCTATTTGACAGGACCGTTCTTGTGTGATCTTATTATTGATTCTATTCTAAAAGTTTGAATATGAAAGGGCAGCACTGGATCATTTCATACCCAACGCAATGTCTAGTTTTTCTCATAGTATTATCTTGACGCTCTACTGGTGCTCAATTGAGCACGCGAAAGCCAAGATAAACAAAAAGGAAGCAAGTCTATAGGAACAAGCTTTCTCGGCAGCGATCTACAGTTCGCGATAAGATGTAGCCGGCAGCCACTAAGCCGTTGCGAGGCCTAAATGCCAGGGTTCGGGCCCTTTCTATCCATACAAACCTACCGAATCGAGTCCCATAGTCCCCTCACTCTCCGAAGGACAAGAACAACGTGCCGAAACAGCCCAACATTTGTCGTAACTCGTATGATGGCGTGCGAAAGGAATAAAATGCGTGGATCCAGGGCGTCATGATGACCATGCAAAGTCAGCCAGCCAAACGATTAATCCCAATTACTCGAGAACCCCTAGAGAAATATACCATGCACTCCTCCTTCTACCTCCCCCTGGTCGATATCACCCCCTTCCTCGACGATCCCTCCAGCCCCGCGGCCCGGCAGGTCATCGACGATGTCCGTAAAGCCTGCCAATCCACGGGCTTCTTCCAGATGAAAGGCCATGGCGTGCCACTCAAACTCCAAAAATCCATCCTCGCCGCCTCCGCTAAATTCTTTGCCCTCCCGTTGGAAACCAAACTCGCGCTGGATGCGCGCCAAAATGTCGGGTTCCGCGGATACGATGTAATGGAGACACAATCCTACGAGCTCGAGTTCGGCGCACCCCAGGGCAAAGAGGCGCAAGTTGTCCGCGACATCAAAGAGGGCTTCTTCATCTCCAGCGACCTCCCCCTAGACCATCCGCGGGTGCGCGATGGCCGATTCTTGCAGGGCCCGAACGTCTGGCCGAGCACAGAGCTGCTGGCCCCGCAGGACTTCCGGGTTGTGCTGGAGGAGTACCTCAGCGAGATGCAGCGGTTGTCGCGGGTGGTGCTGTCGCTTGTGGCCGCGACGCTGCCGTACGGCCCGCGAGTGTTTGACGAGCTGGACTCGGACGACCCGATGTGTTTGCTGCGTCTGCTTCATTATCCGCCTGATGGGGAGCAGGCAAGACAGGAGAAGGGGCAGCTTGGGAGCGGCGAGCACACAGATTTCGGAACGCTGACGTTGCTGCTGCAGGATGAGCACGCGGGGTTGGAGGTGCAGGATCATGAGACGGGCGAGTGGCATGGGGTGCCACCGCAGGAGGACGTGTACATTGTCAACATGGCGGACTTGATGGAGATCATGACAAGTGGGGAGTATAGAAGTAGTTGGCATCGGGTGTTGAATCGAAACCCTGAGGATCGGTACAGTGTGGTTTTCTTTTACGACGGCAATCTGGATTATAAGTTGCAGCCGCTGGATCCGGCGAAGAGGGTTGAGGAAGGAAGTGTGCCTACAATTGAGGAACATGTCCGTCTGCGCTTAACGAGTAGCTACAGCTGATATGAGAGCATGGTATACGTTCGACATTGGCTTGCAATGCACTCGTTACATTGACATTATTATTTACATGCTTCTTAGACCTCCGAGATTGAGATGTGGCACATATGTATGTAGAGCACTTCGACGCAGTACTGGGCATTATATCAAACCAATCTGGATATTATATAGCCTACAAATCAAGCATGAAAACCAACAAGAGTATATAAGCAAAAGGGAAAATTGAGAACCTCACTACAAAGACTATCTACTCCCCGATCAGAATGGGCTTCCGCTTCTCGCTAAATGCCTCCAAAGCTGCATTACGATCCTTGGTCATGAGAACGGAGTCGTACGCCGCATTCTCAACCGCCTCGCAGCTATATGTCAACGCGCTGATAGCCGCTCGCACCGCCAACGGCCCAGCATTGCATATATTCTCTGCCAACTGAAGTCCAGCCTCCAAGGCCAGACCCTTCTGCGCCTCTTCATTACCCTCAATCCCCACAAGCCGATTACACAGTCCCATGGCAGCAGCCTCCTTCGCTGGCACCGACCTCCCCGTTAAAACCAAGTCCAGAGCATTGGAGACACCAACAATATTGGGCAACCGGTACGTCCCCCCCGCACCGGGGATAATCGCCAGCCTGGTCTCGGGCAACGCAACAACGGCATCAGCTGCAAAGACACGCAGGTGGCAGCACAGCGCCAGCTCAAGCCCCCCGCCCAGCGCCTTGCCCGAGACACACGCGATCGAGGGGACAGGCAGCGCTGCGAGCCGCGAGAACACAGCGCGCAGGCTGGTCAAGAAGGACTTCGTTTCGGCTGGTGTCATTTGCTTCCTCTCTTTGAGGTCAGCTCCAGCGCAGAAGATACCGTCGACCGCGCTGGCGATGATCAGGGCGCGCGTCTTGTTCGCGTGATATTCGTGGTGAATCTCTTCGATTTCGCTGCTAAGCTCGCGGAGCATTTGCCAGGAGATGGCGTTTTTGGCGTCCGGACGGTGCAGCTGGAGGATTTTGATGGTACCGGCATGTGGTGCGAGGATGCGGGTTACCGTTAGTGTAGAGAGGGTTTTTGCGTTGGAGGGGATGAGGCGGAGGTCGCTGAGCCCCTGTGTTGCCACATCGAGCGACGCCGGAGGGTGTAAACCATTGGGTCCGTCACTGGGTAGCTCAGTTGCAGGGGGGATATCTTTGTTTGAGAGGTCAGTGGGAATCGGCGTGCTGTCATGCTGAGCGACAAGGGGCTGCTCATGCGCAACCGGTTCGACCTTCGCTGGCTCTTTCTCCTGGACGTCAGTAACGGCAGGCTTATCTGCCGTGAACCGTGCAAAGAACGGATCGGCCCGCAGACACTCGATTGTACTCTCCTGCTCCGTCACCATGAACTCGCAGCTCCCATCCGGCACCCGGGGCAGCACGATGACAGCCCCTGCCTGAGTGCCCCTCGCCGGGAGGCGCAGCGCCTTGATATGTCCATCGTCAAAGATCGGCCCAAAGTTCATGGCGTGCAGGTCCATCTTAAAAAGACTGGTCAGGATAATCCCCGATGTCGCCATGGACTCGAGAATGTTAAGCCGCGTGTGGGCTTCGAGCGCCGTCCGCTCTGCGTACCCGACCAGATCCCGGAATTTGTCGCCTGTCAGGCCCCTGAGCTCGGTGCGCAGGGCCCGAGCCGCTTCGGCAAGGCCGGTCTCTGGATCCGCAAGCACAGACAGCGCAACTGATGACTTGGTCATGTAGATGACGTTACCAAAGTAGGGTTCGGTGATGTTGAGGTGCCGGCGGCAGTCCACGGGCTGCGCAACGTAGGTGGTTGCGTCCGCATCGAGGATGCCCGCGCGATGCCGTGCGACCATGATGCTGCGCCAGATGAAGGCGGATATGGCGTCGTTGGTGGAAAACCAATCTTCTGGGCCCTGGGAGGTGGCGGAGAGCGTGTTTTTGAGCTGGGAAAGGGCCGTGGCGCTGATGCGGAAGGTGTGGCAGGAATTCTCTACATTGTGAATCTGTGCATGGGCGTTGGACGGCGAAGATGTCCACGCGGCGTGGCGTTCGATGGCGCCGGGAATCCCCTGGCCCGACACGAAGGCTGTCCGGTCAGAGCGGTACACCTCGGTTCTCTGCTGAAGAGGATGACCGGTCTCGCCGGACTGAGCCTTGCAGAGCTCTTCGGCGAAGATCTTGATGATCTCGGTCACCCCGCGGCCGTCGGCAGCATTGTGGATGATGGAAACGACAAGGAGCAGGCCCCCTCGGATGAAGTTTGCCTGGAAGCGGCAGACGTCGACCCGCTCCGCGGCAAAGTATCCGACCTCCGGGAGGGGACAGAGCTGCTCGGTGTTCAGGAGATGTTGCGAGAAGTTGGCCTCGGCCAGGTCGGCAAAGCTGAGCTCATCCGACAGGTCCTTGACGATGAGGCGGGCGGCGCCTTCGGGGACGATGTTGCGAAGCCAGGGCCGTCCTCCTTGGTCTGCCGAGAATGGAACAACAGAACCTGCCAGCACGGGGAAGCGCTGGACGGTGTGGTGGAAGGCGATGTGGAGGTAGTCGGTCAGCTGCTCTCTGTCGGTGTTGACGGGGAGGGAAAAGCAGAGGATGCGCTTCGAGTGTGTCGGAGGCAGTATCCTGTCCCAGTGAGAGATCTTAACCTCAAAGGGAGGACACTCAATAGTAAAGGTTTGTTCCATTTCAACAAAGCTGAAGACTGGTCAAGATGTGAATGTATATTACAGTTGGTGTCGGGCAACTCAAGGCATGCAGCGGCTGAGGTGTCTGCTCATTTATTCCCTCTCGTGTCCAGCATCAGTCACTGAGATATCTTTGGCTGTAGGACCCAACCCGTTCTTGACTGGCGCTCTCATGCATGCATCTCGATTCCTGGTACCAAGGTCAATCTATCCACGTGTAGAGAGGTATTGAAACCATGAACTGCCGAAGTCCATACGATGACGAGCTAGAATGGTCGCTGACCCTTGTCGGGCACTTCATCGGCACTTAATTCGCCGTCGGCTCCTTGTTATCTTCCATGCTCGTCTTCCTTCGCCGGATTCAATGGTTTGTCTGGAACACACTGCAGCCACTCGGGTCGTCGATTCCCTGCATCTCATGGACGCACCGGGTCCTATTGAGCAACAAAAACGTGGAAGGATCGTCTGCCCTGCCAAAACGCAAAGCATCATTCTTGAAGTGTGAAACACAAGCTTGTTGTGAAATATTACAAGAACGAGCCCGATCTTTGAGGCAGTCTGTCAATACAGGGCTACGTCCTAGCCTACCCAGAGTGGAACAATATTGATCATTAATCCAACCAGATGAGGCCTGGACAAGTGAGGAAGAATACCCCAGGTAATAGAGGAGATGAGATCTGCACCAGGCCTAGCCTCCAGGCCAAAAGCCTCGACAGGTGGTAGTTTAAGGGTTGAATTGGCGGCGCCGCAGCATCAGAATACACCTCAGGCAGTAATTAGTTGCTACGGCCATACAACCGGCTTTTTTGCAATCAATTGTACGCTCATGGTTGGTTGAGCAAGACAAGATTGCCCTGATAAGCGTAAGTCCGTGTAATACAACTAGTAAGCCAGCCACTATCAATATCCAATACCGCTACACTAAAAAGGTGCTGGACGATGTACTCCCTAGTCTACGAATTACGTGTCCATCTATAGTGGTATAATATTTTGCAACTAACCAACAGCGGGCCCCTCTGGCCCCACGGGGACTGTGCGGGTTGACACAAGTAGGGATCATTATTTGGTGGCATGCATGGCCTCATCCGCCATTAGTAACGAGAGAGATGTCTGAGGCCTTGGGGTAAAGCGAGGGAACGCTTCGTGCGAAGTACCATTGTGTCCTTCTTCCTCTCCAGTACTACGGGTTGTTGAAAAGGACACGTACAGCAATTGAATAAATCCGTATATTTATCCGGAGGAGAGACGGACATTGCTGTAGGGACGGCACAGCCAGCGCTTAGCGACTGCTAAGGTGATATAGAACACGAGGTTTGTGCAAGGGTTCAGATTAAATCTCTCTGCAACCTGCCACTAGCGCTGACTACATGAAGAAGCGCCATGTGCGACACCATGTACCTTGCTGCCCTCATGGAAACAAAGAGAATCTAGAATCTTTGAACAGTGGGGGCGAAACAATTCTGTTATCATACGCTGCAGTTGCGCCATGGCGATGAAATATCGAAAAAAGCCATGCTTTGCTACTCCTGCAAAAGAGAGGCATTGCCATGAACTACACCATGGAAAAAGCACAATGCTCATGCCTCAAGTATGCAACAAGGGCCTGGCAGCGCATCGACCACATGGTTGAAATCAGCCTCGAGATCATCGTCATCGCAACCACGCAGACAATCGACTTCGCCCTGCGGTCGCAGGTATGTCCGTTACACAATCTCTCGCTCGTCTCCTCCACGACGGAAATTAGGGACATTCTTCTGCGGATCTACGAGAAGCTGGTCTCCTTCCTCCACATCGCCGTGGCAACGTACACGTCGTCTGACACGACCCCTGTTGAACAAACCTCCTTTATCACCTCCGGACAGCCGAAACCGTGGTCTGCTGATGGCCTTCAGTATGGATCGGTGCAGGATAAACAGGTCCCGAGCGGAGTGGTGTGCAGGCCCTCCAGGATGGCATTGGGGGATCACGAGCTGAGCGACGAGGAAAGCAGATACTTGGCGCTGGATATGATCTGTCGCTCCCTACGGAATTTGACCAAGGCCTTGCAACAGATGGAAAGAAGCGATAATGCAAATCTCAGAAAGGCTGATTCGAGGATAGTTACACTTTTATTCCAAGTGACGCGGTTATTGGATAGTGTCACGGCCAATTTACATGCGTGGAAGACTTCATGATAGATACATGATAGACGAGTAGAATGTTTCAACGAAAACGATTTCCCTTATTCTTCTACTTCTATGCCAGCGGGCCCCCATCATCAATCTCAGACTTGTGGCTCCATCGCTGTGAGGGTCATAAACCCAATGAACCGCTCCACGCGACCCAGCACATCCTGTAGCAGGTCCTCCGTCACCTTGAAGCTGGTATTGCTCCCTTCTGTCTGCCTCAGCAGTTGTTCCAGCTGTCCCACCACGGCACGCTGCCGGTCCAGATACATCCGCAACAGATGTCGCGAGAAGGCCCGCTTAACAGATTCATTGAGTTGAACAGTCCCAAGCACCAGCGGCCGCGTCGTGTACGGGAGCACGTTGCGCGAGTCACTGGCATCCGATGATGAGCCCCGACTCATGCTCATGGGCGAATCCGCACTCGGTATAGATCCTCTGTCGACCTCGCTCTGGCCGTCCTGCGGAGACCCGCCGCAGCTATTCTCGAACAGGCTGAGGACATTGGCGACCACGAGCGTCAGAAGTAGCAGCGTCTGTGCGCATCCCGTTCCCGCGAGACAGGACTGGCAGCGGAGGATCTTGTCCCGAGCGCGGCTGACTTGGTTGTCCAGGTTGAGGAGGACGTCTAGGGCCACGCTGGTTCCGAGGGCCTGAATCTCGGAGATCTTGGTCAGCTGGCTGCTGAGACCGCCGTGGCAGTGGGATGTGCAGCGGGTACCGAGGGGGAACGGATTCGAGTCGCCGAAGAGGGAGGGGGAGGGACGAGAGGCCGAGGTCGGTCGACCGGGAGAATCTACGTTGGGATGCCCCGCAAATAGAGAATAGTTGCTGGTGAGGGGGGAGTAAAGACGTTCCATCTGGGCGGTGGGACCAGGGTCTAGGCATACAGGGGACAGCCGGCTGTCCCAGAAACGGGGCTCTATGGGACCGTAATACTGCCCTTGCAGCGCAAGGTCTAGTTCTTGGGACGCTGATCCTTCAATTATACCCTGAAGCGTAGCCCAGTCAACCTCCCCTATCCCATACTCAAGGCTGTTGGCCAGACTCGCCCCAATTCCTGAGTCGGACATGTTCTGGTCGAGGGACAAAGCAGAATCTCCCGCAGACGAAGCCGAATTGTCGCCAGCATGGAGTTCCTCCAGAACGGAGCTGGCCCCGGTCCCTAGCGCGGGAGTTCCAAAGTCATTCAAGAGATGGCTCGGGTTGACACTGCTCCCTAGCGACTCACTCAAAACATTCGGCGGCAGAAGTGGTTCAGTGCCTTTTGGCGAGTGCTCAACAGGAAGCTGTGGGCTGTGCTGTTGCTGACTCTTCTTCAGTCTTCGGCCGGGCTTTCCAGCGCCTTCTTGCAGCTGGCCCCTGGGCACGGTCAACGTGCCTAGAGCTTTCGCAGAGGGACGACCGATCTTGCGATATTGGCTGTACACACACTGGCGACCGTGTTGAGTGCACCTAGCACATGCTGGTCTCGTCTGGCTACACTTGACCTTGGTGCTGAGACACGAGTCGCATGAGGACCGAAACTTCACCTCGGACATGACAGGCGGGCAATCACTTGAGACCATTTACAGCTATCTTGTATTGTCAGTAGCGGCGCTTACCTGGCATATTTATTATTGGTAGTATATTGCAGGATACATTGGCGACCAAGACGTATTTCGCCATTGTGGCTGACATGCAGGGTTGGCTCCGTATGGCTTCGTATAGCTTTGTAGGCGTATCTTCTCTTTGCGATGATTGGAAGTGTGGATTTAGAATTTGATGTTGCGATATCGTATTTGGCGCTGGGGGTAACCCCTCTTCTCCGTTAAGGTTGGTTAGCCCGCTGTTCCAGAATAGGGGCGGAATGGGCCTGATAAGGTTCTAACCTTCAACTATCATGCCACAGGATCTTCTCCGGGAGTGTGTGTATAATATCAGGGCATGTATACGAATATTTCTGGCAAAGGAGGGTGTGAGGAGACCATCTTTCAACTTAAGAGGAGACACAGCACATCCCGCATAGACGTCGTTAGGCGATTTCCCTTTCAGCTAAACGAATAGTCCTGGGTTACATCGTTTCTGACAGATTATTGCGTGCTCATTCAAGATGACAGGGAGACAGATAGCTGCGGGTCTGATCGCAGCGTCAAAGAGACTCAAGACAGCTAAGACTTCTTAGACTCGGGACCAAGAAGCTCTAGCAATACGAATACCGCTAGACTAAAAGAGTATCCGGACGATGTACTCCTTTAGTCTAGCGGTATAATATCTGGACAGAGACTCCATGCCCCATAGTATCTCGATATAGAAACGGAAACAAGATCTGCAATGCGAACTCATGAAACAAATCGATCAAACTGGACAAACTGGTTAAATGCGTCGTGCGTCGACAGCCCCACGAATGGGAGTTCGAGAAAGGAGCCGAGCCCTGCAGTCCGGCTCCTTTCTTCCATCTGACCCCTGCCAGAATGTCGAATCATAATCTGCCAAGAGAGATATGGCCGCGGATGCAAACACTGGCGTTTGGAGACGAGGTCCAAGTTGTCATTTGGACTAATCGACCCTCCTAGACCCTGACGAATCAAGTAGAAGTGAGTATCTCTCAACTGTTTGTTTTGCTTTGGATAAATCGCAACATGTCGCAAGAGACAGGGGTTTTTCTCCCCCCGGAAGATTGCAAACATGCCCAAATAGGTAACCGGAGCAGCTGGTCATAATAAAAAGAAAGACTAGAAAGGGCAGCTCCCGGTCTCCGAGGAGGCAGACTTGTGAATAGAGAAATCCTTTCCTCCGCCTGCAGTCAAGAATACGTGTACAGTCAAAACCATATTGACTGCAGCAGACACGATCCAACCATGTCTGAAGTAAAGGATGCAGTCCCAGCTGCTAATGCCCCTGGCAGTCAAGAAACAGAGACTGCCATTCCTCCATCCGATGATGACACGATCGATGTGGCGGGAAAGAAAGAGCCAGAAGCCACACAAGCACCGCCTGCTGGTCCTCCTGCTGTCAAGTATCCGGATCCTCTACGAGGGGCAGTGCTCACGGTTGCATTGCTCCTGGCCATGTTTCTTGTCGCCTTGGACATGGTGAGAGTGCCTTGATGTTAAATGACTTTATGGCACTAACCAACGTTCCAACCTCCCAGAGCATTATCACCACTGCGATCCCTACAATCACCCAAAGGTTCCACAGTCTCGACCAAGAAGGTTGGTACGGCTCTGCGTTCTTCTTGTGTCTGGCCACCTTTCAGGCATTCTGGGGGAAAGCTTACAAGTTCTTCCCCCTCAAAACCGCCTTCCTCACGGCCGTGGGCGTCTTCGAGCTCGGCAGCCTGATTGCTGCCCTCGCGCCCAACAGCCCAGCCCTCATTGTGGGTCGAGCCATCCAGGGTGTCGGTGGTGCCGGCGTCACCGGCGGTGTTTATACCATCCTTGCCTTTATTACGAGGCCTAAATACCTACACGCCGTCTTTGGCGTCACCAGCGCGGTCTGGAGTGTGTCTTCCGTGCTCGGTCCGATCCTGAGTGGAGTCTTCACGCAGTATGTGACGTGGAGATGGTGTTTCTGGGTCAACCTGCCCATTGGGGGCGCCGCGTCGATTATTCTCCTGCTTCTGTTGAAGACTCCTCCTCACTCTCGCGTGGCACACACCACATTCGATAAGATCCCCACTCTTTTCGACTTTCCAGGGATGGTGGTCCTTGTAGGTGGTATGGTGTGTCTTCTTCTGGCCCTCGAGGATGGTGGTGTCAAACATCCCTGGCACAGCAGTGTCCCAATCGGGTTGCTGGTCGGGTTCGGACTCCTCATGATCTTGTTTGCCCTGGTGGAATGGAAACAGGGCGAAGGGGCCATGGTCGTCCCCCGCATCATCAAACGCCGAAGCATTCTCGTCCTCGCTCTATTCAACCTGACCGCGCAGGGGTCCGGATTCGCGCGGGTCTACAATCTGCCCATCTTTTTCCAGGCCGGTCAAGGCCAGTCCCCATCCGAGTCGGGTATTCGCACGCTGCCCACCGTGCTGACCACTTGTAAGTGCGCCTTGCCTTGTTCCATGCCCTGCGTCTAACATACCCCTCACCCCCCAAACCAGCCATCTTTAGTTTCGTCGGTTCAATCCTCCTTGGGAAGGTCGGCTTCTATCAGCCCTTCCTCATGCTAGGGGCCATGTTCGTCACGGTCGGGACCGGACTGATCTACACCATGGGTCCGACTGCGACGGCCGGACAATACATCGGCTACCAGGTGCTGGCCGCCATCGGCTCCGGACTCGTTATCCAGCTCAATGTCATCGTGGCCCAGGCAATCACTCCGCGCGTGGACATGTCCATCACGCTGGCGACTGTTCTTTGTGAGTCAACTCCGTTTCGCATTCCCCACTACGGAATGGCCCTCTAATAGTCGTAGTCTTCCAATTCATCGGCGGCACAGTCGGAGTCTCAGCCGCCACTAACATCATGAACAACGTCATTATCAACACGCTGACCAAGGAGAGCCCCAACATCTCTGTCGTGGACGTCCTGGCCGCTGGTTCCACGGGACTATCGCGTGCATTCCCTCGCAAGGAGGATCTCGATGCGGTGGTGCATGCGTACATGAACGGTATCAAGGCCGGATGGATCTGGTGTATTGCGCTGGCGGGGTTGGCATTCTTGGTCTCTTTTGGCGCCGAGTGGAAGAGTGTGCGGCCCGAAGACGTGAAGAAGAGACGCGAGCAAAAAGCGGCGGCTGCGTCCGCGAGTCCTTGAGTGCGCGTATAGTCATACTGTGGATGAACTCTTGCAATAGTGCCTGTGAATACAGCCAAAACTGTCAGTAACTAAGATAGACCATTAACTATAAGCTCCAAACGAGGATTCTGAGAGATTCTATTGCAGAGTACCAAGCTTAGGGCTATGATACATCTTCTGCATATTCCTGCTTATGTATAATAAGAGAAGTCCCATGCGCAAGGACATGTGGTAAAAGACCCTTCTATCTGGGGCCTGCAGGTCCTGAAAAGACCCCTTGCATTATATAGCTTGATTATAATACAGGGTTTAGAAATGAGAGAGCTTACGCTAAAATGAGCGGTTCAATGGGTTTCGAAGGCTACAGCGGACCCGTCAAACCCTAAATGATAGTTCGATATGGTCGCAAATAGGTCCGACGGTGCGGCCAAATTTACATGTAAGTGTAGCCAGATCCTGGGCATTCTTATACCAAAGTGTAGGACCTGAAGGGAAAGAGCAGCTCCAAAGCCTTTCAACACTGTCACAAGGTATCCGCACTGCTAGTGTTCCAAGAGCTGGGAAAACAGTAAGATGATCTGCTCCCTTGTTGATTACGCTAAACAATAGCTGCCAATCAGTACTGCAGATACCCGAGGGCTTTGGTATCTCAAAGTATTCAGCCATCACTCCTGACATCCCATCATGGAGAGGTATCTTTACATGGTGCTGAGGGTTAGTGGTCTTGCAGGTGTTCCTGCCAAAAAGAAGCTAACGTTTGCTTAAAAGAGCAGATTAAATAGTGCTATGGTGGCACAACATGCGCTTTCTGCTACAATACCGCAATTTCGTACATCCCTTCATAAGAATTATGATTACTCTCTATCACGTAGTCTAAATCTATTATTACACTATTTCTTCTTCCAGTTCTTCGGTACCCTCGTCGCCCAGTAGAGCACCACTGCGGAAATGATGTTAAATGTGACAAAGGCCCAGAGAATTCCAAAGTTCCTCCACCGCGATTCAAAGTCCGCGTCGTAATGATGCAGAAACACATTTGTGCTTGTAAATGGGCAGTACTGGCACGTCCGAGCTTCCTCATCAACCAAGTACCCACCTGCCAAGGATGTAAACCCTTTCATGTACTCTCCACACGTCAGGTTCTCTGGGGCATTGAAAACCTGGTACTCGTTTGATGCGCACGTCATTGGTGCATTGGCTAGGGAGGTTGACAGTAGGCCGCTGATGAGGTACGTCAAGGGATTAATTCGGTACATGAAGATCCAGAAACCAGGAAGGGCTTGATGAGTGGTAATGACTCTGAGGATCATGTTAACATCGAACTAGGTATTCAAGGGCAGACTCAAGAACCACATACCCGCAAAATAGCAAGAGGAGCTCAAATATGATCGTCGCAAGGCCAGAAGCGGCATCTGCAGTCTCAAGCCCTGCGATGAGTAAATGCGCGAGGCTGCTGGACCACAACATGCACACCCAGATAAATAAGCATGCTAGTGTTCCTCGAGAGTGCACCTGACCGGTTGGCTATTCGTTATGCCAGAGTCCGATGGGGTAATACCAACATAAGAAGCAGAAAATACCCATTATCTGGTGGGAGAATTGTGTTTGTCAGACAGTGGGTTCAACTCGTTCCATGTGAAATAGGCAGCTTACTGAGTTCCAAGCGAGCTCGACAAATATATTTGCCAACATGAATGCCTTCCAGCTGTATGTTTTGGAAGGTCTCTCACGCGCTTCGTACAATGTACGCTGCGTAACAAAGACCGGAATGATTTGCGTGACCATTTGCAAAGCGACTGCAAGGAAGATAAAGACACCAAACAGCTGGTTCTGAAGGCCTTGTTGGGTAGATTGAGCTCTAAGGAATGAAAATCCAATAAACAGTGCCTGGAGGAAAATATTAGCAGAGTCAACAGGAGGTGCTGCTTTGCCTCAGCTAAAGAACATACCGCTCCAACAGTCAGCACGGCTTTCGAGTATATATACCCGGGATTTCGCCAGTACTGCTGGAACAAACGCTTCGTAACTTGCCAGAGTTGTTCGCTAAAAACTGCCGCAAATTCCCCACTACCTGTTGAGTAATTGGGCACTGCACTGGACACAGATATGCCTTGTTTCAGGTCTTGGAGATGATCCTGCACAGCTTTTTGTTCGGGACTGTTGTTCCAAATTTCCGGCCAGTTCAGGTTTGACGCAGAATCAAATGACCCAGTAATAACATTTAACATATACTCCGCGGGATTTGCTCCTTTAGGACACGGTGGGGCGCCGTTGCGAGCGAAGTAATTCAACAGGGTTCGTGCGTCGTCACCGATGTCACCAAAATAGACTGTCTTTCCACCTTTGGCAAGTAGAAGCAAGCGGTAGAAACGCTGAAACAACATAGCAGAGGGCTGGTGAATAGTACAAAGAATGGCCTGACCACTTTGTGTGAGCTTCCTCATCAAAGAGATAATAGACCATGACGTCTGACTATCCAGACCAGAAGTAGGCTCGTCAAGGAAACAGCTGTCACGCAACGCGCCTTGTCAGTAATTTGCCCGAGGTCACAACTTACAGAAGTTGGGGCCTTGCAGCCAGTTCAACACCGATTGTGAGTCTTTTGCGTTGCTCGACATTTAATCCCTCACCGGGAACACCAACCACTGCATCAGCAAATGCATGCATTTCAAGTAAATCGATCACGGTGTTAACGTAATCCAACTTTTCCTGTCTCGTGAACCCATTGGACCAAGTCATCTGACTCCAATCTGTTGATATGTAGGATGAATCTGGATCTTAGGTTTCGGCCGAGTCCTTTGTGCCTCACAAGCGGCTTACATGAAAATTGGCCAAGGCCTTAAAGTGGTACAGCCTTGTCTTATAAGTCTGCTGGGATGCTTGAAATAATAGTAAGAAAGGTAATCTAGATACTGTCTCGCGGACCAAAACAGCCAAGACCGTGCTGGACTTCGCCTGGGCATTATAATGGTTTCGCAGCCTAATAATGCGAGAGGCAATTAAGCCATGACAGGCGTTGATGAAGGTTTAAGTATATTTTCCAGGAAATGGAAGATTCTGCATGTATGTACTTGGAGAATACAGTTGTTGTAGCCAGCATATTGCTTTGATGATGGGTTAGGGTAAGTGAAATCACTACTATTTATTATACTGTAGAACTGGGATGTAAGAGCCATGTTATTGCAAAAACCACCATGCAGAGTAAATACATTTGGAACGGATTTTACATGGATTCCTTAATTTTTTATTCAAGGACTTCCATCGGCAAGTTTTGCCATGTTCATGAACATCATGCAATATGACCAAGTAAAATGACTATGGACAGCTTCTATTTGGTGCGGATTGTGGTATTGCATAAGGCGTCATCCTTCACTGCAAGGACAGCGCACTCAGCGTCATGCCAAGAATGACTGGTCATTTAGCACCCATTCAGTGAAGGCTGGCAACTGTGCTTAAGTAGACCAGTTCTCCTTTTAAGCCCACGATAGACTATGGGGATTTCTCCTGAAGCGAGTCAACCAGGCCTGAATGGTAGAAGATATCAATAGTTCAGAGAAAGACAGAAAACAACTCCTGGACGAGACGTTAGTATAATCAAGCAAAATGCGCTCTATTTTCCAGATCTCTCTTTTCACTTCACTCGCTCTCTCCATCGCAGCGAGGCCGGTCATTGATCAGATTGTGGTCGGGAGCCACTATACCTTGGCATTTGTCTCCGTCGAAGAAGACGGGAAAGTCGAGGCAACGGGGAATGCAGGACTATATTTATGCTCAGAAGCAGGATTCCGGGGAACTTGCATCCATTACACCACACCTTGGGGAGAGTGCAGTAGGTCTACCTCAACCAGCAGCAAGGATTGGCGAAAGACATGACCTAACGTGTTCTCACACAGCAAACATATGGCAGACTTTTCCCCCAGGCCGGCATGAGGGAGTCTCTGCCGCCGGAGCTGATCCTGGTAACTGGTGCACTTTGTACACGTGAGCGTCCTTCACCCCGTAGCAAATGTGCCTATTAGATGCAGCTACTGATCTTTTTTATTTATATTTAGGCAAGAGAACTGCCGTGGCCGTGAGCTTCAAATCTACTATCCGGGTTACAAGGATCTCAGAGAGGTGAGCTTTAACGATAAGGCCGCCAGTTACAACTGCGCTGCGCTTTGATGAGCTTGAAGTGTATCTGGAAGATCGGGAATTGTTATGTGAGATGACCGACAGCGCTGAGTTTTGACGCTCGACTTGGTTTGCAGCAAGTGCACAAGGCAGATATATGGAGGGCATTTTTTGGTAAAGCCAAATTAAAGAAAGTCCTATAGAGACATCACAGTGCATCGCAAGCATCAGTAACACAGAGATAGTCCTGTACTATATATGGCCTGGAGTTGCTGAAGATGCCAGGTACTGACCTCTAGCTATTACTGTGAGTGATCAACTCAGGACGGCACCCAACCCAGCCACCTCAAAGCACGAGATTACTGTGGTAGTCTATACGTAAGCGAAGTATTGTAATCTCAGTCTGTGCTGCCTCATTCCGATGTAAGGATCTAGATTGTCGCTTAAGCATTGAAGTGGAAGAAGGGAAAAGCTTAGCAGATCCAAGTGCCCGTTCCAGCTCTTATTTGATCTGCGAGATTGTTCGTGCCTTTCCTTTCCTTCGCCCATCTGCTGGGAGTTGGGACAAAGATGCAGTAAATCAATAGCTGGACGGCATACTTGGAAATCCGACGGACGTTGATCGCCTGATAGCGTTTACCTCAGAAGATGCCGAGATTGCTACACAGGTTGGTCATAGGTTCTTGAAGGGACTTGGCTCTCTGGCAACTTTCTAACTTCCTCCAGAACCAGCCTATTGACCGGATTTTGTGGTCATCCTGGGATATGGCATCATGTTGGAAGGGATTGCAGAAAGTCGTACACATACCCTTGCCATCAACTCTGGATTCAAATAGCTCTATCATCGTCAAGTCTGAGCAAGAGTCACCCTGATTGGTTTGGACACTGCTGTATCTGACATTATAGAAAAAGAGTCTTGGTGGCAGGACGTCACAGGAACGGTTGCAAGGAAAAATGAAGAGAGGAACTCGAAACGGAGAATTGATTGCAAAATCAAAAGCAGAACGCCAGAGCTGAATAATCACAGAATCCCAATTCTCCAGCTGTACTCCTTGACCCGTAGGCAATAATATGCCCCAATCAGGTTTGTGGCTTGGAAGCGTCCGGTCGTTTAACTAGGATAACTCTTTAATCTCTGAAGAGTGATGTGGAACGATACTAGACGTGGTAATTGACCGGTCCCACTTCATGAATGCTGGTTCCTACGTGATTTCAGTAAGACAAACCATCACCACAACCCGCAACAGGATGGTCATATGCTCCTTCAGCGCAAGCTCTAGATATATACAGTTCTCATAAGCTGTTTTACCTCCTCCCAACTGATTAATACGACTATTTGGAACCCTCGTAGAGCCTCGCTATTTAATCGAAAATTCACTCGTTTTTTTCTTCTTTTTTCTTTTACAGGGGGGTCAGAAGGGAAAGATTAGTATACTAGAAAGAGGGGGAGGGAGGGAAAAAAAGAAAAAAGAAAAAAAGAAAAAGGAAAAAGGAAAAAGAAAAAGAAAAGAAAAGCCCATAAAATTGATCTTAAAAGCTCAGCAAACGCAAACAGCGTATAAGATGAACCGTCTCTCACTTGATTGCCGTTCAACCACAGTGATCCTTGCTCAAAACATATGGACAAGGAGGACTAGCAAGTCAACTGATCTGTTTCCCAGCGCTGATCCGAAGGATATCTTCAATTGCAGTTCTTTCTGGAGGTTCCTCCCAGTCCCCGCGCCAGGAAACGTGCAAATCTGGCCTTAGCAGAACTGCGTCCCGCTCCCAGATCTGTCGGACATGAGCTTCGCCCGGAAGATGAACCGTACGTAGCGGTACCTTGAGCTCAGTCGCGATGGTAGCAAACTTCTTTGCGTACAGACCATCAGCCGTGAAATCTACCAGAGTATAGTCAGGGCCCAACAGATCGTAGACTGCGGTTACACCGTCGTTGAGGAAGACGTGGGGCGCCCGGGCGCCCGGCCACGTTGAAGGATGGTAATGTCGCTGAGTCCATTCTGGCTCCTTCTCTGGTCTGCTGTCATAGACGATAACAGGAGACATAACGTTTCGATATCCCATCTCGATACCAAGAGACTTGTTTTCCCCGTCGTTCGCTAGAACATGTGCCCTAATACGCTCACGAAGTTCCCTTCCGTCTAGCGCATTAGTTCGAACGAGACCCGGAGTACCCTGGCGGACCCAAGTAACGTAGTCCAAATGGACCTCCGCATTGCTGCGGGACATGGCGACATTTCGAATGGCAACAGGGCGGCGCTCAATCTCGTACGAGTCTAGCAAGGCTTCACCCCCTTGAGAGTTGAGAAACATTGCTAGCTTCCAGCCGATATCATATGCATCTCCCACTCCCGTGTTCATACCATATCCCCCGAACGGAATATTCTGATGGGCTGGTCCGCGTGAGTCATAATAATTAAAGCAGCTTTTGGCTTCTCAAGGGGGATATTACCTGAATCTCCTGCAAGAAACACCCTTTTGCCCCTTGACCGATATTKGTTCGCAACCGATAGATTGGCCCTCCACGTGCTAGTGACAAGGATCTGGTCGATTTTGAACTTTTGTGGGGGTCCAGCATCTCCAAGCGCGGCATATACCATCTCTTCAGGGTTGAGATCGTTTGCGTCTGCTTCCGATGCCAAGGGGATGTGCACCGTCCATGTATCCTTTTCGTCCTGATTAATGACAACCGCACCCTGAGACAGAAATAAGTGCCAGAACTGTCCCTGTCGATGGAGGACGTCCAGGGCCTTGGACTTGAAGTGTACTAGCAGCGTCGGCACCGAGCTATAATGCGAATTCGTATCAACAGTCTGTGGAGAGCAGGCGAAGATGCGGGTGAACAAGCACGTACATTGGAGTACCAGTGAGCTCAATCCCAGCGGACTTTCTCACCCGACTTCCTGCCCCATCGCATCCGATTACATACTGGCTGGAAATGATGTATTCAACCCCGGAATCTATGTTTGTGACGGTAGATTCTACCCGATCATCAAATTCTTTCAAGGAATTGAATTTGATACCTGAAAAGCACTCCACCAAAGGCTCTGCTTCCACAATAGGTTTGAGCCAGGCCTCGAATATGCTCTGCGAGCAACGCAAATAAGCCTGACTGGGCATCGTTCCGTCATTCTTCTCATGGATTTGTTGCCACATATTTTTCGGCGAGGGGAGATCCTAAAAGGCTTCAGTTCCTGTTGTTGTCCTTTTCTTCTTCCCTTTGCACGGCAGAGATAGATAGATAGATAGCTCACCCATTTGGCAATAACTTCCCCCCCATCGGAGATTCCTGTACTGAACAGACACTTCAGAGAGAATTGCTGAGGCACGCCTAACAGACCCCGCCAATTTTAGGAACGAGCCAGCGCTGAGAGACGGAAATACCCACCTTGTTCCCTGAGCTTTTCAGCTAAGCCGAGACGAGCCAAAAGCTCCATCGAGCGCGCATTCGTAATGTCCATTTTGGGCCATCTGGTGGTTTCATAATTCCTTTCGACAAGGACGGTGCGGATTCCACGCCTCGCCAGGTGGTATGCAGTCACCAGGCCGATGGGACCAGCGCCTACCACAAGCACAGGGGCTTGAGCAAGAGTTGGCCTGCTGTTGTCTTCTGCGACGGAGCCCTTTTTATCGTTATTAGCCATTTTTGCCGCTATAAATCTCCATGAGTCACCTCGCACCATGATGTAGGAGCGGTTGAACACAATCCTTTTTCCACTTTTAAAGTCGTCTTCGGTGCACTCACGATGACTTGTATTTAAATAGGTAACCAAGTTGGGGAGAGCAACGTAAATGAGCTTAACCATGATTTGTCGAACGGTAATAACCATATCATTGCATTAAGCTTTAACCTCCGTGTAAGTGGCGAAACGCCGGGCTGGGACCACAACGGGCAATTGCCCGTCCCCACATCATCAACCAGCTGTGGTTAATCCCCGCCGCTATTTTCAGCATAACTGGACTTAGCCAATAAGCTCAGCCATGACTCTACTGAAGTAGCTTTATATCCCGGTCTCAAGCCACTTAGGGAGTTCACTGAACGAAGCTGCGGCGACAGAGCTGCTCTGGTACCATACAGGTTTATGTAACTTTTGAGATGAATCAGTCGACACAAGCAGCTGCCATTGGGTAGCCAGGGGGATGGTCCCCGTGGTAGCTATGCTGCATAAGAAGATTTATCCTACACAGGAAGAGTTAATTTATAAAATCCACACGTGGGCAGCTTATAATGCCCGCCTTTGCCTAACTATTCGAAAATGCAGGTGTTCATGGCAGTAGAATGCTCTATGTCTCTCAGAATGTAAAGACACCCTAAATTCACCATGATACTGGTTTTTTTTACTGTCCAGACCTTTTCTACACGTCTGACCGTCCTGCATGCAGCCACCATCCTCAAAGTTAATGGGGATGGTACTTCCTTCTCAGGCAGGTCGCCGCTACTGCCCGTGGCCTGATCGAACTGCGAGCGGTGACAATCCCCAAACGGGGGACGGCTCCGGATTGTGACAGCCGGGCCTTGTCCCAAAACTGTGGGGAGATGTTTCTTATAGTAGCTGGTCCGGAACTTTATCTTGAGGCAAGGTAGAGAACGTCTTTAAAAAAGCTGGTATTGACCTAAGCAAGCAATACCATGAAGGAATCCCTTATGCACTCTACACGATTCTCTCGCATATCAACTACACTATGTCGCTACCTATTCTCTCTCTGACGGTTATACTTGCCGTCATTTATGTCCTCTACGTATTGCTCTTCGTCGGCCATAGGGAGAGGAACCTCCCACCTGGTAAGGGCACTGTCTGCTAACGTTGACGGCAGTATGAAGAACAAAGGCTGATTTGAATGAAACTCCTTGGTAGGGCCACCAACACTGCCCATCATTGGCAATGCCCATCTGATTCCCCGCAAGGGAGCACACTTTACGTAAGAACCGAGATCCTCAAGTCTAGTGCAATCTCGCAACCACAGAGTCATTGAGATCTAACTGACACCCTTACCAGGTTCATTGAAATGGCCAGAAAGTATGGTGGCATGTTTTCTCTCAAGGTCGGGTCAAGCACGATTATTGTACTCAATGATCGACGGATTATCAAAGAGGTATTGGACAAGAACAGCGCAATATCCAGCAATCGACCGCAATCATTTGTTGCCCGCACCATTACAGGTGGTGACCATCTGTTGATTATGGATGCTGGCGCGCCATGGCGGACGTTTCGGAAATTGTTGCACCAGGAGTTTATGGCGTCCAAGTGTGACAAGGAGCACATCCACACGCAGAATGCCGAAGCAATCCAGATGCTACGCGACTTCATTCACTTTCCGAAAGAGCATATGTTACATCCCAAGAGATATAGCAATAGCATCATCATGAGTCTCCGTGAGTAGGATCCAGATAAATAGGGTGTGGCAGTTATGTCTTGCTGACTTGCTCCTTGCCTTTTCGTGCAGTCTATGGGGTGCGAACGCCTTCATTTGATACGCCCCACATGCAGCGACTCTATGAGCTCATGGAACACTGGTCCTCGATCTTAGAAATTGGAGCCACCCCACCGGTAGACGTCTTCCCTTTTCTCAAGTTCATCCCGGAACGGTTTTTCGGCAACTGGTGGTCCCGAATTCAGGTCGTCAAGAGAGAAATGGAAAGTCTCTACGGTGACATGCTGCGACATGTAATGCGCCGTCGACAGACCAACGGCAGTCTGAAGTGCTTCATGGATAAGGTTCTCGATCAGAATGAGAAACTCGGGCTCAGTGATCACCAGCTCTACTTCTTGGGCGGTGTAGCGATGGAAGGCGGATCAGATACTTCTTCTTCGGTAATCAATTCGTGCATCCATGCCTTGGTCCATTTTCCTGAGGTCCAGAAAAAGGCCCAGGAGGAAATCGACCGCGTGGTGGATGAAAGTCGTACTCCCACCTGGTCTGATTTCGCAGCTTTACCGTACGTAACTCAGGTTGTCAAGGAAGCACAACGGTGGCGATCGGTCGGCGGCCTGGGAGTACCTCACGTACTTACTGAAGGTAGGAGCTTAACTGTTTAATTTTCTGAACGTTACGATTATTCATCTTGCTAACTGTCTCAGACCAGTGGGTTGACGGCAAGCTTCTCCCCAGGGGAGCCGCCATCTTCACAAGCGCCTGGGATATCCACCATGACGAACAACGTTACCCAAATCCCGACGTGTTCGATCCAGACCATTATGCAGGCTACAACATGCTGGCCTCTGAGTATGCAAATTCCGCCGACTATAAGAATCGCGATCACTATTCGTTCGGAAATGGGCGCCGTTTATGCCCGGGAATACACCTAGGAGAGCGAAATATCTTCTTGGGGATCTGCAAGCTTCTGTGGGCCTTCAAATTCGAGAAGGCTGTCGACAAGTCTGGCGAGCCCATTGAGACTGATATCAACCCTGTCACAGCGTATTCTGAAGGCTTTTTGATTACCGCAAAACCATATCCGTGCAAGATCACTCCACGCTCTGAGAAACGGGAAGAGACTATCATGCGTGAGTTTGCCGAGGTGGAAAAGACTGTGTTTGCAAAATATGAGAATGTGTAGCCAGCTATATCGAATTCAAAGTTATGAGCATCATGACATTGGGTGGGATTCGTCCCCATACTGCGGATAGGACCATACCATACTAGTTCTCCTTGGGCATAGACTCAGCGTCCCTTTGCCGATTTGACCTCGTAATTTTGAGTCAACCATCTCTTTCTCGTCAATCGCTTATGACTCTCCTTCGCCTTATTGACTACGGAGATCCCAGAGATCAGCAGTCAGGGCAACTTGTCCTAAAATACTTCAATGGATTACGTAGGCCTATGACTTCGGGCTGGGGAGGAAAATCTAAGCAATGAATAATTGGGATCTTCGACGCTTTGTTGGCATCGAGGAATGATCACTGGATATAACGGCAACCCTGTCTAACGTATACATTGAGTACTAATTGCTCAACTTATTCCATAAGCAAGGGTACGCTTCTGCCACTAGCTGCTATTCTGGAGTGTACGAAATATACCTTATACCTCTGCTCATTCTAGTCACTTCAGACATAACTCTATTTTTGCACGTCTCTAGCACATACGACCACAGGAAGTGGAGAACAGGCTTCCCGTCCGCTCAGCCCTACTTAAGCCAGTATTATCAACGCGGCCAGAAGTTATATGGGCCCTACATGGCCTGCTGCTTTAGGGGTGAGAGACGCTCAACCTCAGGGTGAGTGTGGATGAGTGAGGGTGAGCTGAGTGATGCTATCCATCTGCACGAGTGAGCGTGGGTGATCTGTGGGTGAACAGTAAAATCCAAGAGCTCCTTTTGTACAAATAGTCCGCTGTACGGGTTGCGCTAATGCAAGTTACTAATAAGACTCCGGTGGTCCGGCCATAATAACCTAGTGAGCACATCAAGGGAGCTTTAGTGGCCATCGAACAATATCCCATCTAATTCTGTCATACGCTAAGATTAACTTATTCTCTTACTGATAAGTAGGCCAGTTAAGCCAATCCTATACTAGGATAAAGAGACTAAGAATGCTCCCTTGCACCTTCATAGACCTTACAGCAAGACTACAGACATTATGAGGCCGTTGTAACAGGTGATATCATACACTGGAATGGTGAAAGGTAAAAATATAACCCAAACCATATCCGCTGCGTTACATGCACCATGTTAATATAGTGAGCAGAAGGCATATATGTACAGAGTAAAGCGTAAGCATCATGCATGTCTCCCAGTTATGCACCCTAGCTAACACCATCTCTAGCTGAAGATCCAAATTTCCCAAAATGAAAATGCACTCCGGGGTCTAATGCTACATGAGGCCCCATTGTAGCGCCCTGATTGGCTGGGTGTTAGTGAGCAATGTTGCATTGATAGACAGGCGTAACTGTCTTCTCCACGCGTCCAAATATCCTGTACAACAGGTCCACATTCCATAAACAGCCTACAGTGGACAGTTACGCAAGGTACATAACCGCCCTCCGCCCTTCTCTGGATGAAAACCTCAACAATCCTGACTGTGTTAAAGACATCTATTTCCCTTTTGCAATCTTTGGCAATGAAGGCACCTTTTGGTATCTTACAATACATCGTCAGTCTGGGTACGCCCACCAACTCTGGCTGCGGAAAGCCACTGCCTGAGCATTTCCTTCCTGGAGGAAGCTATAAGACGCACATCAACACAACGGATGGTCTCCGGGACTATATCATCCACATTCCGTGCAGCTATGATGAGAATAGAGCAATCCCGCTCATCTTCTCTTTCCACGCGAGAGACAAAAACGCTGAATACCAGGAGCAGCTTTCGCAGTTCAGTAATGTAGCATGGAATCCTGATGCTATTGCAGTCTACCCCCAGGGGATCGATGTACGTGTCTTGAACTCTCCCTACTTATTAAGATGTGGTTATTAATCTATGAACACATACAGAATCAATGGCAAGGAGATCCAGATTCTCACGGAGTCGACGACGTGGGATTTACTCTGACAATGCTCGACCACTTCGAGGACAGATACTGCATCGATTCATCACGCGTCTATGCTACTGGTAAATCAAATGGCGGGGGCTTCACAAACCTCCTAGCCTGTGATGCAAAAGCCTCTAAACGTATTGCAGCATTTGCCCCTGTTTCAGGAGCTTTCTACCAGGATGTAGCCCCGGCCGACTGCAATCCTGAAACCGTGCCAATCGAATGTAGCCCTGGACGGGATGTAATCCCGATCATTGAGTTCCACGGTTCGGCTGATCCGGTAATACCATACAATGGAGGTAGTAGACGAGGAGAGTGTCTACCTTCTTTACCGCATTTTATTCAGGATTGGGCAAGCAGGGACGGACTTGGGGAGCAGAATCAAACAACAAGCCTTTACAATGGTAGTGTCTTGGAATATCAGTACGGCTCGGGAACAGACTTGGGAACTGTGACTCATTATTGGATTGAGGGACTGGGTCATGCTTGGCCTAGCACAGATCCGAATTGTGACAATCTCAATGGGACTTATCTAAACGCGACTCCCATGATCATGGACTTTTTCAGTCGCTGGACCTTGCCCTAGCAGTATATTTGATACACCACGAGCTCAGAGGACTAGCAATAACCAAACTGGGTTCAATGAAGTAATACAACAATAGGAACTGGCGATCGGAAACCTGGAAAGCGACAGAATGAATTGCTTAAAATCTCTAGCTAGCGGAATTCTTAGATCTTTTGGAGGCGAGCTGGAGGCCCCTGAACCTCCTTCTAACCGCAAGCGACCTCAACCTTCAGCAGAATAACTACGACTCCGGGCCTCGCGTAGGCAACCAATGCGGATCGCTGACTAGTCTGCATTGCACTTCCTAACGAGAAATTGTGGAGATTAGTAGCTAGCTGAGCGGACGGAGGAATTCCGAAAAGTAGTATACACGCGGGTCAGGGCGCTGGTCTGTGACAATGTTCTCTATCACGCTCCATTGTTCTTCCTGCAATCCCCAGTGATTGTAAACTCTGCTGCAGCTCAAGCTCCTTACGTTTCAATTCCCCCTTGGATGAGGCCGTTTAGTCGCATGGGTGATGAGGATAGGAAAGATATATAGATAAAAGCGAAATATACCTATCCCGCGCACAAAACCAGCCATAACCAACTACAGGTTAAAATGGCCAAATTTGTGCGGCTGGACACTAATTACCTCCAAAAGTATGTTTGCTTTTTTCCTCATACGCTGACCTTCAGGCTGCCAATTGAATTACCCCACTTTTTAGCGCTGATCGGGATTATATGGGCCTCGATTGCCTGTCACATTGATCGTCGGGGAAAGCATCAAAGTTTAATGCTCACGGCAGATATAACTTTTCTTCTTTGTCTACGAGCATCTGCACCGTCATGCCTTCTCACTCGTCTTCGTCCTTCTTCTCCCGCTTAAGGCATAAGGGTTCCAAGAAGAAGGGTGATGTTTCAGCTGAGGCGCCTCCGGCTAATGCCAAAACAACAACCCACAAAACCATCGATGACCTTCTTCAAAATGCTAGTCCCGCTGCTGTTGCAACGGCCTCTACTTCTGGGAGCAAAGAAATGACCCACGATATAGCTGAGAACTTGTGGAACGCGGCTTACAATGGCCTGAAAGTTGAGGAAAAGGAGCTGGTCGACGCCTACGAGAGGATACTGTCTCGTGAACTCGATGATCCATCCTCTGCGGACGCCGAAAGCAATAAGATTGAACAAAGCGATCCTCGGAAGAGGCAGTTACAGATGGAAGAACTCGTCCGAGTCGGCACGAAGAAGTTAGAACGAGGAGACAAGGTGAAGTTGGGTACTGGGAAAGCAATGCAGGGCATTCTTGCTTTGAATAATACTATTGGGGCGGCGCTGCAGCCAGTTCCCCAAGCAGCCCTTGCCTGGGTAGGGGTTTCCTTTGCTTTACAGGTCAGTTTTCTGTATCTCTAGGTGGCATCCTCTCTGGGGAGTATTCGCTAATCCACCGAATAGATACTTGTTAACCCGACTACGGAAACTATCGCGAATCGTGGGGGAATCAGTTATGTTGCTGCGCGGATGGACTGGTATTGTGAGCTGTCGCAACTACTGCTCAGGGAGAACACAGTGGATGGGGGCTTGTCTGCAGGCCTGCGTTCCAAGTTGGAGGGCCGATTGATCGATCTCTACAAGCTCCTCCTATCGTACCTCATGAAGACTGTCTGTTCTCTCTATCGGAATCGCGTTGTTAACTACCTCCAGGATATGATCAAGCTCAATGACTGGGACAGCAACTTAAAGGCAATTCAAACCGCTGAAAAATCCATTCAGCAGGATTCTGCCGATTACACTACCCAACAGATAAAATCCCATCTGGAGCAGCTGGTCAGTTTTGCTCACAATCAAGAGACGGAACTTCTCTCCAACCTCGAGCAAGCACTTCAGAATCAGACCAAGCTGCAGAAGGAGATGAAGGACAAGGAGGAGGACAACAGGTTGCTTAAGGACCTTTGTCTGACAGATCCCAGAGATGACATCGCACGTATTGAACAAACCAAGGGCGGGCTACTTGAGGGCTCGTGTGCTTGGATTCTTGAGCGTCAGGATTTTATCGACTGGAAAGACGGAGATGGATCTGGCCTGTATTGGATCAAAGGCGGGCCGGGAAAGGGCAAGACGATGCTTTTGATTGGCATTATCCAGGACATGCTGCGAACGGCACAGGACACCAGCCTAGTGTCCTTCTTTCTCTGCCAGAATACCGACCCGAAGCTCAACAGCGTGACAGCTATACTCCGAGGTCTCGTCTATCAACTTGCTTTACAAGAACGAGCTCTTATACCGTATATCCGCTCAGACTACGACAGCCGGGGACGGTTGCTGTTTGAAGACACCAATGCATTCTTTGCGTTGTCGAGAATTTTGTCCAGAATGCTCAATCACCCAAACCTGCCCAGGGTCTATATTATCATTGACGCATTGGACGAGTGCGAGACGGATTTGCAACCATTACTTATGCTCATTACAGAATATGCCTCGTCGTCACGGCTGCGGTGTCTTGTATCTAGTCGACCCAGAGACGAGATTAGGAGTCTCCTAGGCGTCAGCGGCTGCTGCACCGAGCTAGACCTCGATGAAAACGCGCTGGAGAATGTAGAGACTGCGGTGAGAGCTTATATTGACTACGAGATAACAGAACTTACGCAGCGGAAAAGATACAGTCCGAAGCTCCATCAAGAAGTAAAAGATTATCTCCAACTTCATGCGGACGGCACATTTCTCTGGGTGGCTCTGGTCTGCCAGCAGCTACGGAAAACACTTCTCTGGAAGACGTCGTCTGTGCTGAAATCGTTTCCCTCAGGTTTGGAGCCTTTATATCAACGAATGATGGGGGAAATGCATCACCTAAAAACAGAATCACCGGAGACATTTGATTATTGCCGACGTATCCTTGGGTCTATTACACTTGCCCTGCGGCCACTACATCTGACCGAGCTCGGTCTTCTGGTTGGACTTGAGCCAGAACTTGCTGAAGATCAAGCATCTCTAGAGGAGATTGTTGGATTGTGTGGCAACTTTCTAGTTGTCCGCAAAGAAATGATCTATTTTGTCCATCAATCAGCCAAAGATTACCTCACTACTCATGGATACAAGGTGATATTCCCAAATTGCGACGCAGTCATCCACTCAGACATTGTTTCCCGCGCGTTGGAGGACATGTCGAATACATTGTGTCGGGATATTTGGGATTTGCGTGACCCCGGCTGCGCTGCGGAAGAGATTGAAACTCCTGTTCCAGATCCGCTTCGATACGTTCGATACGCATGTACCTATTGGATCGATCATCTCTGTGAGCTTGACGCATATACTCAACAGAGCTTGGGACTATGCGATAATGGCGCAGTCAGTGCATTTTTCCAGAAACATCTCCTGCATTGGCTGGAGGCTCTAAGCCTGCTAAGGAGTATAACAAGTGCAGTGGATATGCTAACAAAATTGGAACAGTGTCTTGCAGTAAGTTGCAGTTCTTGTGACTTGGTATAGCAGGGACACAAAGATTAATTCCGCACAGGAAATACCACATGACACCGCTCAGCTTCTCTCAATCGTTACGGATGCAAAGCATTTTGTCGATTATTTTCAGTATGTCATCGGGAACGCACCACTACAGGTGTACATTTCCGCTTTGGTCCTCAGCCCTTCGTCAAGTCAAGTCAAGGCCCTGTTTGAAGACCAAGCACCCTCGTGGATCAGAAAGGCTCCACTTATGGATTCAGATTGGAAGTTGCACGTTCATATACTAAACGGGGATGTAGTCCAGCCGACGTCCATCGCATTCTCTCCAGATGGGCGAGTCGTGGCATCGGGTTCAGGTGATTCAACAATCCAGATATGGAACACAAACACAAAGGCAGTTCAACGGGTTTTGAACGGCCATAAAGAATCTGTAGACTCGGTAGCTTTCTCGCGCGATGGCACTTTACTAGCCTCCGGTTCGTGGGACGAGATCTTCGTCTGGAGCCATCAGACAGGGCAGGTAATAAAGACCTTGGAGGGCCATGGAGGCCTCGTGTCATCGGTGGCATTCTCCCATGACGACAAAATGTTGATTTCTGGCTCATACGACAACTCAGTACGCATATGGGATGTGCAGACCGGAAAACTCCACCAAATCCTTGAAGGCCATACCCGCCCGGTGACATGTGTTGCGGTTTCGGGACATTCCCAAGTTGCGTCTTGTGGGTATGATGGTACAATTCGAACGTGGGACGCGAACACAGGAGCTCTGAGGCACATACTGACGCCTGATTTGGGCGTCACCCGCTCTATATCATTCTCTCCTGACGGGAAATTCGTGGCCGCCGGCGCCGGCGAGGCGCTACAAATATGGGATGCCCACCACGGACAGCTTCAGGAAACACTCCAGCAAGGCACCACACAGGCAACATCTGTGGTCTTTTCCCCATCCGGGCAGCGCTTGGCTGTGGGATTCATGGATGGAATTGTTCAAATATGGAACGTTGGAACTGGGTCATGGTCACTGCTTCAAACAATGGAGGCAGGCGAAAGCGTACAGTCCGTAGCTTTCTCTGGTGACGGTCGCAGGCTTGCGCTTGCCTCCAAAGCGACAGTGCGTATATGGGATACTGAGATTAACGTATCGCAGGGGACCCTGGCAGGCCATACGTCGCCGGTTGGGCCAGTCACCGCGTCGCCTTGTGCAAAGTGGCTAGCAACTGGGTCGTGGGACTGTGCGGTTGGCCTATGGGACCGAGCAACAGGGCTGCTAGTGCGCACACTAAAAGGACATACATCCTCCATCGGCTGCGTGGAGTTTTCTCCCGATGGAAAGATCATAGCATCTGGGTCTGGTGATTCGACGATTAGAATTTGGGATACCCAAACGGGCGATACAATGCATGTTTTTACTGGCCACTCCGGCCCTATAGAGGTGGCGGTATTCTCGCCTGATGGAAGGAGAGTTGCATCTGCATCTTCTTATGACAATACGATACGGATCTGGAACCTACATAACKGGATTCTGGAGAGAACCATAGAGACCTACTCGCCGCTTGCGGTTGCCTGGTCTCAAAACGGGCTGTTACTTGCATCAGGCACCTCTGCGCGAGGTGTCAGCATATGGAACGCAGAGACAGGCGAGCTACAAGACAAGCTATACAGCAACGGAATAAGCTCGTCAGTTGCATTCTCTCATGACGGGCGTTACCTGGCCTGTGGCTTGTACGATGGTAGAATCATGGTATATAATGTAGAAACTGCGGTTCTGCAAGCCACCATTGACGTTGAATCGACGCCTTCATCCTTGAGATTTAGCGAAGACGGTTCAAATCTCTGCACTAGCTTTGCCCGCATTGCAATTGCATTGAACCAGACTCCGGCACAGGCCCTAATTGCGAATGCGAAACGGGTTGGATACGGCCTGGATTCTGATATCTCCTGGATTACGTGGAATGGTAGAAGACTCCTTCGGCTACCGTTGGAATACCGACTACGGGCACATCTAGTCCGAGATCAGGTCATTGCTCTTGCACATGGGTCGGGTCGGGTGATTATCTTTGAGTTTGAGGATGGTATATCGCCATTGTAATAGCTTGTCTTGCACTGTCGTTGTCATTGACATGAATGGAAATCCAATGCCTGAGCGGTTGATAACTGCAGCAGACGATTGCCCAGTTAAATATCTAGGTAGGCTCCTAAAAGGGAGAAACATCATCCGACAATAACAACGGCAGTATCAATCCATCGAGAAGAAGAACTCAAACTCATCCTAAACACCAAGTGAACCCTCCTTTAAGTTCCCCCGGTCATTTCCTTCAACCAACCCCGTCTCAGCCTTCGCAAACTCTCTCGTACGCACCCCTCGCTCAAAATAGGGCCTCCAGTAAAAAAGACGGCCTGAATCCCTGGGGCGTGTGAAATACCGTGTTACCCATAATCAAAGCCATTGGACCGGCAATACTTCGGACTTTTAAGTGGCGCGAGGAAAAAAAAGCCCAGATACGAAGCTGATGTATATCCTGTGTATGCCTCTGCAGGTGCACTAACCTTTCTGGTACAGAGAGCTAACTGACTGAAGGATCTTTCATTGCAAGACCTTGCTACGCAGACGTTCCTTTCCTCTCCAATTAATCGCCAGCGATCTTCTAATTAAACTATAGTAATAACCCTCAGTAAACCTGGCTGTGGTATAATCTTCTAGCACACTCACTCAAGTGTTTCTAGCTAAAGGATCGCCAGCTCAGCAACTGTAATAACACCCGTACAGGTGTAGATTTTATTTAACTAGGAAGTATTGCTAAGACCCTTGCTGGCAACAACAGTACTAGTGATAAGCTACCTGTAGATAGTCAAAATTAGTAAAGTAAATACCGGAAAGAGAGCGCTGAGTTTGTTAATATAGTACACCACACTAAGGAGGATCAGAGGAGAGAGTGTGGCATGCACAGTGAGGCGCTGGAGGTAGTCATGGAAAGAAATATAAGGAGGTGACTGAGAATGGAAATGAGTAATAGGATTGTTTAAGGATATTAGATTATTACAGGGAATTAAAACTCCATTTACGGAAACCAGCTCCCCAGGCATGTTTGGAGTAAGTGATCGGGAATAAGAACATGCCCATCGAGATATGACTCAAATATATTGCGGTACCAGCGACCAAGTACATGCCTTCTACATCTCTGCTCTGCACAATCGCCCTAACGAGTTTAGACCAGGCAGCAATACATAAGCACTAATTTGACCGATGCATATAAAGGATGCCGCGCCCCATAAATCCCAAACGTCCACTTAGAACAGAATATGTCCACCTCATCACAGTCTGCCCTCCCATACAGTGGCTCCTGCCACTGCGGGTTCATTCAATATGTGGCAGTAATTCCCCTGCCACCAGCCAAGGCGCTTGACCCCCACCAATCGACGCTATCGGGGGCGCGATTCTACAAATGCAACTGCACGACCTGCCAGAAAATGGGTTACTTTCATATGCGCCTCCCGGACGCAGCGAATCAATTTTTCGTCTTATCTCCGTCTGACCTGGAATCGATGGGTGACTATCGCTGTGGCAGCGGTCGCGTGCAGTGGTTCTTTTGTCCTAAATGCGGAGTGCGGTGCTTCGCGACCGCAGGGCCGTGGATGAAGGATGAGATCGACAGGGACCTGGTTGACAAGGCGATTTCGCCGAAGAGATTTGAAGGGAGTGATGGGCTGTCTGTGTGGAGGATGGATCCGGCTCTGTACCAGGAGCACAAGACAGGGTATGTGAGTGTCAATGCGCTCACCATTGACCAGGACCAGCTGCATGAACAGAGTCTGGATCTAAGGCAGTTGGTCGACCAGAAAGTAGTTGAGTATATGGATTGCAAGGATAGGAAGGTGGAGAAGAGATACACCTATCCTCATGAGGGGGGAACGTGGTGAGACAAGACAGTTGCTGCCTGAATAAGAGGGTTTGGTCTATGGGATTTGGTGGCCGGTGCGGCTCGAAGCTGGGAACACTTTCTTGTTGTTTACAAACATATTACAGTTGGGGTGAGAGTAATCTCCGTAGGATGACAGTTTTTGCAAAGAGGATTATTCATTATTTACAAAAATCTATATGACAAGTTGAACTAGGAATAGAATGGCGCTTACATGAAACATTAGGGATTATGTACGGTAGGAGCAGTGGTGGAGATAATTGTTTAGTGATTCTTATATCACCAAACATCAGATCAATACAACTAAAAGGCACCTTATTTCAACTCTATGAACATTATATTATTGGTAATCTTTCTACCTGGGCGTTGTTCTGTAATTTTATTAATTTAAAGGAAGGGACTGTAGTACTAGCAGAAGATCTGGACTAAGCTTAGATTATCAATTATTCCTATACTTAAGTATAGTAGAGTGACTAGAGTCGAAAGGCTTAAGCATAGATTGCTCTAAAAGTTTTTATGAAAGCTCACTATTTTATCCTTTTGACAGGTTGTGAGTCCAATTGGATAGGGAGAATGGCTGTGCACAGGTAGTGTAGAATAATCTTAGGGGTCACCAGTGGCCATATAGTTGGCTTGGGATGGACTAAAGAGTTCTTTTAACAATATACACAGTATTCAGGGTATTTAAGGGTCTAGGAAAAAATATATATATAGTCAAGGCAAGAATGTCAGACAATCACCGATTATTCCAGGCTGCTAGTTGCTGATTTGGTAGGACCTGGCCACTATAGATGGTGACGGTTCTTTCATCACTGCAAGACATGCTGGGCAATATGAGCTGTATATCCTCACAAATCCACATATCACGCACGCCTCCGCCAATAGTTCGATAGGCCCGAGAGGGTTTAACTCAGCTATCTGCATGCTTATTGGTTCAGAACTTGACTATACAGTGGCAGTCTGCCTCTGACGAAATGCAGAAAGTACATCAAATCCAATCAGACGCCGTTGGTAAACCCATTGCCGCCAGCCTCTGTGTCAATTCTCATCGAATCCATCAACCCGCACACCTCAAACAACCTCTTGGGTCCCAGTCCCTCAGGGATGCCTGTGATCCCCTCATTCTTCAACCTCTCCAGAGCAGCCTTGATGCCCAGATACGCAGGCGCCAGCGACGCAAACGAGAAGATCATAATCCGGAACCCCATCTCCTTGGCCTCCTTGGTCGTAATCAGCGGGCCGGCCCCATTCTCAACCATATTGAGCAGCAATGGCCACGGCGCCAGCTCCTGGACCGCCTGGCGAGCCATCTCCTTGGAGGTGAATCCCTCCAGCAAACCTACATCCGCACCAATATCCCGTGCTGCTTTGAGACGGCGAATGCACTCATCATAGCCGTGCTGTTGCAGCGCGTCGGTGCGGGCAATCAGCACAATATCCGAGCGGAGGCGGTCTTTGGTCTGCTTTGCAGCGCGGATGCGTGTGATATACTCATCTAAGGAGACAACTTTCTTTCCTGCGAGATGGCCGCAGCGCTTGTTCTGGATTTGATCTTCAATGTGGAAACCAGCCACGCCAGCTTGAATATATTGCTGGACGGATTTGGCGACCATGAGGGGGCCTGAAGTGGTCAGTCAAGGAATGCTGAGTTGAGGAGATCTGGGAGGCTATATACCTCCATATCCAGTGTCCATATCAGCAATCAGAGGAGGGCCAAAGGGATCCAGGTTAGCAATCATCTCCGCATTGGTCCTCATGTCGTATAGCTGGGCCAGCCCAAGGTCTGCCATGCCGAGTCTAGAGGCGGTAGTTCCCGCACCAGTCTATGAGATCAGTGTGGGCACTGCAGGCAACTGTGGGTGGGAGATAGGAAGAGTATGCATACCATGTAGAGGGCCTTGAAGCCAAGTTGCATGGCAATCCGTGCGGACAGGCCATCATAGACTCCGGGACAAACAATCAACTCATCAGTTTCACGGAGCTGTCTGCGGAGCTTGGTAGCACCAGCAATCATGTACAGATTGATTGTGGGCTCACGGCTTTCTCCGTTGATCTCGTAGAAGCCGTCCTTCTCTACAGTGATGGTGATGCTCATTTTGGCAAAGAACCGAGAAGATAGTGGTGTTGAGAGGCTGGAGAGGATAGTTGGTAAAGACCGTGATCTGGTCTGACTAGATCTACCCTTTTATAACCTCATTTCTGTCGCAATCCCCTCTTCTCGGCGCAATGTCTCTCCGTCGGACGAGTAACCCTCGTCGAGAACGTCTCGTTATTGTAGCTCGGACTGCCGGATGATACCCTCCATGTCGACTCGTAGCAACCATCTCGGGCATATCGTACCATATCCTCGTACTTGTCATCCATATTAGCTTCGCTTGGCTGCTGACGACAGAGACGCTCTCAGAATGCAGGCATGATTGTGGACGCTTCACTGACGCCCTTATCGATCCTGTGGCAAGCACAACGGGTATGACGAGGATAATTCACAACAATCGGAACTCTGGACAGAGCGATATCCAGCCAACGAGGATTCCTCTTTGTAGAAGACCCCGGCTCACTATATCCTTGGCGTAGTTATTGTGATACAACATAGCCACAAAGTTCGCAGGCCAAGTGGAATGCCGTGCGTCCGCATTCGACGTGCTGATAGGCGGAAAAAGCCAGTGAAGAAGTTGGTCTGCAACCTGGACGTGCCATTGACCTTGATGGTCGCAATTCAGGCTCTTGGTTTTGTCAAAAGGTGGCGCTTTTTGGATTCCGGACCGTGTAAATCATCCACGCTTGTGTCCATGGTCTACAACTTCCTCCTGGGCATACCCTGAGAAAATTTACAGTCCCCCAAATAGGGTAATCACAGTATAAACTGTTAGCCAAGCGCCTTGGAGATTTTAAAAGTGCGATCGGGTAGTAACAGAGGTCGAATGTGCTGGATCTTGTGGAGCGCAATGCCTGGCGCATTGTTGACGGAAACATGAGTCGGTGGAATGCAGGCCGTGTCTCTTCAGCGTTCAATGTAGTTTCTGACCTCTGCAGACACGGAATCACCCCGAGCTCGACCCAACTTCGATGCGCAATTTCCTCCGGCGTGAACTGCCAAGTCGCTTGGCGCTAGGGATGTAGTCTCGGCGCCATCGGCACCCCGCTCATTGCGCAGCTCGAATGGCGCGAAGAAGGGTTATTATGTGAGAATCATGCCCGAATCCGAAATGAATGTACTGATTAGCCGGGACCGACTGGTCCGGGTTGCTATCGGGTAAATCTGTGCTAATTTCGCTGCATAATGCTGCAGATACTGAGGGTCCTAATCTAGCTTGGGGTGAAAATCTCGCGTCGATACGAGAACGACGGGAATTGAAGTCATCTGTTTTGAGGGTATCCCACGGTCTCCCAATTTCTCGCTGCGCTGTAATTTCGTTCCTCTCTACTCTTTGACCAAGGATCGCCACAATGTCTACCTCATCGGACCCCAAGAAGAACATTGCTGGTTTCTTCAAAACAGACATCGATGCCAAAAACGCAGAGGTTCTCTTGTATGCTTGCTGTCTGAGCTCTGGTCTTGTGGATAGCACACTCTACAACGGTAAGCCGTCCTGTTATCCATCTTATCCTGCAGCCACTGACTGCGTAGCCTACAACACCTTTGTCTCAATGCAAACAGGTAAGTCAACCAGAAGGACATCATGAAAGCAGCTCATCCTTAAGGAAACACCATTTTCGTCGGCCTGGGCGCTTCAAATCAGAATCTTAAGCCATACGGCTGGGCCCGCTCTCTCACTTCGATCGGATGCTTTGTCGTCGGCTGTTTCCTCTTCGCCCGGCTGAACCGCCTTCTCGGACCGAAACGCAGAGGGACATTGGCCCTCTCTTTCTTTCTACAAGTTGCTATGCTGGTAATCACTGCTTCACTGGTACGGAGCGGCATAATACCTGGCATCCCCTCGAATCCTGCTTCGAGCGAGGTGCAGTGGAGCCAGGAAGCCCCCATTGTGCTCTTGAGTATCCAGTCTGCAGGTCAGATCGTCGCTAGTCGGGCATTAGGGTTCAACGAGATTCCAACTGTGGTCATTACCAGTCTTCTCTGTGATCTTGTTTCAGACCCAAAGCTGTTTCTCCTTCGCAATGAAAAGCGGGATCGCCGAGTGGTGGCGTTTGTCCTGACGCTGATCGGTGCAATCGCCGGAGGATGGATCACCAAAGCGACGAACGATATCTCGCCTGTGCTGTGGCTGGCTGCTGGATTAAAGCTGATGATCTCTGTTTCTTGGATATTCTGGAGAGAGGAGGGGGAAATTGCAGTATAACTCTCCTATTAACTAGAACGATGACAACTTGAAAGCATGAAACTCAAATCTAGGCAACCCAGATATTCTGCTCCTCCCCATACCCATATGGAATAAACGAGTCCCGGAAATACTTCTCCAGCACCACCTGCTCATACGATTTATCGTCCACGCAGTAGTTGCCCCCCGTAGGCCCGATATGTGCACAGTGTATATCTGGCCGGTACTTGACCATATGCTCATGCACCTCGCGACAGAGCAAGGTATTCCGGCCCAGCTCGAAATCCTGTCCGAACCGCGTCTTGGTAGTCAGGAAATCCATGCAGGCGGCTTTACTGTCATATTGCTGGTTCGCCCCCTTGCAGTAGTCCTCATGTGTCTGGCAGATTGTGCTTGCTAGTTCCTGCGTAAGCGCTGCCTGCACTACGGCCGGGTCGGTGGTATTCATCCTCGCCGCTTGCGCTTTGAACAGAGCATCGAGGAGGAACCCGAACCACCGGAATGTGGCGTCGTACTGCACGATCTTCTTCTTCGCGTCCCATTCAATCCAGGAGTCAATGGTTACGGGAATGACGATTCCGAAGGAGGTGGCATTGAAGGTGACGACTGTCGTGGCCGAGGCTATGTTGCTGTTGGCTGTGAACTGGGTGATGCTGTATGCGATGGGGACGCCCACGAGACTAAGGTGTTCTGGCTCCGAGAAAAGTCCAAAAATATATTCGTTATTGAGCTCGCGGCCGTCAAAGGTGCGTGTGATATCCACTCGACCTTGGACCTGAACCAATATGTCAGTATCGGTCGTAATTTCATGGGCGATCAGCAAGGAATACATTTTCAGCAAAGACAGAGTCATCTGTGGCGTTGATCTGTGCTATATTCGCCGGGTAAAGAAAGGTGTCCCAGAAACTTCTCTCCATAGACCAGAGGTCGTCAAACGAGTACCTGGGGTTGTTGTCGGCATGATCATCAGGACTCGACGCCGTCGCTAGGCCCGACAGGCAGCAAGCGGCAAAGAAGGCACATCCAATGGTGTGTGAATACATCGTTTGAGACTAACCTCTGGTTTGGTTTGAGGACATCTCCAGGCCGCAATTTATACATTCCTTTCTGATTTATGCTGACGGGTGACGGGAAAATCCCTGGAATGCAGGCATCAGACCAAGAATGTTGACCGAAATAACCTATTATTGGAGTCAGCTGAATCACATCTCAACCCAGGCCATATCAACGATTCAACCAATCACCGCGAGAAAAAGCAAAGGAAATGGTTCCTGGCTCCAGTTAGCAATGTGAGACAACGCTTGTGATCGACGTGCCTGGCTGGCCCTACGGCCGGGCCATTCCTTTTACACCCAAAGAGGAGCCTCATATCCCTTGCAGGTATCACATCCTGATTTCTGTTGGTGTCGAGGCCCACCCGAGGGTCGGGTCCAGCTGCTCTGATCTGCACTCTCATATCTATCATATGCAGCCAGGAACATGGCTTGGGTGATTTGCAGGTGATCCTGACGCAGGTGGTACGCCACCGCACATCATGATTGATCTGAGATGAGAACCCCCAAAGGCTGCATCACTAGCTTGTATTGCTTTTGCCGCTGCCGATCATTGAGTGTGATGATGTGATCCCCTGTGCACTTGTTGCGGCCTGATCCTGCGGGACTTCAACGACTCATGACTGAGACTGTGTGGTGTGTCGTACTATTTTATTGTACGAAATGGATGAGTCAATGACCCTCGAAAGTACAGAGATCAAATGGATGATACGCCACATTCCTGGTGTTTGGAGAGGTGAGGTATCATTTGCCAGTCCATATATATACTACTGGAAAGTATGCGTAAACATCATGGATATTGCCTACTCAATAATCCGGCAGACCAACAAGGAACCGGGAAGCATTTTTGTTGATGACTGTGACCAGATCTAAGTGGGAATCACTTACTTCATGACCATGGGGGTATTGAGAGAATTGGATACTCCTTATAAAGATGCAACTGGGTTCAGGATTGGTCTCCAATGGCTATATACAGTGGTATAAGACAGCTTGCGCAAAAGAAGGCTTTCTCGATTCACAAATCTGAGGGTACCCTAGAAAAAAGACCCCTTCAAAGCAGAAGCAACGGCCTGTGCGGTGAGGTTATGGATTGCAATGCCCGGGTGGTAGTTATTAAACCACAGACAGGTGGTGCCATCGCTGTTATAGCAGGTGGCATTGGCCGCACCATATGCCGTGGGATTATCCAATGCCTTATTGAACGGCGCCTGCGTATCCACGACTGTTGCTGTGACACCGCTGTTCTTGGACTTGAAGTTAGCGAGATATGTCGCGATCAGGTTGTTGTACTTTGTGATCACTGCTGCTTCCGCGGTAGTGGCATCCGTGCCTTGGGAGAGCATGAGTGGGGAGCGGTCAATAGCTGCAAGTTATTAGTACCCATCGGTGAAATCAAAAGAGAAACAAGACTTACGAGGAACACCAAGGAGAACGTAGTTCCGCACTCCTGCGTTGTAGAGAATTTGCAGCTGCCCAAAGTAGCTATCCATGATCTCGGTGAGAAGTTCGTCAATATTGGACAGCCAGTACGAGTTGCCCACGTCGTTTACGCCCATCCAGACCCCAACGAGCGTATCCTTGCTGGTCCACGGCGCATAGGAGGGCTTCGAGGCAATGCTGTTGGTAAACTCGGTGACCTGGTCGATGAAGCTAAGGACGGTAGAGGTATATGGAGCGACAAGGCTGGCGTTGGTCGTCGCCCCACCGTAGGCAAAATTGTATGAGAGAGTCAGGGAGGTGTTGTATTTTGAGATGAGAAAGCCAATCCAATTCAAGCCCCCGCTCGTCGTCCATCCTGGCATACTGGGGTTCCCGAGCGGATTCGAGGCGGAGGGCTTGGTGCTGTTGATGTCGAATCCGGTCTGCGAGTAGGAGTCGCCACTAGCTCGATGAGTTCAAGAAAGTTCGGCATGAAGCTTAGGGAAACTCACAAAGTGATGAAGTACTTTAACCCGGTGGGTGTGGCGGTGGTAGTTGTTGTGGTCGTTGTGGTACTCGGTGTAGTGCTTGTTCCGGGGACGCATTGATCTAAGTGTTGTCGATTAGAAGTGATCTACCTTCAATAGTATGATTTGCAACAGACGTACAGTACCAAGAGTTCCAAGCTGTACAGACAGCTCCAGAGACGCACGAGGTAGGGCCCGAGTAGCCCTGGCCACCACACTGAGCGTATAATGATGCTTGGGCATTGGCACCAAGTACCAGAGCCAAGGCGGCAGTCGCCGATACCATTGATGTACCCAGCATTATAAAAGGCCAAGTAGTGAGCACGAGACCAGAAGATGAGAAAGGTTCTGTACGATGGTGGTTGTCTCGGACAATGCATCCTGACGAGACAATCCTCGAAATATATACAGTTGGACGTCTCTACATTAAAAGCCATTGAACGAGACTCATTGGTGGAAAGACACTTTGCGTCCAGTATCTGAGCCTTCAGGGTTGAGGTATTCATCGACGTCCGTGATCAAAGAGGTAAGAGGCAATCAAATCTCGGCGGAGTTCCCCCGACAAGCCGGAACGAGTGCATTATTCTCCTCGTTTAAACCGTCCAACTGGCCAAATTATTGGCTGAATGTGTCCATATTGGGACAAGCTTGGCATTCTTGATTCCTTCAGCCATATCCCCGCAATTTAGTCTCGCTACCCGTGGCGAATGCGGGGGGTGAAGCGGAGACATGGATTTCTCATGTCATGGCGTAAGACCTTCGTGATAATATGAATCATTTGTGAGAACCGTTTCTGTGTTTTGCTATTCAACAGTAAGAACAGGCCCTAAACCCTTAAACAAGGAATTCTATATATACAACACTTTCATGTCTGCAGTGGTTGCGTTTGTGCTAGAAGGTACAAGGATGGAAGTTATTAATATATATATCCAGCTCCAAGGTACGTATAACTGAAGCTAGGAAACGCAGTCCAGCAGATGTTGGTAAAATCTCATCGCAACTTTAGCATCTGCTCAACGTCGCTGGGTTTAGGTTGTGTTTTGTCATTGATGATTTCAAAAGTAGGATGTTGCAGCGTCAAGGTTTTTCTTTCATTTCAGCTCTATCTGTAGATCCTACTGTGGACCAAGTTGGGGCGAATGATGCATCTAATAGCCGGCCTGTTCGATGCAAGAAGGACAGGTTTTTCGGAGATATCTTTGGATCCCCGGCATATCCTTGGATTCCACACACCCCTTGCGTCCTCAGTGGCTCCGTAGAACTTATCTACAGAGGGATCTTGTAGCTATAAATTAGCCGCCCTGTTGATTGATGGACTCTATACTCACGTCTCCTGAAGCAGCATCTTTCTACCTTTTCAAAGCTCATCTTACTCAACTGCCTCTTTCCTCAGCTTTGCCTGGCAAATACTCTTCCTGCTTCTACTGATCGTATATGGAGATCTGATTGTTCCAATGTAGAGACGCTCAACTATTTACATTGAATAAAGGGTTGAACAACTAAACTAACTCAGGAAGGTGCATAATATTGAATGCCCGAGCGGATGCTGAATAAAATGAAGTCCTAATGGTAACTATTGTAAGTCCAACACATGGAAAACCCCCTTTTCTCCGGATTTCTTAGTTCCGGGTCAGTGGAGGATGCGGGACGGAACGGACCATCACCCCACATGAAAGGGTGTGATAGAGTTTACCAAAGATAGCAATTCAAATCACCCTTGAGATGGATCAAAAATAGATCATTTTCAGGTTGCGTTCTAAACAAACTTTGCGTCTAGAAACGGTTTGTAGACAGCTTGTATCTTGCTAACCTGCCCATTCAGCCTCGTTGGACTACCCCTCTTTCCAGCGGTTAATGCGGCCAACTGGTTGGTGAGCGTTCGATGACAAGGCTGGCTTATGTTTACCTCAGTCTTGCTTCGAAGACTTCACGATTCGCCCTTCTCATAACCTCCTGATAATTAATCCCTCTGAAGGATCTTTAACAGACTGTTAAACTAAGTATCGTGTCTATTGGAGCTGTTCTGGTTATTGTCTTTAAGCAGTTCGAAATGCGCCCTAGTAGCCGGGACGGATTCACCATCGCGATTATTTGCGCGCTGGCTCTCGAGGCGGAGGCCGTGGAAGAGCTCTTTGACGAAACCTACGACAGATCGAGCATATTCTACAAGAAACAACCCGGCGACGACAATGAATATGTCAACGGAAGAATTGGCGTGCATAACATTGTTCTATGCTACATGCCGGGCACGGAGATAAAGAGCGCCGCGAGCGTCGCGGCAAGCATGAGATTCAGCTACACTAGGATTGAGGTGGCACTTGTTATTGGAATCTGTGGAGGAGCACCGTATCCTCCAGTTAACGAACAGATATTCCTAGGCGATGTCATTATAAGTAACGCGGTGATAGAATACGACTTTGGCACGCAGGGTTTCCAGCAAAAGACTGGTGTAAAAGATACCCTTGGAGCACCGAATCGAGCAATCCGATCTCTCCTGGCCGGCCTCAACGCAAAACAAACTCGCACGGATTTTCAAGGCCGGATGCTACAGCATCTGCATGCAGTGCGGGAAATAGACGAAAAATGGCGGCGGCCAAGTTTTACTGATGATATCCTCTTCAACGCATCTTATCAACACAAGCATTACGGTTTGAACTCTTCCAAATGCCTTTGCTTCAACAGCAACTCACCAGGTGACATCTGCAATGAAGCTCTAGGAACAACGTGCAGGGGTTTGGGCTGCAGTGAAAATCAAATCTGTCGCCGGCGGCACCATACGGAAGTGGAAAGTCCAAGAATCCATCTTGGGATAATCGCATCTGCTGATACTCCGGTGAAATCCGGAGAACACCGTGATGACCTGGTCGACTCAGAAAATGTGGTCGGGTTTCAGATGAACGGAGCAGGAGTGTGGGATAATATTCCATGCATCCTTATCAACGGTGTGTGTGACTATGCGGACAGCCATAAGAACAGGCTATGGCAAGCATATGCAGCAGCAACTGGAGCGTCTGCGGCAAAAGTGTTCTTGGAGTACTGGAGGCCTCGTCGCTTGATGATTCCTTTTGGGAGAAATCCGCTCTTTGTGGGCCGCCATGACGAAATTCAGAATTTGGAGGAATTGATCTTCATGCCCAATGGACCGAAGCGACTTGCCATCACTGGATTAGGAGGAGTTGGGAAGACGCAAGTGGCTCTAGAGCTAGCTTACCGCATACAGGAGAGAGATGATGAATGTTCCATCTTTTGGATCCCGTGCACTAGCTACGAGGCTGTTGAACAGGCCTGCGTGACCATCGCAGAAATGGTAGGGATCCAAAATGTGAAACCAGCGGAGTTGAAAGAGCACATCAAGGCTTACTTCAGCCAAAAAGACAGGAAATGGCTTCTGATCTTTGACAATGCAGATGATATGGACATGTGGGTCAAAGATAACAGTACAACTCCAGTATTGAAGGACTTCCTTCCTCATAATAACCGAGGCCATATAATCTTCACTACTCGCAATCGGAAGTTAGCTGTGAAGCTGGCATCCTCTGATATTATTCATGTTCGCGAACTAGATCAAAAGTCCGGTGTGGAGCTTCTAGGGAAATCACTGGTTCAAAAGAGCCTGCTTGATGACAGAAAAGCAGTGGTCGCCCTTCTTGAACAGCTTACTTTCCTTCCACTGGCTGTTGCCCAAGCTGCAGCTTATATCAATGAAAGTGGTATAAGAGTATCTGATTATTTGCTTCTGCTCCTGGAACAGGAACCAAATGCTGTTGAGCTACTAAGTGAGGGTTTTGGCAATCATGGGCGCTACAAGGATATCCAGAATCCAGCAGCCACGACATGGCTAGTCTCATTCTATCAGCTCCAAAAAATTGACCAGCTTGCTGCCGATTACCTAGCACTTATGGCTTGTGTTGATCCACGCAATATCCCACAATCATTTCTTCCGCAGCCTACATCCAAGAAAAGGACGCTTGATGCTCTTGGCCTGCTTGTTGCCTATTCTTTTATTACTCTTGAACCAGGAAATAACACCATAACCGTGCATCATCTAGTCCATTTGGCAACCCGAAACTGGATGAAAAAGGAAAAGTTGTTTTCTTCATACATAAAACAAGCCGCAGACCGGTTTAATGAGGTGTTTCCGGACAGTGATCACGCCAACCGGCAGCTATGGAGGGAATATCTTCCACATGCGCTAACCTTGTTGAGGGAGCGTGAGTTCAAAAGACAACAACAGCAGTACTTGAGACTCATAGAGAATATGGGACAGTGCTTGTGCAGTGATGGGAGGTTTAACGAAGCAGAGCTGATATTCAGAGAGATTACGGCAATACAACGGACGAAAAATGGAGATAGACACCCATCCACTCTATCAAGCATGGCCAACCTGGCATCGACCTACTGGAACCAGGGACGGTGGAACGAAGCTGAGAAGCTGGGGGTGCAAGTAATGGAGATAAGGAAGACAGTGCTGGGAGCGGAGCATCCCGACACTCTGACTAGCATGGCCAGTCTGGCATCAACGTACAGATCTCAAGGACGATGGAAAGAAGCCGAAAGGGCGGAAGTGCAGGTGTTTGAGATCCGCAAGCAGGTGCTGGGGTCAGAGCATCCCGACACTCTAACTAGCATGGCCAATCTGGCATCAACATACAGATATCAAGGACGATGGAAAGAAGCTGAAGAGATGGAAGTACAGGTGGTGGAGGCCCAGAAGCAGGTGCTGGGGTCGGAGCATCCCGACACTTTGACTAGCATGGGCAATCTGGCATCAACGTACAGATCTCAAGGACGATGGAAGGAAGCAGAAGAGATGGAAGCTCCGGTAACAGAGACAATGAAAAGCGTCTTAGGGCCGAAACATCCAAATACAATGTCCTCTATGACGAATCTAGCGGCGATATATCGACATCAAGGACGATGGAAAGAGGCCAAAGATCTGGAGGTTCCAGTTATGGAGAGGCGGGAAAGGGTGCTTGGGCCGGAACATCCTGACACGCTGGTTAGCATTGAAGGCTACGCCTCGACTTTGCTAGGTCTAGGTATGTCAGGGGAAGCTCAAAAACTAACTAGCCATGTACTGGAGGTGAGAAAGAAGATACTGGGCGCTGAACATCCTGACACGATGGCTAGTATGGCTGAACTTGCGTCTGTGCTCTCAAGACAAGGTAAATGGGAAGACGCTGAAGAACTTCACCTACAGGTGATAAAGGCAAGAAGAAGTGTCCTTGGGGAGGGGCATCCTTCCACCTTGACTAGCATGGTGAACTTATCCTCCTTATACAAGAGTCGAGGACGCTTCACCGACGCTAGGGAACTTGATGGGCAAGTAGCAGACATTCAGAAAAGAAGACTACTCCATGACATCGACACAGACTCGGAAATCTCTGACATCCCATCTATTCTGTCAGAAGCTTCTTCTAATGACAGTATGTCCTCGTCAGGATCACTGCACGACCCTCAGGGTGCTGTTTCTGAGTCCATGGCACGGATACTGTTTGAAGACAAAGAACTTCAAGTCTTTTATCGAGAAGCGCTCGTGATATTTGGGAAAGCAATTTTTGCGAAATTTCATAATCAATTTCTGAAAAGATTCTTCAGAGATCTCCGATTGGAGTCTCGGAACCCTCTCCACATAAGGGCCCTTCGTTACGTCCGCTTCCGACCTCGACGTGAAAGAGTCACCGAGTTAATATGCCAGTTCTGTAACCCAAACCCGAGCCTTGGAGGACTCCGGACCAAATTTCTCCTTAGTCAAAAGGAAGATCGCGAGCTTCTTTTAAATCGGCATCTAAAGTTGCTGGTCGATGAGCCCAGCGACTCTACGAGTTCGGAAGTGCACGGAACAGCCTCAAGAGTGAACGCTGGGATTGATGATCCTGATAGTGAGGATGAGGACGATGACGATGACGAAGATTCCGGAGAGGAAGAAGATAATGAAGATCAGACTCAGATGCTTCAGCAGCTGAATTCCGCAGTGGCTTATTTTACCAATGGAATACCTTTCCAATCCTTCAAGGCTAGTGTTCGATATTTCATCCATCCTCCAATAACGATCAAAGAAGCTCTCGATTCGCGAAACATCAGTCACTTGCGGAAGTTATTGAATAAGCAATTCGATCTTGTGGCAAGAGATGAATATGCTTGGATTCAAGAGCTACATGAATTAGGGTATTCTCATGATTCAATTGCAGACCTTCTGTTTGAAGAAGCCAACGACGCCCCCTGGATTTATTTTGAGCCAAAGTCCTACAAACCAGCTGACCCACAACCTGGGATGCACCTTCGAAATTGTGTGCATCGATTCTCTTTCAATAATCCATTTTCCAATAGCAAGTCTACAGGCACCGGAACTGTGAATAGAACAGAGATAGTCCAAGTTGTTCAAGAACTTTGTGGGCTAGCCGGAATCTCACCGGGTTCACGAGAACTTCAAGAGCGAAGTGGATCTGTCAAATTTGAAGAACAAAATACGGTTGCCGTCATCTCATACTCCACCGGTGGCAATGACGATAAACTGGATCAGACTTCCGTTGTCTTTAGGGTATATCAGGTGTTTGAACGCTTTTGCTCTGCTGCAAGTCAAGTTCAGGCCGCAGGCCTCTGCTGTGATTCCTTCACCTTCTTGCGGTTTGCAAACATGCAGCTTGATTTAGATCTGCCATCATTTAGCCACGTTGAAATGTGCCGTGTTGAATTTGAACTCATTGTGCAGATGAAAGCTGGGTTAAAGCAGCTTCTTGATGTCAAAGATATTACTTTGCTGGACGTCATCAATGTGCGAGGGACTGCCCTGCAGATACTCAACCTTCTCGGGCAGGATGTTGCGAGGAACTTTCCTATGGACACGGTGGACCGTGTTCTCAACTACTGTTGTCTAGCGGCCCAGTTCCTCTCTTTGGGTTTCCTTTCATATATCCAAGCACATGTTGGACCCATACAATTCTTTTTCCTGGACACCTTGCAAACACAGTTTGTGCTATGCGGAAATCAGGTACTGCCTGGCCACGGCGACCATGTTATAGCGAGTTTAACCAATCTCACATGCATTGGTGGCATGATTCAAGGCCCAGCTCTTGCGTTCAAACTCTGTCCAGCCGAAACAAAATTTTCATTCGTCAAGGGTGGATTAAAATATGATATTCTAGCAGACATTGAGGACATTCTCGACACCTGGGGCCCTGGACAGCTCATTGTCCGATGCACGGACAGAAGGCCATGCGCAATCAGGTTAGGTGGTGGCTTCATTACATCTGAAAGTACTGATGGCCGAAAATTTCACTGGAGCCGCAATGTGAATGTCGAAAACTTGTCTCCAATCCAACAGGATTGGCGTCAAAAAGTGCTGATCGGAGTGGTTACGATCAATAGGCTCTGTACGATCGATGAGAATCAATACTGGTCGAGGTCATCCACTGTTCTTGAGCCTTTAGGTACATACCCGACTTCGTGGGAGCTCAATCAAAAACAGTCTGGGTTTCAGGCTGGCAACTATGTTTTATATCAGATCAACGGCGTCTGGTGTAAAATGCACGGGAGAACTCTAAAACAGTCCAAGCTGGAGCAGGATGACGAAACGCTAATACCGTTTTTGGAGGATCTTTGGGGACTTCAGGTCAGCTTCTGCACCAGTGTTGCACGTCGAGTTACCCTCCGAGAAATGGTAGCCGACTTACTACCAACATTTGCTTCAGCAATATATAATAACGAGCAGCAGAAGCTTTGGGAAGATCTAAAACTTAATCATAACATTATGGAGTCCTTAAAGGGAAGCGACCTCCCAAGTTGGTTTAGATCGTTGTCCCCTCAGCTCTATGGATATACTTTGAGCCTTATTCGCAAGGTTTTCAATGTCCTTCAGCACACGGGAATTGATAGGGAAGGAAAATACCTGTCAGTGTCATGGCCTCATCAACATGATCTTCAACGATGTTTCAAAATACCATGCGAAAAGCAGAGCTCATGGACTCGAATTCTTGCTGACTCCGAAGACTGTGCCACCTTCGCGTATGTCTCATCGAGGTGTCTAGAAACTCGAACAATCAAGTGCAATGGACCCCTTCGAACTTGGAAGAACACGACGCTGCTTCTCGAGACAGCGGTTCTTTGTCATTCGGAAACCTCGATTACAAGCTTGGAGAATGATAGGGTTTACTTTTTTCGGAAATTGGACTCGTTTTTGTATGTGAAAGTGCAGAGACGAAACGAAACAAGCGCTGCCAACCTTATTACTTCTTCCACGTCAATACCTCGGTCCTTGCAGCGAAGACTATTTATGAGCGAAGAGCAAAGAAGAAGGACAAGATTAAGGGAGAAGCAAGCAGCTTACGATACTGGTGAGACTGTGATCATACTGGCAACTAAGGACTTGCTCTAGGAGAATTGCATTGTCCGTGATATTGAGCATCCTCATTTGTGAAGATGTTTTAGACCGATTCGACGATATATCTATGATACAGAACCCGAGGATCGCAATATCTACATAAACAGCCCAATTAGCAAGCACAATTTGGTCTTATATCAGGAGCCAGAGGCGGGGAAATGCAGCTCAGCGGGCCTTTGAGCCTGGTGTTCAGTTACACGGAAGTCCAGCTCGCCCTCGTCGTGGGGATACGCGGCAGTGTTCTGTCGCTGTCCTCGAGTGAGAGAGAGATCTTCCTAGGAGTCGCGGCGGTGGCTGTCCTCTCTGGTCCTGTCCTTGCGAGGAACTGCAAAAAGGGCTATAATTACTGTGGGTCAACCCTTGCAAGTTGTCTAGTATTGCATGTGAAAATATATACACGTACATGATCGTCAATTAGGGAGCTTACGAGGACCTGATCGGAAGTAAATGCCGATGGACAGCACTCACTGTTACAACGAAGACCCCAACAATATGCTTTTCTACTGTAACGATGTCCTTGGCACTCTGGAGTATACGGAGTATTGCGACAAAGGATGCATAGATGGTGGCGAAGGAAATAGTGATCACTGTGCCTAGTCGGCTTCAACCACTTGGGGGTTCTAGGTTCCAGGATCTGTTTTGGTGTTCAAGTTTGAGTGATATATGCCTTGATAGGTTTTGCTCTATCAGGATAGGTCTCCCTATATCTTTATGCAAAATGGAAAGGCCTCTATGTACAACATGAGAGAAGTGCACTGAAACATAGTTACGTACGATAAGGATAGGAATCCTTCAGGATCATAACTTGACGGTCTGTCTCTCACTCATTCTTGTTTAGGTTCCCTCAAGATGTTGTATCCCGGCTGCACATCTATTGATTATTTGCCCAGACTAGCCTCGCATTCTCTCTCCCCATTTCTCTGCGAAGCTGTCAGAATTGGAGACGTGCGATGACAGAGCCACAGTTTATTTGGGATATTGTCAGTCTTCGTCTAACAAAGTGATCCTGCAGAGCTCCCTGTTCTCTATTGTTAATAGCCAAGAGCACCCCAGGACGAGGGGTGCTGTTTGTAAGCTAGTCATCAGGCTACAGGACATCTTCCTCCTTTATCTGTCAATAGGAGAAAATTCAACGACGTATAATCCATATAAATTAGAATAGAAAGAGTTAGTTTGTTGGGGTGGGCGCGCAAAGTGCAGAATAGCAGAGGCATAATCCTTCAGGCAATATGAATGAGTGCTATCTTCCATAGCCACATTAATTGCAAAATTAGAAAAGTGGAATATCCCCTGTGGTTGTGTTAGTTCTGTAGTAAGCCCAACAAAAGACTTCTGTGGCGCATATTGTGGCTGCGGTGCATGGCATGGCGCGGCAGGAAGAGTGAATACTGCAGACTTTACAAGCAGATTGATAGGGAAATCTAACTTACTACAAAGGAGGCGGCTCTTAGTGTAGCAGTACCTTTATGCAAGCTGCACAGTTCTGAAAGCAATATGCTTTACATAAGATATAAGAATCTACGGCTCTAACCAAGACTGGCACTTGCTCCTCTACATATTTACCAAAAGAGACCAACCCTACGAAGTCGGATTTGAATCAAGCTGAGCGAAGTTTACCAGTTCCCCAGAATGCCAAACGCACGCATCATCGATATCGATGTCCTACATTGGAACGCTTCGAGTGTCTATGTCCGCTGTCCGTTCTGCCAGCGAGTGCACCAACACGGCTTTGTAGACTACAAACCTGGTCTTCGACTTTCCCACTGCGAGAAACAAGCTTCATCCTACAGATTTCACTTCCCGATCAACCGGCAAAACCGAGCAAGTCGCCAATGAGATCGACAAGCGTAACGCTCTTTTAGTAACGTCCGTCAAACGGGGGATTTGGAGGACTTTTCCAATGACGACGAGCGAAGCAAGATCAGCCAGGTGCCAAAGGGGCTCTGAGGTTGGAGGCATATCCTGAAGTTGGGGAAATACGATTGATTCGGACAAAGCTATGCTGCACAGGCCGAACGGGAAGATGTATGGTTGACTGCTCCCACTATCACAGAAACCATCACCAATCGCTTAGAAGAGTGCTTTTATTCAGGTCAGCACACCATCAGAGGAGATCTGCGAGGACATGTCAGATGTTCTGAGAACGCCTGAACGAGATATTTAGATTGTCTATTGTTCTGGCTGAAGGCAGTCTGACTCTACCTAGTATTACATGCTTGGGAGGTCTTTTATTTACTGCTGTACTCGTTTCCCTAGTATCATTTTATTTCACGAAATGAAATGAGCAATTCCAAGCGAAGCGTGCCGCCATGCTTGAGGTGATCCGATGGCACTTGACGTGGGCTGACAGCCTTGGGGAAATTCTGACCCGCAAGACATTGAGTTGAGTAATCAGAGCTTGAATGGACTGATTCATGCAGAGCTCAAGTCAGGCCGGATATACGAGCTCCTGTGGGCAAACTGAATCCTGACCAATCCCGGAGGTTGGACTGTGTTGGATCTGCAGGTAAAGACTTGGCACTTGTCCCGTATCGAATGGCTAAGTGGACATTCTGCATGTTTTAAATGTAAGATTTTAGATGCTTGCCAATCACACTACCACATATGTCTCAGGTGGATCAAGATCACAGTGACATCGCGCCCCAGAACCCTGACGGATAGCGGGGTGTGGATGTATAAAAAGGCTGTTTTCCTCTGAGGAAAATTCCAGTGAGCAAGGAACCGATAATCAGTAATCATGCTCTGGACTCTACTGCTTGCTGTCCTTCAGGCACACGTTGGTATGTATTCTGTTGCACCAAGATGATATAGGTCTGACAGCTTCAGCCTTTGGTCTGGCTGTCACGGCCAGTTCCATCACGATCCGTCCCAGTCCATCGCCCACCAAGGAGCCATCACCGTCATCGTCGACCAGTGGCCAGTGGCTGATTATCTCTAACACGTCCATCTTCTGGCCCACGTACACTGACTACTTTTATGGACCAACAACCGGTCCCCAAGCACATATTGTAACCTGCGATGCTAAGTGGGCTGAATACTATGGCCGGTCCACCGAACTGCACTCGCTGGGACCAACAGCCACAAGTATCTCCTATGCCCCATATCCAACCAGCCAGGGGGCCTGCAGAACCTCCTCATCTCTGGAAAACTACTCGGATACTCATACTGGCCCGGTGACAACCCTTTGTGACGGAATTCCACGCGCACTGGGCCCTCGCGAGACCGTAACATCGTACTATCCTGGCACTGGACCCTGCAGCACTTACACCACGACCTTTTCGAATAACGTTGAGCTCTACCGGGAGCCCCCAGCGCCGCACTGCACCCTCAATACGCAAGAATGCATTCCGATCTGGTCAACGTATAGTGAACTGTCCAGATCATACCACAGTACTGTCACCAGTGTCACTCGAGGCGACACCAAGAGCCCCATCCCCCCGTTTGGCTGTCCTTCCACGACGCGGTCCTACCCCGAAGACCCCTGCACAAACTGTCACTTCCTCCCCGGTACAGCAACTGTCTTCTACTGGCCCGTGACCACCGCTGGTGGCGATCTATGTCTGCAAAACGGCACCACCATCCCTGCTACACCAACCGGATCCGGCCCCAATACCGCCGTCGTCAACGGACAGACCCTCATTTCCCCAAGCATCTACGTCTCGTTTACCTCGATCTACGCCTGGAGTAACCGGCGCGCCCACCCCGGAAGCCAATGCGGCGGCACACACACCGACACCATCATCGCCGTGGATCCCGTCAGCGTGTCTTCGGTCCGCAACCACCGCAACGCAAAGTACCCCACCATCGGGACTGCGTATCCTTTCAATTTCGCCGAGTTCACACCTCAGGAAGTGGGCAATTATACCATGCCGTTGATCCCCTGGCCGCAGTACCGGGGTGGATCGCAGTGTCCGCTGTACGATCCTTCCTGCACGATGATCCGGGACGATTACATGCCCTTCTTGGATCTTCCTGAGGCGGTTCGCCAGATTGATGCGCTGTGGACGGCGTGTGATGCGCACTGGTATATACCGCCTGTGACCTTGGTCCCTTTGACAGGAGATATCAAGATTCATCCTACGCCCACGGCTGAGGCGAATGTCATGGCTGCTGTGGCGGTGCCAGAATCAGTGGCGGCTGTGCCTACGCCTGAAGCGACGGGGTGGTAGTGAGGAACTGAGGGAGAGGCGAATGAAACTACAAGTTGCTAGTGGTGTAGTGAGTGAAAAAATGCATGAGGTTATGATGAGTAAATACAAGAAATGCCTCGGTCATCTCTATCGCCTCATTCCTCGTCAGTCATATTAAGCAGTAGGTGATGAGTCCATAGTTCCGACATGAATGAGTCGCCGCATCTAGAAGACACTTCCGCTCATTATATCCTCTCTCTTTCCCAAGTAAAACAATGGGATGTGTTCGATCGGGGCCGGGACAGTCACTTTCTGTCCACCAGCATATGTCTGGTTTGTCCACCAGTACGTCCACGGCTTTGTCTCATTCTGGCCCGTCTTCGGCAAATACACCTCCCACTCGGTTGCATTAGGCAACGTCACTGGAGTGACAAGCAGTCGCGGACCGAACATGTACTGCTGCGTGGTAGCATTGACATTCTCCCGCGTCATCTTCGCGATCTGCGGATCTGTCCGCTCGAAATCCATATACAGCGGTCTCATAATTGCCCGGCCCGTTTGATGAAACTGCTCAAACACAGCCTGGAGGTACGCCTTGAGCTGATACCGCAGCTGGATGTACGAGACAATGATGGGTGTGTTCTCCTCGCCATACGACCACGGCTCGTTGTTGCACGTGTAGGCATTCTGGACATTGCACTTCCTCGATCCATGTGTTCGCATAAACGGCAGAAATGTCGCCCACTGGAACCATCGCAAATACAGCTCGCGGTACTCGGGCGTGTCGATGTTCGAGCTCCACGCCACCGTCGGGTCAGCCTGGAACCCTCCCGCGTCCATCGTCCACCATCCCCAACCCGTGGCGGCTGCGGACACCCCACTGGCAACCTGCACGGCCAGTGTATCCCATACGGAAGTCGTATCGCCCGACCAGATCATACTGCAGAAGCGCTGCGAGCCGATGTATCCCGAGCGGCTCAGGCTAATGTGGTCGCATGCTTCGCCCATTTTTGTTCCCGTGGCGTTCCGGTATCCCTCTTCGATGGCTTGCTGGTGCGCCCAGGGGTACAGCTTGCCTGCGCTGAGCTGGGTGCCTGCGGCGTAAAGGACATTCGGCAGCGTGAACGGGATGGACTCGATATATGAGCTCTGTCCGTTGTTCTCGTAGGCCTCACCTAGCGCTCCGCCGTCGGCTTGGTCTATCCAGAAGTTCTTGATCCCCTTGTCGTAGTAGTTGCCCTTCAGCGTTTTCCAGAGGAACGCTCGGGCGGCCGGATTCGTCGAGTCGATGTTCCGAATATACGATCCGTTCCAGGAGTCTGTGGTGCCAGGGCCGGATCGCGTGGCTGACAGTAGCCCGTTCGCAATGAGTTCCAGGTAATTTTCACTGTTGTCGGCTACGCTGGGCCAGAGAGAGGCCATCATCTCGGCGCCGGTGAGATCCTTGACTTTCTTCGTCATGGACGCCACGTCAGGCCAGAGGCGAGGGTCCAACGCCCAGTCCCCCTGGTGAGCCCAGGACTGGTAGTCGATGACAATCATGGAGACCGGGATGTTGTGGTCTTTGAAACCCTGAGCTAGCAGCTCCACCTCGGTTTGATTCTCATACCGCAGCTTCGACTGGATGTAGCCGAGCGAGGCTTCAGGAGGCGTGGGCGCACGACCGGTCAGTGCCGACAGCCGACGCTGCAAAGTATCGTAGTCTCCTTGCTCCGCAGCAAAAATCGCATAGTCGACCACCGTGGCCGACTCGGCCGTGAACTTGGTCCGCAAGGCTCCAAACTCCATCCGGCCCTCAGACGCCATGTTCCACACAAAGCCGTAGCCCTTGTTACTCACAAACACCGGCGTCGGGATATGCGTGTTGAAGTTGATCAGATCAATCACAGACCCCTTCTTGTTGACCATATGATCCTGCTGCGTGCCCGTGCCGTAAATCTGCTCGTCTGGCGTCGAGCTGAACGAGAATTCTGCAGAGAACTCGCTCCCTGGTCCGCGCCAGAAGTAATCATACTCGTTCGTAAGCAGCGTCTCCGACCCATCATTTTCCACCCGGTAAAAGGCTAACCGATAACCCCCCGAGTTCCCATCCCAACCGGAAGTGCGGACAACTATCTTGCCATTCCGGATAGCCACCGTCCGATTGCCATTAAAGGCAGTGTCAAATTCCAAGCCATGGGCTTTTCCGTCCTCGAAACCCTCGAGAGGCGGGTCGTAGATGAAGCTGACCTCGTTGCCAGTGGGCGGACGATATGGCCAGGCGCGAACGCGAAACCCGTCGTAGCCGAATGGTTGGACGAGCACAGTCTCAAAGCCATGTTGCATGCGGAAACCGGTCGAGTTGGGCATCACATAGTCCGCTTCGCGGGTCTGTATGGGGTTCGCCCATACCGTGGACACGGCGCAGATGCCGATCAGCCAGCGATTGATAGACAACATCATTGCGGTTGGCCATTGTTAGGTCCTGGATCTCGCAGTCAAATGCAAGGTATTTAAGACTCCTGCTGAATTTTATCCGTCCAGAATGAAATAGGCTGATATTGATGTTGTGTGACATCAGTTGCGCAGGGGATATGCGATGATTGACATCGTTGTCCGCATCGGTCGGCTTCGGGCGGAAAGCCGAAACGGAAAGCCATTCAATCAGCCCCCGCGAACTGAGGACTGTGAGTGCGGGGGGATTCCTGCGAAGGGATATCATTTCTCTTTTCGGTGTCGATAGTTGTCATCGGACTGTGACATTTCGGCAGAAATGGATTACCTTGGAACTGTGCTTTCTGCTGCTAGGGAGTAGTAATGGTCTATAGTATGGATCATTCAGGTAACATGTCCAGAGCCACTCCTTTCATCCCATACCTCAATTGACGGTAGAAGGCATAAAATACAAGGCTTTGGTGACATGTGCCTCCACAATATCGCACAGTGAGGGGTGGTGGGTCTTTGTATGTCTTGCTCCACTGTGGTCTGATGAGGTGGCATGAATATAGCCTAATATCATTGAATCGCAGCTTATTAGTGGTATGGTTGTCTTCTAAATCGATCTATATCATAGGAGCGGAATGTCAGCCCATGTCGACAAGCTTTGTGGCAGATAAGACGCAGCCACACCCGAAGTACGCCCTCCTGGCCTTAACTGATACATGGTTGGGAGATTTAGGGTTCTCATGCAAAAGCCGCCGCATGATGTTCTTCAATGACTTGGTCAATAGTGAGAAATACCTCCTTTGTTCACGAACGACACCTCGTCATAGGTTGCTCGAGTGATGTATCGGGGATTTTGCTCTGGAAGATATCAGTCTGACTGTTTCAGCGAATCCTACAGCCTGAGATAATAACAAGCTAGATGCGAGATTCTGATAGCAGTCTCGTTGTTTCAGGGTGACGAAGCCCGTCAGAATGCAGTGTAATGTGCCTCGGTTGATTATACTAGACTGGTATATAATGATTTGTCTATTGGCGCTATATTGGCGCTATCGATAGCATTACGACAAGCTCAACTGGGCCCTCATTATATGGTATTCAGATATACGATTGATGTGATGTATTTGTGATAATAACACGCCTAAATAAATCGTACCCTAGCACACGTCTATTGCTCACTACATATTGATATACCTCCGGCGATGAATATACTTATCATCAACTTATGGGCAATTGGGAGATATGACCTATGCTGAGTCTGCCCATAAGTTCCAGCGCCTTACTCCGTAGTCCTCAATGTACTCATAGTATAGCATTTCTCCCCTTTCTGGGATAACCTTGGAAGGGTACAGCGTATAATATACATATTATAGCCTAGTGATCAGAATATTGACACCTAATAGAACCATCCAGAAGATATCTACTTATAGACAGGTGCTGCCGAGCCCTAATTGGATGGAAATTCCAGCCGTCTTAACTTTAGAAGTTTTCTGCTTGACCCTAGATAAGACCGGAGTCTCCCCGTGAGGTATATATAAGGAAAGAGTTGACGTGGAAAGATGAAGGCATAGAAACTGGGAAGTGATAGATATGATTGGCTAATGACGTAACACCTGAGGAGCGCGTTAATCCGACCCGCCAATCACATAGCTTGGATTCTGACTCTCAACCAATCAGATAGCGCACATGGTCTCCTTGGCTATTAATACMACGATGGGCTAGAATTGCCTGGAAGAGTCCGCCTATCTATGTCCTAGACCACAAGGTTGTTCGAGGCTCGTCTGGCGTTTCGAGTCTAACTCTTGCAGACTCACCGGTAATGGAGAACTCAAACTGTTCGTCCAGGTGGAATATTTATCTTGCCCTCAGAACATGTTCAGTGGCGGTCTTGGCAGCTTAACGTCATCCCGTTGATGTGTAGACAATCGGATCAGGGACCTCCGTTTCAGGGGCAAACCGAGTATCACATTGGCGGAACCATGATCAAGAGTGGGTGGCCGGAGTTGACTTTCTCTGAGAAGTGTGCTGTATATGCCATGGTGACGGAAGGATCCATTGACGGCTCCTTATCATGGAGGTMATGGCCACCACCATGCTATAGACCGGTTATGTGCTTGGTCGGAATACTTAGATAGCTGACATCAGGAATACTGCAATAGGTAGAGTGAATAATCATACTGGTTAGGCCGACGGAATAGAAATAGAATATAAAAGAACCGCCCAGACGATCACGCGTCTGTATAGCCAAGCTTAACGCATTTCCTTTTTTAGCTAAGAGTCCTCCGTCCTCCCTTTACCATAAATCAAGGAGCTCGACCTTCACTCCGCCCAGAGAGGCCCTTCTCACCAGAATCCCTTCGTACTAGAGTCTCTTCGTACCGGAACCCTCTAGCACAGACACCATGTCCACTACTGCGTCAGTTGTTGTTACAAGCCGTATGTCTGCCCCTCAGACCGTAGCACCAGATATGGCTAACTTCTGCCAGCACCTACTCCAACCCTGGCCCGGAAGGTGACCGGGGATCAACTTCAGGATGAATTCACGAGGCTGCGAGAACTGCTCACTGTTGATTCCACCAAGCTGAAGCAGATTACCGACCACTTTGTCCATGAACTCGAAGTTGGTAAGTGCAATTCACGATTCTGGCTATCCCTCTCAGGACATGAATGCTAACAGGTTTCAGGGCTCAGTGGCAAAGGCGGCGACATTGTATGTCATTCCAGCCTAATGTCTGTCCGGTAGGATACAGGCTAACTGGAACGAACAGCCAATGAACCCAACATGGGTGATGGAACTGCCCCGCGGCAACGAAAAGGGAACCTTCTTCACGATGGACATGGGAGGCACCAATTTTCGCGTCTGCAAAGTGACCCTCAATGGCACTGCGGGCAAGTACGACGTCGTCCAGATGGACAACAAGATTCCCAATTCGTTGAAGTCTGGCAGTGCAGAGCAACTGTGGCACTATATTGCCAACTGTCTGCAGCAGTTTGTCGATCGCTATTCCATCTCGCAGAAGGAGCTCGCTGAGACACCTCTCGCCTTTACGTTTTCCTATCCCGTCACCCAAACATCCATCTCGCATGGCATCCTCCAGCGATGGACCAAGGGATTTGACATTAGCGGTGTCGAGGGGACGGATGTTGTTGCTGAGTTGCAGAAGGTTCTCAAGGAGAAGGTCAGTACTGCTTCGATGCCTCTGCATGAAACATTGATATTAACTTGAATAGGGTCTCCCCGCCCGGATCGTCGCCCTGGTCAATGACACAGTCGGTACCCTAATGGCTTCGTCCTACGTCGACTCCAAGACCGAAATCGGCAGCATCTTCGGCACAGGCAGTAACGCAGCATACATGGAGCGATGCTCCAAGATCCCGAAACTGGCCGATCATCATCTCCCCGACGACGCATTCATGGCCATAAACTGCGAATATGGCGCTTTTGATAACAGCCAGCGAGTGCTCCCTTTTACCGCCTACGACGCCGAGATCGATCGCGCCTCACCCCGACCCGGTCAACAGCGATACGAGAAGATGGTCGCTGGGTTCTATCTGGGTGAGATCTTCCGGCTCATCCTGCTTGACCTCTACAATCGCAAGGCGATATTTGACGGTCAGAATTCCTCCAAACTAAGCGAGCCGTATGTTCTGGACTGCTGTTTCCTGGCGACCATTGAGAGCGACGACACCGGAGATCTGCGCACAGCCAAAAATATATTTGAGAAGACGCTTTCCATCACGCCTTCCCCGTCCGAGCTACGCTTCTGCTACGATCTGGCGCACATGATTTCCTTGCGGTCGGCTAGGTTATACGCGTGTGGCATCGCGGCGATTATGAAGAAGCGGGATTTGGAAAGCTGTCATGTAGCCGTGGATGGATCCGTGTTCAACAAGTATCCATGCTTCCCGGAGAGGGCGATTGGTGCGCTGAGGGAGATCCTGGAGTGGCCTGCTGATACCCCGGATCCGATCCGGTTGATTCCTGCCGTGGATGGCTCCAGTGTGGGAGCTGCGGTGATTGCGTCGTTGATCAGCAGGTCGCAACAGTCGTAATCTATTGCCTACGTTCTAGATGTCTTCATGTCCTGTCGCATGGTGTTGGCTGGCGTTTCTATATTGTCCATTTTGATGTTGGTAATGATTAGATGATAAGAATACGATAGTGACTCGATCGATCTGTCTTATTGAATCCATAAACACTCAACTACCATCGTAATGCTAGAACTTCGAAATCTCCTGCTGAAGCACCTCCGGACACTCAAGCGGCAACAAATGCTTCACACCGGGAACACTCCTCATCGATACCTGGATCCCACTGCGCTCAAAAAACCCACGAACCTCCTTATCAACCCGATCCTGTGGTTCCACGACATCGGACTCTCCGACCAAAATGCTCACCCGTAGCATCTCCTTCTCCATCGATTCCAGAGCCCTCTGCAGCCCGTCGGATGCATCCTCCGCCATGCCGTACGTCGGCCACGCCGTCTTGGCCAGCTGATTCCCTTGCAGGCTGTCGCGAATGACCATCTCGATATCCTTCTCGTCGAGATTCTCCGGATTCGCGAGGACATGGTCCACCGTCCAGCGGACGGACTCTGCGGTTTCGTAGGCCGCTTTCTGTTGTTCTTGCATTTCTGGCGGCAGGAGTAGAGGCGTAGGGGGTGCCGGAGCGACCAGGACTAGGCCTCTGAGGCGGCTAAGCAGGTCGCCTGGCAGCGTTGCTAGAGTTGCCATCGCGACCTTGGCTCCCATGGAGTGGCCGACGAGTACGAATCCGTGTGCCAGGATTGCTTTCCTATCTTGGTCTGCTGCGAGCTGTTGCAGGAMCAGCGCAACGTCGTTTGCCATGGAGGAGATCGTGTAAGCGGCGACATCATCCTTTGGTCCAACTGAGTTTCCCCATCCTCGATGATCGATTGCGAGGATTGGATATGTTGAGTTGAGGGATGTAGGGAAGTCGGGCGATGTGAGTTTGTACCATGTGGACGACGAGCCGCCCCAGTAATGGAGGAAGGCCAGGAGGGGTTTGTGGTTGTCGACCGCAGGGTGAGAGATACGTGCATGTATCAACACATATGGGGTGTGGTGGAAGATTATTGAGTCCATGCTGTCTGAATTGATTACTTGATTGAAAGCTGGATGTGCGGAATACTTGTGTTACGAGATGATTCTGTCAGTTTATCGCTATTCACTGCGTCAGGAGAGGTTTAAATAGTCTTTTAAAGCTACGTAATAGTTAAACATGACTCTGGTATGGATTGCATTATTAACAAACAAGCATCACGCTGTGTTGCCTGTCGATTAATATTGATATTCATAACCAATAAGTTGACGCTTTTTGTCCCACCCCAGTCAGATCTCGGATTTTCGGAGTTTCGGAGGATAGAGGACATGCGTCCGGACTTGGATGATGCTTAAACAAAACAAACAAAGAAATCAGACTTGTCAACCTAAAATAGCGGAGAATAACGCCGCATATGTACACCTGAACATCCACAGATCAACTCCTTCGAAGCTCATCCCTTTGGTTGATGAGATGGTCCCCGTCCCACTCGATCGCCCTGACCTGCCGGGCTGCCATGCATTGTCTCCACCTCTTTCTTCGATACTAATGGCTCGTTCTTACTGGGCGACTGGGCTCGGAAAGCGAGGTAACTACCAGCGAGCACAGCGAAAATACTCAGGAAGGCAATGTTGCGGGAGCTGGAAGAGAATCTGTAAGTAGCGGACCACTGGTTGAAGTATGGCCGATAGCACGTACCTGGACCCTTGAGGACGACGACCGTTTGTAAAATTACCAGAATAAGTAGCCATTTTAAGTTTGGATATCAACTTTCAATTGTATAGAATTATCAATAGGATCGTCAGTTGAGGCTTTATCATGCAGACAATCTGTACATATATACAGTCTCAAGTCGCTGAGTAGTGACGTCAAAAGCACCATACATGAGCGAATCCATGTGGCATGATCGAGATCCATCTCTAATACAATATCATATTCAATATACCCCAGAGCGCTGTTAGCATCCTTCCCATGTTTGGTTCTCTGTAGTCTTGCGTCAATGCGACGTAGGGCTGCGGATGACTTCTTGGCTGATTTTCGCCGTCGCGGGGTGGCACTCTGGTCCTTCTCCTGATGCCGGACAAGCTGCTCATTTGCAGTCCGGCATTTGTTCTAGCCGATACCTTATCTACTAGTACTGCTCTCCTTTTGTCGATGTTGATATTGAAGGGAGCTTATTATAGTTGCGGGGTGTAACCATACAATATTACCTTTATATATATTTAATTAGGATACCCCTATATACCCCGCAGTTGCAGCTGAATAGTACATTCAAGATAGTTTTGTCTTTATTGTAGCATAATTCTAGATTAAAGAACAGCAAAGAGGCATTGGATAGGCTCCTATTCTTAGCCATAACAAGCTGGCTAGGTGAAGGCAGCCCTGAATATAGACGCTGCTTGAAGCGAGCGTTACGGCCTTAGAAAGGTGGCAGAGGATGAAGCCTGAAGAAAGAGGCATCAACCGACCCACTGTTCACTAATCATTATTATTCGCATATGAAGAGTCGAGCCCTAAATCTGCCAAGTGCCCCAGCTATGCTTGATGATGCTTGTCTTTCTGTTGAGGTCCAGAATTAGTATTACTGACAGTTGACCAGATACCAATTTCCTATTCAGATAAGACTCAGCTGAGAACGTAATTTCCGCTGCGGGCCAAATATACCAATCATCTCTGTGCCTCCTCTCTGCCTGCCCCTTCCACCTAGTTTCAGAGTCAGCCGCTAAACCCCAATAATATTATTCATGATTATTAAAGATTATAGATAGCGAGGAAAGATGCAGGATAGTAGTCTAATAATGCATCAATCGGAGTGTGAAGAACACCACATGGAGCCTTCCTGATCTAGGCCTACAATTGGCTATTCCATTGGTGGATGCCCCTGAGTACGAGTCCAGTTACAATAGACCAGTTTCCTAACTCAGATTAGTGAGGTAACATTGTACCTGCACTAAGTGCCGGCTTGCTTATTATGCGCCAGCCATGTCGTATCCCAAGTGACCCTTCATCTCTACAATTCGTCTGCTAAACCTTCAGCTTTTCCAAAAAGGGTAATCCAGGCCCGATGGCAGACAAATGCTGCAATGATTGGTACGGAGTGCTTAGGTCATTATGGCCCCCATATTCCTTCTTCAAATCTTCAGCTGGAGGACAGGCCAGCTTTCCATGTATAAATACATCCAAGATGTAGTGGTGAACATCTGCTCCATTGCCAGGACAAACACTCCCTTCATTCTCTCGTCTCAAGGCTGGTCCTGTCATCATGGCGAAGTTCGCTTGGCTTCTGACCTCGAGTCTTTCTTTCTCGATTCTTTCTACAGCTCTTCCGGCTGGCACTCACTTGCAAGCTCCTACCAACTTTAGCACTTTCAATGTCCAACAATGGGTTCCTTCTCTTGACTATGTTCCCCACAAACAGCAAGCCACCTTTTCTCGCACATAAGCATGTTTGAAATCTGACAAGTATATAGAACCATTCCTTTTCCAATTCAAAACAAGACTGCCCGACCCTGGGACCCGGTTCCTCAGGGTTCTACGGCAAACCTGACCAGCCATGATAACCATAAAAGAGCAAGCTGTGGAGGTCCATCTCCAGACAATCCCAGCAAGTTCTGGTATGAGACGATTACTCACAACGGGGAGTCGTCTTTCTTGGACTCGACCTACAAGAACAACTACAAGGTCTTTCGCAATGTGGTGACCGACTTCGGAGCGGACAATACCGGTGCTAGGGATGCGTCTGCTGCTATTCAGAATGCCATCAACGGTATCCTCTGTCTGATTCGTAGATATACCCGACAGTCGCTAACGGTCAATAGCTGGAGCCTCCAATGGCCCTAATCGGGCTAGCCACTCCATGGGCACCACGGGTCAACCTGCAATCGTCTACCTGCCAGCCGGGACGTACCTACTGGAGGGAAGTCTTCAGCTCTACGTTGGTACGGTAATTGTAGGCGACGCCCTCCATCCGCCTACCCTCAAGGCTAGCGCCAATTTCCCCAACGATCATATCGTCTACGGAAAAGATAACAACCTGGGCGGCACGATCAACTTTTACATCGGCTTCAAGAATGTGATTATTGATTCTACGAGCGTTGCTGCGTCCAAGTCAATCACGCTGTTGGACTGGACTGTCTCGCAGGCCACGCAGCTGACGAATGTCGTCTTCAACATGCCGAATTATTCAAACCATGTTGGTGTGACGAGCCAGTATGACTCGAACAGCAATATCATATTGGTCAGTTTGGTTATCATCATGCAAGAATACATACTGACTACTACAGAACGATCTTACTTTCAATGGTGGTGCTATTGGCTTGGAGTTGAGCGGCCAGCAATGGATCCTCAAGGGCATCACCATCAACGGAGCCAACGTCGGTATCAAGGCGGGAGCATTTCAGGTCGTCTGTCTGGACTGCAATCTCTCAAACGGTGCCACGGGTATCGATGCCAGTGGAATCTCTGGCTCATTGACCGTCATCGATTCCAGCGGCAATTCTCTCGGCAACATGATCATCTCCTCCAATGCTGGTGGTAGTGCTCAGAACTCGATCATTTTGGAGAATGTGCAGTGCACCAACAGCGGCAGCACCGTCTTGCTTAACAACAATGCAGTCCTCTCTGGTTCGGTGACAAATACTTGGGTGCATGGAGATATGGTGAGTCGATAACCCCTGGCTTCTTGAACTGTCCGCTCACAGATGTTAGTACTCCGGAGGAGCTACCACCCCTGCGAAACAGCAGGGCGCGCAAGTTACCACGCCTCGTGCGAATGTTCTACTCGGGGCCAATTCCAAGTACTTTACCAAGGCACCGCCGACATACTCTCAGTACTCCTCCAGCCAGTTTATCAATATCAAGACTGTGAGCGGTCTCCCAGTTATGGGAGATGGCGCCACCGACGACACGGCCAACATCAACGCCATCCTGGCTCAGTATGCCGGATGCAAGATCATTTACTTCCCGGCCGGTACGTACATTGTGACGGGGACGATCTTCGTCCCGGCTGGTTCGATCATCGTCGGAGATGCGTATGCCTCGGCGATCAGTGCTACGGGCTCCAACTTTTGGAATCCTAATGCTCCGACGACAATGGTCAAGGTCGGCAATGCGGGTGACGTGGGCGTCGCCCAGTTCTCAGATATGATGTTTACAGTGGCCGATGTTCTCCAGGGCTGCAAATTKGTAGGTCACAGTCACTACGTTTGGAGCTACCGCTAACTGCAGATAGGTCGAGGTAAACATTGCCGGAGCAGCTCCTGGCGACGTGGGATTCTGGAACTCGCATTTCCGTATCGGAGGTGCCGTCGGCTCCAAAGTACAGACCAACTGCTATGGCACCCCCGACCAGTGCAAAGCCGCCTGGGGCCTGCTCCATCTGACCAGTACCTCCTCCGTGTACATCGAGAACATGTGGGGATGGACCGCTGACCACGACCTGGACGGCAGCGGCGGCACAACTACCGTTTCTACCGGCCGTGGTCTCCTCGTCGAAGCCACCAAGGGCACCTGGCTCGTTGGAACGGCCATGGAACACCACACCCTCTACCAGTACAATTTCGAGTACGCCCAGAACGTCTTCTCCGCCTTCCAGCAGAGCGAAACCCCCTACTGGCAGGGCTGGGGAAGTCCTGATCTGGCCCCTGCGCCATGGTCCTCGAACCTGATCGCCAGCGATCCCAACTTCAGCAACTGCGGCGCCAGCGATGCAGGTTGTCGCATGGCACTCTTTGAGCGCATCCGTGGCTCCTCTAACTTGTTCCTCTATGGAGGCTGTGTCTGGGCGTTTTTCAACAACAACGGTGGATGTAACGGGGACTGCCAGGCGAATGCCGTCCGCATCCTGTCGTCGGCTGGCTCGGTGTATCTCTACGGTACCAACGTCAAGGCGATCAGCAACATCGTGCTCGAGAACACCGTTGCCGCCGCAAAGGAAAGCGACAACTACGGCGGATGGGGCGGTGTCGTCGCCGCGTATATCCACAATGTCGGCACAAGCAGTCGCAAGCGCAGGTCCGGCGATGGGAACGGCGCCGTCGTCACTGGTAATGGATTGAACTGGTATAGCTCTTCTCTGACCGACGGCGCAGCCGCATACCAGGATCCAGAATATTATTACTGCTTCCGCGGGTCGGCTGCCAACTTCCCACCATTGAAGAACTGGATGGGCTTCACGGCGATGTTTGATTTGAACCAGCAGACCTCCATGGCACAGGAGGAATCCGGTCCCATTCAGGGAGCTATCTGGAATGCCATCGTTGAAGTATCTGCCGCAGCCAAGGTCGATCCTCGGTTGATCCTGGCAGTGGTTATGCAGGAGGTATGAAAGAGCCTCTACCCTCTTAGAGTAATGCTAATACCTCACAGTCTACCGGCAATGTGTACGTCGGCTGCACGAATAACGGCGTGCAGAATTGCGGGCTGATGCAGGCCTACGCGGGGTCGGTGTCGTTCGATCCCAACAATGTTCAGGGAAGCATCACCCAGATGATCATCGACGGTACACAGGGCACCGCACAAGGCGGTGGTCTCGTCCAATGGTTCAACAATGTCAATGTTGGGGCCAACACCGGTGGCAACCCGTACAATGTGCTCCGAGGTTACAACTCGGGCAGCATCAACTTTAATGATCTGGATGATCCTCAGGGCGCTACTGCTTCGTATGTCAGTGATGTGGCCAACAGACTGCAGGTGAGTTTCTCTTCAACTTCAAGTAAAAATGCATTAGACTAACGAGGATAGGGATGGAATGGTAATGATGGCCATGGGTACAGAGCTGCTTGTGGCTGGTCGTGATGGATACCTGCTGAATCTCAATGCGGTCGTACGCCGTAGAAGTCCTTACCGAACCTTGGAATATTTATCTTTTCACTTCATGTCTATTAGTATTGGCTAATTCCGCCCTTTTCATATAATAATGATATCTATTGCCTGATCACCATAGTGTCCCATCTGGCCGGTTGACTCGACTTGTCACAGAGCGCATCCGGAGTAAGAATAACACTGCGACGCATTCGCAATCATTGTCATGCATCAACAAACACCAGTACTTTCACTGGAATGACAACGTAGAAGTACCTCGCTCTGGTCGTCGGCAGCCCCTTGGAGTTCTCCAGTCTCGCAAGGCTCCGCCCAAAGCTCTTCCACATCTTCGGGCGGTATTGAACCTACATTCGAGATCGGTCATTCGGCTTCGATTTTGAACCATAGGAACTCTCACACATTATTACGATCGTATTCTCTTCGTCAGATCGGCGATGCAAAGCTAACTGACCTGAGGGCTTTGCTGCATTGGTCTCGAGGCCATCGGTTGTTTCCTGGTGAAACACTGAGTGAGGGATATATGCCTACACATCTTGTGGCCGCAGCGGTCCTGGCTACCGCTACGAAGGTGCATTGTCACTTGAGGTGTTCAATATTCGAAAGGTCTCCCAGAGCAGTGTGGGACTTCAATGTATCTCTCCGAATGGCTTTGGGAGGTACTGCATCAACTCGCATCCGCAGACCAGGTGGCTAGTTCGTTCTTCTAGCATGAACTAATCCCCTGCCATTTAGTGTGTCTGTAGTTTGTTTGTATCGAAGACCTCGTTCAGCTGACACGATGATACAGAATGCGCAATCGTGAACACCATGAGCACGGTCAGGGTGGTTGGAGGGCATATTGATGTTTCTAGCACTATCCCCAACTCACGACAGCTCTCTTATCTCAGTTGAAGAACGACAGATGGTGAGAGGAGGGGCCAATGGGACCACGTTTGGCACAAAGACTGCAGTGCCACCTCCAAGTACTGCTCCTTGATTGGCGGGTGGAGTTCCAGAGCAACTGTGAAGCTTGAAAACAAAACCGCAATGGTATCCCAACACCAAGCGATCAGCTGTATCTTAGAAGCCCGAGCCAAATGAGATCTGTATCAGCTACCCGATTAAAGCCTCTCACGGCACCAATGATGGCACATCCACTGTGAGGACTCCAGACCTCACAGGATCATCCATAGTAGACCTGTAGATTGCCCTCACCATGCCTGCGGTCAGCCTTGTCTGAAATAGCAGCGCTCCCCTCCAGACGCCCATGATCTCTGCCGGGTTTTTTCTTGGGTGCGACATCCCTCAGATATTAGCATTTCGAGCAGATGCTTGCGCCGTAATGAAACAGCAGCGATCCGTGGGCTCAACGGCGCGCGAGGAACAATTATCCTGAATGTCAGCATGGGCCCCTTGGTTGACGACATGCTTCACAATTGCGAGGTGTCCCTTCTGAACTGCAAGATTGAGAAAGCCGCCGGTATAATCTGTCACATTGAAGCCGAGATCAAGCTCCATGAGCATTGCATGCTCGTCGTCTGGCCGCGCCCAGCAGCGATGCGAATGATAGAACACGCCCTTTACCCGTTTCCTCAGGTGCAAATCTGCCCCTGCTTTGATTCGTTTCTTAGCTGCATCAATATAGCCATTTCGCGTCCACTGAAGTCCAGAGCTGCTGCATTGGGCGGTATTTCATTGGTAGAGCTGGAATTGAGTGGGTAAGATTGGGTGGTCTAGGGCAATGTATTGCGGTCTCGCTGCGAGTCCAAATGGTCCACGACGAGCTGAGAGCAGTGTTGCCTCCATGTTGTGGAAACTATGCAATAGTGACGCAAAATGGCTTCACTCGTGGTGCAGACCCTAAGGCTACGAGACGTCAATGATGGCAAGCTATTCGAGGATTCTGTTCCATCGCCTACGTCTCGTCATTAAATGGCATATTAAACATTATCGGGAGGAGACTTTCTCAAAATTCGGTCATGGTTTACTGAGGCCACCAACACGACACAAACGTAATCCTTCTAATTATGCCCTTCGATCCGGCAGGAGGTGAAAATACGCGCTCGCTCCTGCTCAGCGTCCTTTGAACCAGACTACATTTTCAGGCTACCCAGGGTCGAGGCCAGAATCCTCCTCACRTCATATTACCCGGCTTCGGGAGCCCCAATCATCCACGCGCCAATACTGAGACGCAAGAGCTATATCGCACAGACATCACAGCATTAAGGCTGACCTGCAGCCATAATCACCAGCACGCAAGCACGCAAGTAGACGCAAGCCCAACTCCAACAACCACAATGGCAGGGATAATCTCGCAGTGGAGCATCTCAATGGCTCACCAAGAGCATATCCCGTCATATACCTCCAAGACATGTGGCGAATCCACTGCGTCTTCTCGGTTAAACTGAAACTTGTAGAAATTCATCAACTCCGGCATCAGACGCGGGATCTGCATCGGGCTATGGATTTGGACCTGCCCGATTTGGATCTACAGCCAACGGAGTCAACGTTAGCCTTACATTGCGCAACGATGCTCCGCAGATGCGTGCAGAAGCCAAAGAAAACTCTGCATCCTAAAATCTCACCAGCAGCTGGGGCGAGTCGGGAGGCCTGAGGAAAGTTGAAGTATACCACATCAGTTATTAATACATATATCCATACAGATACAGATACAGCGTATTTCAAATGTCCTGAAATACAAATGGTTACAGTACGGTTTGTACTGTTATATTACCATTCTTTCTCGATACAGCAAGCAAATTCTGACGTAAAATACCCATACACATGGGTGTTTCTTAGCTTCGAGTAATATACGTTGCTGTCAGCAGAGAAATCAATGATAAAAGAGAGTAAATTAACCAAATAGGAAAATGGATCCTCGAAGTATTCTGCATATTGTCCAGACTCCCTGCTTGTCCATATCGGGTTAGGGTCTTGTTGGTTGAGGCACTTCTCAGCTGAGATTCGGAATCAGGGCAAGGCGCTTAAGCATTTTCACATTGAACTCCCGCACAGGTGCATCAAACACTCCGTGGGGTCGGGTTGCAGGCGTGCTGCCAACTGCTGCTGTGGATTTCCGCATTGTCTGACCTGCTGTCCTGATTCTCCTCATCTCTATCTTTCAAAATGTCAATCTTGAGCACGCTAGGTCTGGAGAACTGCGCAAGCAGCTTTTCCTATACCCAATATGCCGTTTCGATGGCAATCACTGGATTGATTCTGGTAAACCTGAAGGGTGTGGTCGGGTTCTGGCATGTATGTCTTCTTGTCACGCTGTACGACTGTGACCCAACCATGACTTACCATCCTAGGTGCGGTTATTCAAAGGCCTATTTACCCAATACTTTATCGCCAAAGGCACAAAGCCAGAGACAAACGATACGAAGCGCAATGGCAAGGTCGTAACAGTTGCGGAAGGCATCCCTCGCCTCTTCTCCTACCTTGTCACGACACATCGCAATTCTCCCATTGACTGCGACTATAACATGCACAAGTCCAACAGCACCTTCTTCTCTGACTTGGACATCAATCGTGCCCAATTGCTCATTCGGCTCTTTTGTGGTTTCCCGCGGTGGAAGTCAACCTCAGATGGGGAAACAGTAAGGAAGAATAACCAGGAGAAGACATTGAATATTGCGCTCGGAGGAGTATCCTGCGTCTTCAAGCGAGAGATTAAACCGTTCCAGCGGTTCGAGATCTGGTCTCGCGTGCTCGCTTGGGACGATAAGTGGCTCTACATTGTGAGCTACTTTGTTCTTCCGGGGACAGGCATGGCAGTTATGAAGTCCCTGCATGAGGAAGCAAAGAAGGGGAAAGAGTTTGATCCCAATAAGGCTATTTTGGCTTCGTCTCTCAGTCGATACGTGTTCAAGGACGGGAGAAAGACAATCCGACCAGAAGATGCTCTGGTCAACAATGGGTTGTACCCGGCGGCGAAGAACGCGAAGGATGCTGGAGGGGACGAGAGGGTATTTGTCAGTGAGAGAGATCGGGCATTGGAGGTTGCACGATTTTTCCACGGGTTAGATACTCTTCCTTCGCACTTTGGGGTTGCGGCATCTTCGGTACTGGGGCGATACTCGGATCTGTAGCCTTGAGCTGAGAAATTTGATAAAGGTGATGTCTAGCGTCTCGTGCGCATGAATATATAGACTTTTGGCGAATATGAAGAATAATGTCCATCAAAGAGTGGGAAAATAGATACACATGAAGTGAACGCCCAAAATGAAACAAGTCATACCAGACTAGAGACCTTGTTTCTATCACTGTGGTGGCGGCAAGGTCAATGTAAGAATATAATGAAATATCAACACATAAATCTGGGTAGATGAGAAGTATCTTCGAAACAAAATATAAGTAATGAAACTTGAACATCATGCAAGAACGAACGCCGATGAGCTCATCTGTAAGGGGATGCCGCCCGCTCACGCAGTGGCAACATCTCGTCTCCTCCTAAGTGGTCATCACCCGGGATCTTCTGCAAGTCCTTGTTCTTTCGTCTTTTGCAGCAGGAACAACAGCATGCGCAACAGAAGATCTTGCGCAGAGGGCTTGGGGGCATTTTTGCGTCGGGACCTTTGATAATGGCCCCCGGATGTATCACGTTCCAGACCACAATGGCAAACCACATGGGTACTGCGTCGAAAACGTACATGTACCATTCATGCTGTGGAATGKGATTTGAAGCGTCGTTCCCCGAGGAGAATTCCACCAGCCGAAAGATGATGCGCACAGTGATGAACAGCAGACTCGCGTATAATGCATACAGCAAGCCTCTCCATTTTGCCTTGATTCCGACCAGTCTCCCCTGGCGATCTAGGTGGAGCATCTTGCGGTGAAATTGGACTGCGATAAAGAGGAAGACAACAATGAAGAACTGTTGGATACCAATGCCCCCCATGTAGATGTGAATACCCTTCATCATTGTGGCGTGATCCGCCCCGGGCCCAGCCATGCCACCTCCGATCAACTGGATGACAAAGGACCCCAGGTCCAGGACGACGAAGATCATGGCCAGCATGGAGGGTCTGAAGATGCCTATTTGACGATCCGGGACGAAGAAGTGGATCATTCGAGCCAGAACCATGTAGTCGAATGCATTGACCCCTAAGAGGTTATTAGCAACTATCTCAATGAAGAAGGGAGAGATAGTGGAAAGCGTACACAATGGAGACAACAAAATGAACAACTGAGTAATTGTGGCAAGAGTCGTGTCCTGCTGATTCCGCGTACTCAGTGTGCGCGTCACGAACCCTACACACTCCCATGTCGCGCTCATCAAGATGACCCAGACAAACCCTGCCTTGTGAACAGTGGCCTGGACAAAATGTGTGATCATCAGGATACCGAAGAGGACGGAAAAGGCGAGTGCAGCGCCAAAGGAAGGGTAGTACTGGTAGAGGGCATTGCACTCGCTTGGCGGAACGTAGCCATTCGCATCGGGAGTAACAGTCGGTGTGCAGGTGTTGGAAGGCAGATCCAGCGACAGACTGAAGGGTGTGATCGAGACCTCGGGAACATTAATTGTGATATGGGGGTCAAAATCATCAGTGGCTGTTCCTGTGGCTCGTCGCTGGAGACCGGCGACGTCAATTGTAGTCGGAGCAAGAGTGGGAGCAGGGGTTGGCGCAGGAGTCGGCGCAGGCACAGCAAGCACTCCAATTGCAGAAATGAGCAAGAGAAGAAGTAACGAGAGTTGTAGACGCATATCTGATGGAGTTGGTCTGAGCGACCAGAAAAAGAAAGGGAAGATCGATGACAGCGAATAATTCAATCACAATGAAAACGGAAGGTGACACAGGTCAAGGAGCATAGAAAAGAGATAGGAGGGATTGATAGACGCTTTCCACATACACTCCAAGGACAGTCGTGATTTAAAGCTAGATTTGGATTTGGATGATTGCAATATTCTTTGTTATGCTTTTTGTTTGTTGTTGCGGCTGCTGTGATACACAGCGATCCGCCATGCTGCCTCCTAATTCTATTTCCGGAGTCAGCAAGAGATGCAGGGTTGTCTGTGTGAGCACCTGGCAAATGGGCCAGTCACAGCGCATGGCGACTATTGTGCCTTCAGACTTGGTCTATATCCAGGGGATTTATTGGGTTGAAACTCGGTGGTTAAGCGTCAAAGAGTCGTGGAGGGGAAATGGGACATGGGTGTTGATTGGATTCTTGTTAGGCTACCGGATTGTTCGTAGCCGTGACTAACTGGGGATTGGCAAATAAGCAGAGCAAACTGAATCGGGCTATTTTGCTTGTCGTCTTGTAGTCTAGCTTAGTTTCAGATTTTACGTAGTAGCCTGGATTAAATTGCCCAAGAAATGTGCCAGGCTCGCAGATTAATCTTGTGGCACAGTCTTCGGCTAAAATCAGCCACGCATACTCTACGAGTCTAGCCTGTTTGTTTAGAGTACATGTACTCTGTAATAAGCGATGTATCAGACTATTTCTGCATCGATGCAACATTTCTTACCACGTAAGGGGCCGCATAGCTCAGCTGATGGCGAGAAGTAAGCACTAGGCGTTAGCATCCATAATAGCAGCGTAACTTCACATTCCTAGTACCCCACATCAGCCCAGATCATGAAAGCCAAGCTTAAAGGATTTACTCAATCTTAAAACGCAAAATTCTGGACTTTGGTATGGCTGTTCAGCGAGTAGTGCTATTGAGCTGTCAGCACGAGCACGGCAGAATTGACATGAGAAAGGAAGGCGGGATATAGACTACTTTTTAGCTGCATTTTCAATATGATTAATKGCTTTATCCCCAGCCTCCTGTTTTATGCCCTATTCTTTCTCGCTGTAGGCAGATTCACTTAGATCCACAGGGCTCGATGACTGCTGGTGATGTGTTCCATCGCCGCCGAGAACGTCTTTGGCCCAACAGTGGCTCCAGACTGTCGAAATGGGTTCGACTTTACTCTGCTGTTTGAGGAGGCATTCTTTGTCATTGCTCCTTGCAGTATCCTTCTCTTGACTCTGCCGTTGCAGTTATATCGATTAACGACTCAACGGCCTCAGGGATCCTCCGCTGGTCCTGTTCTCTACGTAAAGCTGGTAGGATTGGATTGCCGAGATATGGACATATAGGCCCGAAGGGTGAAGCTAAGATCATGCACATAGCTAAGCCATCTCATTTCCACGGTCGTCAAGGTCACGCTCCTCATTCTTCTTGTCGTTCCCGACCTCCATGTCCCCAAGACCCGTGCCACGATCGCCGCCGCGGCGGTATCTGCGGCCGCCTCTATCGCTGCGCTTGCCCTGTCATATTGGCAGCATCGTCGGTCGCCGAGGCCTTCAACTATCCTGACGCTTTTTTTGGGCTCATGTATTCCCTTGGATGCGGTTCGCGCTCGAACAATTTGGGCAGTACAAACCAGGACATTCTTTATTGTCTTTGTTGTCGGTCTGGGATGTGATACCGTCAAGTTCGTCTTCGAATGCCTGGAGAAGGCAAGACATCAGCCCCATGATCTGGATCAGCTGCCCCGTGAGACCACTGGCAACGTATTCAATCGGAATTTCTTCTGGTGGCTCAATCCGTTGCTGGTCCGCGGCTTCAAGGAGGTCCTGGAGGTCGAGAAACTGTCCGCCATTGATGAACGTGTGAACAATGAGACGGACGCGGATGTCTTTGCAAGGAAATGGGACGCTGGTATGGCATTTGCCACTGATTCAAACACTGTTAACTGACACGCTGGTAGTCGTCTTCAAATCGTCGTCGGCGCTGATTCTCCTGCTTCTCGTCCACCATCGGTGGGCTATTGTCGCTGCGGTCATTCCTCGTCTCGCGCTGACAGGTTTCACCTTTGCCCAACCTTTCCTGTTGACTAGAATCATTAGCTACATCACTGAACCCAACGGCGCGCTGACTGCCGACTACGGCACCGGTCTCATCGTCGCCACCGTCCTCATCTACGTCGGCCTTGCCATCACACAAGCCAACAATCAACACAAGACATACCGGCTTATCGCCATGATACGCAACAGCCTTGTTCCCCTGGTGTACCGGCAGACCTTGCGTCTGGATGTTGGTTCGGTCCGCGATTCTGCCGCACTCACCCTCATGAGCGTCGACATTGAGCGTATTAGCTCTGGGTTGCGATATGTTCACGAAATTTGGGGCAGTCCAATTGACGTCGCTCTTGCACTTTGGTTGTTGCAGCGACAGCTCGGTGTCGCTGCAGCGGCGCCGGCTGGTATCTTTGTGGGTACGTTATACTCTCTAACTATAGGAAATGCAAGCCCGTTGCTAACGAGATGAAAAGTATGTAGTGTGCTTGGCCTCGGAGTTGCGAGCACCATGGGAGCACGTCAGCGTCGTTGGCTCGAAGGCATCCAGGAGAGAGTTCGAGTGACATCGGAAATGCTCAAAAGCATGAAGGAGATCAGGTTGAGCGGGTTGCAGGCTTCCATGGCGTCGAAGCTACAAAGTCTGCGGGCCCACGAGATTTCACAGTCGCGACCTTTCAAGAAGGCATTGGTAGCTATTGTGACATTGTGTAGGTGGAGATTTCCCCTTTACCCAGGTCCAAAGCTGACAGTCTAAGCTTTTACCACTGCCGCCTCCGGTCCCTTGTTGGCATTCACAATGTACACTCTTCTAGCCACGCGAGATGGAACCCGTGCTCTCGACTACGACAAAGCGTATACCTCCTTGTCGCTGTTGGCCCTGCTGCAGACTCCGATGGCACTTATTCTCGACGCCATTGCCGGGGTAGTCACTGCTGTCGGAGCCTTGCAGCGCATCGGCGAATATTTGGCTAAATCTGCCGCATGCGCTCCCGAGCAGGATGGCGATGCTGGAACAAGGCGGCTGTCATCCCTGTTGCTGTCCTACCCCTCATTCGGCGAAACGGAGAAACAGAGGGACACAATCGTCTACATGCGCGACTTTAGCGCCGGATGGGACGAGAAGAAACCATTTGTCATCAAGAATCTGAGCATCGAGATCCTCTCCTCGAGCATCAACTTTGTCGTCGGACCCATGGCGTGTGGCAAGACAACGCTGCTCCATGCCGTCCTCGGTGAGACCGTCCACACCGAGGGCATCGTGCAGGTGTCTCCCTCCAGAATCAGCTTCTGTTCTCAGACGGCGTGGATTAGCAATGATACGATCCAGCGGAATATCCTTGGGACGAACCTCTTTGTGCAGGCCTGGTATGACAAGGTGGTTGACACGTGTGCGTTGCGAGAAGATATCCGGAGTTTTCCTCATGGAGACCAAGAGGTCATTGGCAATAGTGGAATGACGCTGAGCGGAGGTCAAAAGGCACGATTGGTGAGTGGATGGGTATCCGGAAGCAAAGAAGCAGAGACTTACTCCACCAGGGAATTGCGAGGGCTATTTATGCCCGGGAGAAGCTCCTCTTGCTAGACGATGTATTCAGTGGGTTGGATGCAAAAACCGAAGAGCGCATTTTCCACAACCTATTTGGCGCCAATGGACTACTCAAGGAGGGAGATACAACTGTTATTCTGGCTACAAATGCAGGTAGGTAATCTCTTCCCTTGTAGAGAATTTGTTCTGACCAGGCAGTCCATCGGATCGCCTATGCGGACAATGTTATAGTTCTCGACAGCAATGGACGCCTGGCGGATGAAGGTACTTACAAGGAGGTGAATGCATCGGCGAGTGAGATCACGCTCGCGCCCGCGCCTAGTATACCTGCGGAGAAGAGGGAGCCTCCTGGAGAGACAATTATGGGAACCTCGAGGCCGCCTTCCCTGATTGAAACTCCTCAAGGAAGCGAACGGCGGACTGGGGACATGACTGTCTACAAGTACTATGTCCAAGCTGTTCACCCTTGGAATGCGGTAATCTTTGTCATCGCATGTGCCATGTTTGTTATTGGCCTCAGTTTACCTCGTGAGTATACTTTCTATGCCAGATTGAGATAGATCGACACTAATATCCGCAGAATTCGTGGTGAAATGGTGGCTTCAAACCAGCGATGAGTATACGATCAGCCACCGGGGCCAGTTTTTGGGAATCTACGCTGCACTGGCTGGTCTCTCCATTGTCTCACTTGCCGTCGGCGCTTGGTAGGAGTTCTTCGCCCTTTCTGTTGCAGGATGCTAATGGTGTAGGCAACTGACTGAGCGAATGCTCGCCCGAGCCTCGACCCATTTTCATAACACCCTCCTAAGCACCGTCCTGAATGCGCCCCTACGGCTGTTCTCAACGACAGACATTGGCACCATCATCAACCGCTTTGCGCAGGATCTACAATTGGCAGATATGGAACTACCGCTGGCGCTGTTCAACACCACTGTCGAGCTGCTGATGTGTGTGGCCCAGCTCGTCATTATCGCCGTGGCTTCGAAGTACATCGGCATCGCTCTACCGGCCCTGCTGGGTGTCTTTTATCTTGTACAGAAGTTCTACCTCCGGACGGCCCGCCAGCTGCGTCTTCTTGACATCGAAGCCAAAGCCCCCCTGTTCTCTCGCTTCCTCGAGGTGCTGTCCGGGCTGGTGACCATCCGCGCCTTCGGATGGCAGGACGAGTTCGAGCGCCGCAACCGCCAGGCCTTTGATATCTCTCAGAAACCCTTCTATCTGCTGTTCTGTGTCCAGCGCTGGCTCAATCTCGTCCTCGATCTGGTGGTAGCAGCCATCGCCGTGATCGTCGTAGCCATCGCTGTGCGCACAAAGGGCGGCGTTGACGCGGGATTCCTCGGCATTGCGCTGGTCAATATCGTGCAGTTCAGCATCAGTATCAAGACCTTGCTGTCCAACTGGACGCAGCTGGAGATATCCATCGGCGCAGTGGCGCGCATTCGCTCCTTTGCCAAAGATACCACCTCTGATGAGGAGGAGCGTTTGGAAGAAGACGCGCTCCGGAGCATCCCGCCGTGCTGGCCTGTAAAGGGCCATATCGAGTTTCGGAATGTGACGGCCGCATACGAGGGCTCTGCGCAGATGGTGATTAAGGAGTTGAACCTCACGATCCAACATGGCGAGAAAATAGCTCTGTGTGGGAGGAGTGGAAGGTAAGTGTTTGGGATTTCGCTTATTCTATCAGTAGCTAATGATGTACAGCGGCAAATCGTCCCTGGTTTCGGCTCTATTCCGCCTCCTGGATATCTCCCAGGGCACAATCACTGTCGACGGGATAGACATCAGTACCATCCCCCGCGAAACATTATATACCCGCATTGTCTGCGTCACACAGACGCCCCATCTCCTGTCGGGCACAATCCGAGAAAACATCGACCCATTCGGCACCGCCTCCGACCCAGCCATCGAGCACGTCTTGAAGGAAGTCAAACTCTGGGACACAGTGGAGTCACTGGGCGGGATCAGCGTCTCCCTGACTGATGATCACTTCAGTGTGGGGCAGAAGCAGCTGTTGTGCCTGGCACGGGCCATGATTCGGGCCAGCTCGATCCTCATTCTCGACGAGGTGACGGCCAGCGTCGACTGGGAGACCGATCAGCTGGTGCAGAAGATCATCCGCGAGCATTTTGCGGAGAGGACGATCATCACCATTGCGCATCGGATCTCCACCATCCTGGATGCGGACCGCGTGGCTGTCATCTCGGAGGGGGAGGTCGTTGAGTTGGCCGCGCCCAGCGAGTTGCTCGCGCGCGATCCTCCCAGTTTGTTTCGGGGATTATACAATGCCAGCACTATGAATCTGGATGCTATTTGATTTTAGTTTACACAGTGTCGCTCAGAGTTATTATAGAACGCGTTGTTACTGCTAGAACCAAATTGCGTCCTCTCAGAGTAGAATAATCGGGGATCCATCATTGCCTGGAGATTAACCATCTGGTCGCAGCTGGGATGTATTTGTCATCACGCCTTCAGCCCTGGTCATTAGGTAATCCTTACCAAGATATTATCAAAAATAGTCCAAGTAACCCTGCAAGCAGCCTTCGAACACGCGGTGCAGCGCGAGGTATCATTCGTCAAAATGCTCCTACCTAGCTTCCTCCCACTGCAGTAAGCGACGGTGAGTCAGGGGGAATCTAATTCCGAGCACTATAACTAGTTCAACGGAATAACTATGACTAATGGCTGCGGAGACAGTGGTAAAACACAGGTGTGGCTTTTCAGGGTCGCGTCGGACTAGCCCGCATGCATTCGCAAGTTACTGATTGGAAGGCTGTCCAAGGCCTAGACAACGGATAGGGCGATGGCCAGGGCGGCTATGCAAAAGCCAAGTCTCTACGCCAACGCAGGATCGGACGGATCTGATTAAGCTTACGAATGGTGTCGGTGATTTATCGGATCATTGGGAACTCCGCCAATTACTGTTTTTTAAAATGGGCTGCAGTAATGTGATCATCCCGGAGATGGCTGCGGGTAAGTATATTACGCCCGTTCTATACGTACTGGTATTTTGGTGCATACGTATATTACACGTTTGATAACATTACCGTAGTAATACAATCGTATCAAGATACCTAGGTAATCAGCGGCGTAAGTATCTCATACCAACTAGAACTCGCCTAGCCCTTGCGCAAGGACGAGTAGACCAGGAAGAAATAGATTACTCTGACGCACTATAGAGTACCTATTAGTCGTCTGGTCCATTTCCGTCTAATATACCCCTGCAAGATGATTAAAGTCGTACTATAGTTTCCATTCTGGCCAACTCATCTCATCAGCCCAGCGGTAGGTCAAGTCTACGGCATCCAAACAGGTGCGACTAGATGCATGAATGCGTTATTTTCTATCCCACGTAAGACAGCCAACTAAGGTCGAGTCCCCCTCCTAGAGAGTCCGCGGAGGTAGTCCGTCGGAAAGCGACCCGTCCTACCTCGCAACATATCCGCCCGCTCTTGCAAGGTCATGTTGGCCTGCTGCGCCCCTAGGGGCACCATACACTTAGCCAGATACGCGTAGTCCTTCTGTAGTAACTTGACCGTCAGCATCATGTAGTCAATGTTTCGGAAGACGAGCGCTTTTTCGTTGGCGTAGCGTTCTCGGTCTTTCAGCAGGGCCGCAGGGTGATCGCGCCAGTGGCGACGCGGGTTCAGATGGTGTGAGGTGTGGTAGCCGTCGTTGAAACAAAAGCGGTTACTCTGTAGATGTTGATAAAATTAGTTTGCAAGACTGCAAGTAAGCAATTGCGGAGAGGGGCAGGCGTACCGCAACATCGATCAAAGTGATACTCGACCGAAAGTCGGATGCTGGATCGTCAGGATCAACAAACGCATGTTGTCCCCAGTTGCCCGCCATCAGGCCCAGTCGCAGAGTCAGCAGTGGTAGGATAAACACGCAAAGAGCCGCGCGAGGGTTGACATATCTCCACATCAGGTAGATGAACAAGTAGTTGCTCCCCTCCCATAACGCCGTCTTGAGCGCATACTTCGGCTTTCCCGTCCGCAGGAAATACAGGGGTAGGTCCAGCCAGATCAGGAAAAAGAAGCGGCCCACGTAGCAGGCAAAATCCGTTATTGAATCGCGGTCATACCACATGGTTGAGTTGAGGTCTGCCGGCCCGTTGCCCTCGACATGATGATGCTTGACGTGATGGTAGTAGTATGAGTTCCAGGTGTGGCCCACCAGCGGATCCACGAAGTAGGGAAACATTCTGTCGAGTACCTGATACTTTGGGGCGAGGACGCCGTTCATATGGACATACTGATGCTTCATGAGGGTGTACGTCCCTGCGAACCAGACATGCAAGATCCAATGCAGCAACCCATGGATCCAGGTAAAGTGGTAGCAGTGCAGCCAGATGGCGCTTGGAATAGACATTCCAAAATAGACTAGCAGATGAGTGACCATAACCACGTCTGTAGGATACCGGGCGATTTCTTGAGCCCAGGTGATATACGGATCTAGGGCATATTTTCGGACGAACGGTGGCAGCTGGGTGCGCAACTGATGGGTATCCCAGAACTGAAAGACTGTCGGATCGAACCCCAGTTCCTGGGGATTGTTCAGACACTGTAGCGCCTGAACAGTTTCGGGTGTTTTAGATGTTTTGCCTGTGGATGATGTCAGTTGTCTGTTCACTATTGGGCCACTGGATACGCACTTTTTGCTTCTTCATGCCTGAGAAGCTCCTGCAGCACCAATTGATCAGGAATTGTTAGATAAGGGTCGATGAACGTTGAGGGATCCATGACAGCGCTATGTGGACAGCTGGATGGCCGTTACAAAAAGCGGTTTCCTGATGAGCTGGCAAAGTTATATATCAAGTCTCAACATCGAAATGAAGTGACCAAGATATGCTCCGGCTTAATAGAGCATAGCCGATTAGTATCCAAGACACAGTTCTATAAAAAGGCCATATGTAGAGGAATCAATGGTGCCTGGAGGCTAAAGTCCTTAGGGTGTTTCACTGCCTCGTGAGCGGCGGGGAAGCACAGCCATTGTCATTAGCGAATGCTCTCTAGCCACTTTAGGGGCTCCAGGAAGCGTATTCGGGCTTTAGCTCTTAGCCAAATAGGGAAGTAGATTATACGAGAGGGATGTCCGTGCGAGAAATCGCAATGCAGCAGGCGGAAGCATTATCAACATCACAATCAATGAATTGAATGGACTGGCTCAAATAGGTAGCTATGAGTTCAATAGATATCAGACAGGAGTAGTGGGCCAACATCAACATGAAGAGTTACATAAGAAGAGAGACAGGAGTAAGAATGCAATCAAGCTTGTGTACCAAGCAGAGTCTGAGCCATCTCCCATACACGAGACCCATCCACMAGACCCTCAACAGTAACACGATACCCCTGACGCTGCCAGTAGGCTGCTAGCAGGGCAGTCGCGACCAAATCACCGCCCACGGCGAAGAAGTCCGACTCCAAGTCCAGTGAAAGATCTGAAGACCCAAGAACACGTCTCCAGCTGTCGTAGATTGCATCAACAAGGGCACCAATTCGCTGGTCCGAAGGGACAATAACATGTCCATTTCCATTCACCATTGGTCCAGCCGGGGGCGTTAACGGAAGAACAGGATTGTTCTGGATCCACTTTGAGGGAAGGGCTTGCGCTGTGGGATCAGATTGGCAGATACACTGAATAGTCTCGCAAAGCAGGTCCAGCAAGGCAGTTGCGGTCTGATCACCCACAGTTCGCGACGAAGTGATGAGGAGAACCTCCATCCCCTCATCATCTAGCGGAGTAGTCTTGATCGCCACGTCAGCCTCATCTGCTGCAGGACAAAAATCACCAATGGTGTAGTCCCTGGCATCAAGAGTTACATGGGAGACCTGATCGATGTTCTGGTGTTGCACGATGGTGCTGAAGCGGGTTGATGGAGTCCAAGGACTACATTCTCTGACAAGCTGGCGCATGCCGATAGACTCATGGGACATACTAGCCACATGCTGGGATTGCAGGCTCTGCAGAAGATCAATCATTGTGGTCGAGTCGTCAATTGTGGCGCGGACGGGAATGACATTCAGGCAGGCGCCGACGATGCGCTCCATGTCTGCGCCAGGAATATTGCGGCCGGAAGTAACATGGCCAAAGGCTACGTCGGTCGTTCCAGAAAGTGAAGCCAGAACTGTCGCCCAAGCGGCTTTCAGAATGGTAGCAAAGGTAATGCCCGAGCTGGAGAGACTGGCGGAGGAGACAGAAATTGTACGGGCCAGATGAAGATCATAGACATTGCGGTAGTCGGGCTTTGTATGAGCCACCACGTTGGTCATCTTTGAATCTGCCAACAGGTTCTGCCAGTAGGTCAGAGAATCGCTACTGCGCTTGGAGGAGTCGATAGCAGCCACGCATTGAGCAAAAGGAACTTCTGGGGTGATTGACTGGCCGGAGAAGATACCCTGCAGTGTCTGCCAAATCTGTGGTAGGCAAACACCATCATATTGAGCATGAGAAATGCGTAGGATGAGACGGTGATGTTCTTGATTGCCGACAAGAATCAGCTTAGCCAGTGGATCTCCAAGCTGTAGATCCGACGCAACGTCGTTACGACAGAGTTGGGCACAAATGATGTCAAGCTCTTGATCAGTTTCGTACCATTCAACTTCATACGGGATCCTCTTGAGCACGACTTGGTAAAAGCGGTCGTTTTGCGCCGTAAAGGCTGTGCGAAGGATCTGATGCGCTTCGAGAAAGCGCGTCCAGACGGCCTGTACATAGTCGGCAGTCCATGGGAGCTTTCCTTGGCCGTCCAGGAAGAGGTAGTTGAGAAGGCCGCGCGTTTTCATCATCGAGTGTGTAATCGCCCATGCCTGGAAGTCTGTTGTTGGCAGAACGTCCACGATGTTATCAGTACTCGTCTTAATGTCGGCTGCAATCTTGGCCACGAGGTCGGGACTAGCATCATGGATCAGAGAGAAGGGCTCGTAAGTGACCAGAGACACCGACACATTGGTATTTCCTGACTTCTTAACAATTTCAGCCGCCATTTCCGAGAGAATCGGTGCTCCGAAGATCTCCTGAACCGAGAGCTGCCATCCCTGAGCCCGAGCTAAACTCGTCAACTTCATTGCAACGATGGAATCACCTCCGGACCGGAAAAAATGATCCCCAGCGCCGATCGTATCTGCTTCCACTTGCAAAACCTTAGCCCACAAGTCACGCAGCTGGAACTCTGTCGGCGTCGTGGGCTTTTGCTTGATGCTGTCGGCCAGGGCATAGGCTATGGCGTCTTCCGGCGACAGAGACAGAGCGAGCTCACGCAGCTGTCGACGATCCGCTTTGCCATTCATGGTCAGTGGCACCCGTACCAGGGGAACGAACATGGAAGGAATCATGTACGAGGGCAGACATTGGCTGAGAGTTTGCTGCAGGCGAATCAACTCCTCGCGCAGTTCCGGTGTCATCTCCATAACTTCGGCTTCGCCACTGCGGTTGCTAAAGTGCAAGAAGGCCACCACTTGCTGACGCTGAGTGGCCGGATCTTTCACCGCATCGACAGTTGCATGTGCTAGGGAAGGCATTGTCTGCCGAACTGCATGTTCAATCTCGCCAAGTTCGACGCGTTGGCCGCGTACCTTGACTTGCGTGTCTTTGCGGCCTGCGAAGCGAATAGTGCCATCTTCGTTATATCGAACCAAGTCGCCGGTGCGGTAGAAAACGCGAGGGCGGCTGGAGTCACGCACCGGAGCCCAGATAGGGTCCCTTATGAAGGCATCCGCAGTCTTGGCCGGGTCATGAAGATACTCTCTCGCCACCGTTGGACCTTCGAGCAGCAGCTCACCCACACAACCAACTGGGGTCAACCGATTGAAATTCTTGGGACTGGCAATCCAGTACAGAGCGCCAATGGCTGCACCCAGGTTCGCAGGATCACTGCTTGCTGTGGCAGGAGGCATTCCTGAGCAGTACACAGAACACTCAGCGGGGCCATAACAGACGATGAGGTCGAGCACACTATGCCACTTTGCGATCGTGTCCCAGGTTGATGCCTCGCCTCCGAGAACGAGCGTTCTCAGAGACGGAATGTCGTTCGCAGGAAGCAAGCTGGCTACGGTGGGGGTCAAGAAGGCCCAGTTGCATCGGAACTGGTTGATGGCCTCTGGTAGAGCATTCAAACGGTCATGCTCGCAGGGAACACAAATACAACCACCTCGCTGTAAGGTTGTGAAGATGTCCGCACAGCTCACGTCAAAAGTGTATGCAGCGAATTGTAACAAACGGGTTTCTGGACCAATGCCCCATCGCGAACCGTGGGCCTTGGAGCTAGAGCAAAGCGATCCATGCTCAATCACGATACCTTTTGGCTTTCCAGTGCTTCCAGAGGTGAAGAGTACATATGCGGCATTGCGAGGGCTCAATGCAGGAAGAGGCGCTTTCATCATGTCGGGAGATAATTGCACTTGGCGGATGAACTCTTCCGTGACGAAGACTTGGTGGACGGAACTGTCCGCTCCTAAGATACCAGCATGATGAGGGGCACATAGCAAAATAGGCGCATTTGCATCCCTAATGATAGTCTCGAGTCGAGCCTGCGGGTGCTTCGGATCGAGATTGACACAGGCTCCTCCAGCCTTCATGACGGACATTTGCGCCACCACTGCCCAGCGTGATTTATCGAAACACATGGGGACCAGTACCTCAGGCCCTACACCAAGCTCGTGAAGATGTTGTGCCAAGATAGTGGAAAGGTGGTCTAGCTCGGTATATGTGAGTTTTCCGTCCCAGGCATCCACGGCTAGAGCATGTGGCCGCTGAGAGACCTGCTCTGCGAAAATTTCAGGGACTGTACACTCGACCACCTCGGGGTATTGTTGGTTCCATTGCATGATCTGCTCTCGGTCTTTGTCACCGAACATGTCGATCTCGCCGAGTAAACGCGTTTCGTTGCCGGCAACAGTAAGCTGGTTGACCAGGCACTCGAAGTGGTACAACATATTTTGAACTTGCCAGGTCGTGAGAATTGTCTCATCGTGTCGCGTTTCAATGTGCACCTTGTTGTGGCTCAGGTAACACTCAACCACGAGGGGATAACTGTCGAAATCCTGCACGGGCAGGTCCACCTCCTGGCATCCGAGGAAGAGATCATCGGTAGTGGTGACCTCGGACGCGGGCTGAATGACGAACAAATTCTGGAACTCGATGGCCCGCGCACATTCAGAGCTGAGCTTGGCGATATTCTGCAGACCAAAGTGTTCATGCGGAATCATGTCTGTGGCCTGCTGCTGGACTTGACTGAGAAAGTCTGCCACAGTGAGTGATACTGGAAGCTGAACTCTCACGGGAACAGTGGTGATTAGCGGAGCGATTATCTTGTCAATGCCTGGAACAGTTCCATTGCGTCCGGAGAGAGTCATGCCAAAAATGACGTCTTCGGAGTCGGCGTAGAAGGACAGAAGCAGCGCCCATGCGGCGCGAAGGATGGTGGTCTTGAGGACCTGGGAATGGGCAGCGGGGGAAAAGAGAAGGGAGCGTCGTGTAGATCCACGGACAGAGGGACGATAGGAGGGGGAAGGGAGTTCAGGGAAGGTCGAGGGGAGTTGGCCGTCCAATTGCTTTGCCCAGAATGCTCGAGTGGCCTGTGCATCGGTCTGGAGCAGATGATTGATGAAGGTATTGAATCCAGGAGTATCGGGACAAGTTTCGTATTCATAGACCGATTTGACCTGGTCCAGGACCATGGGAAGAGACCATCCATCGTAAATGGAATGGTGAGCAGTCCACACAAAGTGGCCATCAGATGTAATTGCACACCGCATCAATGGCGCTCCATACGTGATTCGTTCTCGGTTGTCTCTCTCCAGATACTGCTGTAGAGATTCTGCAGTTCGCCAATGGATGGTCTCTCTGGTCACTACCTGCAGCAAGCCTGCATCTGTGGTTGGCACCAATCTGGTACGTAAAATGGGATTCTGTTGCGAAACAGTCTCCCACGCAGCCTGGAAGCGAGCAATGTTCATTGAGGAACTAATCTTGAGGACGCGGCGGAGGACATATGCTCCCGGATTCAAGATAGACAAAGTCATCATACCCTCCTGTAGCGGGGTGGAAGGGTATGCATCATCGATGGCCTCGAGGGGAATATGGTATTCTTTGGCGACATCGACAAGAAGGGAGCGATTGGAAAGGAGTTCGAATGGGGCCAATTTTGCCTCCGAGGTGCTTTGAGACTTGTACTTGGTAGATACGAAGCTGGCCAAATCAGACAGAACAGGATGGCGGAAGATATCTGCAACCGTCAGGCTGAGATCGCCCGACGTAGAGGCTGCCATTTTCATGGCTGCAATCGAGTCACCTCCGACATGGAAGAAGTTGTCGTCGGCGTAAATTTGATCGAAAGGAACTTTGAGGATGTGATTCCACAGCTCCTGTACCTTCTTTTCAATAGCGGTTCTAGGAACTCGGCGACTTTCGGGTCCCTGCAGTGAGTATTTCGTCAGTTCCGTCTGGGTGATTAGTGCTCCCTGACTGCGTAGAAAGTGTCTGTCAAGCTTCCTGGCGGACGTGGTTGGCATCCAATTTGTGGGCAGGAAGAGAGAAGGCTGCATGTATGGAGGAAGAACTGCGACGAGCGACTTCTTCAAGTGGTTGAGTTGACTGCATACTTCTGGCGTCATGTCGGCAAGGAATTCTTCTTGCTCCAAATTCGATTGACAGATGAATGCTGCTAGAACTGCCTGCTCCTTCTTCCCGTGCGGAAGCACAACCTCAACCGCGATCTGCGTGTTTGGATGAAGCTGCCTCTGAATCTGGTGTTCAATTTCAGCGAGCTCAATACGCTGTCCTCGCAGCTTGATCTGAGTATCCTTCCGTCCAAGATATGTGATCGTGCCATCGACATTGTAGCGGACCAGATCCCCTGTCTTGTAGAACCGACAGTTGCCTGTCTCTCGACGGGAGACGAAGCCTGGGTTGCTGACGAAGACTTGGGCGGTCTTCGCCGCGTCGTTAAGATATCCGCGGGCCAGAGTGCCGCCTTGAACCAGCAGTTCTCCGATGGATCCAATAGGCGCAAGTTGGTTATGGTTTCCCGGGCGAACAATCCAGGATACCGAGCTAACGGCCCGGCCCAGGACATCGTGACGGTCAGACTCATTAGTAAAGGTGTGCATAACGCAGAATACGCAGGTTTCCGTAGGCCCGTAACCGTTCATGAGACGTAAGTTGTCCCTGCCTGCCCAGGTCTGGATATTGTCCGCATCAAGCGCCTCTCCACCAAGGATAATGGTGCTTAGAGTGGGGACCTGTTCAGGCCGCAGAATGCGGACGACAGACGGGGTGAGGAAGGTCGTGTTGGCGTGGAGACGACGGATGGAACCGGCGATATCACTCATTCTCTCCGCTTCAGATGGAACGCAAATGCAGCCTCCGTAGGCCAACGTAGTGAAAATCTCGAGAATACACGCATCAAAGGTGTAAGCCGCAAATTGGTACATGCGCGTTGCGGTACTACACCCGATCTCTCGACCATGGTGGATCACGCTTGTGCTCACAGCCGAATGCTCTACCACAACGCCTTTGGGAGTCCCTGTGCTGCCGGATGTGAAAAGCGTATATGCGACGTTCTGGGGGCCCGATCTATCGATAATCAGATCGCCATCACTATCCAGCCACATGTTGGAAGACGCTGAGACGACCAGAATTTTTGGCACCAGTTCCACAACCTTCTTGGATGTGTATAGAGACACCAGGACCAGAGGAGATTCAGTCTGAGCGATGATGGTAGATAGTCTTTCAGGTGGATGGGCTGGATCCAAGGGCACAAACCCTGCGCCGGCTTTGAGGATGCCCATCATCGCAACAATGGCCCAGGTGGACTTTTCGAAGCAGATGGGGATCAGATCCTCTGGTCCAAAGCCCATGTCGGTAAGAACCCGAGCAAGTTGATTTGCATTCTTGTCGAGTTGAGAATAGGTCATGTCCCCATCCCAAGAGGCAATTGCAGGCGCATCGGGACTGGCTCCAGCGCTCCTCTCAAACAGAGCGTGGACGCATTTGTTGACGGTGCAAGGCACAGTAGCGTTCCATTCCTGGACTTGCTTGCGATGGTGGGTACCAAAAACATCGACTGAGTCCACGGTGGATCGAGGACCAGATACAATGGAAGAAAGGGCTGCAGATAGAGCGTCGGAGACATTCGCTGCATGCTCTGGTGAGAGTCGTGAAGTCAGGTAGCCAAGTTGGACAGTGTATCCGCGATCAGTGTCGGTGACATTGACTGTAATATCATACTAGACGGGTGTTACTATTGTTGACGACAGACCCAACATCGTGTACTCACCTCGGTAGGATCCTCTCCATCGACATATCCTAGTTGTAGATCTTCTAGCTGGAAGTTATCCACATCACGGCGTTGGAAACTCACGACGGTGTTGAAGAGCGAATGGCCTGACAAGCCGAGATGATGCTGAATTTCTGCCAGGCCAACATGCTGGTACGGAAGGATCTGAAGATACTCCTCATGCAGCTCCTTCAGTTTCTCAATGACTGTCTTGCGTCCCATCTGGCTCAAATCCATCGCACAAACCAGCATATTTATGAAAGGGCCCACAGCGTGTTCAATGCCGAGCATAGGGATCTCTCGACCTGCGGTAAGGTAGCCAAACGAAATTCGCTCTTCTCCGGTGTAAGCAGATAGAACCAGTGCCCATGCCAGTCGGACGATATTCGCCAAGGTGACGTCGTGTTGTTGGCAGAATTGACGCACTTGTGCCACGTCAGGCACGGGTACTTCGATGTGTCGCACCTCCCGAACATCCATCTGGACATCGGATGCCACCAGTGAAGGGAAGTTGCAAGCTTGCACATCTCTAAGGAGATTAACCCAGAAGCCAAGAGCCTCATTTGCAGGCTGCGATTGAATATGGGAGATGTATTCGCTATATCTCATCGCTGGCGTAGATGGAAGCTGGCCATTATAGGCAGTAGCAAGGTCATGGATGAGAACTGCCATGGCTGTCCCGTCCATCAGCGCGTGGCTAATGTCGAGTTTGAAGAAGACAGTCCCATCTGCAGTTTGGACGACAGCGAGCCGATGCGGTGGCTCATTTGAGAAGGCCGGCAACGGACTGAGCTGGCGCAGAATCACGATGGCATCTGTGTCGGAGATGGCATCGTCAAGCAGAAGCGACTTGGCTTGGTGGCTATGCAGAACCAGCTGATCAAATGGTCGGCTAGAGATACGTTCCAGGAAGACAGTCCGGAGGATGCTATGACGATCCACCACTTGTTGCCAGGCATCCATCAGTCGGTTAGGGTCTACTGGTTCAACCCCAGACGAAGTCATGCGCATTATGGCATGGTAGAGATAAGCACCTTCAAGGCGGGTCTGACTGAGGAGAATGCCTTCCTGGAGAGGCGAGCAGGGATAGATATCCTCAATAGCTTCCATAGTATAGCCTAACTGCGGTAGCTCATATTTCTGCAACTTATCCAAGCGAAGATAGTCAATTGGCAGCAAGGGATAGTCGCTCCGAGTCAAAGTGAAAGCTGTATTGGCCAGCTGCCGGCTTAACTCGGACAAATGCTCTGTGTAGAGAGTGAGCCAGGTCTGAATTCTCTCGCGGTGGCTCATCTTCTGGTTGAAAGCGACGGTGATATGAGCTGACCCATTCACCACATAGACGTTGATCTCGAACAAAGCATAGCGTCGCACTGCCGGTCCGACGTCCCCCTCGTTAAAGGGAACTCGCTGGAAGACACCGTCAGCGCGCTCGAGACCCTGGTACAGCCCCAGGTAGTTGAATAGGATCTCCACCGGCATGTGGCTGGCGAAGGCTTTGGATCCATCTTCGTTATGATATTTCGATGTGAAATAAGACCATCCGTTGGCTGGAAGCTGCTTGCGCTGGTCCTTGACCTGTCGAACTGTGTCCAGTCCTCTACTGTCCGGACCCACGGCAACAAAGAAGGGGAATATGGTAGTGAACCAACCCACCGAGTCCGACAAATCGACGTCAGAAAGTGGCCCGTTCACCGCAGGTTGACGACCATGACCTTCATTGAAGATAGCCGGTGGCTGACGATCGAAAGCCCGAGCGAACGATGAAAGAAGAGCAGCGAGGAGGACATCCAGAGGCTCAGTCCTCATAGCTTTGTGACAGTGCGTCAGTAGTAGTTCAGTTTCCTTGCAGCCCAGAGTCGCTGAAAGCTGAATAGTATCCCCCTGATAATTGGGGACATCTTGCATTCCCCAGAAGACGTAGTCCGCTGCGGGAATCTCATATGGCAACGCGCGGCTAGGATGGAGATGTCGTGAGGCATAGTCAGCTTGAAGTTTCTGCCACCGTTGGAATGAGAAAGGCGCGAGATCAGAGCTGGCGACCTTGCCAGTCAAGCAGTCTTCGAGCTCCTGGAAGAGGATGCGCCAGGAAACTAAATCGATGACCAGGTGGTGAGCCACGAGGAAGACAATGGACGGTTTCCCTTCCGTAGTGAACAGCTCCACGGCAAAGACTGGTCCGTTCTGGATATCCAGCTGCTCCTGGCTGCGCAATGCAATCCCCTTCGCCTCTTCTTCTGACCGGACAGCATGTTCTCTGAATCGATATGATCCCGAGACCTGGCTCTGGATCATCTGTGTCCATTCGCCCCGGTGCGACTGTCGGAATCGGGCGCGAAGCATAGAATGACGCTGGGCAATCTGCTCCACGGCGGAGCGAAGCTGTTCCACGGATAAATCGCGGGTCAAACGGAGCAAGAAGCTCTGGTTGAATTGGTTCGCAAGCGCATCAGTGCTACCCTTCGTGATCTCCTGAAAATACAGTTGCTGGATAGGCGTCAATTCAAAGGGGGTGTCTAGTTTTTCAGCGACGCGACTTGACGGCCGATTTGGTTCTACGCTCTCGGCGCATTGTGCCAATAGCCGAATGCTGGAACTACGCATCACATCCCGGAAAAGGATATGCAGACCCTCATTGCGACACTGCACAACCAGCTGCATGGCGGTGATCGAGTCTCCTCCCAGATTGAGAAACGATCGGTTGAGAGAGACATGAGCGGCAGGAAGGTTCAGGACGCGAGCAGTGATCTGCCTTAAGCGGTCCGGCGTCTCATCTCCAGTGGAAGCATCTTCTGTTACTGCCTCAAGTTGAGTCGCCTTTTCCGCAACAGCCTGGATGTATGTCTCCTGGTCCATGGTGTCGACCCAGCGTGAAATTGTTGGACGATCGATCTTCCGCGACAGCGTAAAGGGGAAGTTGGGAGTAATGAGCCAGACGGATGGCACCATGTAGCGCGGCAATATCCGTGCCAATTGGTCTTTGATTTTTTCAACCAGAGCAGTGGCCTTCCCTTTGTCCCCTGCATCGCTGAGCGGGCCAATCTCCCCAGGCTGGTCGTCTGATGCCGTCGCCTCCAGAACAACAACGGCGACCAGCTTCTTCTTACATGGTCCGGTCTTTGGCAAAAGAACTACACACTGCTTAACCAGGGCATTATTGCCAATCGTGTTCTCGATCTCGCTCATTTCCACTCGCTGGCCGTTGAGCTTGATCTGGCTGTCCTTGCGGCCCATGTAGACGAGACTCCCGTCGGCGACATACTTGACCAGATCTCCTGTCTTGTACAATCGCGCCCCCGAAGCAGTCGGTCCTCGCCATGTGGGAGCCGAAATAAAAACTCTAGCGGTCAAGTCGGGATCTAGATATCCTCGAGATACCAGAGGCCCTTCGATCAGGAGCTCTCCCACGCAGCCAACCGGTACTAGACGCTCGCTGTTTGCCGGCTCTGTCACCCAGAAGAGGCAGCCATGGGCTTTGCCGATATTGGCAGCTGCAACGCCCTCACGCGAAACAGCTAGAGAGGCCATGACAGAGCATTCCGCCGGACCATAACTGTTGAACAAGCACACTTTCTTCTGCCACTTCCGGGCGAGATCCGCAGGGACCGCCTCTCCGACAAACGCAAGCCCCCTGAGCTTGGGTACTGACTCGGGCGACAGAAACAGTGAGAGCGAGGGTGTCAAAAAAGCGTTAGTCACCTCCAACCGGTCCATTGCTCCTGCCAGGTCATTCATCCGGTCATGGTCAGAGGGCACACAAACGCAACCGCCCACGCAGAGAGTGAGGAAGATCTCGCAGTTGCTGGTATCAAATGTATAAGCGGAGAACTGCAGGGTTCGTGACGAGTGGTCGATGCGCATGTCATGGTTGTGTTCAATCATAGTGCGCATTCCTTTGTGGATAACGACAATGCCCTTTGGCTTGCCGGTACTACCAGAGGTGAAGTTAATCATGGCAGCATTCTCCGGGGAGACATGAGGGAACATATTCGGGTTGGAGGGAGGCAATATGGCGAACAGTGAGGCATTAGCCACTACAACGTTGTTCACGAACGGTCGCAACTTGTCACCATAGACTGAAGATCCAACGACGACAACGCGAGCTCTGGTCTGAGCAATGATATTGGCCAGATGCTGTTCTGGGTGGGAAGGGCTCATGGACACATAAGCACCGCCTGCTTTCATCACGGCCAGCATGGAGACCACGGCCCACGCTGATTTATCAAAGCACAATGGAACAGCATCCTCCAAGCTGACTCCGAGACTGATGAGGTAGGTCGCCAACTGAGAGGACAACCGATCTAATTCCCCGAATGTCAGCGATGCATCCCAGGAATGGACAGCTGGGGAATCGGGATGCATGACGGCCCGTTCGTGGACTCTAGTGTGAATGCAGTCATTAATAGCCTCCGGTACCTTGCCATTGTTGTTAACGTCGAGGATGAATTGCATGTGCTTGTCACCCAGGAGGTCCACCTGGCCGATCTCTGCCGTGGGTGTTGCAACAAGCTTGGAGAGAATAGTCGAAAAGGTCGAAGCCAGCATATCAGCCTGTTCCTTGTCCATGAAAGTGCTCCAGTAGTTGATAGAGACGTCAATGAAGGCCTCGCTGATAGTGATGCTAATTCCCAGGTCGTACTCGGTGGGATCGCTGCCGCCGAGATACTCGATTTCAATGCTACGGTTGTTCTTAGACTCGACCATGGGTCGTTGCAAAGAGAGGATGCTATTGAAGAGACGTTCACCGGACAGCTTCAGGGCGTGCTGCACCTGCGCGAGGGATGTCTGTTGGTGGGGAAGCGAGTTGACAAAGTCTTCGTGCATTTTTCGCGTGACATCCAGCAGGCTCAAATGGTCATCAACCTGTGCCCGGCAAGCTAGCATGGTAATGAATGCACCCACTGCGCTGTCCATGTCCATGTCCAGGCCATCGACATCACGACCAGAGGACAGATATCCAAAGACCACATCAGATTCGCCGGTGTAGGCGCGAAGAACCAATGCCCACACGGCTTGAAAGATATTGGCCAAGGTGACCTCGTGTTGCTTGGTGAAGGAATGCAGGTCCACGACGGTAGCTGGCCCAACCGGGACATTGACAACCTGCAGCTCTCTTATCGGGGTTGTATGCTCATCGTGTAGCGATGGAAAAAAGACCGGCTTCACGTCCTGGAGGTATGCTGTCCAAAACTGCAACGTTTCCTCCATTGAGCGGGTCTGTAAAGACGCAATGTAGTCACGGTATAGAGGTCCAGGGGGGAGGTCGCCATCATAAGCTTTTGTAAGATCACTCAAAATAATCGCCATCGACCCACCATCAATCAGTGTATGACTGATTTCTAGGTTGAAAAAGATTACCCCTTCCTTGTCTTGGAAAATGGTCAGACGGTGAGGTGGCACGCCCTCGCGGTAGTCGATGGGACGCTCCTCGGGGTATCTGAAGAGGCTCTCCAAGTCCGTTGTGCGCTCAATCCTTGGTTCATGGTTCTTGAGCACGACCTGCGTGTATAGCCCATCTTTTGACAGTCCTTCGACGAAGAAAGTTCTCAGTGACGGGTGTCTGGCAACAAGACGTATCCAAGCTTGCTGAACACGGTCCAGACTAACAGGACCCACGGGGCTCTTTCCACGAATGGAGCAGACAGCAAAGAACTTGTACGTTTCTGGCGCTGTGGCTTGACTTATCAAGATCCCCTCCTGCATGGGAGAGCAAGGGTAGGCATCTTCCACGGCGGTGGCGCCGGCGTATCCCATCTTCGTGGCCAAAGCATCCACGTCTGCAACTTCCACAGACGGCAGAAGGGAGAATTGCTGGCTCGTGGACGAACTATTGCTTTCATTTGGTGTCATATTCTTGGTGTTCAATTTTGTCTCTGCGGCGATCTCACGGATACTCTTGCTCTTCAGAATGTGCTTGACGGCGACCTGTAGACCTCGAGAGCGAGACCGTGAGGACACCTGCATGGCTGTAATGGAGTCTCCCCCAAGGGCGAGGAAGCTTTGGTGCATGTCAACCTGGGCAACTGGGATATTGAGTACGTCGCTGATCACCCCCTGCAATTCAACCTCAATCGGATCGGAAGCATGGCTTAGTTTGCTACCAGGGAGCTGAAGAGCGCCGAATGTATCCTCCGGCAAAGCCTCAACCCAGGCAGTCACTGAGGGGCGGTCCGACTTGCCATTTCTCGTCACAGGGATAGACTGGACGATGAGCCATGCGGCAGGGACCATGTAGCCGGGGAGAAGGGAAGACACAGTTTGCTTGATGTCCGACAGGTCTTGCTGAATTTCTTCTCTTTCCCCTTCCTCGATGAATGCGATACGATTGGGATGCGAACCCGATACTGACAGGTAGTCCTTAAGTGCAATGACAGCGACCAGTTTCCCGCTCAGTAAACCTTGCCTGGGGACCAGCGCCAGGGCGTTGTGTAGCTTCTTGTGGGACAGCAGTGCGTGATCGACCTCTCCCATTTCAACTCGTTGACCGTGCAGCTTGACCTGGTGGTCGCGTCGACCGACAAAATTAATCGACCCATCTGAGTTGTAGTGGGCAAGGTCACCTGTGCGGTACAACTTGATCGGCCGTTGAGATGCCAGGGGATCGAACTCGGACAACCATGAGGGAGGAGAAATGAACACAGCGGCTGTTTTGGCTTCGTCTTTGAGGTATCCTCGTGCCACAATGGGTCCTTCGATGAGAATCTCTCCAATGGCACCGACAGCACAAAGTTGGGAGGGATCGTCGGCTTGTGTGATCCACATTCTTGCACCAAGACCGAATCCTATATTACGAGGAGATGCAGATCGGGGGACACCTGTCAGTCCTGTAGACCACACGGAGCATTCTGCAGGACCGTAAATATTGACGAGATGCGTCTGATCGGCCCACATCAAGACGTTCTCCTTGCGAACGGCTTCGCCTCCCAGGGCCAAAGTATGCACACCTGGGACTTGCGAAGGATGTAGGAGGCTGACGACAGATGGAGTCAGATACACAACGTTGGTGTTCATGCGGTTGATTACGCCCGCCAAGTCATTGAGTCGTTCTTCCTCATTCGGAATGCAGAGAGTTCCGCCGCTCATGAGACTTGTGAAAGTCTCACCGATGCTGACATCAAAGGTGTACGAAGCGAACTGTAGTACGCGCGCGTTGGGGCCGTAGTTCATCGCCGGGCCATGGGCACGCGCACTGCTGCAGATTGCATGATGTTCCAACACGATACCCTTGGGCTTGCCAGTACTGCCAGAAGTAAAGACCACAAAGGCAGGGTTTGCAGGTGAAACAGAAGGCGGCCCGACCGGCTCTAACTGTTTCGCGAGCAGTTCGTCGGCGAATTGCGGCTTGAGAACGACGACATATTGGACAAGGTCCTGGAACAAAGCTTCCTTGTCTTCGCCAACGACAGCGACGGTGGCATCACACTGACGAATCATTTCCTCTCGGCGGTTCAAGGGATGTTGGGGGTCAAAAGCCACGCAGGCTCCACCAGCCTTGAGTGTGGCCAGTTGGGCGACGACCGTCCAGCGCGACTTAGCAAAGCAAATGGGAACAAAAGTCTCCGGTCCAACCCCTTTTGCTACAAGTACATGCGATAGAGACGTAGCGACGTCATCCAGCTCTTTGTAGGTGAATGAACCATCCCAGGCTTCGACTGCAAGGGCATTGGGGCGCTCAAGGACTTGCTGGTGGACCAGATCATGCACACAGGCATGGACATCTGGCCATTGCTCGCTATTCCAGCTCGCAACCTGCAATTTGTCGTGCTCACTGAGGATATTGACGTTGAAAAGTGACGACTCGTCGCTGCGGGTTAGATTCTCGATGGCGGAGCGGAACGTTTCAAAGACATTCGAGGCCATCGCATCGGACAAAGCAGCAGTGAAGTAACGGAGAGTTATCGCTATACGTACCTTGGATACTAAAACATTGACCGAAATATTATACTGTTCTTGTCAGCGTGAAGCGAAAGACATATAGGAAGCACTGTCTACCTCTGTCGGGTCTTGTTCGCCAACCACCTTGAAACTGATCGTCTTGTCAGACCCTGCACCAGAAATCTCCTCACCTACAGCGCTCTGGAGCGACATGATGGTGTTAAATAGAGGCTGAGACATGCCCAATGCATGTTGTATTTCAGCAATAGAGCACTGCTGGTGGGAAAGTCCCTCCAAGAAAGCATTCTGCGTCTCCTTGAGCACGGCGGAAACCGTGCTGTCACCAGAAAGACGGATATAATAAGTCATCATATTAATGAACACGCCAACAGCGTCACTGATATTTGGGACTGGAAAGTCGCGGCCAGCGGTAAGATAGCCAAAGCTTATATCGTCCTGTCCGGTGTACGCTTTGAGGACGAGCGCCCATGCCGCTTGGAAGACAGTCGCCGGCGTGACATTATGTTCAGCGCAGAAGGCATGGATGGCGTTCCCATCCTCGATATCGATGGTCAATTCATGCAACTTGTTCTCCCCGTCAGCATCGTCATTGAGGACGGGGAAGTGGCATGGAGACGCATCCTCTAGGTACTTGGCCCAGTAGCCCAGAGATACATCGGCGGGAAGAGTTTGTAGATAGCGGATGTATGAACTGTATCGCACAACCTGCTTGGCGTTCAACAGCCCTGCGTATGCGAGACTGATATCGCGAAACAGAAGCAGGATTGAGACACCGTCGATGAGGGCGTGACTAATGTCGACTGTGCAGAAGACCTTTCCATCAGCCGTTGTCGAAACAATAAAAGCGACTGGCGGCTGGAGAGAAGTGTCATCGCGGGTGAAGTCCTCCATGGCCTTCCATACGGCATCCTCATCCGAATGTTCCCATAGGAGGAATGCTCCTTGAACACATTTCAACACCAGTTGGTCGCACAGCCCGTGGTCGGCTTCGGATTCGACGAAGATGGTGCGTAATGCAGGATGGCGGCCCGTCACTTGCTGCCACGCCTCGTGTAGCGTGTCCAGGTCAATAGGTTTGCCTGGTGTTGAAACAACTTGACAAGTGATCCGTAGTTGATATCGTTCCGGCGCTTGTTGCTGGGTGAGTAGAATACCCCTTTGGACGGCCGATATGGGATACAAGTCTTCCACTTGTTCGCTGTCGAATCCTAACTCCGAGATCCTTTGGTTGTCAAGTGCTACAGGGGCTGATTCCTCGATGAGGATCTGAGTTCCATCATTCTCAGTAATGCGCAGCGCGAGTTCAGCCAACGTCGGGCTCTGAAGGACATCCTCAATCCTGACACCCAGGCCCTTTCGGCGCAATTGATCCAACAGTTGCATTGCCTGGATGGAGTCACCTCCGTTCTGGATAAACGATTTGTTCAGCCAGACGTCCTCGGCACTCTCAAAGCCCAAAATCACGCTGCAAATCATCTGCAGCTCACGCTCCTCATTCGTCGACGCCTGGATTCTCTCTACGTCGGTTCCCTCGCTTCGCCCTGTGAGCAGGTTGAACGTCTCCGTGGACAACGCTGCCACCCACGTGCTAACCATAACTCCGTTCTGCTTGCCAGAGGCCGTCAGGGGAATGCATCCTACAGGAGCCCAAACAGTCGGCTGCATATAACTAGGGAGCTGCTGTGATAGGGCTTCCGCGACAGCGCTCAATTCGGTGGACGCAGCCCCAAAATCTTTCTCATCTACCAGTTCGACGGTGGATGCTTCCTTGCGGAAGTTCTTTAGGGAGAGAACCGCCGACAGCTTTCCCTTACAGGGTCCTTGCTTTGCTAGGACCACAACCGCCTGTTCCACCTTGGGATGGGCCGCTAGCCGGTGCTCAATCTCTCCCAGTTCGATTCGGAGACCGCGCAGTTTGACCTGACTGTCCTTGCGCCCAATAAAGTGCAAACTGCCGTCGGAGTTGAAGCGGGCCAGATCCCCTGTCTTGTATAGTCGGGAAGTGCCCGTTGACTCGCTCCCAGTCCATTTTGTCGACTCCAAGAAGACGGCCTGTGTCTTCTCCAGTTGGTTCAAGTAACCGCGGGCGACGATGGGTCCTTGAATCACCAGTTCACCAGGCGCGCCGATAGGCATGAGACGATCATGGTCGTCCTTGCTGACGATCCAGCAACATCCGCCAAGTGGATGGCCGATGTTAGCCGGACTTGTGGTGAGAGATAATTGAGGATTTGCCGTCGCGGCGATCGAACATTCAGTTGGACCATAGCCATTAGCCAACCGAACATGCGAGGCCCAGATCTGGATGTTTTCTTTCTGGACGGCTTCTCCTCCGAGGACCAGAAACTGCAAGGTGGGGACCATATCTGGTGTCATGAGGTTGACCAGAGACGGTGTCAAGAAGGCCCATGTTACACCAAACTGCTGAATGCATGCCGAAGGCCCCTTGGCCCGCTCCTGGTCGTTCGGGATGCATACGCAGGCACCTGATATCAGGGAAGTGATAATCTCGAGGATACTGACGTCGAAAGTGAACGAGGCAAGTTGCAGAACGCGGTCAGCATGAGTCATCTTGGACGCTTTTTGCTGGGCCAAGGATCCGGTGAGGAACTGTCGATGCTCGACTACGCAGCCTTTCGGCTTCCCGGTACTTCCGGACGTAAAAATTACGTACAATGCGTTCGAAGGAGTCACAGTGGAGGAAATGCGTTGTGCTTCCTCCACGAGCTGGGTTCGGTCTGATACTGAGGGCAGTAGGTCTGCAAACGCGCGGTCGATGAGCAGGACCTCACCCTCGAACCACTCCCATAGTTGGGAGTATTCCGGTGCAGTTAATATCCAGCTTGTGCCAACTTGATCTACAATCTCCTGATGCCGTGCTGTAGGATGAGAAGGGTCGAGGAAAAGGATGGCGCCACCTGCTCGAATGACGGCCATCATCGCCACAACTGCCCATGCGGACTTAGGAAAACATAACACAACAATGGATTCTGGCTGGACACCCTTGTCTTGTAGATGAAGGGCAAGCTGTGCAGTCAAAGTATCGAGTTCACGATAGCTCAGGGTAAGCTGAGAGGTGTCCACGGCCATATGCAATGGACGCTCATGTACTGTTTTTTCGAACATGGGACCCACGCAGTGGTTCACAGACGACGGCGGGATGCTGCTCCATGTTTGCAATTGCCCTTGTACCCGAGGGTGGAGCAGGTCCATCTCAGAGAGTGCGAGCGAGGAATTCTTCTGCACCTCGCTTAGTATCTGGCCGACGGTAGCAGCCACAATAGACGCATAGGCCGGTGCCAAATGGCCTGGCTTGTAGAGTAGGTCCATTTGCACTTGCCCTTCTTTCTCTAACACGAGGAGTAGTACATCAAACTGTCCAGAATCATTAGCTTCGATTGGGCAATGTGCCATTCTGAGTCACTTACTTGGTCCAGATCCTCTTCTACGTCCTTATAGGATTCGAGCATACAGACACCTGAATTGCACGGAATCTCAGATTCTGCGCCAATTGGTMCTATTTGCCTATTGCAATTCTGCACAAGTTCTAGCAGACCAGTGACAGGCATCTCATCCTCCACTAGCGTCGTAAAAAATTCGCATTGCCACTCTGCTCCCTGTTGGTACAAAGATGCAGCACAAATGCTTTCGTCACCTGTAAATGTCTTCAGGATGATTGCCCAGATGGCCTGAGCAAGCACCTGAAGCGAAGTTTGTTCCTTCAGGATAAGGCCTTGTAATAGGTCCCTAGATGGGACCTCGATGTTTATTCGTTCACGCCAGGACGAAACATCATCTTCTTCGTTTAGGAGGGCAGGAAACTTGCAGACAGTTTCTGGGAGCTGTCCAGCTGCCTTAACTTCCGTTGCAGTGCTCATGTTGGCCTTGTGAGATGCTCAAAGTATTAGGATGCAGTGATGATAGTATGGTATACGGATCACTTGTGATGGTAACGAAAGCACAAGGCGAGCTGCGGGCTATCCCGTTTCTAAGAGGGTGCGAAATCTGGGTCGATATATAGATCATTACTTAGTGTATAATGCTACACTCGCTCTCACACCCATCCTCATTAATCTCCCTCCTGTCAGTCGCGCACCTTGCACCATGTAAGCCGTTAGAGACCACTGTAGAGGCATTACTCTCAAATTCGCCCGACTAACCCACTAGCTCTGAGGCTGACCTGATGCTCCCGGACAAAAATCTAAATCTATCCTTTGTAAAATTTTTCAAGTAGTGCTTCCTCCCGTCTTCGCCTCGATAACACCATGGATTCCACACGGCCGGATACCAAGTCCAGAACATACGTGTAAGCACTAATCCGCAGCGGGGCTCCGCCATGTGGTAATAGATACAGCCCCCAATATCCCATCGAATTCCTCATTGCTAGGCGGGTTGAAGTCATTCGTGTATGATTGCTGATATAGTGCCCGACGGTGCAATGCATCTTGTTTAGTGTGGACTTTGTGGGTCAATATACTGGTATTACAACAATACCTACTAACTTGTAAAGCATTACCGTACGTAAGATCTGTCACGGATACACATACGGTGTCCGGTATATACGCATGTATTAGCATACATACATGTATCCATACCACACCACTACATAGCCGTCGATTCTGTGTATTCCCACCCCCTGTCGAAATCTGCATCCCCCTCCTGCAATGTCAGTAAGTAGTTCGGATAATGGGGCCATTGAGCCCACAGGGTACTGCCTAGAGGGAACTGTCCATGAGCCATGATCCTGGCAATACCCCTGCCAATGCTCCTACACGAGCAATGTCTCAGCCTTCTGCTGATTATAGACCGTTCCCGCGTGGACTGCGGATGGATGTCAGCTTTGTGTCAGCAACTCAGTACCTAGGGCTGAGGCTCCTTCAGCATGGAGTGGGGGCCTGGCGTAAGCTGATATCGGGGAATTATTTCCCACGCGAGAGTCCAGATCCAATGCAACGGTCATGCAATGATGGGTTTGATCCCGTCCATTGAGGGGTTTGTCTGACAAATTTCTCCTCAGCTACGTCTGGCCACTGGATCGATGAGGGGTAGCTTGGGGGATTACGAAGTGTCAAAGGTGGAGAAGAAGAGATAGCCGATATAGAAGTCATTGTCCACAATGACTACATTTCCAGCATGTATGGCGTATGTCATCGTAGAACACCTTGCTCTACTGCAGCAGTTATTCCTTATAAGGAGAATTTTGTATAGATTTGTGGATAGATATTGTACGTTAATGGACATCAAGCAGAACCAACCCTCACAATTTGACAATCTCAACATGACCGCACAACCCTTCAATCAGCACAGCATCATCAGCATAATCAATCTAGACTCTAGGACTAAATTCAAGGTAAGGGCCTTGCTTAGCAGCGGTCAAGTGATCCCAGAGCTGGTATTCATCGACCCGATGACGGCCGTACTCTGCATCTTCCGTACCCTCACCCATCTTACCCAGGTCTCCGGACGCCAAGCGGAGATCGAAAGCCCAGAGAACATTAGCCAGAGCGAGGTGAAGCTCCACATATGCAAGGCTCTTGCCAATGCAACTGCGTGGCCCGATAGAAAAGGGATTGAAGGCAGAGCGAGCCAGACCGACATCCCCTTGCACCGCGCGGCACTCGCTGGCGATCCAGCGCTCTGGCTTAAAGCTGAAGGGCTGGGGGTAATAGGAAGGGTTGTGGTGTATGCTGTAGATACATGTGCCAGCATCCACTCCAGGAGGGATGTACTGACCGTCCACGGTAGCACCGGCCTCCTCGGCCTCACGCCAGAGTGAGCTAGCAGCAGAAGGGGACATGCGCATACTCTCGTCGATACAGGCCCGCAGGAAAGTGCACTGGTTCATTTGAGCACCCATACGGATCTCGTCGGAGGACTGGAAGGCGTTGCGCACTTCGGCTGCGGCACGTTCATAGGCAGCCCGGTTGTGTGACAGATAGAAGAAGCATGCCGCCATGGCGGTGGATGTAGTATCGGTCCCTAATCAAGCAACCGGATTAGTGTACAGTTATCAAGCTGCCCAAAATCCAGTGAGTCATACCAGCAACGATCAGAGTAGCGCTCTCGCCGCCCAGTTCTCTGTTTCGCAGCGGAAGACCAGTCTCGGGATCTTTGGCATTGGCCAGGGTGGCGAAGACTCCCTTGCCCGTCTTGGCTGCCGCTTGGATGCCTTGGGTGAGCATCTCGTCGACAAATTTGATAAAGATATCTCGTGCCTTGATGGCTTCGGGGAAGAGGTACTTGTCTAGGCGGAAAAGACTGAGCCCGGGCGATTGAGCCAGAGTACCGACTCGAACGTTGGACTTCTCAATGACCTCGGGGACGAACCGGTATGTGGGAGAGCGCAAGGTTGACCACGGCACACCAAAGATAATGTTGCTCATCACATCAAAGGCAAAGTAGTCGGCTGCAAGCGTTGTGAGTTAGTGGCCCTATCTCTCTCACAGACTTGATAGATTGATGCGGGACATACTCATTCTACCCATATTCTTCGGGGTCGACCACACGCCGACAGGGACAGCCTGACCTCCCTTGCCTGCCTTCAGCTGAGTGCACAAGTGTTTTATCTGTTCCAGGATAACAAGCTCGTGACTTTTGAGAGCTGCATCAGAGAAGCCCTGACTGATGACTCTTCGCTTCTTGCCATGCTTCTTCTTGTCGATGACGGTCAATGTGTTCGGAGCCCGATGTACCATGGCGGCATAGCGCTGAGCCTTTTTGAAGTTCTTCCCATGTCCGTAGATATCTGTAAGAACGAGCGTCTCGTCAGAACCCTCTATAGTCGCATGGATGAACATGACATACCTTGTAGTCCAGCTGCTGTGTTGACGAGGAGACTATTTGGTCCATATCTGACAAAATCACCTAAAGAGAGCCAACAGTGTCAGTATGTATATCAACCTTTAAGAAGTGGGCACCACTCACCGTACTTCTCGTGGCATCTCCACATATCAATATGCAGATCACCCCGCCATGCATGATAGCCAGCATAAAGAGTGGTGATCTTTGCAAACCAGGGACCGGGATACTTTGCCAGCGGGTGGAAGAAGAGTCGATGAACGAAAATTCCCGCTGCCTATCATTCTTAACTTAGCAACGCCATAGCACCAAGGCTGGAGATGACATACGGTGCAGCTCAGCGCAAGGAGCCCCAGTAAGAGTCCCTTGACAGCGAAAGTCGAAACCACTTGAGAGTCGATCATCTTGTCGACCTTTCCAATGCTAGTTCTAGGATCGAAGGGACTTGGTGAGGAGAAATTTCTGCAAGTCTCCCCCTGGCAACTTATGTTTTCGATTGACTACGGAATCCGCCAAGGGCAGCCAGGAGCCTTCTAGGATCTGATGCTTGATCCACACGAGTCTAAGCGAGCTGATGCTGCCATTCTCATTTCCGTCCTGTCTAGATGCTTGTTGGTTGCCCGTGGTGTTGCTGAGCCTGTCTTGTTTGACTAGAAAGATTTGTGATGCTAGCATACTTTGTAATAGATAGCTGTTCCTGTACGAATGCGTACAGTGGGACATACATTACCATACACAATATCATACAGGCTTGTAAGAACAGTAATTACAACATATCCTGCATGTAATTTAACTGCCCAAAGCAATGTCCTCTAAATTATTTCTGCATGTACTAAATTCTGACATTCGCTTTTGGGCACTGTGCAGATTACTCCTAGATCAAGCATGCAGCTCCAGTCACAACCTCTTGGCCCTTGTGCAGAATGGTCGGAGTATACTCTACGAAGTACGGGCTAGTTGATCTAACTGGCTATCATATTGTATAGCCCCAAATGTGGTGGATCACCCTATTTGGTTTGTCAGCGATTGACTCGTGGCTCATGGAAGTAAAGACGACTTACTAAGTTTGCTAGTTATAACATGTAGGCCTGCTGGCCCAATGGTAAGGCGCTTGACTACGGATCAAGAGATTGCAGGTTCGAATCCTGCGTAGGTCATATTTTTGTCCCTTTTTTCCGCCTTTTTTTTTCCCCTCCTACGAGGCCGAGTTATCATTTTTCTGCAGTAAATCAGAGTGGTAAACAGAGTAAGTGGTCATTACCAGATGTCTAACTACACTACACTCTTATGAAGTGTTCTGAGGTGTCTTGGTAAGGAAAAATAAGATGTAATTCTGTAAATGCTACGATATATATATCTCCGCAACACTTCAACAGCAAGATAGCTCCCTATCCTGTCGGTCTTCAGAAATCGGCCACTGAGAAAAGCGTTTTTTAGTGCTAGAACTAGATGTGACAATTGGTTTCAACTCACCTTTTGGATTATACTCTCCAGAACAGGACTTTTGGTCAGATCCAGAATGCCTTGGGCGTACTCTTTGGAGAGCTCAAAAGGCTTGGCAACGAGGTTGKGGATGTACTTCCCAATGAGTCGACGAGGGTCGAGCATCGCCTCCGAAATATGCCGCTGAAGGAGATAACGGAAGGAATCCACCCCCGGACGTAGAAGGCTGCTATGGAAAGGTACATTGACATTCAAAGGGATTGTAGCTCGGCCGCGTTGCAAAACTAGTGGCTTCTTTGCTGATTCAAGATGCGCCAGAGTCTTCTGGATGAAGTTCTGCATTTCCTCGGCACAAGAGATACTCAGTGAGCCAGATGCGATTGCATCCAGGACCGCCGAAAGTGTGGTCAACCCGCGAAGCTGGAGAGATATACAGATTAGTTTGGTGATATCACGACTGAGGTATTTGCAGAACTCACATCTCCGGCACAGACGTATTGTGTGTTAGCGACGTTGTAATTGACAATCTCGAGGAGTCCACCAGTGCTGCGCGCAATCTCAGCCACACACCAGTGCAGGTCCTCTTCGCTGAATTGCTTGGAGACACGAGTTGGATTGACAGCGCACATCGAGTAGTCTGTGGCGCCATCGGCGTMTCTCTTGACAGCATTCTGCATCGTCAGTCCACGGTAGAAAACCAGTGCAGAGACTTCCTCCACGGTGAAGATTTTGCCCATTGCGGCCAGCGCCACATACTCGCCCAGCGAGTGACCAGCAAACAAACTATCTTCCTTGACGATACCCTTGTCACGCATGTCTTCAAATCGTGCAATCTCCATAAGGGCCAGAGCAGGCTGCGTGAACTGCGTCTGATGAAGCAGGCCGTTGGTCGATCGAAACGTGTATGATCGAGTTGATGCGGTAATATCAGGGAAGACTCGCTTGGAAATCACCGTTCCATCCTCACTGACGGTGTCAAACGTGAGAGAGATGTAGTTCTCGCGGACTGCACGGCCTTTGACTCCTCCAAAGTATACCGTGAGGGTCTTTGGATTTTCCCGGACAATCCGGGTAATGGGAAATCCTACACTAGTCAGATAAAATGTCTTTCAACGGAGTACCAGGGGCCTCACCATATGTTCTCTCAAAATACTTGTCGGCAGTTTGCCACACTAAACGAGCACCTGCACTCCGCTTGTCGAGTTCCATTCCCATGCCGGGCTGCTGGCTGCCCTGGCCTGTAAAAACATATGCCATCATCGGCTGCCGTAGCATGGATTGTGCCGAAAGGACCTTGACGCCTGAACATGCGTTGTGTACTAGAACGGAAAGCAATAGGTTGCCGCGCGACATACCCACATGGTCGATCTTGATGCTCAGCGTATCTCCAGGAGAGACCTTGCCTTCGAAGGTGCACGACCAGGACCTCATTCGGGAGGGATCGCTTTGTGCTACGTGCGACTCGACCAGAGCTCGCACCAACCCGCTGGTGAACATTCCGTGAGTCACGCGAGCGTCGTGTCCTGCGTAGCTAGCGAAGAGCTCCGACAGGTGTATCGGGTTGCAGTCACCAGAAACCTGCCCATATTGGTCCGCATGATCCGGAATGGTAACCTGCAGGTCCTCAATAAGAGTGTGAGTCTGGGACAGTGGCTGAGAGGTGCTGCCAGATTGACCGCCATGTCTCTGTAGATAGTCTGTTACTGGGTTCTTGGTGTAGGAGTCACCGAAGAGGTTGATGGATCCCAACGTCCGAGATGGCCCAGTCACTGGCTGGTAGGTGACATGCCCCTCCACAGAGAGATACGCCCAGCTATCTGAGTCCTGGAACGAGTATCGGCTTCTGACTTGAAACTCGATGTTTTCGTGCAGATAGTCATGCAGATCGACGTTTTCATTCAACAAGAGCCACCGCCGGGACTGTAGGAGAGCAATGTCCTTGTTCGAGGATATAGTCATGCGTAGCTTCTCTTCTTCAGTCGCAAACGTGTTCTCGTAGTCTTTGTACTCACCCAGAAGGATGAAAGTGCTCCTTACCCGGATTGCAGGCGTGCCATTGCGATGAAGCACTCCATCTGCTTCGACCACCTTGCCTAACCCTTTCTTGATCCTGATCGAGACCAAGCGTCCTTCTGAGGAGAGACAGTCACCTTCCTTCAGTGCCTCGGCGCCGTCGCAGTACTCGAAACTATTGCTGAGGTGTAAAAGTCGAAGCATATCCCCAGACACGATCGGATGAAACAGGCAACTCATGAGAGGTTTCCATCCGACCGCAATGGCCAGGTCAAGAGGCGCATCCAGGAGTTCAGAAGTATCCGACGTGTACTTGGGGTTGCGATTGCAAATGCTCTCCGCGAACTGCTGGATCATCTCTCGTGTTAGTATAACGTCCTCGCCGCGGAAGACACGATCCGATGTAGAGGATAAAGCCATGTATTGATTTCCGATCCATAGGGTTTGATAGTATTGCTTGATTTGCGCATTGCGGCCGGCCACCACTTCCGTGATGCTTGGAGCACCACGCTGTGGGTTGTACTCAAATCGAAACTCCAATGGCACTGCCTCTCTGCCCAAGTCGGGGTGGTCCCAAAGAGTCAGAATAACCTGGCCGGCCTGGGAAGCTCTTCGAAGTGAGGCACTTGCGACCACGCGTTGTTTGATTTCCCCGGCTGTCTTCTCATATTCAACCTCCTTGACGACAATCTCCAGCAGCTCAGCAGATTCTGGATTCCGGACTTCCACGATTCGACCTCTTCGCCCGGCAAATAGTCTATGGATAGGGTTACCAATCATCTTTCGGTCCTGAACTATCATCGCCTCCGTGAACATGGCACGGCACCATGGCGCAGAGGATGTTCCTGAGAGCATTTTCAGCCACTGTTCCGATGAAGGCTGGCGGGCAGGGTCCGCTGCTGCATAGATTACGACGGCACCGTCCTCCTGCTCATCAACGACAAAGCCATCGAGCACCGACGGGATTTGGTCAGAACCTGTAGTGTCTCGCGTTGAAGGAATAACCGCAAGATTTTCCGAGTATTGCTCCTGCAAAATTCGTGTCACATGGTCATTGTGAATGTCGTCTAGAATGCTCTTGACAGGTTCATTTGGTCGGCTGGTATATTGGGCGGCAACTGGTCCATGAAGTATACAGACCCGACCAACATCCTGACCAGGAACTGCTTCGAGACGCTCCGATTGCCAAAGTGAGTCTTTCTTGAACCAGTACTCCAGGTCCTCGTCCAAGGTCACGATGTAGGGGACTGGTTTCTGCCCGCGCTGCCGAGAAAGTAAAACCACGTATTCAACATCCGCTGCAGTGAGAATCTCGGTCTTTGCCTGAGGATACTTTCCGAAGAGATCCTTATGGAGCTGCTCAGGCTGGTCAAGCTGAGCAAGATCTTGGAGAACTGCTGCGATCCTTTCCTCTGACCCACTGGGACCAAGTCTCTCCTCCAAGCGTCGAGTAAAGTCCCATACCAATCTCTGAAAAGACGGGTCAATCCATACCTGCAAGTGTTTCAGATATAGCAAGTCAACTAGACGCTGCCACACCTCAGCGTAAGTCATCTCTTGCAAGTCTACCGCTGCTCCGGTGGCATCGCGGCCGAACCACACTTTCTGAAAATCCTCGTTCAAACGTCGAATATAATACTCCTTGCGAGCCAGGAGAGCCTCTTTCTGCTTTTCCCGAGGTAGACTAAAAATGTCCCGGTCTAGCTCCGCCCAGAGCATCACTCCTCGGGTTGCCAACTTGTGGATTGGCTCCCCCATTTCTGAGCGCACAGTCAGGATTCCCCCGGTGGGCCGTTTGTATGTGCCCTCCCATTCGGAGTCCACGACCCCAGGGACCTGGCAGATGGCCTGTTTGACAGCGAGACTGGTGTGCGCCTCTTCTGCTGCCATTACCCGGCTGCCAAGGAGAATCGCGTCAAATGGCATGCGAGGACGGCCGAACTTCTCTGACCATGAGCCGCTCAGATAGGGATAAGTACCCTCTCCGTCCCCGAAGCCGCTGCCCGCAACGAGAACCACGTTGGAATGAGACCGGATCTGGCCATACCGGTCGAGGATGGGCGCGTGGAAATCCTCGTAGGAATGATGGCCTCCTCCGCGGCCTCCGGTCCATTGCAGGATAATTGGAAAATTTGGATTGGCGCGTGCAATCTCCAAAACCGCATCGATTGCTTCTTTTGAGCCTGGCTTGAGTGCAAGGTGCTCTAGCGACAGGTCGTCAATATAGCCTTGCACAATATCCGGAGACGGCACACCAGCCCCGATAGTCAACCCTGTGATAGGCACTCCAGATCGACGCAGTTCAGCGAGCAAGGGGATTTGCCATGCCATAGCTCGTGGGTTGGCGTAAATAACATTGCAGGTAATCCCGCGCCCCGGAGCGATTGCCGCGGTGAGTGACAGGATTCCCTGACGCATCTTGTCGGCGTCTGGGAACCCGCCACATGCCAATTCGGCGTGGTACCCAGCATTGACTATAGCGGCCACAAAATCTGAAGCCGTAGTTGTTGGGGTCATGCCGGCCACCATGACGGGTGGAAGACCGAGGAGTCGGCTGAACTTGGTGTCTACCAGAAGGTCGGTTTCCGTGGGCGAATGGACGAGCAATGGAGCGTAAGCAGTGCCCCAGATCGGATTGTATCGAACAGCAGTACGCCGCGAATACAGGTCTCCAGCGTAGCTTAGGTGTGAATTCAAGCCTCTATGAGTAGAAATAACCGTGATGCGCAGACCCGTGCCGTCTCGCTGCTGGCTGACAAGACTGCCAACGCCTGCGTCTCCTCCGGGGCCGAAATCCAAGACATGGGTGAATTCGGGCAAGGCCTTTCGCAGCAGCATCTCCCATTGTACACGACCCGTACAGATCATCTGCACGAGCTGTGGAATAACATTCGGGCTGCTCTGGAGATTCTCGGCAGTCTCCGTATGATACACCGGGAACCCAAGGTCGACGCCGCGGAGAGTGAAGGATGCCAGATCTTGCAGGAGTATCTCCTCTGTCCTTTGCAGGTATGGTGAGTGGAAAGGTGCTGCAATGGGTAAGAACCGAGTGCTGATGAGTGGAGCGCGTTGACTGAAAGGAACCCGAGAGGGGTTCGTTGCCTGAGACGAACCGCGGCTCTGGAGTTGAAGCATTTTCTCCAGTGCTTGCAACGAGCGCGGCAGCCCAGCGATGACGAACTGTTGCGGCCCATTCACCAGAGCGAGATGAACGGCTTCAAGCGGTGGAAGATGTGCGTTTATTTTGTCAATCTGTTTCTGCAAAGCATTCTGAGAAAGTCCCTTGACGCTGAGCATGTACGACGGGAGAGATTGTTGCAAGCCTGACGCGAAGGTCGCTGTACTCTGTTGACACCGAGCACCGATCCAAAATAGGACTTCAACGGCTTGCTGGGCAGCAGTGTAGAAGCCGTCCCACGAATCAGCGGCAGCAATGAAGGATGCCACGACGACTCCCTGGGAATGGCCACTTGAGCCAGACAGAAACTGCCGCAGTTCTCCGGGGGAGATATCCAGGTTGGTGCACACAACGGCGTACTGAACCAGTTGAGAGACGGCAATGAGAGGAAGGCTGACGGCAGCAGTAGTAAGATAGTCGACTTTAGGACGAGACTCTGGAGTGCTGAGCCAGGTTTTGACATCGAGTCCATGCAAAAACAGGTCCTTGACCCGGTCATCCGCAGCTAGACGGACAAGGGTATCAGACAGCAGATGCATGAGAGGTGTAATTTGCTCTTCATAGATGCCGTAAGTCTCAGCCAACTCGTCAAAGTAGGTTTCCACCCCCTGACCATTGAAGAGAGCAAACAGTCGTGCGTGGCCTCTTTGCACATTTGCGAGGAATTGACTGGGCCCGGAAGTGCATCTGTGCTTGGTGACGGCGCAGGCTTGGAAATATGTGCGTAGAATAGAGGTATCCAGAGCTTTGCCTCCGCTCACGGACGCCAGGACGGTGTTGATATTCTCATTGAGAAGTACTTTGGTTTGGACAAATCTCAGGACTTCTCTGAGGATGGCCACTTCGAGTGAAGAGTTCGAGGATCCCTCATTTATACAGTCCAGGATGAGCTTCATAAAGGAGGAGCACAGCTCGAGAGAACTTGAACATTGTTGCTGATCTTCTGAAGACGTCACTTTTGGTCTGGCGAATATTACTTTTAGTTCCTCGCATCTCTGAGCCAGGTGATGGGAAACCGGAATTGAACATTGAACAGCACCACTTTGGAGCAGAAGTTCATCCTGAGAAAGAGGCTGCTGCTGTAGCTCCTCCCATGGCGTAGCAACGGGAGAAGATGATAACTGAGATCCCAGCGACGACCACGGGCTCTCCATGATTCCGGTTGTGTGTGCGGAAATGGCGTAGGAATGGAGCTTGCTATCACCTACTGTGCAGACCTTGTAGTCTGAGCAATATAGATGGAAGCTGTCCAACGCTGACAATGCTACAGCTTTTGCTACTAGACCATAAGCACGTCTTCGACCATCCTCGCTTGTCCAGTATCATTTTCATTATTCCCTACGGGGTGGATACTCCATCCCAGTCATCCAACAGTCCACGAGTCTGAGCCTCGATCTTACATTGCACCGCCTGTTGCCCGTCTCAGCTCTCAATCCTGACCATTCAAGCCCTCGTGCCATTTGCCTGCCTTGTTGGTTGGTGTCTTTTCACCGTACAAGCCAGGTGTATTGCCGAAGTAGGTGAGATGGTAAGCGATGTGTAGTATTGGTATTAGCCACGGATACAGATACAACGCGATTGTATTGATACAGATACCTCATGTCCATTGATACCAACGTAAGATACAAGCGTACTTTACGGGATACATCCTTACAGCAATATCAATAGGCCTTACAGACCCCTGCTGTAACAGCTAGATTAATATGGCTTGTAGGCGATATTGACTAATTGACATTAATCACTATATTCGGAGGTTTTACCCGTTCGACGCCCCACCAGCTCCGAGACATTGTCTACTGGCCTAAAGACTAGGTCTTGTGAGAATTTAGTGGATACTACCCCGTACAGCTTGTGGATATACACGCGGAGAATTTTTTAAGGCAGTAAGCAAGCATGAGCACTGACAGGGATTGCCTCTGCACTAAGGCCAATTCAGTCTACCCTAGTTAGGCAGGAGGAAATGCTCAAGAAAGCGTCCTCGACAGTACGGCTGAAGCGTCGAAAGAGCTGTTAGAAGGCGAACGATGAATTTTGATCTGAACGTCAAATATGATATATTGAGTTTACGCCGGTACAAAAAGCTCAAGATAAAGTCATAAAGAACAACTAGACACAATAGAAATAGGGATATCATCAAGTAAAGCGAGCCGCCGGATTGAGGTACGCGGCCGTCTCCTGTGATGGGACAAATGGCGGCGTTGTTTTGGCCCTGAAGAGGGAATTGCCGTTCATTCCCTCGTAGAAATACATATCTGCCTTCCTCTGTCGCCTCGTGCAGCGGTCCATGTAAGCCTGGTATTCTTCCCGGTTTATAGTGGCAAAGAGATACCGGGGATGAATACATAGGGCCTGCGCTCCCTTCTGGCCGAATCCAAAGGACGTCACGGAAACAGCCTTGAGATCGCGGACGCGGATCGGCCGTTGAAGGTAAGCGATGAGGTCGAATTCCTTGAGGGCCGGGTCGACATTATCTGAATTGCGATTGCCAGGGACCAGTCCGGAATCGAGCATCTGGAGGGCCCCGTTGAGCATCCAGGCTCCCGCGGCGCCCTTGGAATGGCCGGTCAGGTATTTTTGGAAGACACTGAGGATGAGATTGCCTTGCCGTCGACCCAGCGAGCGCAGTTGCTGTTGGATGACGCTGGACTCATTCTTATCGTTCAACACGGTAGACGTACCATGGAAGGATGCCACATCCAGGTCGTTGATGGTCAGTCCCCAAGTAGCCAGCGCACCGGCCAGAGGTGCAATATATGGATCGTTCCGCCAGAAGTCGTTGCCCAGCCTGAAGCGACATTCCCTCTCTTCTCGAACAAAGTCAGCCATAATCTGCTGGCGACGCTCTTTGACATAAGTGCCAACATCCACGGTCGAGTCCTGGGCCACCACTGCAGCCCCCTCGAACTCGAGATCCTGCAAGGCCACGTCCCGGGCCTCTGCAATCTGGCGAAGGCGAAATTCCAACCTCTTCCGACGATTGCGGATGTTCATGAGAGGCGATGGCACCTTTGAGGCAACTTGTTTGGCATTGGTAAGGACTCCCCTGCCAGGAGCTGGCACAGAGCGACCGGCCTTATCGCTGGATGTGTTGACAAAAGCGACGATGCCGCGAATTGGCAAGCCCATTTTCAAAGCCAGTGCCGCCGTGGTCAAGACCTGTAGCCCGGCACCTTGAGATTCCACAAAACCATTGCGAGTGCTGGTGGTTGGCCGGGACATTTCGTGAGGAGCTCGACCCTTGGCCATTTCCACTTCGGCGTTACTGGTCGCCTTCATGTTGGCAAACTCCTGAGAGGTCTCGGAGGTAAAGTCATCGCAGCCGCCGACCAAGCAGAACTGAGCTTTGCCCGTGACGATGGTATCGTACCCTAATTCCAGGGACTCGATGGCTGTTGCGCACGCGCCGACTGGGGTGCGAAGGGGTCCACTCGCCGAGAGCAAAAGCATATTGACCCAAGCACCGGTCGTATTGATGAAAGTCTCCTGGAGGATGTCCTTCTGGATGTCGTGACTGGTTTGGCGCCCGTTGAACATCTTGTTGAGGGAAGACACCCCTCCAAGCCCCGAACCGATACATATTCCCACCTCGGAGACGTGGATGTACTGGTAAAGCTCGTAAGGGTCAGTGATGCCGGAGGAAAGTAACGCCTCAACAGTGCACACCAGCGTGAACAGCGTCACTGGATCGACTTGAGTCACGATATCCTCGGTGATACCGTACGTTCGAGGGTCCCAACCAGTCGGGATGAGTCCAGCAACCGTCTGCTTGGATTGCATTGCGCGAGGGATGTAGAGTCTCGCGCCTTTGCGAAGCTGGACTTTGAAGAGATCCGGTGTTGTGGATTGCTGCACATCAGCGAACTCTCCATGCTCTGATTTCATCTGCTCTGCGAGTGACCCGGGCACATGGAGAGGTTCCAAGTCTTCCTGCAATATTATCTCATGTAGGAATGGCTTCTGCTCAGGCTCGATGAGACGGATGCCGGTATGGCTCAAAATCCTCTCCTCGTAAATTGATTTGACATCAATATCGGCCACTGGTTTCTTCGTCGCCGCGTCTATCCACCCGGAGTACGGCGTTCCATCTATTGTTCCGGCAAAGTGCCGGATGTAGCCCATGAGCCAGGCCATTTCAATGGTGCCCTCCAGGGACAACTGGCCATATGCTTCCATCTCCCATCGCGTGCGAGCGTTGCCCACGGGTCCTAACTCCGAAAAGCCAGTCACAACTACAGTCCGGTGTAGGTCGACCATTCCGTGGAGATCTGAATGGAGAGAGCTAATATCTCGATCGTAATCAAGCGGCCTGGGAAAGTCCAAGCGGACGTGAGCTCTTTGCTCGAGCTGCTCCGGCTTGGTGGTCCTCCGTACGGATGATTGGCCTGGGATCACATATTGCTGCTCTAGGATAGACTCTGTGAACAGCGCTGCTTGAATCTCACTCCGTTCCTTGAGTTCCTGACGCAGGCCCTGCAGTTTCTCTGGAAGTCCATGCATTTCTGCCATACGTCCGGTCAGGTCGGCGTAAACGGGTCGCTCTTGGCAAAGCTCGTTGATGCTCTGCAGACACAGGCAGACCAGGGCATAAGCCATCTCCTCCTGGGAAAACGTCCGCATGCCGGCAGACTCAATGCCCTCTGCGACGAGGTCATTCTGGTTCATCAAACCGGTGCCTCGTGTCCATCCGATGACCGCACCGCAGACACACAGGTAGTCCTGCCAATCCTCGGAATGCCACCGATTGAACAGGGTTTCCAACGCCAGTTTGGATTCGCTGTACAGACCATCGCCACCAAAAGTTCCATGATTGGGAGACAGAGGCAAAATCACTTGTGTGGGATGGGATTGACAGTTGTACTTTTCCTTGCAGGCCTTGACGGTGCCCAGCAGGCGTAGCACATTTGTCAGCATCAGACGATGGGCTAGCTCCGATTTCGAGTCAATGGAGTCCAGCTTTCGGCCGGCTTCACTAATGGCAGCAAACGGAATCAGGTAGTCCAAATCCCACCCAAGACCGCTCTGTGAATAGATGTACTCAATCAGAGAGGTTACGTCTTGGACGCTGGCCTGGTTGAACGGAACCACGACTAATTGGGAACCCCTGGCACCGTAGTCCATGTAGATAGCCTGATATTTCCGGGCCACCTCGGGAGAGAGTGAGGATGTTGTGGTCACCACTCTGGCGCCCCCCTGTAAGAAATGTCGGATCATGGCAGCCCCGATGGAACCAATACCAGCACCTGTGATCAGCACTGTTTGGCCACTGAATGATTCACCATGTTTCTCCACATGACTGAGAGCATCATGGAGCCGTGCCGTCAATGTGTGGCTGTACTGCCATCCATGTGCGTGCTTTTCCTTCAAGTGCAGAAGAGGTTCCACTGTCTCGGATGTTGGCATGGCCAGGTCAGCAAATGGGGCCGCGCCACAGCGATTCTTCTCAAGATATTGTATCTTTCCATCCTCATCAATGGTCGTGCAAGGCGCCGTTTGCCTGGGTGCCCCCTTGAACACTGGTCCGAACTCTAGGGTTTGTTTGCAATTTGCCTCGAGATCAGTCAAAATGGAGCGCAGAAGCGTATGGTCGCGCAGTTTGGTCATCATCTCATCTAGAACCGGAAGAATGGTCTCATCCGCTGCATTTGCGATTGCATAGCAGGATTGCGAAACACTATGGCGGTCGAGAGTGACATCGTCTCCCCGCTGAACGGAGGTTGCCAGATCGAAAAACTCGAGGAGTCTCTGGCGGGCCCAGTTCCACGCAGAATCATACGATCTGATCTTGAGGGGATCAAAACGTGGACGGATACCGTTCGCGTAGTCTTCTCCATGTTCTGCGGTCCATAGATCCAGTTCCGATTGCAGTCTTGTCTCGACGTCATGACGGAGAGCGTCCAATGCACGCCGATCCGCGCCTTGGTCTAGACCAACATCGGATGCATATATGTCAAGGAGCTGCTTGGACAACGCTTTTTGCGACTCAGACAGTGCTCGAACAGCCTCCGGGTCGACCATTACACCGGGAGCTGAGACTCCATCCGTAGCGGCATGAGATGTGCGCAAAGAAATGCCCTCTTTCAAGGTGTAGCTTTCAACAACGCTATCAATAAATGCTTTTGCATCAGATTCTGTAGGAATTCGTGTGGCAGGCTGCTTTGTGACCGCAAGAAGTAGGCAGGAGTCTTGTCGTCMCTGTTTGAGTCCCCACTGCGAACTGAGTTGATCTCGCGCGATCGCTGTAGTGAAGCCGCTGGGTAATTTGGAAGTGAAAAGCGAGTTGATCATGCTCGTGGACACTTTGCCCAGCGTTCCATGGTGGCTTGACTGGATCGCATCCCACAGTTCGGTCAAAGGTACGTCTTCTGCGCGTTCTGGCAGCGAGCCGAACTCCGCATGGAGATCACCGACGATTTCGTTTTCCAATGTCGATCGGCCTGCAAATTCAATCAGCATCCGGAGAAATTGCCGAAGGGCTAGTGTCATGTCGACTTACCGCCAGCAAGAGCCTTGATCGACTTTGTCCCGTCAACATCTGATGCTGCCTTCTTCAGCACTCTGGACACTATCGTTGTCACAATATCCCGCGCCTTGACTTTCTGGTCTTCGAGTTCTATTGGCACTGATGTCGGTGTCGACACAGATACCGGCACGGATACTGATGCAGGTGCCAGCTCTGTTTTCAGAGTCGATATGGTGACTGGGGTTGCTGGTTTCTTTTGCTCCTCCTTCGGCTTGAAACTTGAAGCAGTAGGAGCGTGTTCAAAGTAGACTTCTTTCGTGTCCCTCTCTGAGTTTAAGAGTCGGCGAGGTTTAGGTCTTGTGCACTCCTGAGTCTGATACAGGCTGTTTATAGTCCGCTGAAACATTCCAACGAGTGTAGGGCTGGGCCCAATTTCGACGATCTTGTCGCATTCCTTGCGCGAAAGTATTACGTCTTGAGTTTCAATCCATCGTACAGGGGAGGCGAATTGATATCTTGACGACCCTAGTTGTCAGTCACTGTTCTTTACAAGCTTTCCCGCTCGTCACATCAGCTACTTACGCCATGAGTTCAATCAGCAATATGCGAGCCAGCTTGCGCTGGGCATCCATATCCACCGCCATGGTACCTCCGCGCAAGTCGAGGTTGGCCGTTCGAGAAGAGTCAGATTAGGCACTTGAAGCATGAACTTCCCTTCATCAGAGAAGGGTCAAGTACGGCAGTAAAAATGGGCTCTCTTCCTGTCAGTTGACCTTCGACAATCGGTCCCAGTGCACAGAACCTTGGCTTCAGGACGGCTGAATGCTCTCGAGAGGCGCAGGTCTGACAACTCATCCTTCGCTGATCGCCATTCCCGATTAATACTTTCCGTCAGCATGTGAGATTCCAACATCCACCTAACTGGGTTGCCATGCCCGGTGCTAGCAACTAGTTCATATCAGCCGCCTGCTTCCACCCAGGCATCTGGATGCTCTCTGCCATGTGGCCGCAGCCGTGGACGGTACTTCCGGCCCCCACGGTGCAGTAGCATCTTTGGTTACTCGCTACCAAGGATGACGCGAGAAACTAGAGGATTAGATCGCGCCTTTTTTGAGAGATATTATCAATCATACATGGTGTGGATGGTGGACACTGTATACTTGATGCTGGCGGACAATGCAATGGCGTATTTGGTGTAAGACCGGTATGTATGAAGTCAATGTTTTGTATGTATGTATGTATATACGTACGTACGTACGTATGTATTAAACAATGTAATGTATGAAATGTAAGCCTAGACACTTACAACCCTTCCTAACGAAACAACGTGTCTTGGATTCTGTGCGGGTGCGGACTAGCGCCTATTATTAGCTAGATTAGGGAGCCCTGCCGTCCATTTGCCATTTCAGAAAGAGGACTGCATATTGTCTGACTAGCAGTTGTGTGTCATGAATTCCCCTGGCAGTGCAGGAATTGGCGCTGCAGGTATACGTGGCTGATTTGACATGTGCAAATACTGATTGCCTTGATATTAAGGCACCAAGACAGGATGATGTCTGAGGTAACGACCCTGCAAACTTCAGCAATACCAACACAGCCAAAATGAAGGCATGAATCCCTAGGACTCATAGATTGATGTGCTGGCGATAATCTGCACAACATACAAAACAGAAGTCTTTATGTGCCTTTAATAAATGACTAAAAATGTAGATAGACAAGCGAGAAGCCCATCAATGTGAAGAAAGTATGGAAGAAGAAAAGTCATTCAGGAATCGTTACTCTTAAGTACATGATCGACTATCAAATACCCCGATAAATCTTTCTGCCTGCACCAGCCACAGGACAGAGCATCTCTGTTACGTATATGCCTGATCATTCCGCATGTGTAACGTCGGACTGGCTTTTTACTTGCATCATCCAAGTCTCCCTCACCACGTCACTCTGTGGGTCAGTCATTATGCTGCGTTGGTATCCCCAGCACCCTCCACAACAGGCGAAACCTGCCACAGCCAGTTCTCGTTGGACTTGGCTCTTCCTTTCTGAGTGTCCACAAGAGCCTGCAGCAGCGTTTTACAACCATCGCCGGGGCCATCAGTACTAAACACAAAAGTCTCACCAGTGGACCTCCGGGTGATTGATCTGATGGGGACCAACATTGCCGCAGTGCCGACCGCCACGACCTCAGTGAAGTAGGGGAGCTCAGAATATGGGATCTATACGCGGGTTAGGATATCCAGACCACAGATCCCCATAGATATAACGCCAGAGTCCGATGTATTGAGGTGGTGAAAACCTACCGCGCGAACCTCGACATTCCAACCCAAGGATCTGGCCAGGTCCAGACACGTGTCGCTTGTCACGCTCTTCAGAATCGAGCGGCTACTGGGCACAACCACTGTAAAGGACTCCCCGGTCTTCTTCAGACCGAGGAATCCCGATGTACTGAATTCATCAATTTCGGAGTTGGTCCGGCTGTCGAGGTGCAGGGTAATGAAGAAGCCCTCAGCGCGGGCCTGGTCACTCCATTTTAGGACAGGGGCATAGTTTCCGCCGACCTTGACATGGCCCACGCCTTTGGGAGCAGCTCTGTCCAAGTCTTCCAGAATCAGGGCTGGAATAGGCTGGCTGCCATGATAGGCTTTGTAAGGCTGCACATAGATGCAGAACTTGTACCCCGTACCAGCAGAGACAGCAAAGAAAGCATCGGATCCGAAGGCGAGGGGCCGAATGTACAGAGCAGCGTCCGTATCGTGTGGGGGCACATACTCCGCATTGCCGGCAACGGCCAAATTGACACTACGTAGGAAGAGTTCTTCTGGGATTGCAGGAATAGCAATGGCCGAGCATGACAGAGCCAGACGGGCCGCGTGGTCCTTGGGGCGGAAGACGTGGATCTGTCCTTGGGGATCACGATAGGCTGATCCATAGTCAGTTCCGATATCCATACAGAAGCCATAGATAGGTAGGTCTTGTGTCAGGATACCTTTCATGCCCTCGAACGCTTGTTGACCTAGTACATTGTTAGAGATTGGCCTGAATGGCTTTGTTCTGTGCACATACCATAGTTGAGCCCTGGGGCAAGACCGTGAATCCGCAGCAAAGGATCAACCACCAGTCGGGGCTCAGACCAATGACCCGTGGTCACAGAGTAATCGCACTCGACATGAGCGTTCACTACATGCGCAGAGGCTCTCAGTCAGCGTCCACTGCATCGAATCGTAGGACAGATACTGACCATTCATAGGCGCAAGCCCGAGCTTGTCCCACTCTGGAATGACGGTATGTTAGCCTCTATGCACTTATTCTGCGACATAGGCTGCCCACCTAGAGATTCAGTCGGAGGAGGCGGGAAGGAGCTCATTGTGATGTACTGCGGCAGTCCAGTAGAGAAGAGTCGGGGCAGTTCGTGAGGTGACAAGGCACTTGGATTGAAAGATGAGACCAAGACTGCTTTACTGAACTATCATGCAATATAAATCATTTGCATACTACCAGGCCTTTTTTCATGAAGTATGAGTATATGGGGGCTGAAATCCCCAATTAGCGGCACTAGACAAATACTGTGCAATACACTAGTATAATACACTAGTATAATACAAAGTAACATTGTATTGTATCAAATTGTTGTTTGGTGTTAACAATCACCAATACACCGCCGTATTTATGAAATTATTGATGTATTCAGTATAAAGGTGGGTCCGCTGCAAGGGAAACGAGGAGATTTTTCTCAGCTGCATACATGCAATTCGCAGTTAGGCAATATCGGGGATTAAGACTCTGAAGGATTCAGAGCCGCTAAATACGCATGAACGTAGTATGCCGAGCGGGGAGTTGGTATGTGCTATGAGATTCTCCAAATAGAGCCAGGTACCTTGAGCGATTTCCCTATGATCAGATTGGTAGTCTGGAAGTGGTCACTGCGAATCCTTCGAAATGACCCTGGCTGCACTGTGGCCTAGATGGCGCCCATTATAGGGGCCTTGCTGACATAGTCCCAGACTATACAGACGGCCTCGAGCTGAATGAATGCGACTCCTGTTGACTGCCTGGCGCAATCGAAGACTCAGAGGTGGCAGGTTTAACCGATACTACCTTCCTCTTTGTGCTGTCTCGAATGCTGACTTCATCATGGTGAAAGGCATCCTGGTCAGGTAGTAGTACGTTGATGGGAGTTTTATCTCCACCAGTCAATGATACGGTCACGAGTTGATATGCTTGCCACAGTCCATAGAGTGGATTTTGCTTGCTTTAGCAGACTTTAGCATTTGTCAAACTACGAGTAACAGCTAATCAGACAGATAGCCAGAGCTCTATCGATTCTATTGAGCGAGCAGAGCTTTATATGGCATGTAGCATCTAGGTTGGCCGACAGTGGTGGCTTTGCTTCTATCAACTTGGATAGACGACCGAGCCACGTGGTGATGCATCACTATAAGATCAATTCAACAAGGGATGATATAGTGCTGATGATCAGCTGATGTTAACCTGCAAGGCAGTCGTCTCATTATATTTGTCATTCATACAGCGATTATATCGACTGCTATATTATTATATACATATCCACCACATTCCTCTTACTCCTACCCAAATGAATATTTGAACATATCGTTACTGTCCAGCAACACAAAAGATTCATACCGAAGTCCCCTGTCCACCGGCGGCCGTTCAACGTCGCGGGTGACATTCGCCGACACTTCAGCCCATCCCTCCCACAGAGCTCTCCAGTAACATGCCTCAGCAGCTGGGGTGAGGTACCGTTCTCGGAAGGTTGTGACACTGTTATTGGCTATACGCTCTGCCTGGTCCTGGTTCTTCAAGAGTTCGTCCACTCGTTTCGGGAGATCGGAGAAGTCTCTCTCGACTTCCACGTAGTTCTGTTCCGGACCGGAGGCGACGAGGAGATAGTGGTGATGCTGGATGTACTGCAACTTATGTGCAATGACGACTGACCGGCAGGCTTGACGGTACTTGAGGGATGCCGAGTAAGCGCGACCTGCATATCGAGGATACCTGTTAGCCTTGGACAGCAAGTCGAGGTGAAAGAGAACGTACCTTCGACATGCCCGATAAACATGTACCGGCAATGATCCTCCAACGACAAGAAGTTGGCCTTCTTGCTCCAGTCCAACTCCTTCACATCACCCCAAGGCTTACCTCGTGCAACGTCCAAGAGCGCCCGACGCAGCTTTGGTGCAAAGCTCAGCTTCCCCCGCCAGACGAGCTTCTGTTCCTTATCCGCGAACTTCAGCTTGGACTCAGCGGCCATGATGCGCTCTACGACCTGTCCGTATGGGCCGATGTTACTCTTGGCCCAGGACCAGTACCCGAAATCGGGCATCAAGATGACCGACTCTTCGGATGCTTTTCTTGATAAGACCCAGACCGGCTGGCCGACCGCGTCAACGTCATCCACGCGATCTTCGATCGAGAAGGTAAACTCGATTGTGGGGTGCGAGGTACGATTCGAGGACGCGGAGAGCGCGCGATGGATAGATCCCAGGGTACCAAGGATCTTGCGCCGGTGGTCGTCCCCTTTTGCTCTTGTCGCCACGACATACAAATCTCCGTTGGAGATGATGGCGCGGGCCATACCATTCTCGAATGGTACTGCATTCAGATCGTCTCTTGATATGCCTCCTCGCGACTTCCAATACTCGATTCCTCGGTGAATATCCTGGAAGAGACCTGGGAATGCTGCCTGGCACTGACTCTGGCTCAGGCCTAGGTTCTGGTCGTCTCGTCCGTACTGGAAACTCCAATTTGCAAGGTGTTCTGGTTCCGATGGCGGTGCCGAGGCCAGACATGTGAGGCAGTCGGCGCATTGAAACGAAGTGGATGATTGGCAGGTGCAGTGGCCTGCTGGGATGAGTTGTGTGAGGAGCGGGGGCACATTATCACGATCCGAGTTCATTCCAAACCATATCAAGTAGACGAAAACACCGCAAGCGCCAATGGCGACTGCCGATATCGTCCGCCGAAGGGAACACCAGCTGTTCCATGTTCGTTGCATGACGAGAATGTGGGAGAATGGCGACAATGATAAAGTGGGATACCTGGGGAAGGTAAGGAGAAGATCGAACCTCCCCCAGGCGGAAGACTGAGCCAGCGGCGAGCCAGTGGCTCAGAGATTGCCTCAGCCCACATGGGGAGAGACTAGAGACTACGGGCATTTTGCCCAGACAGGCAAGGATAGGATCCCTGAACGGGTCACCCAGTCAGCCTAGTGGCCTAGTCAAACGAAGGCTTCGTGGTGGAGATTAGTAGGGTTGGCGAACTTGGCGGATATTTAGACCCAACAAATGACCCACAGGATCATCGCCTCTAAACCGCCTCGACCAACCAGATCAGATAGTTTAAGACTACCTGTCGGTTAGTCCCTGAGTTAAGCACCACTACAGCCACTAGCCAAGACCGGCTAAATGTGATGTAACCCTTCCTATCCCAATTAGGGGATTGGCCTCAAAGTGAAGCAGCAGCTAAGCGATGTCCACCATGAGAATTCTAGTACGGGTCGATATATTCAAGAAGCTTTAACTCCGCACTACTTTATTCTAATTCTAAAGAAACAATCGGACACCAACTAACTAAATTCTGGAAACGAAAGCCAAAACCGAGGCAGCGAGCGTCGAGTCTTATATATCTTTTTGACCTCTGAGAATCCGGTCATGTTCCCCACTCGACTGATCCCGAGGTGCAACCTCCGACAAGCAAGTGCCCAGTTTCCCATTGACTCCGCTCATGGATAGTCGCCTTTTCGAGAGTTGGCCTCTCGATGGAGTAAGTTTTACTCGCCACGATCGGCCAGCGTGTCAGCACTGATATCGAGCGTTGGTGAACAGGCGATTGACCGACACGTCCCAATCAGATTGCTGCGCAGGGTATTCAGTTAGTTACGGATCCTGCCAGCGTACGGAGTGGCAGAATTCCATGTCAGTTCGGAAGTTGAGCGTGGAAAGGGGCCGATAGCGTGTGCCGCAGTTCATCCCATACGTCAAAGCCATCTCAATCACGTACTGATCGTAGCACGAAGATGCCTTGCCAGGAGATGTCCCAAAAGCAGCGTCCTTCCTTGCTAAGCTTGCATCCACGCGCGTTGCGAACGATCGGCTTTTCAAATTGCCCTGATTCTTTTTCGTAGTAAATTTGAGGCGGTGCGTCCCCTTGGCAGCTCTAATGAGCCGGATGACGAAGATCCTCGCCGAGCAATCCATGTGCTTACTATTGCTTCGTTACGCCCATCTGTATGTGCCTGGATCCGAGAGACCAGCATAACATCATACTTCTATCGGATGTCCTATGGAATAATTGCTCTCACAGTACAATTGGGAGAGGTGGCTTCACCTTTGTCCAGTCGGAGCTAGGTCGACGAGCACCTGGTAGATTAGTCCCTGGAGAAGGTTATATTGGCTTAAGCGGCTACATCAGATCGCCGATGAAGCAGCAAAAGCGGATGAGAAGCCTGTTGCAGAGCAGGCCGCGGAGGCCATCAACATTAAGTCATGTCAAGCTGAGGACCTCCCAGATTCTCAGGGTGTTTGAGGCTGCGGGCGATGCTGTGACCCAGGATAAGGACTTCTCGGGTCTGAAGAAGGAATGGTAGGCACAATCAGACCTGTCGTGAGGTCCAAGGACTACTGTGTCTTTTTCCTTTCTTCCATGTCAATCATATTGTAAGTTTCTATTCTTGGTAGCATGTTTTTACTCCCTAGTGTATGATATGAGAAATTGATTATATCGGTAAACCAGTGATTGACACTACTGCAGGACCTGCAGTGACCCCACGTATGGCCTTGTGGCCTTGTGAATCTTAGGTAGTTCCTTGTTTACTTGTCATGGACTCAGGCTTGGTGGTTCTGAGATTCAGTGTAAGATAGACTGAACCCAATCTAAGATCCGCTTTGGGTGTCGGAGCCAGCCCGATGACCAGAGATAGTAAGGATCCCCCCAAGACTAGATTTGGTAAGCTGCTACAGTAGGCTTAGCGTTCATTTACAGTAGAGAGTGTCTAGCCACGTGATATACATGGCCTGTCCCCTTGCACAGGTACCTATGGCATTGCTTCATGTTGTTCCTAACTGTCTGCTCTATATGAAGCATTTTGGGATTTTCTAGTGGGAATCTAGTCGATTACCGCTGTGCAATAGTTCATGACAGATTCCTTGGCTCGTCTGCTCCGATCGGCGGTGTCATGGCCACCACGCGAGAAAAGCCAGCCGCAGGGAGAAGCCTGAATGGAGTTTTCCTGCTCACATAAGGTAAGGTACAGTTTCCATGCTGGAACCAATTAGAAATGGCCCAGATGGAGGAGACAAGGATGACAAGTTCTCGACCACGAGTATTTTCATCAGTTCAGGATTGAACGAATCATGGAGGGTAGGAAATTTATGCCACGTGTGACGTGTGGAGAGAAAACGTTGAGATGCATTGGAGAATTGAATAACTACTGGTTGCCATATTTCCTGAGGCTTGATTAGTGGATTTGGAAAAGAACCAATGTGGACAGGGGTGGTGCTGATATTGACCAGCTGAACAATAGGATCCCACGCCAGAACAATAGGAATGCTGCCATGCGAGTCAGTATCCTTGCGAATGGTGGCATCTAGAAGCAACAGTACCAGGATATCTGTCGGAATAGGTGCAATGTAATCAAACATGTCTTGACTCCACCAATCCAGAACATGGAATATTGCCTAGCACGGAACGTGGTGTCTGTCTGTCGTGCAACATTGGCAACGACTGTCGAATAGGATCGAGAATCGAGAAACACGACATCCGAGAACCTCAGCAAGGGAGAAAGCACAATCTGCATATGACCGATGCATATGTTGCGGTCTAAGTCTCAAAGGCTGCGGTCTGCTTCGTCTACATAAAGACAGACGAGGCCTTCAAGAACCGCCAAGTCGATACATACTAGGAATGGTTCCTTCAAAATGAAGTTCTGGATATATGTTTTTGTTAAATCCTTGGTTTTCTTTACCACTGTCTCTGGAATCTCTAGCAGACTGGATTCCATGGTCAATGTGCAGCCATCTTCTCCGGGGGTTACCTATGAACTTGGCAATGTCACATACTTTGCCAACATCGAATATCCCAGGGCAGTTTTCAACTTGGACTCCACCAGTACTTCCCGACTTGTCCCAGCGACAGTCATACTGGTGAACCAGAGTATGGTCACCGGCAGCTATCTTGAATCTACCCTTTCCCGCTACCTGACCGAAGATGATGTCTTCTCACCCGACTTCCTGTACGCAATCTATCTCACATCCACTGTCTCAAAGTCCAGATTGGACTCGACGGCAGAGAAATATCTCAGGAGCCTAGGTGTGGCTTGGCTTTTATTCAATGCCACCTCTTTTGCGAGTATCCCGCGCAATGGATATGCGTTGAAGGACGACCACGCCACATCCCTGCCGCCAGGCCCATTTACCATTCTCGTCAACAATGGGTCCATCTCTTTTCTCGACACCTACCGGCTGTATGTCGACAGCTTTCGCACATTTATTGCAGGTGCATATGCCTCCAACGACGGGATTGGCTCGTTTACTGCGCTACCTGGATTGAATCCACGGCTCTGGGGGCCACTGATTCCCGTCCCTAGTCGAATCCATTCATGGAATGACAATCGACCCCTGGCAGGTAAGAGGGTCTCTGTGAAAGACCTCTTTGACGTCAAAGGCCTACAAACCTCAGCTGGAAGCCAGGCGTGGATCCAGGTCACTCCGATTGCCAATTCGACTGCTCCTGCCATTCAACGGCTGATCGATCTTGGCGCGGTGATAGTGGGCAAGTTCAAGTTAGCCCAATTCGCGTCGGGTGCAGATCCTTGGAATTGGACTGATGAGAAGGCCCCCTTTAACCCTCGTGGTGATGGGTACCTGACCTGCTCAGCTTCGTCCTCCGGCGGGGGATGCGGAATCGCTGCGTACGATTGGCTTGACGCGGCGATTGGGACAGATACGGGTTCGTCAATGCGTCGTCCTGCTGCAGTATCGGGGACTTTCGGCAATCGTCCTAGCCAGGGTATGATGTCGCTGGAGGGTGCTGTTCCCTTGAATGCAGGGGAGGATACTGTCGGAGTTTTCGCTCGCGATCCTATTGAGTGGGCTGAGTTCGCCAAAGCCTGGTATACCCCAAGCCTGCATGAAGATCCCTCGATAAATAGTCTTCCCCCTCTATCGGTACCAGACACAACAGCCTTCCCGAAGCGGATCTTATATCTAGTGGAGTATCTCCCTCTGGCCAATCCCGCAGCGCAGGCCCTCCTCGACGAATTCCTTCAAGGCATGACAAGGGTGTTTAACATGACGATCGAGCGGACGAACTTCACCGCAACGGCGAGCAATGCATCCATTTTTCCCGACGTCCATGGGGATCCTTTGGTCAACTGGAATCTCTTATACGACGCCGGGGCGACGTTACAGCTGTGGACCCAGTCCACCAAGGTCTATGGACCCCTTATCTCTATCTGGGCTGCGAGGAATGAAGGTCGTTTTCCGCCTGTCGACGCGCAGTGGAGGGAAGCGTGGACTGGATATGATGTCAGCCATATCACCCAGGCAGTGTACGAGCAGGCCATGCGGACCAAAGCCGCAGCAGTTAACTGGTTTCAGGATGAAGTTTTGTACCAGACCTCCGACTCATGTTCCGAGGCTGTGATGATCTGCGACGGAGGCACTGGAGGCTTGCCGAGTTTCCGTGAGCAGGATTTGAACAACAGCCCCAATGCCAGCTTCATGAATGTGTTTCCAGAGCATGCAGACGTATCCTGCAGTGGTATCTGTACTTTATTTGGGTAAGCAGCGTCCTGCGCGTGTTTGAGGCAAGCTGACTGGCTGTAGGTGTGTGGATTTTACCATTCCTCTCGGACAGGTAGACTATTACTCGCCAGTGACCATGATCAGGGAGCAGTGGCCGGTGACGATCAATATCATTGCGCGCCGAGGATGCGACTTTATGCTCTTCAACATGATCAAGAAGCTTGCAGGAGAAGGAGTGCTGAGATCTGTCAAGACCGGAAGGACGGCTTTCTAGCAAGGCAATCAAAGGACAAATGATTTATCCTATCCCTACAATAGGAACACCCCTACTAGATAGTAAATCAATAACTAGGATAATATGTGGTTATTTCCTATATCACAACAGACAATAGAGCCGGGAGAAGACTAAATCACTGACTGCGAACCCGAAGTGACATGAGGAATATAACCCAATGGCGTGTCAACAGGCATGCCGACTGAAGAAGCTCCATTCGGTCACGCCACCAAAACCTGCTGAGACGGAGCAATAGGGGGGCAGTATTGCAGCTCATAACAAGAAGGATTGGCATTAACGGAACACCTCGTCCCATCATAGCTCGTCCCCTCAGGACACTGCGGATCATCCTTGGACGCGCAGAAGAATCCATTGAATTTCTGACCGGGGGGACACTCGGGCTCCGACTTTCTGACGCACTTATTATCCTTCAACTCCAACCCAGGGGGACATTCAGGCCGCTTAATCGACACACACATCCCAGAGTGGAATTCCGTACCAGGGGGACAGTCGGGCGCCTTCTCAACGACACATTCCTCGCCGATGAGGTTGGACCCCGGCGGACATTCAGGCTTATTCTCAGAGACACACTGGTTATCCAGGAACCGGAATCCTGGCGGGCATTCGGGATTATCGTTTGCGACACATTCGCTGCCTCGTGGGACGAGACCTTCGGGACATTGAGGTGGTATGATCGAGATGCATCGGTTTCCGTCTTGCGATGTGCCTGGGGGGCAGGACGGGGAGTCTCGATGGACGCAGTCGGCGTCGACGCGATCGAGTCCCGGGGGACATTCGGGGTTCTCGGTCGAAACGCAGTTCTTGCCCTCGACCCGGAAGCCTGGAGGACATTCCGGCTGCACGTCTGCAAGGCACTTGTCGCCCACCGGTGGGAATCCATCTGGGCATTCAGGGGTTGTGGGGATGATGCAGTTGCCGTTCCAGTACATCTGGTTGTCAGGGCACTGAGGGGGCTTGTCGGAGCGGCAGACGGTCCCAATGAGCGTGAAGCCGGATGGACACTCCGGGGTTGTAGCATCCACACAGTGGTCTTTCACTAGACGGAGGGGTGGTGGACAGCGCGCTGAGTTGTCGCCACGGCAGTGGTCGTCATGAACGTGCGAGCCTTCTGGACAGGTCGGGGGTTGCGTGGACACACACTCCACACCATTGAACCGAGTAGGAGGGGCACAATATGGTGTTTCATCGAGTAGGCAGTACTGTCCATTCCATACTCCTACGTCGCAGGCGGGCGTCTCTTCTGATACGCAGTAGCCGTCCCGGAGCTCCAGTGGGGCCGCACAGACCGGCTGCTCGATAGGAGCTGTGACACATTTTTCACCGTCAAACTCGGTTCCTTCTGGGCACGATCCGGGGTCCACAGGGACAAGGATGCAGGAGGAACCATCCCACGCCCAAGCCGTTGGGCAGCATCGCCCAGTCAGAGAAGGTCGATGGAAGGATGAAGCGAACCCAGGGGGACACAGGGGCTCCTGTCGGCGTATGCATCGTTTGTTCTCCAACTCCAACCCCGGGGGGCATTGAGGCTTCTGGTCCGTTCGACATTGTCCATCCTGGAAATAGCCCGATGTGCAAGAGGGCGAAGTTTGAGAGACGCATTTTCCATTTCGAGACACTGTTCCAGGAGGACACTCTGGGTCACGGCTGAGACGACAATGGGAACCGTCGTTCTTGTACCCAGGAGGGCACTCCGGTCGCTCTTTGGAAACGCACTTCCCATCAAGCACGACTAGGTCCTGTCGCCCACATGACGGCCCATCCTTGGCGATGCAGCTTACGCCGTCGTAGCGTAAGCCATCAGGACAAGCCGGACTGGACCGGGAGATACACCGATCCTTCTCGGGGAAGAAGCCATGTGGGCACTGAGGGCCTTCTTTATACACACAGTGGCCGTCACTGAACCTATATCCGGCATCACAGGAGGGAGGGATTGACAGCGTGCAGGTCCCGTTTATCCAGTTGGATCCCGAGGGGCAGATGGGGTCTTGCGTGGAGACGCATAGATGGTCTTGGTATTTGAAACCAGTTGGGCATTGTGGTCCACTGGTATGGACGCACATTCCATCCTGGAAGATTGTGTGCTCGGGACAGATGTCTCGTTGATACAGCAGACACCTGGTCCCGTCATACACGGTCCCCCTTGGACAGCACTTCTGGTCGGTTTCGCCCGTGGCAGGATTACGCCAGGAGGACGGGACAATGTCGTCGAGTGTGATTGCACGGGAGGGATAATCAAGGACTTTGTGCAATCCAGGCACCTGCTGAGAGGTGACCTGGAGTGCTCCACTAGCCAACAGGAGTGCCAGAGGGAGCTTCATTGATAATCTTCTTGCTCGAGGAATGGAAAAACAAGTTGGAACACGAGATCAATTGCATGAATGATGTGAGTGATAGGAAGGATACCCTCGTTATATAGTCACACATGGTAGCTCTAAGCCCCTCGACATTACTACGAGGGGAGGACGAGACACTCTGAGGTTGCAGTTGCTACATCATTCCTGATTGTCCTGTGATGGATCGGCCGAGCGGGCAACACCAGGCGAACAAGCTTCTGTCACACGGGGAGTCGAAGCTCTGACCTCCATATGCAAGGTGATGGAGCTTAATTTGCAGTTACGGGCAACGCTGAGGACAGCAGGCCGAAGAAGTTGCAGAACAGCCAATAGCCGCGGCTGCGATCAGCGTGGCGCTACCCTGCATTGTCTGATCGTGGAGATGGATCTGCAGGCATACTGCAATTTTCGAACTCGTCATCTTTTCCTGTCTCAGCTCAGCTAGCCACAGTGAATAAGAAGCATGATACAGCCTATGAAAAATGCCTCAACTGGAGTTGCCATGCAGCCATTGTCACACTGCGCCTTTGGATAACGCAGCGCGCTCGCGGTTGCCACTGATTCTGTCTGGAGAGTCGGTACTCAGTGGTGCATATTGCTCAGGTGCACTGTCCTGAGGTTTACATGGTCGCTTCTCTTCCGTGTTTGGACAAAGCGGACATGGTGGCTACCTGAAGCTGCTAATTTTCAAGCATAGTGTGACTTGAGTTGTCGTCAGTGGACAACAGCATGCATATGGATACTTTCCTATAAAACTCACCCAGCGCACCAAGCTTGTGCCATTGCTTTCGAAGAGTATCACCTTCTGCCTCCTTCATTTTATTGGCTCTTTTCAACATGGTCGCTCCAAATCTCTACCACTCTATACTCGTGTCCCTTCTGTGGGCGTCAGTATGGTTTAGCAGCCTTGCAAGAGCTGACTACAATCGCCTCTGTCCTAATAAAGAAGGGCAAATCCAAGTCGATTCCACCTTTTACACCGTCACCTGTGATACATCCTACATATCTCCCGCTCCAAAGAAGGTAAAGGAGGGCGTATCCGCCGAGGACTGCGCTCGGCTGTGTACGGCGCAGCCAGCATGCCGTGCCATGGTCTGGCATTTGGGAAACTGTTGGCAGTCCGATAAAACAGACGCGGTCTCATTCCGTGTCCCTGGCGCTGTACTATTGACACCGGGCGAGAAAAAAGATCCCGTTACTGAACCATCCCCTGGGCAACAGAAATGCCTCGAGGAAAAGGAGCTATTGGCACAGGAGAAGGAGCTGTTGGCAAAGGAGAAGGAGCTGTTGGCACAAGAGAAGGAGCAATGTGGTAAAAACTTGGCGCAATGCGAAGCTGAGAAGAGCAGCATATCTGCCGCAAAAGCCACATGCGAGAAAAATCTCGCGGCTGCAAACAAAGATGTTGGGCAGAGAGTCCCTGACGACTTCGTTCCTTGTAGGCTTCCCCTTATATCTGTGGACGATCAGAGCTCACATAATCTAGCCCGAGTTGATGATGGACGGGAGGTGATTATTGCTGGGAAGAAATGGAAAATTTATTACGCCAAGTGTATATCTCCCATTTCCAGGTCCTCTGCCACGCTAATTGGTTTATAGTGAATGATCCTGGCGTGTGGGATTTGGGTTATCCTACTATACGCTCTTATGTAGAGTGCATGAAGCTCTGTGCTTCCACGCCGGCATGTGTCCGTACAGCATGGGCCAACGATTACGCCGGTTCAAGTATGTGCTATATGAGATCGCATGGCCAGCACACTGTTCAGACTGTTACTCAAGCTTGGACTTCTACTCACCTTATTGGGCCCGCTTGAGTGCGGATATTAGATACTCACCGGTTCGAGTCAATCAGAGGAGGGTGACTCTTGTCTAATTCGGTGATCCTTCGAGTCATCGATTCGTGTTTTGTTTCGACGTGGTTGAATCTGTATCTGTAGATTCTCCAAAACAATGGCTTAAAGTTTATTCTTCTTGTACGCAGCTCTCAGGTTGCACCCCTCCACAGTCTCTATCAAAGGATATTCTGGACTCTGGCTGGTCTCTCTTTCGTAGACAGGATCTGCCTTTCAAACAACGAAACTAGGACGAAGTTGATCTGTTTGATGCCATTACGGCCGCTAGGAGATCAGCGGAACGAGATCGTCCAACTTAGCGGAAGATACGACTGAGAGACGGGCCGTGGTGGAGAGAACCAAACTTGGGACCAGAAATAGGCAAACTCGCATGAACTGGCGGCCTGTGGTTCAGCTGTGTCTTCAGCTAAAAGGATAATCAATGCGGGGTCAAGCAGGATAGCTAACTGCTACTAGTCATGATCATCGGCAGAGAAGCTAGCTATAACGCTAAAGCATGCCTGATAAGACAGATCACATCATATTGAGGCGACTCGCCCCATATCTAAGAGGATATCTGGTATCTCTACCCATTCATGTCGATCCCTTTATGCACGTTATCATGTCCGGATAGGTCTTTAGTCCGTAGCCTCGGAATCGTCCGCAGCTAACCCAGCCTCGCTTAACTTATTGGAGGCAGCAATGGCGCTCGTAGATCGGCTAAAATAACTATTGACGAACTGACTTATCGAGGCTGCAGGGTGGGAATGTCGCTGGTAATTCCGCTGAGCTTCCCATACTTAGCCCAGTCGAGGAAGAGTTCTGTCGAGATTCTCCCGTTCGTTGAGATGCATCAAGGGAATATGCACTATACTTACTGTGCCATTTACCCCGCAGCGGCTGAGTTTGCGTTGGATTTTCCCATGCTCTCTGGCCAGACCAGAGATGTCTGGCCTGTATGCCTTCGCTATGCCTTCACCCTTTGAGAACTGGGACCCTCCATGTCTGACCTTACAGTATCTACCGTCCAAAAGCCTGACTTCTCTTAGTCAAGAAAAATAACATACATTTTCTGGCTTGCTTCTGGTAATTCACATTTAACTGCTGTATTTTCGCTCTAAAAGTCTCCCTGGGCAAAGTTGGCGGATGGTCATGAATAACAAGTAGGAGAAGATAGCGGTAAAACTCGGCTTTAAAGCGAAGCTGACCATCATAGACATCTTTTTATGCCAAAGCCTCATTGAGCACGTCTTCACCTGTGAATGGACCATTAATCGCGGGGCCCGCTTCTTGTGTCTAAAAGATTCCATCACGAAGTCTTTGGGCACCTCAGCTACCATAACAACTTGGCGGCGGCAACCGCTGTAGCTCATCAAAACAACTCCTCCCGGTTGTCATAATGGAGTCCTTCTCTGAGTCTGAAGTGGTTAGCTGGGGCCACAAGATGCAAGCATCTGGCCATGGATTTGCTCCATAATGTACTTTTCCTCAGCTTCCCGGATCAAATAAAGGGCATAATTTCAGGAACCAGGATATTGGTGATTTCCTGAACAAACATCATGTTCACTCCTTCCAAAGGACTAATACCATTACCAAACCTCACGAAATTGTGCCCGACTTGAACAATTCTTCGTCATCCATAAAATAGGGTTTTGGTGTTGTTGCTGATCTATTGGGGGGATCTGTTAAGTTCGAGTTCTCCAGTGTTGATGTCATGTCATATTAGGTTACATCGCTCCATAAAGGATGATGTCTACAACGTTTGCTAAACTAATAACTCACCACCCAACAACACCTTGACGTTGGTCTTTCTAGACTCTTGAATTTGTCTAACAAGGTTGATTGCAAAAGCACAACATCATAATGGCTGACGAAGCCGAGATATCAGCAGGAGTGGACCACAGCCTCCAGCCGGTATCCTTCTTTGATTCGAAATTGAAAAATGTACGACGGCGGGTCTTCTTTCACTGGGGTCGCACCGGTATGTAAGATATCGAGGGATCAAGGCGAGATGTAAACTGATGTGGATAGTTCTCATCCTGTGTATCTACACACTTGCCGTCCTGTCCTTTTTCTGGGGATCCCAGTTTCACACCGCGACCAATCAAGCAGCCCTAACTGTGTGGGTGGTCGATTTTGACGGCCGGACAGAGCCATCCAACACTAGCAATCCGCTTCTAGGACCTATAGTGGTCGATATCGTGAATCGGATCAGCCAAAGCCCAACGGGACACTGCGGCTACAGTGTGAAATCGCCTGCCGACTTCGACTATAACCCAGTGGCTGTGCGGCAAGGCATCTACGACGAGCACGCCTACGCTGCCGTGACTGTCCTTCCAAATGCGACCAGACTGCTGCATAATGCGGTATCGGGGATCAATCCAACTTATGATCCGAAAGGCGCCATTGAAATCGTCACGATTTCCGCGCGCGACCAATCGACATACTCGACCAAGATCCAGCCGCAACTCCGTAGACTGCAGATGGCCATCATGAGTGAGTTCGGCCCTCGCTGGATGCAGGACCTCGCCTGGCAGCAGCTCTCCAACTCCAGGAGTCTGGTACAGGCGCAGGTGCCCCCGCAGGCTGTGAACCCGGGAATTGGATTCACAACCATCGACCTCCGCCCATTCACACCAGCCGCCGCGATGCCCTCGGTAACAGTTGGCCTGATCTACCTCATCATCATCGCGTACTTCAATTTCCCCTTCCTCTTACCTGTTCATGCGCAGTTCAACAAGAACTCTGATGACCAACCACCGCTAAAGGTCTCGCACTGGATAATCTGGCGTATCAACTCCGCCATCGCAGCATATTTCTTCCTTTCCCTCTTCTACTCCTTGATCTCACTAATGTTCCATATCCCGTTTACCAATCCTCCAGCCCCGGAAACTCAACCCAGCAATAACCCCAACGCCTACGGCAATGCCTCCTTCCTCGTATTCTGGATGCTGAATTGGGTGGGGATGGCTGCGCTAGGCCTTCCGTGCGAGGTCATGGCCATGGCGCTGGGGTTCCCCTGGAGTGGTCTCTTTCTTGTATTCTGGGTACTGAGTAATGTTACTACGGGGTTTTACTCGCTGGATTTAGCACCGGGGTTCTACGCTTGGGGGCGTGTGTGGCCGTTGCGTCGGAGTACGTTGCATTCTTGCTGTTATACTTTGGTGATATTGACTGACTGCGCTAGTTATCGAGGCGGTGCGTACGATTTTGTTTGATACCAGGAGTCATATCGGGCCGGATTTTGGGGTGTTGAGTACATGGGTTGCTGTTTCACTTATTCTATATCCTGTCGCGGCGTGGATTATGTGGAGGAGGATGAAGCAGGGGAGTTAATCTCCCTTGTTCTTATGGTGATGTTACTGGATGATATAATATTATGATTGCTGAATTAGATCTGGGACACAATATGTCACTAAAATAACGCTGGCTCCCTCAATTTTTAATGCCATTGCTTTAGTTAAGGAATCCGATTTCCTTCCAGATGTGTATGTATTTTCTCACCACCTCCTCGCTCACTTTCCCAACGGCAGCAAGAGTTTTCGAATGTTCAAGGGTCTTCCTCGTATCGAGAACGAGCCCTCCACAAGACATCCTTAGGTAATTGCTATCAAGGAATTCTAGAAGTGTAGCAGCGGGATTATTCCGCATCGGCGCCTCTCGCACTCGTTGCACCCACTCCTCAAACGGAATTAATGTCTGAATATTCAGCGCATCGGCAAGAATGGCGTTCGTTTCGCGCCAGGGCTGGCCGACGGGGTTCTCGATATGGTAGACAGGGTACGGGGAGCGGTCCGACAGGACGAGATCCGTCAATGTCCCGGCAACATCATTGACAGGAGTCCAGTAGACGGTGCCCGGCACATCCGGCAACGCATTCAAGGTCTGCGATGACTTGATCAAGAACCCAAAGTGCTCCATTGGGTTCCAGTACCCGCTCGTCTTGGACCCAGCGATCTGTCCCAGCCGGACGGCCATCACGCGGAAGAGGTCCGGATACCGATGTAGCGTCTCGTCGAGCATTCTCTCACACCCCCATTTGGCTTCGCCGTAGCCGTTCGGCAGCACGGCGTCGATGCCCACGCGCTCCTCTGGGACGGTGGTCTTGTTCGTCTGGGCCAGGCCGTAGTTGCCAACAACGCCAATAGAAGACACCATTTGGAAGCTGAACTTGAAACCGTGCGGACGCCGAGCGATAACCGCGCAGGCAAAGTCAATGAGGTTGCGCATGACTTGGAACTGCGGCTCAAATCCCACCAGAGGGCGCTTGGCGCTCATGGGCCATGCATTGTGGATGAGGTGTGTCACTGAGCTTACAAGGCCCTCGTATTCACTGCGGGAGAGCCCCAGATATGGCTGAGCGCTGTCTGTTTGCAACACCAGGAGTTTGCTTTTGAGAGCATCAGGGAACCGGATGCCTTTTTCCCGCATGGCGTGATACTGGCGCGTGTAGGGTTCTTCGCTCGTCTTTCGGTTCAGGCAAACAACCGTCCTCACATCGGGTAGTTGTGCGAGATGGTAGACCAAGTGGCTTCCCAGGCTCCCGGACGCACCGGTCACCAGAATAGTCTTCGTGCCGTCGCTCGACGGAGTCAATCCTACTGCTGGCGCGGGCATAGTGAATCCGGCAGTGTACTTCTGCACAAAAGAATCGACGGCCCTCAGGCGTTCCGTAGTGGTAGCAAGATCACGTCCGGTTTGCGATGGCGAGCACTCTGTAGGCTCAGGAGAAGGGAGAGGAGCGCTCTCCGGTGGCGGGCTTCCGTCATCGGTGGTTTCCCTTACCAACAGCTGCCTAAGGTCACCTATCGTAGGACACTCGATGAAAAGCGACTCATGCTGAATGTCGAGGTCGAGCTCATCGCGGAACCGACTGATGATGACAAGCGACAGGAGAGAGTCCACCCCCGAGGCCGCGAGATTGGTATCGTCCGTCAGGCCCTCCACTGCGACACCACTCTCCTCGGAGATGATCTGGAGAGCCCGAAGAAAATTCATCTCCTTGGGCAGAAAGTCATCGTCGGTAGTTGGTGTGCTCACGGTGGTCGCGCTCGATCTCAGCGTGGGCAGTGTCTCAACGGAACTTGGGAGGGACGAGACACTCGAGTTGGGCTGCAGCTCACCGAAGAAGCCCTTCAGGTCGGAAACGGTGGGATAGTCGAAGAAGAACGTGCTGAATTCCATGTCCACGTCGAGCTCTTCCTTGAAGCGAGCCGTGATGGTCAGACTCAGCAGAGAGTCGATCCCGACATCTGCGAAGACGGTGCCGTCATTCAGATCCGATACTGCGAGCCCGCTTTCCTCGGCGATGATCGACATTGCTTGTCCAATCTTGGATCCAGCTTGGCTGCCTTGAGCTGAGTCGTTCCCTAAGCTCAACGATGGAGCACCTGGTTTCTTGCCCGCACGTTGGCTCTTCTCTGCTCGGTTCCCGCTCTCGAGAGACAGAATGACCTTGAGTATTCTGCGCGGCACGCCTTGTATCTATAGACAAATTAGTCAATATTCTGCTGCATAAGGGCAAGGACGAACGGCAAGCTGTCCAAAGTATCCGATGGGCCTATCGCCATCAAAAATGACCACGTCGCCATGCCACAGCTTGTCTTGCCCCTCCACCATGCGCGTGTAAGTAGTGTACTTCTTCTCAAAGTCTACAGGTTCGAAAAGTTGAAAGGAACTCCATCCATGATTCATGAACACTTCGACGTCGAGGTCAGTGTTGTCATTGCAGTTCATAGCGAATCCACAAGACTGCGTCAGTGCATCAATAATAGCCGGATGGGTGTGGAAGTTCCCGCCCCTTTTCACCGTGTCAAAACTGAGAAGACTTGAGGCCTCCAGCGTGTGGCTGTTCAGGACAATCTCATCGATGGCCCGGTAGTCGTCGTGGAACCGAGCCAGCGGTCGAATTGCCCTGTACACCATGGGCCGGTTGAACCGCGCTGTGGCTCCGGATACGATACCTTGTCGAAGGGCTTGTATCTTCTGCTTCACATCTGTGGCATCCCTCTGGAGGCGTTGCAGGAGGTCTCTGTCCTTGAAGCGTACAACGCATCGAGCGTGCCCCTGTAATTTCTGATTTGCCTGTAATAACTTTTAGCCCACATAAACCATAACAGGAGCTGAACCTACGTCAAAAGACATAAACTCCATTGTTGCTGCATTGGAAGACCAGTCCACATCAGCATGGGCCTGAAGCAATTGCTTGGTTGCCCCAGACTTCAGGATTAGGGGCTTCGAAATGGTCATTTCTGAAACATCCACTAACCCTAAACCCGGCCGATAATGCTCCCGGAGATAAGTTCCAAGGCTTAGTGCGATATCCGCGTAGACGGACGGAGTGCAGAGCGGAACCCCATCTACCTCATGGCCTTGCACCAGCGGGCTCAGATCTAGCCGGGCGATATTGGCCTCGACGACAATACGACCTTTTTGAGCATCACTAGTCTCTTCCAGAACCTTGTGGATCGTGGTGCTCTCCAGTCTCGGCGCGGAACTAGTCCGTGTCAAGGGAGGATCTCCCTTCCGCAATGACCAGTCATTGGTGTACTGTATCCAGTATGGCTTCAAATCCCAGCAATATGCCGGCAGTGGGATCACTTCGTGAGCAGCATGAAAGTCTTCATGATATTGTGCCCAGTGGATATCGGCGCCGGCAGTATAGAGAGTTTTCAGGGTGGCCCCCAGAACTTGCCAAACTGGCCTAGCCCGCTGTAATGAGGCGAGACATGGCACCTGCGGCCCGAGGACCGCTTTCACCATCCCTGAGACAGCCGGGTGTGGGCCGATTTCCAGCGTCGCGGTCTGGTCCGTGATGATACGTTGACTTTGTGCGGCCAGAAGCGCCTGATGCATATTGACTGGTTCGCGAGTATGGCGGGCGAGGTAATCGGGGCCAAAGCGGCCTTGACCATGAACGACACTGCCATCCAGAGGGCAGAGGACGGGAAGCTTGGGTGTGGAGTATGTCACACCGCTGGCCAGTCTTTGGAAATCCGCCAACACGGGTTCGATCTGGGACGAATGGAAGGCGTATGGCACGCTTAACAGAGTCGATTTGAGACCTGCATTTGCGAACAAGGTTCTGACCTGGGAGATGTCCTCTTTTCGTCCAGCCAGGACGGTTTCAACGGGGGAATTCATGCAAGCTATTTCGTATGTTAGATTCTTCAAAACAGCGGTGACCTCGTCCTTCGAGCCCTTGACCACCAGCATGGCATGCGTGTCTCGAGTGCACTCCGACTGGAGTAGCTCTGCCCGCTTCCCCACCAGATAAACCGTGTCCGCATCCGACAAGACACCGGCAACGTTGAGAGCCGCATATTCGCCCAGGCTGTGTCCCACGACGGCAACGGGCGTAATATTCCAGGAGGCCCATAATTCGCTCAGCGCAATCTGCAAGCAGACGCTCGCCAGTTGGACAGCAGTCGGCGCAAATCTACCAATGTCGTCCGCATCCGAGAGGATCACCTGCAACATGGACGGAAAGCCCAGAGACTGTCCAATCTGGTCCAGGCGACGAATCCGGTTCCGGAACCGAGAAAAATTTTGAAACAGCTCTTTCCCCATGCCAGGGTACTGTGCTCCCTGCCCGGTAAAGGCGAAGATAATTTTCGGTCCGCTCTTTGGTCTCGTCGTCCCTGTCTGATCGCGAAGCGCCGCCTCGATCTGTGCACCTAACTCGTCGACATGGGACCCAATCAACATGACGCGGTGCTGATGATGGATACGCCGTGCCGTCGTGGTGTACGAGAGCTTGCTGAGAGAGACGCCGGGATTCTCCTGCAAGAACCTGTGGATGGAACGGAGGTTCCCCTGCAGCGAGACACTATTCTTGGCCGACATGGCAATCAAGTAATGGCTCCGTGAGTCTGCAGTTTGACTGCAAGATTCCTGCTTGTTCGGCGCCTCTTCCAACAGGAGGGCCGTATTTCCACCCGCGGCGCTAAAGTTGTTGACGAAAGCCAGCCGAGGCTTGTTCCTCATCCACGGTGTTGGTTCCAAGGCGATATGGACATTGCGTTGCTGCAGATCGGTCGGAAACTTGTGGTTGATTCTGGTCTTGATCCCACAGTGCGGGACGATCGTATTCTTCTGCATCATTAACAGAACCTTGATCAGGCTCGAAACACCAGATACAGCCTCGCCATGTCCAATGTTTGCCTTGGCCGACCCAAGAAAGAGTGCCTCATCTTTGCTACGGCACTTCTTGAGCTGATCGACGGGGGGGGCAAACGTGTCCAGCACGCTCGACATTTCTCCAGCGTCGCCGGTTTGGGTCCCTGTTCCATGCATTTCCACGTAACTCACGGCGTAAGGATCAACCATGCTTTGATTGAGAATCCTCCTGAAAACCGCACATTGCGCCCCAGCATGCGGCCGGGTAATTGACTCTGACTCTGCCGAGTGGTTCGTGTACGCACCCAGGATGACCCCCAGAATGGGGTCGTGGTCCGCAACGGCGTCATCGAGACGCTTAAGGATCACCGTTCCGACGCCTTCTCCCCGACAGTACCCATCTGCCGAGTCATCAAAGGTTTTACAGTTCCCTGTTCTGGAGAGGAAATGTCCCCGGTCAAGCCCTGCCGTGAAATCCGGGTTGGTCAAGATGTTGGTCCCACCGGCGATCGCGGTATCGATGTCTCCTTGCCACAGTGCATTGCAGGCCAGATGAATGCCTGCCAGGCTAGAGGAACATGCTGTATCAACTGCGAAACTGGGACCACTGAACTTGAAATAGTAATTAATACGTCCCGGGATGAACGCCCGATTTCCACCCGGGATGAAATACGTGTCGATATCCTGGGCGCTATTGGTCTCCATCCAGTCGTTGCTAGTCACCCCGTAGAAGACGCCAACCCGGTCCCGTCTAGTGGACGGAGTGGCGTCCGGTACAATGCCAGCCTGCTCAATTGCTTCATATGCTGTCATGAGCGCCAGTCGCTGCGCCGGGTCGATTTGCGGTGCCTCTCGGGGTGAGATGTTGAAGAAGCGAGAGTCAAAAGAAGCTGGGTCATCGAGCCAGCAACCAAAGGGGGTCGAGCTGGTGTTTTTCTGCGCTCCAGTGGGGTCGACATGAGTTTTGACGTCCCAATGAAGCGCTGGGACTGGTTTGTGGACATCGAGTCCTTGATACAGAAGATCCCAAAACGCCTCGATGTCGTTGGCACCAGGGAACCTCCCCGACATTCCCACAATTGCCAGCTTCGATTTACCAGGGTTTGAGTACGGAGTTTGTGGTTCAGCTTTCGGACTCCTTTCTGGCATGCTCAACGCCTTGCAGAGCGGCGTCTGTCTGAGCGCCGTGTAGATCAGTTGATCGGCCTTTGTCCCGATAGGGGTTATCCTAATTGTCTTTGGGGATACTTTCTGGTGGGTCGCCTGCAGCTGGTCAAAGATACTACTCCAGCAAATGGGCTGTAGCAGTATCTGCTCGATCGCAGCCCTCCAAACTGCGTCAAGCCCTCCAGCTCTCACCGGAGTTTCAGTACTTGAAAGTAGGAGCATTTGCCTACGTGCATCGCTGCCGCGTGGCGCCAGGCTTCCAACGATTGCCTCGACATCATTTTGGGAGTAAAGGTGCGTGGCATGATAGGGTCCGTATATATTAATACTTTCAAGCCTGAAATCCTTGAAGGTGCTGGAGCTAGTCATCTGAGAAAGCGATGAAGGCGGGCCGCTGACCGTTATCCCGCTGGGTGTAAAGGCGCTGATATAGGGCTGTCTGGTTAGGGGAAGGACCTAATCCAGCAGCTAGTCAGTTCGGGACATACTCACATGGAAGAGAAGATCTAATTTTCCTTACAGTCTGTTCACGAAATTTGCGCACGGCTTCCGCAGATGTCAGGCCGCGAATAAATGTTGACCAGCTCTGAACCGGGGCATGCAGAGGCTCAAGTGTCCGCGTAATGTCAGCCACGAGCTTGCCAATCCTAAAAGCTATAACGACTGCATCCACGGCTGTTGGGATAAGCTCAAGTGTGCTACGGCTGCAGCTAACTGCCGCCGCAGCCAAAGCTCCAATACAGATGCCAAGGACAGCAGAATCCTGTGTGGGATAGCACCCAGCCTCGGTTTTACTGGTAATGCTTAGCTCGTTAATAGAATAGATGATAGGACCAAATCTTACCTAATAAACGCCCCAAGCTGATACATGCAGGTCAGAGCCATATCTAGGGGTATGCATTGTTGGCCATCTTGCTTCCATAAGATCAGGTCATCAAGACAGGTGAGTCGAGGCATATCAGTCCTGACCTCATGCGGCAAGCTGTATATCTCTGCGCGAATTGCATCATATGATTTGCTGAGGAAGCTTTCCAGGGCTGGATTGTGCCGGTTGCGCATCATCTCCCTCAGACAGGGCTGTGGATTGTATGTCTGGTCTCCGAAAAGAAACAGCTCCAGATGGTCAGCCATGTTGGTGGTTACGAGGTCAACAAAAGGATAATTCTATCCTGATATTTTCTTTTATCGTAAGCTCAACCTATCTCAACTGCAATGCAAGACATGCTTAATACCCCAGAGTCTCTTATTAAATAGCCACCGTGTTGCCCTTCTCCAAAGCTTCGACGATTCGCAATGACATAATAACATTGCGAATCGTCTTCTTCGGGATTTGCAATATGCTTCACATCTACCTGACTGGATACTTGTTTTCAGTAGAATATGACGTCTTCTATAGTCTAACATGCTGGTGACTCTTAGACATTAGCACAAACTGACGGCGGAAATGTTGCATCCAGATCTGAGTTTATTTATACTCCGCAAACTAGGGGCTTAAAGTTTTCTACGTTGCATTTCTCAATTGAGCGGTAATGCTAACCCTGAGATAAACTAAAGAAATATAGCCAGAGATTAAGATCTATCTATGCAATACTACGTCATGTGTTCAGCCTGTAGCTATGGTTTTCCCGGGCTATCCAATTATCTTTCTTTTACATGATCCATTCCTGTCACGCTCTATTGGCTTATGCAGTGGCCAGCTGGCGCCCTCTTATTCTGTTACTGTTCCTCTAGGGCAAGTAATACTGACGTTTCTTCGTCATACTTTCGACTTGAACTATAACTGGTTTTCCAGGTTTATTCATTTTGTAAGCGTTGAATAAGGTTACATATACCCGAAGTTTGACTGTATAACCTACCTCTGCTGTAGTTGCTTTCTCTAAAGTTTACTAAATGAAGCTAAAATATAGATATCAAATAGTGTATATCCTTTTATCAAGATATATAGGTGAATATGTTGAGGCTCTTACAACCAAACGGCCGTTTGGTAATGCGGCCTCGACGACGTAACACGTAAACGCGAAGTATTCTACTGAGTTCCTCCCCAAGGAACTTACATTTGTTGGATTGATACTGTTCTTATGACCCTTCTATTGTTAGAAGAAACTCCTGAGCATATTTTGAGCACGTCGCCTTTTGATTAGAGTAGAAATAGCTTGATCTACCTGAACTCAGTATCTGTCTGCTCACTAGAATTCCTCGAGCCCTACACTAAATGTGCCCAAAGAGGAAGTGCACGCCGAGAATGTCTTTTCCTCCGGTCAATTGGGGACAACGGGAGTTAGCCGCATTGCCACATCTTATAAGTGCATACAAACATAGAGATGCAATATTGCCCTGTGCTGCCAGCCAAGATTACCTCTCCGGTTTGGTGTACCACACGTATCGGGCAAGCCTTTTCAGACGCCGTTGGCTTTGTCATTTAGGTTTGACTATCTATGACCAAATTCGATGGTGATATGAATAACTTGCAGGTTTGCGACATGGCCACCAAACGAATACCACTTGTCTTAAACCGACGGATGATTAAATTCTGGAGGATCGAGAGTTGCGGAGGCTTAGTTTTCAATCGTCGGGCTACTCAAGTGCAGCTAGGATTCTATTACTGTGACTTCTTCACATGTACAAAAGAGATATGTTGTATTACTCATACTCGCTTTTACCGACCCTATTAGTGGTGAACAGAATGCACAGCTTTCCTATAATCACCTGTTCCGGCTACTGGGCTCAGTCAGATACGTGCGATCTTAGGGCATCCCACCATTCCTTTAAGACAGCGCGTTGTTTTGAATCTGTGAAGGCACATTCTTTCTCTGTGCCTAAGCGGTGTAAATAGCTTGGATGGATTGTTGAATGTAGGGGTGGGAATGCAGGTATTGCTATGAGCTATTTTTTCATTGGTGAAGTTGCACCCATGACCTGCAAAGATTATAAATAGGAACAGCCTTGCTCATCTTCAGATTGTGAACTATTGAAACCATTCACTAAGGAAATTACTTTCAGCTTTTAGTCTTCTTATCTTGCAGAGACTTAAGATGCGTTTGACTCCTATTGTGCTCTTTTCCATTGTCTCCCTGGGTTTTGCCAAGGATCCCTTTGGTTCTACAAACTCCCCAAGCCGTCCGAAGGTTGAAGGAAAACAACTTGATTCATATTGTCCTAAGCATGACGCTGATGAGGAATCCCAACGCAAAATATTTGCTCGATTCATCCAAACGCTGTACGAGGAGAAGAATGTGTCGAAGGCCTTCACCACACATGTCGACCCCGGTATGATTGAGCATAATCCTTTTGAGGAAAGCCGTGATGAGGTCGTGGCAAAGCTGTCTCAAACCCTCCCGGCCGCCACTTTTACGGTTGTACACTCAAGTTTTGGTGGCGACATTGGGTTCATCCACGTCAAAATAGGAGACGAAGACGCGCCGCCAGTTGCCCTTGCGGACATATATCGTATGGATGGGACCTGCATTGTCGAGCATTGGGACGTTGTCCAGACCCTCCCGGAGAATGCCACGAACCCGAAGGCCCTGTTCTGATTATTGGAATCGTTTTTTCCCTAGGCTGTGCGATAGTTTCTGGCTTTACTTGGGCCCGGAGTTCTAATTTTTGCCCTCGAAACTGCAGAGGTGCGGTCCTAAGTACCTAAGATCTTGCACACTGAATCAGACTGAATGTAACTCAATTTATATGACATACTATTTTATCTAATTAGCTTTTGAGGGAGCCAGCCTAATCTTAATAACCTAGGATAATATAGATAGGTAACTCTTAGAGTCCTCCAGCTAGTTTCCCCCTAGCCTAATATAGCTATATTATATACTAATCTACTCTTATATTTATACTATAATAGTACTAGTTTAGCAGCTTAATATAAAACTCTAAATATATCTTTTCTATATTAGTGTTAGAGGCATCCAGTAAGCMTTAAAGATATATATGTGGAAGCTGGGCATGATTGACCATAGCGGTCTATCATAGTAGGTCTTTTGCCTCAAGTGGTTAGCCTTTTGCAGCCCAGCGCAAGGTTCTCACAAGTGTACTCCTTGTGAGCAGGAGTGGGATTGCACTTTTCCAGGGGGTGCCTCTATCTACTAATTAAGGCTGTTGCTGGCGAATCTGGAAGGCATGATGTTTATTAGTTATCTATGTAATAATTCATTATTCTTGAGTCTGTAGTTAACTACAAGCATAGAAGATGTTGAATGCATGTATTTATATTATGGACTATTGAGGAGTGGACGAAGTTATCCTTCCCGTTCGGTTTGAGTATAACGTTATTTCGTGATATAGTTATAGGAGGATCTCGCGAATACGACCCATTGAGAAAACCCATTGGGTGATGGCACAAAAGTTACCTCGTATTCATATGTCTATCAGTCATTGTGTCGATTGATGTCTGAGGAATTTTAATATACAGAAAGGATCTTTTGGTGGGTGATCCAAGGCGGGAACGCTATGCACTCAACTCTTTCCTGCATTGTCCAGCCACACTCTGGTAATTCATATTGTTATTTTTGAACACTGGCCCTAAAGCTTCAATATCCTCGTCAGTCATCTTTCGCCGCGCAGCAGCGGTGGTCGAAAATGTCTCCGGTGTTCTGGCACCTCCCATCAGTGCCGTGAGGATGGTCAAGGGAGCCAACGATGGATCCTCAACGACGCTATATATAGTCGTTCCTACAAGACCGACGTCAGTAGCAAGCGGCAGCATGCGACCCAAAACGACCATGCTCTCCGTGAAATAATCCAGCTCGCCCACAAATGGCAGGACGAGAAGAACAACGCCAAGGATGGTCTCCACCAGTCTCTTCTCCTTCTCGTCTTCGTAGTCATCTGCAATCTTCACGACACTTTTCATAGAATCAATGGCTTGCTGAACAAGAAAGACAGCCTTGGAGATGGTTTGGATCACATCGTCCAGAACACCAGTCCACGTTCCCGCGTTGATCTCGAGCTGCGTCAGGGCAATTGTCGTATTGAGACTCCGAATACCAGGCAGAGCCTTGGTAATAATATCCTTTGGGTTGTCCACGGTGACATTGCTTGATTTGAGCGGGAAACCGTAATAGATTGTGCATTGCTCATCGCCCACGACGGTACCACGGCACTGAGTCTCGTCGTACTCACCGAATTCCACCCATTCCTTTTGAATCCCATATGTTGCGGCCAGATCAGCGTAAAAGCAATCTGCGTCGACTAGGTAGTAAGTAACTGTAACTCGACCAGTGTAGAAATTGGTGTCAATGGGGCATGCTTGTCGCGGTCCTGTTCCAAAAGCACATTCAAAGTATTTATTGCCGCGGCTCACGGTACTGTTTGAACCCAAGAGAAACTGCCGGAGCTGCAAAGGTATAGTGTCCTTGATGTAATCGACATAATCGTTGAATTTCTTGTCGTAGTCTCCGGCAACGACCGAGTTGTAATCGACCATCGCATCATCAAGCATGCGACCTAGGACGTTGATGGAATAATAATTGATGCAGTACATATCCATAGTATCCATCACATTGGCCAAGTCAGCTAGTGTATCATAGCTTTTGGTAAAGTCGCAAGGCATAGTCTCTCCGCAATCGACGTCGTAGTCGTCCTCGGATGCTCCACAGACAAAATCGTCGGCGGAATATTCCTGACAGATCGGAGAAGGACAATATCCCCTCTGGCAGGCGAACATGCACAGATCGCTGTCAGCCACAGAGGGTGAGGACCCGGTAATGCTGGTGTTCTTCGGCGGAGCCTCGATTAGAGGTCCAACGCCTGTGCATGTGCAACGATGAATGGGACAGAAGCCAAAATTGCAGCTGTAACTGCATAGGCCGGCGAATGAGTCCTGTCCAGTCCCAGACACGCAGGTATCCGGCACGAATGGAGACCTTGTGGGTATCGTAAGTGGATGCTGCACGGTGTCACACACTCCTGAGGGACAATAGCCATAGTTGGACCATACTTTCGCATAGGATGCCCAAATTAATGCACTGCTATCAGTCTTTTGACTCAAAATATCATTGTTCTTGCATGCGACTTCGGATCCTTGATTGATAGCGCCGGTAATACCTCCATTTTGATCACTAGCGAAAATATAGGAATCCTTATTCTTCCAAGGGTTCAGTGTATACAAGCTAGAGGACCAAGTCACCGACGATTTGTCTTGGGTTACATCTGAGACTGCGAGATATCAACCCGGGCCAATGGGGGACTTATCGGTTGATCGTGTAAATTGCGTTGATTAAGGGGAGCGATCGAGACTCTGAACTATGTTGAAGCCTCGCAACTAAAGTAAGACATTCATTAAATACTCGATCCGTCCAAGAACTAGAGAAGCTTTCTGAGTCTCCTTGGTATTGCTTGGTCAGATACACCCTGGAAATTATCTATTATTACACTACGTGTACCGATACGCTCTTTGATTCAAATACCTGCCTAATTTACCAACCGTTATCACCCGCAGCCATTTTCGTTCCCAACTTCCCCTAGGTTGATTTTGAAAAGGAAACTGTCAAGCCAGCACATGTAGCTCTTTGATCTCCTCCGTCTAACATTTGCTGTTGTATTTGCGCTCTTCAAGAGCCGAGGACAAATGACAACACCGTTTCCTCAAATCGCACTGAGGCAGCAAGGGCGCGCAACTGCCCTGAGGCGCTCCTTCTTCCGATCCATGACCACCCTATCTTGGCACAGGATGCCTTTTGAACTCAGCAATCGTAGCGATGGCCAGCTACGTGTTCCTGGGATAAATGGAATCCCTTTAGAGCATGAGTTACCCGTCGGTCAGCGTTTCGCATATGGGGTGGCTGACTGGCGGCGCGATCCGCGGTTGACAAAGCCTGAAATGTCGATGCTTCATTTCATGGAGTATGTCATAGAACAGCCTGGCTGGGAAACTGCTATCGAATCGGATGTGTTAATAATTGAACAATGGCATCAAAAGGCTTTTTGCACGTTCGATCTAACCTCAAGGGCGTGGGAATGGTGCCTGGCTGAGCTAAAAGATAAAGCCCGGGAGTCCAAACGGACTGGATATGTTATTGTCAAAGACGGCGACTCACCTGTTGCCAAATCAGACAGATTAGTGTCGTTGAGTCTCCTGCAAAAGTTACAAAAGGGATTGCAACCACTGCTTGACGATTGGACTCCGTCGTCTGATGAATCGGGCAATTTCAGTCCGCTACGCCATTTGGTGGATCCCTCATTGCATCCCTTGGTGTATGAGCGGACCCATGTCCTTGTTGATGGCGGACGACACTGGTTTGATCCCGCTGGGCCCTCAGGTCTAACCAGTGTTCGAACAGTTCCGCGACCAATAAAACCTCCTAGGAATTCTTTTAGTTTAAACGCACTGAAAACTAACTATAAGAACCCTTATGGCCATTACGACGATCACCGAGGAGGAACAAAAGAATCATTCTTCTCCGACATGTTCCAGTGGCTTCCTTGCGAGGTGGAATTCCCAGATGGACCGAGTCGTCCAAGGATTACCTCTTACATCAATAACCTTCCCTGGGTTCAGGTTGGAGCATACGAAGCCTTTGAAGAACTTCTTGCTCGTGTTATTCCTCTCTGGAATGAGGTATTGGTCATAGGAACGCAAGGGAGAATGCCAATGCGGATCCGTACTTACGATATACCCGATCGCCATAGAGAGGAAACACTTCAGAAGCGGACTGACTTGCACGCGTTGTACCGTTCTCCAAGGTCAGACTTCACCAATGAACAGTGGAGTGAGCTTTGTGCCCAAGTCAAGTCGTACCTTGCCCTCCCCGAATATGACAACCTGAAGGGCCTTCGTGTGACCAATGCGCCAGACAAATTCCCCGCCGATATTCTCGGCAGCATGACGACTAAACAGTGGAATTCGCCCAAAACTTTGATCAAAGCTGTGGAGGAGAAGTTTCGCCGTAGGAATATTTATGAGCTTCCCGAGCCAGGCGTTAGTTTCACATACGAGGAATGGAAGGGAGGGAAATACACTGGTCGGCCGGTGATGCCGCGTGTCAATGTTTCTGAACCTGACGAGCCTTTTAACGCCATGCCCGACCATAAGTACTACAGCATCAACCTGCCAGGTATTGGGGATGGTCTTCAGACCATTTTCAAAGTGTCTAGCGTTGATCTGACGCCAGAGAGACCTTCCTACGAGGGAGACTCGGACTTCCAAATCGCCGGTATGTTGAATGAGCGGATCGTAGCCACTGCTGTGTGCTACTATGATGTTGAGAACATCGGAGGGGCCCGAATCTCTTTTCAACAAGAGGCTCGCATGAATGAGTACGAGTTCAACTTGTTTGACCCGGAGAAGATCGAGCTGGCTTGGGATATTCCACATTGGGATTACTGTGCGAGTCCGCCCACCTTCCCTCCGCAGGCCCTTCAGAATCTCGGTTCCATTGCCACCATCAACAATGGCCGATTACTCGCCTGGCCCAACACATTACGATACAAGGTCGAACCATTCTCGCTGGTTGATTCCTCGAGACCGGGCCACCTTCGGTATATTACGATTCACCTAGTCGATCCTCACTACCGGATCTGCTCGACCAGAAACGTCCCGCCTCAGCAGCATGATTGGTTGCCCAAGGCCGCAAGGGAGCCCCCTAATTTTCCAATAGGACTTCACCCGAAGACCTTGGATACGATACTTCAGCAGACAGAAGGCTTCCCCATGACTGTACAGGAAGCCCTTGAGGTCCGGAAGGGGACAGAGTCGGAGAGAGAGAACGCCATGGAGGAGTTGCGTAGTCGCAGTGGCACCGGGGACTACATGTTTGAAGATTTTCTAGTGATCGCAACTGACGGTTTTCCTCCTAAAAATTAGATACAGACGGATTTACGGGGTAGCACTGCATCATAATTTAGTGATGTTGGTTAATTGTTACCCATAGCTACCTCGCCTGTCTACAGCACTGTCCAACTATTTGAATTATACTGGGCAAATGCGATGCTCAGGACCTTTCTTCTAAACTTTGACTTACTAGAACGATTGATGAACATAAACCAGGCCCAAAGATCCCGTTAAAGAACTCATAAACCACGTCGGAATGTCTTGCTCGGCTACTTATATGCACCAAGTACTATAATCTTCCTGCCCTATTAAGCTAATCCTGCATCCCTAGCTGTAATAGCTAGGGCTAGTGCTTCTCCTTCCTCTTTATCTAATACTTCCTTATCTAGCTTTAGTAAATATATAAGACCTAAGAGATTTTGCTTAATCTATTATATTAATTTATACTTATCCTTTACAGAGTTAATATCTACCTACAATACTATATTCTGCTTGCGTAGTCTCTTATATTTTATAGTTAGATTATCCTAACTCAAATCCTTTCCTAACCCTTACTCTATCTCTTCTACTCTCTCTAATCTTACACTGACTAACCCTGACTCTTAAATCCTCTTGAAATTTCTCGTCTGTTACGGAGCCATGCATATGCTATCCTAGAGTCAACTATATCATACGTTAGGGTAGCATGGATCCTAATTTTTGCTCCATTATAATTTGTAATCTTTAGGTTTTGCTTGTGGGGATGGTGCGGGGCTTATCCACTGTTTCCGATTATTATACAGAAAATGATGGAGACAACAGAACTATTTCTTGGGGCAGATAAGATCGCTGTCCGGGGGTGGTGGGCCATAGTACTCTGCGCACCCGGTCATATTGCCGAAATACCAATTATGGGCCGCGCAATCTCTGTCTTTTGTGCCAAGATTCCCGGTCGTGTTATCAATGCCTTCGATGTACTGTATATCCTTTATAGTGACCGGGACGCCATCTCCTGAAGTGATCCAGTATTCCGGAGACATTGTGCTATACTGCCACTTCCAGTTGACTATTATAGAAGTAGACAGGATCTTGGGGATAGGATCATTTGTATGTGTCAATCTGACATTTTGGCAATTGGAATTGGTGCTGCAATTGAGTCTGGTGGTGAGGAATTCAGCAAACTCCCTATTTCCAAGTTCAGGACATCCATAGGTATACTGTTCTCTCGTTAGCGCTTTTGTCTAGATACCCTCTTTTTATTCGGAAATTGTCGTGATAACATACCAGTGAAATAGGTATGTTCCACTCCGGCAGTGCTGCGGTAAGTGTAGCCAATGCACCTCCAAGACTGTGCCCCGTTAAGACGACAGGATAGCCTTTAAATTCACCATCGTTATAGTAATTAACCATGTAGTCGATCAGAGGCAGTGCAAATCTTGAGGCCTCGTTGTAGTCATTGTAAAAACCTGAATGGACTTGACAGCCTTGACAGATTTCAGGTATAGCCTGCTGTTTATATTGCCCATCAACTTTGTACTCGCCTTCAGTCCTGGAACCTCGATATGCCAATACAAGTACACGATTGGTGCGGTCAACTGCCATATACCCAGTGGCGTTTCCGGGATACGAGCTTTGCGACGTTCTGTGTGACGTTAGTTGTTCGAAGCTTTGACCGTCTTATAGCCGCCATACCCCCCGAAACCTCCGAGGACCCACGTGTCTAATGTCTCTAGTATGGGGCACGCCCCTGGGTCGCAATACACATTTGTGCCTGTCCAATTGGTGAAGTACTTTGGTGCACAACTTGCAGCCGCAGAGTACTCGGAGTAGAGTTGCATATTTGCGAAAAGCTCTGGGCTAATCACTAGTTCGGGTGTTACCAATGGAAGAGTTATGCTAGCATCTTAACCAACCTTGGAGCCCATGCTCAGTATCTGGTGCAAGTATTCGCTGCATTGCTAAGCTCTGCAAGCAGAGCAGCATGCTGTAAAGTAGAGAAAACCGAACCATTTTCATACAAAATAGTATAGCTGTGGTTGGGTAACTTGAAAGGGCAATTTTCGATGCTAATGGACCCTGGTACTGTGGACATTGATTTAACGTATGTATTGCGGGAATGCTACTATGTGGGGGTAATTTCCTCAATTTATACAACTGGAACGTTATTTGAAAGGCCAATGAAGTCGAAACTAGATCTTGTAGACACACGTCACGTCATTATTGTTCATCTTAGTACTCTATTTCTAAGAAAGAACGCTCTAGTGCTCCCAAATATTAAATTATCTGAAGTTGTGTGGTTACCATTGGAGAACCGAGCCGTCTAGTTCCGGCTGCCTGCCCAGAAACGAAACCAGCTGAACTCGCCCGATTCTGCAAACAGAAAACTATAAATCATAAGGCCGATGACGGAGATCTAAGTGTCATGTTCAACCTACCAAAGCGCTAAATGTCGCATTAGGGATAATCTGCATGGAACTCCTGGAGGTGCTACTAAGGTATGAAGATATATTTTGTAGACAGCGCACGGACAGTCGGACGGAACTGGAGAGTTTCACACAGCTCACACTATGTCAGCTTAAGCCTATTTAACATAGTTTACCCCGAATTGTGTCTGCAAAATTGAGTGACGGTTGCAGTCTTGTACATTATTTACCCTTGGCTAGATTACGCCTCGACAAGCCTCGACGGTCGCCGGATTCGGCGGGAGCTAGTGTGTCTGTAGTCTTTGACTGTCCTGTCCATTGGTTCAGCCCTCTTTCCTTGCCACCATAGATTGTTTTGGCTACATGGCGAAATTTCAGCGGACTCCTGTTGTCCAGGTCTTGCTGTCAGCACGCCAGGTGCTGGTCGATTTTGATCTGAGAGAGCTGAGTAAGGGGATCTACTACTTAAAGAAGATATCTTTTTCGCACAATCTATAACAAAAGAAGGCAGGTCAAGCCGGCACCTCCATTATGAAGATTGACAAATGGACCGGAAGTACTTCTCCGATCTGCGATGAAATCACACTATTTGAATTTCAATTTTTTATGGTATAAAGCACAACTTAGCCTTATAGAGCTCATCCATCATGTGCATATATGCGTTCGACTCAAAGAGACCTCTGTGTCTGCTCCCATTCTTCAATCCCCACAACACCCACCTTGAGAAAGGAGTCATCCTCATCAATACGTTTTCTTAGGGGCCCGTTGAGCAGTTCTGTCACATCCTACTTTGCCCATACAAACCTCCCATGCAAGAACCCTGCCTCTGGAGACGCAGCCCACACAGCAAACTGCCCTGGTAAATTTTCTGCATCGATGTCAGCGTTCTCTGCATACGTTCAACTGACCTTCAAAGTGGTGTATGCTACTTACCATCATCCCATCGAGGGTCATCCTTCTTGAAACCCGCGAGTTCTGCCAGTTCTGTGAAGACACCGCCAGGATGGTAGCTCACTATCTGGAGCTCTTCCGGAAGGACGTCCTTAGCGATCTGCTGCACTAGCATTGTCCCCGCACTCTTAGTGGCTGCATAGCTTGGGTGCTGGCCGGTGAGTTTACTCTCGTGGATCGCAAGAGAAGCCAAATTGATCAGTACCTGCCCGCCCTCGTCAGCACCAAGTTGTCTGAATATATACAGCGGTCTGCGCTCACCTTTTGACGGACTTTGGCACTTGGCTGCCTGTACAACCGTTCGGTAAAGTCAAGGTGTGTCCGCACATTGGTAATGTACTCTTTCCACACCTTGTCTCTGCCTAGGTCGAGAATAGGCTGCGCCGAGAACCTGGCTGCGTTAAGCACCACGACGTCGACAAAAATATTGTCGTTTGCTAGGCCGTTCCACAGCCTATCAACGGACACCACGTCAGCAATGTCGCATCTGAGCCCTACTGTCTGAGTGGAGGAAAACTCGGATGCGAGGCGTGCCGCGGCGTGCGCCGCGGCGGAGGCAACCAAGTTGTCCCGCCGGCCGATGATGACAAGTCTTTTTGCGCGGGCCTGGGCGAAAGCCCGCGCGATGGCATAAACTATGCCCGTGTGGCCGCCCGTGATGAGCACAGTCTTCCCTGCCTGCGAGAGCTCGGGCCGGGACGGCGCAATGGCAGGATAGGGAGCATTGTGAACTGTCTGGGTGAAGGCGAAGCCTGGTGGCAACGTGGTAGTGGAAGACATGGTTGTTTTAACAGGTTGAGGTTAAGAACTCGAATAGAGACTCTGGAGTCTGAAATTTAAGGAGATATATAGTTAGGGTACAAGTCTATAAGCAGACCATGCACATCTCAGAGTGAAAGAAGCTCTATTTATGAGTTTCACACTCCCTTTCTTACACTTGTTAGAACCAACCCTATAACGGCGCATCTGTTCCCGCCACTTCTGTTAACAAAGATGGTGATAGACCCACTACAAACCTTAGCATGGTCCGTCACCTGTGCCAACTCCGCAATAATATCAAAAACACATCAAAATCCGCAACGCACATGAAACTCCGCAAAGCCTCCGCCGGATCCCAGTAAGAACTATATGCGCGATTTTGGAGGCCTACACTCTCAATGCGGCCCTTGTCCTCGCAACTCTCTCGCTTTCGTCTGAATCAATGGGGCATTCACCCAACGCTAGTTACCTTATCAACGAAAATTGGCGGAACTTGGCGAATACGCTACCGATCTCGTACGACCTTTCCCTGGATCAACTTGGGGCACCTAGCCATGAACTTAGCAACCATGTTAATGTCCTCTACCTACGGGGATTATGTCGCCACGGCGCGGAATTATAGAACCCATAGACGCATGGTCCATCCGCAGTCTCCCCGAACCAGTACAAATTTGGCCGCAGTCACGTTCTGCTGTACGCAAAAAATGGGTGAGTATTGCTCCTTGGAGATGCCGTTTCGATCAACTATCGGCTGATAAAGCTAGTGAGACATCGGATGAGCAAGATACCGTCCTTTGCCTTAGGAGAACTCTTGAGAAGCGGCAAGACACGGTTGACGAAAAGGAGGGGACCCGCATGGCTAAGGATGTCAAAATTGTTCCGATCTTGATCTGAGTCACTGAGTGTGTCGTAGACCTACGTAGCCGCCATATGCATTTCCCACCCACCAGCCACCAGCTCAGTGGATGACGTGGAGGCTGCCACATTATTAACTTGTAGGTAGATGTCAGGAAACGACGAACACACGCGGGACGAAGTCCTCTGGACATACTTAGAATATCCACCTTTCCCTCCCTCCTTTTCAGCTCATCGGCAGTCCAACGGCAGCCAATCGATATTTTTCGGGTCAATTCCTGGGTACATGTCTCGTAGTGACTCCTTTGCCTTTCGGGCTTTCGTCCAAATCGTGTCGTGAAGTATACCTTTGCTCCACGTCGCACGAAGTGACCAACAGTTGCGAAATCAAATTCCACCGCTTTAGAATGGGTTCTGCCAGATCGTACGTCGGTATATACTAGAATCTGCGCATGATTGACCATTAGTAGGTCGTTTGCCTCAGTGGTTAACCTTTTGCAGCCCAGCGCGAGGTTCTCACAAGTAATTAAGGAAAGTTAAAAGTATCTTGGAGACACTAGGCTAGCAATCTAGGTCTAAAAAGGTGCGGCAAAATGGTTATTACCCTCTATATCTACGAGTGGCCTGATCTGATCCAAAAGTCAAAAAAAGGCCCTTGAAACCAAAACTTACTTCGACTTTCTCTTTAGGGCTGTAAATAAAATTGATGGGGATGGACGGACCCTTACCAACAGACCCACTGATCAGCAGCACACTGGGACTAATTAGGCGTGGAGAAAAAGGACCGAAGGCTGAGTAGTGCATGTAGTAGGGTAGTAAGAAGTAAGAAGCTACTAGGGCCTATTCTAAAGCTTCTTTAGAGAGTTAAGAGAACACGTTGCCAAATTCTTTATGCATACCTCTTATTTATAGTTTGCCTGATTTAAAACCAAGGAACGACAAAACAGACGATATATCGCAAATCCAGTATAATTCTGTTCCATATTGGTTATGAATTACCCTTTATCATCCTAAGTATAATATAGCTTAGACCCGGAAGTGGCACCAAGAAAGAGTGTTAAGCGTTGGGAGCTAGTGTGAGATCAGATGGGCACTCTCCGGACAAGTAGGCATCCGAAGGCGGGGGAGTAGGAAGAGAACTTCTTCCGTTGGTCGGCTGCTAGCCTTTGTGGATTTAGATGTGGTGGAACTGGACATTGTTATAACTGCTTGGCACTGACGTGTTAATGACTAAATGATGCCAACACAGCATCCACCATAGTAGAATCTGGTGACTTATGACAAATGCTGTTTTAAATACTGATTGCTTTCCTCGTTACATACTGAAGCCCTTAATACACGCATACCGAATGACTCTGAGTGCTGCTCAGCAAGTTTGATGGAACGCAACAGGCGACTGAAAATGTTTGATAATTTTGAAGAAGTCCTGGAAAAGAAGGCTCTCATCTTCGCCCCTCGCAAGAACACAAGCTATGAAGTGTGGATATTTACGGTATTACAAAAAGCGGGTACATGATTTTGATGAGACTAACAGCTCAAAAGGGTGGGCGAGAGCCAGAGATCCGACTGAGTAATGAAATTCATGCAGTTATATTGGATGAGTGGACAGCCATGGTAATAGCTTGTGAGAGTCTTGTTCCCTTAACTGACAATTCGGGTAGGACAGCAGGTTTGCCAGACCGGCAGATTCAGTAGCAGGACTACGAATCTTGTAAGCATGGAGTCAGAGAGCGATTTAGAGAAGTCTCCAGCTGATTGTGGGGTTGGACTGTGTGCTGGCTACGAGAATTTCCGGACATCAAAAATCCCCTTCGAAGAGTCGCGCTTTCGGCGTCTTTTTCATGACCTAAGGTTGCCAAAACATTTTGCAAGGGCATGTCTGCATAATAACTATTCGCATTTTGCAGAGTTTACTGTGGGAGAGAGCTCCCAAGAAGACAACAATATAGGTAAACAGCTCCAGCATATCACAACCACAGCATGCTGCTAATTCAATACTTAGGCTTTGTGATGCGGATTCTGACGAGGAAAAGCAGCTGGTCGCTGGTTTTATCATACAATATCAAAGAGCGATTGACAAATGTCATCGTCCGTGGCCTACCTGAGAGTGATGAAGCTGCACCCTTTGAATGCATGCTGCGGCAGTGTAGCGCTTTGGCAGGTCATCCAATGCTAGTGCCATTGATTCTAGCCGACATCCTTACGAACTTGTATGAGACCCACTGGATGAAGGAACTGAATGGACGTGTTATAAGCCTCGAAAGAGAAACTGGGTTGAATCCGTATGAGGGATCTCCAAGTTTTGATCCATTGACGCTACCCTTTGCGAAACTTACAGTGATGTCAAACAATCTCCAGCGGGAACTAGGGATGCCACATCTTAGGTTAAAATCATTAACCATGCTTATTGAGAAGATCAGCGACATATCCGGGAAACTTCAGTCCATATTAGCTCCTGCAGGACTGCCAGAGACTCCGCAGACACCTGAAACAGACTGGTATCTAAGCATAAATCGTGATTCCACCATGATCACAGAGCATTGTCAGTACCTCACTAGCCGCATATCTCACATGTTACTTAGGGCCGATGACCTCAAGGCTAGATGCTCGGCCCAACTTTTTGTGGTAAGTATTGGCGTAATCTAACTTTATGAAGACACTGACAGCCTCCCATTAGCTTTCCAACTTTACGAACGTTAAAGAGAGCCATGTGAGCCAAAAGATAGCTACAGAGTCCCAGAAGGTAGCCGAAGATTCGAAGAAAGTGGCCGATGATTCGAAACTCATCGCAGCAGACACCAAGAAGGATAGTAGTTCAATGCTAGGCATTGCCTTTTTGACAATGGTTTTTCTGCCGGCAACATTTGTTACCGTAAGTTATGTGCAGGCACCTAGTAGGATACTTACTGATGCTGACAGACGCTCTTCTCTTCTCCAATGTTTAATTGGCAAGCTGGTCAGTCGTCGAACAGTACCAAAGTTGTCTCTGATCGATTCTGGATTTTTTGGGCTGTCAGTCTTCCGTTGACCTTTATCACGCTGCTGGTGTATACATGGTGGATGCACTGGAAAGGCGTTGGCCTACTCTCAAGAAAGTCGGGCAGTTCAGCAGCATGACGACATCCATGTATTAAGCATAATGTACTAGTATAGTGTCGTGCATGGAATGCACATCGCCCCATACTAAATACAGTCACCCAGCACCCCTGGTGACCGCACTTTGGACATCCACTCTGGAGTCCATGTTTGGCTTTGTAAAAGATCTACTTAGCAGCGTAGATAAGCCTGTCAACTAGGTAAGGATTGGTAATGAGCTCCTGGTTACAGAGCTGCAATCTAATAAATTGATTTAATATAAGACTAATCCTTATCTTCCTAAGGGTAGACAAGGAGGAAACACTCCTATATACCTTCATAGACTCTTTAATGAGGCTATAACTATGATAAGCAGACTAGTTAGCCTGTGTGACACATATATCAACCTCTCCGCTTAGCACCATATCCTCGGCGCAGAGGGCCCCGGGACATCCTGCCCAATATGAGTAAAGGGGGCAGGGAGCCTATATCCATCCTTTTCCATCATCGACATGCGTCTCAAGCCTCCCTATTAGGTCCCCTCCTACCACTGCTAGATACGAGGGCTAGACTTCTAGTGGATGAGCCTTTGGATCTGCAAAAGGGAACCTAAATCTGTCACAGAGATGACGTGGTAGATGGATGAAGATAGGATGCACCATCCCCGATAATAAATTGTTCCATCTTCGCAACACCTACAAACCTTCACGCGAACAAGACCAGTTAGCAAGGCATGACCTGAAGAGCTTGGAAACTGCTGGAAGAGGACGGGTATGACACTCACGCAGCAAGCATGATCCATGAGAGGGGATCGACATCCACAGGCTTAGCCACCTTGGCAAAGTCCTCGATAAAAAAGTTCTGCACAAATGTCTGCCGTTGTCGATGCCACGCGAGGAAAAAGGCGGGGCTGCTGTCAGCTCTCCAGAGGGAGCCAGATGCCGTCCATCGGTGCACGCGTACAAAGTGTCCTGGGTCAGGCATGTCGGTGTTCTTGGAACCTGACCACTTGAGGAGTGCATAGAAGGCGATAAATGAGTAGCCCATGAGGATGGTGCGTCGGAGGGACTCGTTGACGGTCCAACTCTGGAGGCATGCATATTCAAATCAGTCGAGGTGGCCATTAAAAAAAGCAGATAAGTGGCGCTAGAAAACGTACCTCCCACGACTTGGGGGCCCTCTGCCTCACCTCGGCTTCTTCCAGGAGACACATCTCTGCCAAGTTGTCTGTGCACTGTTCGAGATCGAGGAGCCATGCTTCCAGAATAGTCATATCCCGCTCTGCCTGGGCGCGGAGCCCGATATCCCCATCGAACACCCTCAAAACCTGGTACATCCAGAGAGCCTGCGTGTTCGCTAGCTTTTCATATACTGTATTTGCCGCACCGCTCCCTACATCAGCCAGGCCCTGAGCCTGAGGATGTGCTGCCGTAGTGGTTGTCGACTCGTGTGATTGTGTCATCTCGGGACGGTTACTGTGTGCAACTTCCTTGTACACCGCCAGGAGATCATCGACTCCCTCGGAGAGGACACGCAGGGCCCAGCCACGATTGCTGTCGTTATGAGCGACATATGCAGACACTGCGGCATACAGGGTGATTATAGAGCGTGGAGTGTTTTGACGATAGAGGTGGCGGTGGAGGAAAGGCGTCTCCTTTGTGCGGACAAAGACACTAGGTATCTCCTTGATTGACTTGGTCATGAAGCCGATCTTGGAATCGGACTGGTAGAGCCTCCAAGGTTGGAAGTCTTCCTGTTCCACTAATGGTGAGCCATGCCGAGCACTAGATAGGGCTCACAGTTGCGTAGGATAAGTCATAATAGTGCTTCGATGGTGACGAAGGTGATCTCCAATGTTGAGATAGAATTGCCCTATCAAGTTGGCGTAGGACAGGTGGCACAGCAGGCAATATCAAGCATAACGACGGACTGCGCAATTCACGAGGATAGGAATTAACTTACAGAAACATCGCGGCTTTCATCTATGGGAAATCGGTGATTAGCGTGCAGCGGCGAGCTGGAGACCCTGGATATCGCTGTCATACTCGTCTGGTCCTGGTTCGCTAGGGCGTGCCACGGCTGCATGTCAAAGCCTTGGGGTATGTCTGTCATATAATTCGTGAGGTTGTCGAAGTTAAAAAAGGACAGGTCAAATGAGGGTGTTGGGCCGACTAGCGGCATTTGAGAGTTGTCCGCGCCAGTAGCACTGGAGGCGAGCAGCTCTTGGATCGGAGGAGGCCCACGTATTGAGGGGTTGTCAAATTCAAACTCGGCGCCAAGCACTATGGACGACTCATCAGGTGCGATGATGAGATCTTCAAAGTCGACATCCACGGTGTGTGGGGTAGAGTTGTCCAAACCAGATGCCGCGGGGTTCTTATGGTAAAGACAGGGTAAGCCTCTCTCAGCGCAACGAGTGCACTGCGGAGTTCGCTTGTCGCAGCGCCGTTTGCTGCGGACACAAGCATTGCAGCTTTTCTGGCGCGACTTGTCGCTGGTCCAAGGATTGACCATGGCAGCGCACTATTAGGGACAAGGGAGATCGGTTTTAACTATCGACAAGTTCGACGACGCGAAGGCGGCGATTGATGGCGATTCTGCAATGCTTCGGTAGGAAAGAAAGGCCATGGTTTGAAAGCTGTATCCCGAACTAACTCTCGCACAACGACGGAGGATTAGTCAGTAGCTGTGCCCATAACTACAGAACTGTTAGGAAAGGGGCATCTAGCGATTCCGGCCTGTTATTATTCCATTGGTTGAGCCGTACCATCCGCTTTTCCGCGCCCTGAGGATATCAGATATATTAGTCATCCAAAGAACTTCGGGCAGATTCCTACTGGGTACGTAAGTTCTATTGGATGACGATCTGTCTCGAAAGCGGGAGCTAGGTGTATTTCGATGGTCAGGATAGCCCATAATATCTCGGCTCCCATATCAGTTCATATATCCTGATAAAGAGAGACCCTCAAATCATAAGCTTGACCTCTGCATTTTAAGCTACGGCATTTTAATTATCCATTGAATTTCAGTAAACCGAAAACAAAGTACAGGTATATACAGTAATGTCATTTTCTGCTCAATTAGACAGTACAGGCGCCTTGCCAACCCATTCAGAGTCCCCGGTTATATGGTCCAATACCCAAGTCGCCAAACTCTTTCTAGATAAGAACATACCATCGTCTCCAGTGCCTGTATATGAAGCCGTGACAGGTGCATTGGGCCCATTGGTTAAAAACGGCACTCGGAACAAAGTCCACTTGAGTTGCGAGACGTCTTGAGACGCTACAAACTCACCGAGGCCCCTGAACTCGTCATAAGCAGACCCGCCTATAATCTTGACAAGAATAACCGATGCTTTCCACTTGAGACCGCCTTTGTCTAGTGGTGCGGGATATGAGCATGTGCCAAGAACCATGGCCCTCTCGTAGTGACTCTCCACCAGAATAGGAAATATGTGCTTCATAGCATCGGTCACAGGCTTAACCATTCCGTCAACATGTATATTCAAAAGGTGACAGAGTGACCTGGTTCTTTGACGTACCGTTCCTTTCGACTTTGATACGGGTCCTGCAAAGGAGACAAAGATTGTAGGACCAGAAGTTGCCGCGCGCCGGAAACTAGCAATATCTTCCAGAGTGCCTTTCACCACTGAGACATTTGCACTGTTGCGTATCTCGTCAGGAAGCTTCGCTGGGCTTCGCACATAAAGGGTTAATGTGTGCCCTTGCAACAGTGCGGCCTTGCAGAATTCTAAGCCCGATGGCCCTATCACAAGTTGAGAAAGTCAACCTCAAGACATCGTTTGCAACAGAAAGGCCTCACCAGTAGCTCCAATAACTAGTATATGTACTGCCATCCTCAGAGGTTGTATCACTTGTTGGGGTAGCGATTGGATGCGCACCAATTTGAATGATTATTTTCGGTACGCTTGAGAGAAACCAGGATGAGCCGTGAGCGAAGTTTTAGAAAGTCCAGCTCCTGGGATTTACCTGGGTACGTATAGAAGACGGCCCCGAACTTCTATCCGTACCCCGGATGCAAATTGCATCCGACTGACAAATCCTCATGTTGAGTTTAACTAACCCGAGGACCCATGGTTACAGAACTTACGTCGGGACTGTGGAGGCGATCATCCCTGAATGACTTGCGCAGCCAATCACGTTATTTCTGTTGATGAACCATCTGAGTCTCGGTCATTGGCGCCATTATTTCTAAGCAACTGCTTTGCGGAAGCAAATTGCCCACGCTCACAATCGGAAATGTTGTCCCCGACAAAGAAGACTATGGAATTTTTGTGCACGCAAACTGCAGCTTTCCAGCGTCTTCTTTGCTTGAAACTCGGAAGCTCTTGTATCCGATGATGGTACCATTTAAAGTTATCTAAGATCCAAGCACACAGTACTTGCGAATCCGATTTGTTTTCCATACTCCATCTCTGTTCGAATTAACGCGATGGATGGCTCCAAAAGGGCGCGTGCTATGTTCTTTTCCCATGGGTCTGGCCCCTACGTGCTAATGGGGAATGACCACCAACGACCGCTGATCGATATTTTGCAATCCCATGCCCACATTCTTGACAATGCCCGCGGCATCATCGTGTTTACTGCTCATTGGGAGACGTCGCACCCTCATATATCTGCAGCGCCCAATCCACAGATCTACTACGACTATGCTGGCACCCCAGGTCTTCCACAGGAGGCATTCGAATATCGATACGATGGGCCAGGAGATCCTGATTTAGCAGCTCGGATCGCTAGTACTTTACAGGCTGCTGGATTCCAGCCAATATTGAACACTGAAAGAGGATGGGACCATGGGGTGTTTGTGCCTTTGATTGTCATGCGGCCACAAGCAGATTTACCTGTCATCCAGATGAGCATACTCAAGGGAGAATCAGATGAGTCTGAGGCAGAGAAGAATATCAGATATGGTGCTGCCCTGGAGAGATTCAGAGATGAAGGTTATGTGTTCTTGTTCAGCGGTTCCTCATATCACCATTTGGAAAAGGTCTTCGAGGCACTCCCAGAAAGAATGGGGAATGGAAAGGTGGATGGGTCAACGCAAGAATTCGAAACCGAGCTTGAGCGTGTTGCTGCAATTTCGGATGCAGACAAGAGGTCCACCATACTGAGAAGGTGGCGGCAATTTCCTCAAAGCTATGAGGCACACCCCGCTGGCAAAGCAGAGCATTTCATGCCCTTCCTAGTTGGTTCTGGATCGGCTGGTAACGACAAGGGTGAGATGACGCAATCCTGGGAGCTGTTCGGAGCCACTATGAGCACCTTTGTGTGGTGAATTTCGAATTCAAGTCCAACGGAATTGTCAGGAATACATTAAGTTCCCGTGTACGTATCGAGGAGCTTTTAGCCACTTAGTTGACGTAGTCAGAACTGCATAGACCGGTCATCCGAATCTACATGAAAGTGAATCCGTACGTTTCTGGATTTAATGACGATGGCGCAAGTAGGCTTGCAGATGGAGATATCTGCAGTTTAGGCATTAGACCAGAAAAGGTCCTAGCAGCAATGGAACATAGGTTGGGTATGTTGCCCATAAGCCCGTGTGCAAGCTGCATACTACTAGTTCTCCCGTTGGCATAAGATAAAATTTTCTGCGCGGCAGTTAATAAAAGAACTTTTTGCTCATCTTGATTGTCATTGTAACTTGCCTGCCCATATCCTTGAAGACCTGAGGCAATACTAACGCTTGGTGAAGTCGAAGCCTCCGTGCCATCGGCTGCTTTTGAAATGGCAAGAAGCGCTAGTCTTTCAAATTCGGAGCATAAATCCAGTAATAATTGTACGTCGAGGACTTTGTCTTGTTGGACCTTTGTCAGAAATTCGACGAGATGACGAATGTATCGTGCGTGGGAATGTGCTTGTGCATCTGTAGGGTTCTCAAGCACTACCGCTACCAGAGTGATGCAGGCAGATATAGGATAGCATAGAATATGCCTAGGAGGCAATCAGAAGGATGACCTTTTGTACACCGAAAGGATATACGTACCAGAGTTGTCCAGGTTGCTCACAAGGCAAGTATTGCAGTATATGGATTATTTGGGAGGCTGTCGATGCCTGAATGATCCTTGACGACTGGATCTGTCGCATTGCACTAATATCGCCTTCCTGGTTAAGGTGTGCTGCAAAGCCATGAATCTCACTGAGGGTGCAATAGTAAGCAAAATGTAATAAAATGATAGGCTCCCTGATTGTTGGCTCTGTTGACCAGACAATACGATCAGGTTGACAACTCCACGGAAGCTTCGCTTTCCAAATCTCCAGTTGATGGTCAACCTCGGCCACAAGCTCCAGAAGCTGATGTACATTCTGCCTACTAGCGGATCCGGAGTAGAGCCTTTTCTCGACGTTGAATTCAATCATCGCTAGTTCAGCCTTCAATCGAAAACCGGAGGCTGACATGCTACTTCCCGGGACGTCTCCATCCGCTGGAGACGCAGACATAATCAGATCTGGGTAGTCGATATTTATCGCATCGTCATCAAATACAGAGGGCAGCCCTGTCTTTACAGATATGCTCTTGTCGAGTATATATGCAATCCAGAAGGCCCTCTTATGGCGGTTAGTGGTTGCAGGGTCAAGGACCAAGTAGAATTCCCTTCGGTGTAATCCAAACGTCAATGATAGACGTGCGGCCGCACACACGAGAACGGAGGTTGTTCGCACATCACTCGATCCCTGCATATATATAGCCATGGCAAGAAGCGCTTCTAGGCCCAAAACGTCTGCCGCTCGTAGAGCAATGACCGAATACATGCTGAATGCGTTCTTGAAGAAGTGCCATGACAGTTCCGTCATCTCGCTATGCGAGCCCCTGGCGGTCCGTAACTGAATCGCGACTGCTATCGTAGCATTCAACATGGCCCAGCGTCCAGCGTGCTTCCCTGGTGGAACAGTAGGGTCTGAATAGTGTTGTTCCAGAAGGTCCGTTAGGACAGGGACATCAAATAGCGGTAGAACGTGATTGGCCTCAGTAAAGGCCGCCTCAAACATGGATTGGAGCTGGGATTTTGGAGGGAGTTGGATAAAGACCGAGCTGGTGAAAGGGCCGCGGTTTGCTTCTAACCTGAGCTTTCTCGCATTTTGCTCCGGAAACATTCTGAACAATTTCTCCCTGAGAGCGGATTTTTTCCTCTCATGACCATCCGATATTATCGATGGCTCAGGGAACCTTGCTTCTGACTCATTAGAATTCGGCTCGTGCCTCCGTTCAGTGTTGGAGGCAGTGGTGGATGAATTCCCCGCATCCGACAAAGTGGACTCGGCCCTGTTCTCGCATGTTTCCGAGGCCGGCTGTGCCAGCTGTTCCTCTGCGCACGCCGTGGTATTGTTCGCCAACCCCACAGGAACATTTGCTGGACGGCGCGCAGAAGCCTCTAATTCCGTAACTCGAGCCTCGAGCCTCTCTAAATAGGCTTTTCTGGAGTAGAATTAGTAGATGACAAAAGCTGGTCTCAAGATATTAACTGACGTTTTCCCTCGACCTCTCCGTCTCACTCCCTGGTAGATACAAGTCAAATGGCGCTCTGCACACGAAGTACACTGAGGAATGTTGCCGTCACATCGTTTCTTTTTCTGCTGACATCGTAGACATGCCTACCGCAAGCTGTTAAGAAGCATCACAATCGTGAACAAGATTCTCTTACGTTGGTGATTCTTCTACCTCTTTGTGTAAGTGGCGAATCCTGGTCCTTTGCTGAAGACCCCATGCCGGCAAACAATCCCGATAGACAGCTGGTAACTGACTGTTACAATCCGCTGATTCGAGTCAAGGCGGGCCATTAAGATAGAATATGTGAGAATACTAACCAGTCAACGCGGACCAAAAAAGCCGTGTGAACATCCACCTATTGTTTGTCGAGATAGATACGGAGTATTGGTGCGACAACAGGATAGATCCTTGTCGGAAGCAAATTGCATCCGGCTGAGAAATCTTCCTGCGATGACTTCTGGTTAAATCAAGGCTGCAGCCAATGAAAGTATTCAGGTTGCTGAATTAGCGTCGGATCGGATGCGGAAACTCTCTTCTGAGTACCATTATTCCTAAGCATGGCTTACAGAAGCATATTCCCACCCTTGCAATCGAACATTTCCCGACAGTAGCTGTTGGTGCTTTCAAAACTATATAATGGCGACCTGCCTTGTCCTTGTAGTTACTAAAAATCAACCCTTTCATTTTCTTCCAATACGATTCCAAAACAATGGCCATCATCGCAGTCGCTGGCGGAACGGGCATGCTCGGCCGGGCAATTGTGGAAGCTCTGAAGAATACCACAGGCCACGGTGTCGCAGTTCTCACGAGAAAGGTACAGTGGACGGTACATAACATCTCTGTCTGCGTTTGTTAAAAGTGGAATCTTGTAGGCAAACGATGATCTGGCAAAAGAACTCGGTGTCCCGCTCCTTGTGGTGGATTATTCCAATGTTGACTCCCTGACCCAACTGCTCGAAAACAATCAGATTGACACCGTCATCTCTGCAATGTCGCTCACCAATGATGAAACGAGCAATTCGCAGCTGAATCTCATAGAAGCGGCAGACCGGTCGTCGAGCACTAAACGACTCATTCCCAGCGAATATGGCATTTGCTACAACGAAGAGTAAGAATTAAGGCAAATATTGTATGAATTGCAAGCTGAGCACTGGCCTAGGCATGCAGCCCTTTTCCCGACTGTGAAGGGCAAGTTGGCTGCAGCGCAGAAGTTGCGATCCACCAGCCTGGAGTACACGTTAGTCTCCAATGGCTTCTTCTTGGACTATTATGGACTGCCCAAGGTAACGAGCTACCTCCAACCATTTGTGTTCGCCGTCGACATGGCAAATAATGCAGCTACTATTCCCGGCTCGGGCGATACTCCCGTGGTGTTCACCCATACGTTCGACGTGGCCAATTTTGTGGCTGCTCTTGTTGGTCACGCAGACTGGCCAGAGCGAAGCATCATTATCGGCGACAAAAAGACGTGGAATGATTTCGTTGCTATTGCGGAAGAGATTAAAGGTTCGTACCCATGCAATCATTTTGGTGGTTTGCTTAGTGCTTACGCTATGGTTGCGTCTCAGGCGTCAAGTTCAACATCACTTACGACAACGAAGAGATGTTAAAGAACTCCCAGGTTACGGAGCTTCCATCGCATCCGTCCATCTATCCATTCCTGCCCAAGGAGATGCTCCAACACATCCTTGCTGTGTTTGGTTTCTGGACAGCTGTAGGCGATTTCAATCTGCCTGAGGAAGACACGCTTAACAGCCGCTTCCCAAATATGAAGGCGCGCACGGTCCGAGAGGTTCTGGAGCAGGGGTGGAAGCCTTGAGCCGGTGATGATTCACAGCTGTTTGACATTGGCGCCTTGCTAATCAAGCATTCATAAGGCATCTGTCTGTCTCTTTAGATTTTCTCTCTCTACATCTGTGCTTCCTTGTTCTCCTCTCTCATACTTTTGTCCTCGAGCCCAAGGGCATGACGTAGTGGAGATTGCACTAGACTTACATCGGAATATCTACCGGATATCATGTCACATTGTAGCCTCATGCGAGCGAGTTATACTTCCTCAGGAGTTCCTTTACTTGTCCACACCATGTCCCACACTCCATCGCAATTACTTGGGCAGTTTTTCCATCGCTAGTTCTCATTCCTTTCCTGTAGCTTGAATGCTGTAGCACCTTCTCTAACAGCCGCGGATCTCCAACTTTGGTTGCATAGTGAACTGCTGCCCATCCATCTCCTCCGTACACATCGCCAACGTCGTCAGAGTCGAGAAGAATCGTTGCACTCCTCGTACTTCCGTGTTGCAGTGCTTCGATGAGCGGAGTGTTCCCGTCCTGGTCTTTTTGCTTCAACAAGGCGGTGTTCGGGCATAGCCGTATGAGGGTCCTGAGAGACTCGCTCTCGTCCTGTACACATACATGATGGTATACATTCTTCCCTGTTCTGTCCTGTATGTTCAGATCGGCACCGTTGCGTATCAGCTCCTCCACGCATATCGCATCATCCAGAAGGTCAAACAGTGGTGGCCGTCCATCCTCGTCCTGCGCGTTGATATGCAAGTAGTCTTGTCCGCCGTTCTGGCAAAGCAAGGCAACTGTCTGCCGTCTGCTTTCTCCTCGAGAAGATAATCCTGCGTAATGAAGCGCAACCTGTTGATTCTCCTGTCTTACTGCGCGATCAGCTCCCTCGGCCAGCAATAACCGGACGCAATCCACTAAACACCCCTGCGCGGCCATCATCAGCGGTGACTCTCCCCAGACATTTGGCTGATTGATGCTCAACTGCTCCGGATAGCATCTGCTCATCTCGAGTGCGTAGGCCAAACTCTGCAACGCATTCGACTCGACCGCTGCATGGATGACATTCGCATTCAGGTTGGACTGGATGAAGGGATCGGCTCCATGTTCGACTAGAATCCTCATCTTGTCGGCACGATTGGTCACTGCAGCCCAATGCAGGGGAGTCCAGTGGAATTTTCGGTCCTTCTGGTCGAGGAGATTATGGATCACTTTGCGCGCGCTGTCGCTTTCCAAGGCGGACACGCGGAACTGCTCGGTGATGGCAGCATACAACGGTGATCGTTTTTGGTATCTGGTCTTCCATCGTGCCCAGTTTGTACCCGGCGGAGCATTGTTCGCATTATCCACGAATTCAATCAGGTCCTCCAGCTTCGGTCGCTCCGGGTCGCTGGCGTCGTAGAGATCCAGAACAGCGATGTGGATGGGGGTGAATTCAAAGTCTGCGAGATAGTCGTCGTCTTTGGCGAATATGCGCACGATCTCTTTCTCGACTTCGGTTGCGTCTGCGGTTAGTGACTTGAGAATTGCTAGGTCGACCGGTTTTCTTTCTTGTGTCAGTTTGTGTACCATCATCTGCAATGATTGGGTTGGCAGACCTAGCTCCAAGGTCTGCGACTTCAGTGTCCACGCCGATGTCGCAGAGATATTTTACGGTCGGTAACTGTCTTGCATAGACCGCGGTCTACTAATGTTAGCATTAAATCTCTGAAAAAAGTAAGAGAGAGGAGGGGCGTACATGTAAGAGAGACCATCCATCAGGGGCCGTATCCCAGGGTGTGGCCTCCCTGGATGAGATGGTCATCTTCAGCTTGTCCAAGTTGCCATGTTTGACGTATCGCATTGCATCAGATCCTTCTGGCACCATTCGATATGTGTTGAGATTGTACCTGATCCTAACTCCTTGCATCGAAGCCAAACGTGAAACGGCCCGATGGAAAAAAGCGGATGGTAAGACTCGGGTCTGCGACGGTGTTGCGCCCGCACAGTCTGGCTCAGAGCATTCTGTCCGTGAAGCTTTCGATTGCTTGAAAATGCTCGAGTTGAACTTGGAGAATAGGTCGTTGGAAACCTCAATGCTTTGTTTGTGGCATCGGCAGTAGCAGTCAAATCGACAGGCGCGGCGAATTACCAGGGCGTCTGCCTCGGCACTCCTAGTTCTATTGGCGCCTACAAGACTCGGCTTTTGTATGATTTCATCTTGATCTGGGACAGTGATTGACGAGGCTGACTCATTGAGACTCGAGAATATGGATGTCGCTGGTGATACTGTTGAGCTGCCGATGCTTGACCCAGTCGACGAAGAGTTCCGTCGAGGCATATTCCACGCTCCAGGTGCCAGTAATGAGCTGTCTGACGAATCCCCCGACGATACAGAGTTTCTCCCAACCGCTCTTATATTCTCTTCCTGGTATGCGGCTGGCCGGCAGTCGACTGTCGGTGTAGGGTCGGTAGGTGTGCGAAGCAGAGGAAGATCACGCCGGTCAATCGTGTCTCTCGTCATCTCCTCTGCAACGTTGGAGCAGATCTCGAGAAGCTGGGGATTTTGCCCACACATAGCTAACATTATTTCCCTGAGAGCATATGAGTTAGTATACCGAATCCTATTTGGCGGCTCAGATGACGAACATTTGAGCGACCGAAACTAAGCTATGCAGCATTGCACACTGGCCCTTGACGCGGCCATCGATTCTCTCGAGGCTTGACTTGTGCTGAACCCATCTCATGCGTCTGATAGTTGAGCTCTCTGACCTGGCGATCTGCTGAAGTCGCTTCTGCAAGTCCTTCAGCGTCGCGTAACTCTCGTCAATGCCATTCTTCACCGTTTCCACAGAGATCTGGTGGACAACCCGACGACTTCGGAAGATCCGGTCAAAGCCTTTGAGGTTTTCTTCAAAAAGTGATAGGTGGTTGGATAAATCTGCTAGCTCGCGCTCGCCATCCTTGAAGCTTCTCACCAGCTGAATCGTCTCTCCGCTGATGGCGATGAGGTTGGCTATTGAGCCAAGGAGTCCGATAGTGGTAATCGGGTCCATCCTTTTGCTACATTACGACCGATTCTTCGAGTTGGACGTTAGATACTGTAGTTCCGGCAAGGACGATCCAGCTGCTCAAAGGGTGAAGACATGCGCGATGCTTTGCAGGAGTCAGAAACCTGGCCGTAGGACATGGGAAGACCTAACACAACCGCAGCGGCTGACTCGTAAATGGCGCGGCAAATTTGATGCCCCTGGCCCGAAGAATGTGCACTATGCCAACGGCTGAGAGCAGAAGGAAGTGCGTGGCTCACAAGGATAGCAAGATCCGTGGAGGGGCAGGCCGACGGCTGGCAAGAGGAGATAGGCACAGAGCCATGCACCAAATGATTGGGGTCGCCATGGCTGCGCGATACTAAAATAAGCAAAAAAGGGCTTGGACCGCATTGCAAGTCACCGTTTCGAGTTACTCGTGCCAATCATTTTCCTCTTGATACACATCAACCAACGAGGGAAGCGCTCTAACCGCCGAGCATTTTAGTTGTTTCATTGGGTCGAACCCATGCCACAGGGGGTTTGATAGAATGCATATTGAGATTCATTCACATACTCTTTGATATTGTAAAAAAGGTAAGATCAAGATGAGTCCGCTTGCAGTGGCCGATGTTACTGCTCAATTTAAGGAGCAAGTGCTCCCAGACTCCACATCTCCCGATCTTCATCTCAGCCAGTCCACGGACGAGGAGAATCTTCGCATCTGGCAATTGACATCAAATGAGTGGAATACGAGTGTGAGAGAGGTTTTACGAGCTGCTCAAAAAGAAGCGGCAGAATGGGATCTGCACAAGATCACGCTCTGGAATCCGTCGCACGCCCTGGAGAGGGCAATCCAATTATCAGGTATTCCGTTTCAGCGCAAGCATTGGATCCAAGACAGCATACCCTGTCTGCAATGGTATGAAGAAGGGAGAGGCAAGCCAGATTCGCTCAATTGGCTTCTGAATGAGAAATACGGCTGGTGCTAATTAATTCACTTTGTATGGGTGTTTGGATTATAAACCTAGAGTCTGTGTCTTAGGTCTAAATACAAGACATTCTTCCTCGTACAGCACGGTTTCACCATCCTTGACGACGCCTTCCAGTGGCATGGAGATATGCGCCTCAACTTGGAATCCAAGCCTCTGGTAGAATGGTACAGCGTCAAGTGTGCTTTCCAAGGCAATAGGAAGATTCTCTTTCCTGCTGCGTTCAATTCCCCAGTTGACCAACATGGACCCTGCCCCACGCCGGGCATAAGATGGGTCAGTCGCAATAAAGCTCAGGCCTGGACAGCGTAAGCAGACGTCTATCAGATAACGTGGTCGCACAGAACGTACGATAGCATGGTGTTCTCCCCATTATTTCGTCCGCTGCCTGTTCGACCTTCTCTGTCCAAGCGTTCAAAGTAGCCATATTGGTGCCTTCAGGCCATAGCCATGGCTCTTCTTCATATAGCGTCGATTCAGAAACAGGAAGACACCATTTGGCAAAGCTGACAACTCGATCATGATCCTGTCTAACCACCAGTACCTCCCATTGCGGGTCTCGAATCTCTTTGATGGCTTTGTTCACTAGCGACGTCCATAGCCCCTTTCGCACGGCCGGCGTGGGAAACTGGGCCAGGAGCATGCCATTGGTGTGAAATGCCGCCATGTGAATATCAGCGATGCGAGGAGCATCCGCTTCCCTGGCTGCATCAAGAGTGAAAGCCATTTTAGAATACTTCAGGAGCGGCTGAAATGTGAAATCACAGCCTCATTCAATCCTGAGCAGAGCGCCTAGAAACGAAGGCGGCTCGTGGAATAGGCGAGTTGCGGGGTTGGCGGGGCAAGTTTATCTTAATCACAACTGGAGGCATCAGAGTATCAACTAATGCCGTTTTTGTCTCCTAATGAGGATATAAGAGGCAGGCCTGTAGACAGCTAGTTCATTGCAGCATTATTATTGTTGACAGCGATACTCGGGATATCTAGTTGGTTGTCGTAACTTAACGGATCCGAACAGCGGTTTATGACTTGATTTGCAGTAGTTATGGGTTTCGATATAACTAGTTTAATGCAGATACCCGATGCTTGCTGCTGAGGGGTATACGATATAATGCGCCTTCTTTACTCCCTACAACTCCAAGGCTTTCAGCTTGCAATCAGGACTGCTATGAGAGTAGAGTGCTAGTTTGTGCAAGAAGGCGCACTCATCCATGACACGGTACGATGCCATTTTTGTATCGTACTTTACCTCTAGGATTGCACCTTGCAATCAGACTTGCACTATACTATACCGATGCGTTAGTCCGTAAACCGGTATGCCTAGTCACAGACAGATGACATTGACCATTGAAGGCTATCCCGAACTCCGTCCAACGCCGATTTTATTCCGGACATTTCCAGGCATGAGATAACATATTTAAAGGGGAATAGTAGGGAAAGGAATTTTTCAAAAAATAACACACACGATCAGTCCTTGACAATCCGTCCCTCATTCTACCAACAAGGGCATATGAGAATGGACGCTTCAGCCAAAGAGGACCAAGCTGAAAAAGGACAAGCAGCATACATTGCTCCATTGTCCACAGCGCCAGACAGCGAAGCAGCGACTGAAGACGAAGTCCGGGAGCTAGAACATGTCGCAGCAAGAGTGCCAGCGCGGGTTTGGCTTGCTGCAACGATTGCAATGGCAGAGCGGTTTGGGTACTATGGCACACAGAGTCTCTTCCGTAAGTGCAGAAGTTGTTTTAATTCTAAAGTTATGGGGAGATCTGACTCTTGGTATTGGATTCTATAGAAAACTATCTCCAGAATAGCCCAGGGGACCTCATACCCGGCGCGATGGGGTTAGGGAAGTCTCGCGCTACCACGGTTAATTTGGCTTTCACGGTTGTGGTGAATCTGTTGCCATTGCCAGCGTCAATCCTGGTCGACGGACGTTTAGGAAGATATAAGGCTTTGCAGATCTTCACTGGGTATTGCTGGGTCTGGTTCCTGCTTGTTCAGAAGTGTTCTAACCGCTTGAGTTGCAGAATCTACGCTCTGGGATCTGCAATCTTGTTGGGCACTTCATTTCCCTCGGAGATGAAAAGCGGCGTTGCTCTTATAGGGTTTATTCTGGGAAGTATTCTAATTGCTGTGGGACTTGGAGGTGTTCAGGCTTCAGTCCAGCCTTTTGTTGGTAAGTTGCTCGGCGTTACGTTCACCAGTTCGGAGAGTTTCGGAGAGAATGACGCTCACTGCTTCTTCAGCGGACCAATATACAGAGCACACGATGCGGATAAGAATCGGAAAGAACGGCCAGCGGGTGGTAGAAAGTCGCGAACTGACCATCCAGTACATCTACAATGTTTACTATTGGTACGAAGAACTAATAGTGTCAGAGATGGATGACTATCTTACTGACTGCCATGGCTCGTCATTCTAGGATGGTGAATGTCGGTTCACTTGGAAGCATTGCTACCACCTTGATGGAGAAGTATATTGGCTTCTGGTCTGCGTATCTGCTGGACCTGTGTGCCGTGGTACTTGCCGTGGTGATTGTCCATTTAGCGAGACCAAAGTTCGGTATGACAGACAGAGGATTGTCATCTGTCACTTAATGTGAATAATTGCTGATCCTGGGATTTGACAGTGCATCCTGTCCCACAAGGGTCTGTTCTTCCCCGTGCAGCACGCTGTCTATGGTATGCTGCCCGCGGTGGATTCAGCCTGGACGCTGCTCGGCCAGAGTACCAGTTAGAGAAGCACAAGCGAGTGGTGCCATGGGATAAGGAATTTATTTCTGAGCTTCGAGGAGCGCTCTCTGCATTCAAAATCTGGTACTCCTCACCAATCCCTGTTTCCTTCGAATTATAGCTGCTAACGACAGCAGCATTGGATGGCCCATTTTCTGGGTATGCATGGGACAAGGTGCTCAAGTCTCCATCTCACAAGCCGGACAGATGGAAACTCACGGGATCCCCAATGACCTTATCAAGTCATCGAACCCGATCGCCTACGTGATCTTTGGTGTGCTTGTCCAAAAACAGCTCTATCCATTCCTCCGACGACACAAAATCCACTTCAGCCCCGTCAACCGCATCAGTCTGGGATTCTTCATCATGTCAATGGCCATGGCGTATTCTGCAGTTGTACAGGCAATCATCTATCGCTCCGGTCCCTGCTACTCCCATCCACTGTCATGCGCTGCGTCGGGCGGCCGCATCCCTAACCAAGTGCATGTCCTGCTTCAGCTGCCGACTTTCGTGATCATCGCGCTGGCCGAGGTGTTTTGCTGGCCGACTGGATCAGAGTACACGTATTCGCATGCCCCAAAGAGCATGAAGTCGATTCTGCAGGCGTGCTATATCAGCACCGCCGGAGTAGGATATCTGCTAGGGATGGCTTTGTCGCCTCTGGCTAGGGATCCTTTACTTGTGGTGCTCTGGTCTGTAACGGCCGGGATGATGTTCCTGACGGCCTGCGCTTTTCGTATCGCATTCCGCAGATACTAGGTGTGGATATGCTCAGTGGAGGTAGCATAAAGGAAAGAGTGGTGGTACATGTACGAATGGACAAGAATACATAGATAGCTAGATAGTGTTCTCAGTCATCAATAACAGATCATGTCCAGGCGGCTGCAGCAACACGCGCCTTGACCTGCGCGGATATAGACAAGAATGCTGGACCATGATAATGATGTCAAAAAAGCGCTGATATTCCCAGGTGCAAGATTCATACCATTTCCGCGGCTGTCGACGAGCCCGCTTGTAAGGAAGTATCAGTAACCAACTGTATCAGAGACCATTCACCCTGTCCCCATCTTTCTTTCCAGGAAACAGCCGAAGTGCAAGAAGCTGCTTGCCTAGACGGGTCAATACCCTGGGCGCTACCCCCTCAGCCTCATCATAGACAACCTCGAAACACACGTTACCCATGGCCCGTATCCTCGTCTCGGTGGCGATAGTGACGACCAGATTCATAACGTCCCCTGCCTGGACACAGAGGGTGTCGCCTAGGGGCATGCCAATGTCCTAGTATACCTTCTGAAAGGAGACATTGCGCCCTTCATTCGCCTTTGGTAGAGTGAGATCAAATATCAAGTGAGAAAAGGGCGGGACTTTCATTGTTGCCTGTCCTTACTGAGGGGCCGATATCCAGAAAACTCGCGAGTGGAACTGCCACGAGAAAGACCGGTGGCTCTGCGAGTGACGCGAGAACCTGCATTACGGCAGGTTGCAAGCATATCAGGGTTGGCTAGAGGCTGTAGTAAAACCAGCTTCACCTTCTGCGTCTGCGATGTTGGTTCTGGTGAGGCCCCCAAGCCTCCCGTGCTGAGGCTAGACAGCCCAGCTGCAATATGAAACTTATTCGGATGATCAGGGTCGGTGATAGTTGCTACTTCAGACATATTGAAGATCAAAGATGGGGCAATTGAACTGAGTCAAGAATAATTCGTCTTTATTGATGCACAGATGTCAATATTTCTGTTGGAGAGGGGTAACCTCTAAATGCGGGTGGAGAAAGGCACCAGCACATCTCCAACTATTTATACCCAAATAGTACAATCCCGAGTAAAAGCGCCCTGCAAAGGCATTCTATCTGATTGATTATATCAATTAATCTCCTCATGATCTGTGAACAACCACCTCCTCTCTAAAAGACAAATGTGCTCCACATCTCCTTCCGAGCTAGCCACAAGAGAAGCTTGGGATACCATCAACGACGGTTGATAGATAAACGTCACACAATAAATAGTTCAAGTACGTCTCCTGGGAATTATTTTGGTATCCGTAGGAGCAGTCATACTTCTGAGTGACATCTGTCTTCTAATAACCGGTAAGATAAGCAGCTACAGCTTAAGGCTAAGCAGACTGGATAGAGCAAGCGGACAGGACAGAATTATATATATATATATACATGTACATGTACATTAAGCTAGAGATGCTTCCAAGACCTATTTAGATATGGATAAATAGTGTGTTGGGAACCATAATCTAGTTAGACTCTCTCTTAGTGTTTTAGCAGTATAGGTTAGTCGTGCTGCCCATTGTATCAAGCATTTCATGGGATTTGAAATAGTTAAGGATGGCCAAGAGCCTTACAGTCAACAGAATAGTCCAGTACAAAGAAAATGAGAAGTCTACGAGAGTAATAAATTAATAATAAGCTAACCAGGAGCCTAGCACGGACCGAGCAGGTTAGTTTCCTTGGGATGGGCTGATCATTTCCTGTTTCTGTGTACGATGCCCAAGGCTGAGTTTGCCCTGACTCGCAAGCCTCAAAGCTGATCACCCGTTATGGGTCGGACAACGTATTTGAGAATGAGATAGCAGTACTACGGCGAAGTACAGCAGAGTGTAGTTCAATAGAAGGCTATTTACATGGCCGAATTAAAAATCAAGAGACAGAATCAATTGCTGGAGATGTTAAGTAGGACGAGTAGATCGTTATCTAGGGAGCTCTCTGGTTGACTCTAAATAACCATGAACGGGTCTCGGAAGGGCCAACAACGCCCAGACCGCGTGGCTGAGATCCAGAGCATTTCCATTGGTCACAAATGTCAGCTCGGCTGCCTATCCCTGCTGATCGTGACAGTTCAACCTTGGAAGTACTTAATCTTACGCTTCCGCTGACAGTGGCACAGTCCGCTTTTCTGTCCTACACCCCAAGAGCATCACTAGCAGCATAATATAGGAGTTCCCGAACATTTCTTGCACTATGAACTCAACTACAGTCGCTTCCATCCATCACACTCCCTACTGTGGCTTCACATAATTCAAAACTGCCGTCATGGCGTCCGAATCGCAGCAGTCGAAGCAATATCTTCTGCCTCCCGTGTCTGAGTTGCTTCGTCGAGACGAGACCACTAACAATAATAATCATAATGATAATGAAGACGACTCAATCCCACATAAATCATGGAATCCCTTTGACCGCAGTCCTTCGCCGGACCGCGACTATATCCGCTATCAGCCCGCCTCTTCTACCAACGACGACCCCGCTTCACCACCGGCACAACGCGAGACCACGTTCGGCTTAGGAATTACCAATACCTTCCCCGAGTCACCCTATAAGAGCCCTGACGATGCCGATGATGGCGACCTCGCGACCAAATCCCCGTATCCAGAACCCTCGGAGCCCTCGCCATTACAGTACCAGACATCGCGGACTACCCTATTGCCGCATTCGTCCGAATACATAAAGTGTCCGACACACCAGGGAATAGTTCAGAAGCGATTGTCGTGGGTTCCCATCACTATTCTGGTTCTGGCGATCTACTCCACCATCTTCTCCGGCATCTACCTGGTGCTCGCGCTGGTCAAACCACGCTATGGCAAAAGGATCGGTGAAGACGGTGGCCTGGCGCCTTCCACAGCCAGTCTACTTAGTGCGCTGTTCGCTAAAACAATCGAGCTCTCGTACGTGACTGTCTGCGTCGCGTTCCTGGGGCAAGTCTTGAGTCGTCGAGCAATCACCAAGGGGTCGCGAGGGATTACTATCTCCGACATGAGTATGCGCACCTGGATCATGCAGCCAGGGTCTCTGATTGTGCATTGGGAGACTGTGCGGTACTCGGCGCTCACAGTGTTGGGTCTGATCACGTTGACCGCGACGTTGGTAGCAATGCTTTATACCACGGCAGCAGAAGCGCTAGGTGGGTTTGCTCTGATGAAAATAGATGTGCATACTGACGGTACTAGTTGCGCCCAAACTGCGGATGGGCCCCGTCGAACCTCGCGTCTTGGTCGGAAACGTGTCCACCGAATTCGCAAATCCGTTTTACCTCGAAACCCATTGCGAGAGCCCCGTCACTCAGGCCATGGACCCTGAAGCGGCGGGCAGTACCTGTTTGGACCTGGAACTGGTCGGACAAGCGTACCACAACTACCAGGCATATATCTCTGCATGGAGTGATCTGGCTAAGAGCAGTAACAGGACATCGTCAAACTTGGCATCGAGGCTCCCCCCGACCGGCTCGCTGTACGATAACACCACCGTGACAGGAAGCTGGATTGACATTGGCAACATGACCGAATTATCGCTGAAGCACGGCCGAATGGTCAACAACGTCACCGCTGCGATGCCCCATGGAGGAATCATCGCCGCGGCGACTGACCCGCGGAACGGCATTCGCCAGCCGGTCGATGTGACCGGCGAAGGCAACTTCGAGATCGAGGCCTCCGTGCCCTCTCCGGCCATCAATGTGCTCTGTGTCGGGATGACGGAAGAGGAGCTCACCCCCTTAGTATACGAGAGGTGGCCTCATGTGTACCACTTTAACCCTCTGAATTGGAATTTCGAGGGTTACAAAAACGTCCCCAGCGACTGGTTTAATCGAACGGTCGTTGATGACCTCTTCGGGTGGGACCCCTACGCCAAGGCCGAGGTAAAGCAGACGCCTCCTGTGTTCGGCAAGTTGCCCAACGCCAACAATACCATCACCAATACCACTGGCACCTGGCCCACAAACGCCATTTACATGCTAGGAGCAGCGCAAAGTAAAACCATGACACCGCCTTATGTGCTGTGCGCCCTCAAAGCGAAACTGTCGCCCGTGTGTTCGACCAAGTATTCGGCGGCCGCCAGTGGAGCTTCCTTTTCAACCAACTGTGAGAATCCTGTGAATCCGCTGCAGTATAACCATCGCAATCGGACCGCCCGCGACGGAGATTGGGATCCCAACTGGAAGAATGTGGCTGGCGAGTGGTCCAATTCATTGAGTTTGAATTCGGGTATCACAGACGGCCGTGCCAGCAACGCTCGCCTCCTGATGCAGTTCATTCCGGCCCTGGATAATCGAACAAAGACCTATTCGCTTGACCCCAAGTTACCATCGGTTGGAGAGGCGCTTGCGGTCCTGGCAGGCAGTACCCTGATCCTTGGGTCGATGAATGCCCCTTTCGTGCAATTTTTCAACTACACCAAGACCGACAAAATATCCTCTGCACTTGCCGAGCCCGTTCCGCAATACTTCGAGGCCACAGTTCGCGCCGTGGGATATGCTTCGGGGGGCACGGAGCAATGGCAGAACGTGTTCTACCTGATCCTGGTGTTTGCGTTTTTGACGAGCGCCATCATTCTCGCATTCATGCTGTTCGAGGTGCGTGGACGGCAAATCACCGACTTCACGGAACCTCAAAATCTGTTCGCGTTGGCGATGAACAGCCCGGCCACCGCGCAGCTGCAAGGGGCATGCGGGGCCGGACCGCACGGTCGCCAGCTCAACGAGCGGTTTTATGTGGCCATGGAGGAGGAGGATGAGCATTATTACATTCGGACCAAGGCTGAACAGCATGTGCGCGCGGCATCGATCAGACCCAGTCGCTCCATGGCCTCGATGGATGTCGATGATATGCCGAAGGCTGTCAGTCCAGCCATGGATGAGTACCGGCGGCTTTCCAGTAGAAGCAGTCTTTTGTCGAGATTTTATTAGGAGTGCATGTTATAACCCAGCAATGGTTTGTTGGTGACGAATGTAATGTTAATGTCATGCAATGTCTATGTGGTTTCGAGGTTCGTTCCAGGAAACACCATACTGTACAGTAGCTAGGATGCCGCGGGCGCATCATTGATAAGTTTTGATGAAGCGAGATCCTTATGAACGCCGATCTTTCACCTAAATACTGGTGATCCATGGGGATATCGAGATCCACCCGAGAAGCGGATGAACTGGATAATGGTATGCCTTTGGACAATGCAGTACAGGGGATTGAGACCGCTCGAGCGAACTTAGCCAGCCGACAGAGGCAAATCCTCCGCCGTAGCTTCTCTTGTCCGCTCAGACGGCAAACTAGCGTTCTGCAAGGCGCCCAACGTATACGGATCTAAGCCCCAGTCACCAACCCACTGATGCATGCGGTACCCTTGCTTGAAATGATCGGCGAGATGATCCCCTCGTGCCGTCCAGGTAGGCAATGAGGCATTGCAGAATCCACAGCGACTGTGAACATCACCCCTCGCACTACGCCACTGATCCAGACTCTCAATGGGCAGTTTGGTACATCCATGGAACTTGCGCAAATGCTGCCACAGATAGTCCTTCCGACTGAAAGAACGATCTGCAACGGGCTTCTGCGCACATACTTCAAACTCGTGATCGTTCCAGTGATCGATAGATGGCGAGCTATGATCGCAGAATGGGCATTCCGATGGTAAGTTGCCCGGCCGTAGTTCGTTGACATCCGGAGTGCAGATCCATGCGTCGAGTTGGAGGTGAACGCTCTTCTCATGTCGGAGCCAATCATGCTTCTTTTTGAAGGACTGCGTGCAGAAAGTACATTGGTATTGCCCTTCGTTCATTGAGCCTCTAACCCGAGTTCTCCTCCGCCGGGCCCGCGGACGGGGGTGATGAAGCGGGAAAGGCAGTGAGCTGTCTCCAGAGTGGTGGCTCCATGCGGATGAGACGCT